TTACATTCAATGTTTTAAATCTCATATTGAACTCTTAAAAACAAATTGTTACAATGTTTCTTTATGTTTAAAATGTATCATTATGAGTTTATATTTTATTAAGATTATTATAAATATGACAACAAAACACATTGCGACTTAATCGAAATCTTAAATTGTTCAATTGGAGAAATTTTTAAAGAAACTTTACAAAAACTTTTGATTCGTTTTCACACATTTACAACCTTCAAAGTGAAAAACTCGATGCCCTATTCATAAAATGAAAGTAAAGTAAAGAAAATGAATGTTAGACTTGAACAAATTTAATGACACATCAGGTGAAAGACTACATTCCTTGTATGACTTATATCTATTTTTAGAAATTCGTTTAATACTGACTGTAGTAAAACAAAAAAAACAAAACAAAAAGAAAACTTTCATAAACGATGTTACATAGTGAATATTTGTTAGATTGCAATGTACTTTATATATAGTGACAATAAGCCTAATAAAAATGTCTCTATCATACTAATGTTACGTGTTATTTTCTTAAATCATAAATCATTACAAAGATATTAATTAAAACAGAAGATTTGAATGTCCCAAAAAAAAGTTTTTGTACTAGATATAATGACCTTCTCACTGACTGAGTTTGTTTGTTAATGTTTTGTGTTTGAGAGTGTTTTGTGATAATTAAAAACTATATTCCTTCTAACAGCTTGTTTTGAATATTTATTGCTTTCTATTTATTCGTCTTTAAACTTAACTTCTTTCATATAAATTAATCTCCGTGATGTCTTTTGTCAATATGATGTGAGTGCTGATGATGAGCATCATATTCTATTATATTTCATTCAGATAACTTTTAAAGATGCTTATAGCTTATGGCAAATCTAATCTCACTTGTTTACTGCTATAACATGTGCTTTACTTTTCCTTTCACTTCTTATCGAACGAATTTCTGAACTTGTTTCTCGCATTCGCATGAAAACAAACATTCAGGATTGTTTCTTAGTAAAATCTTGATCAGAAAGAAAATATTACAAACATTCTTCTGTAGAAGGTCATTTGTGTAGTACAAATTTTATTAGTTTTAAGTTTCTTTTGTTTTAATTCTTCATATCATTGAAGTTCAGGAATAATAATCTTCAATATGCAAATCAGGAACAAATTGCAAAGGAAAAGCAAGTCAGTGGAAGGGTTCAGATTCAAGTTTGGTATCATGACGATCGTAATGAGTTGGTCGTCAACTTGTTAGCTGCTGATGATTTAGCACTTCGAGATGAACAACTTGGATATGGAATGTTACCTGAAGCTTATGCTAAAGTGGAAATCTTTCCCAAGATGTAAGATTAATTTGATGAAACTTTTTCATATCATTTTCAATACACTTGTCACATGTTTGATTATCGACGCAGTGGCGAAGGTCATCATGGACATCAAACTGAAGTATCAATTCCTAATCAAAGCCCGATATGGAATGCGACAATAACTTTCGACATTGGCAGTGGACAAAATCTTATTGACCGTTGCATTGAAATTCAGCTCTGGGATTTAGTAAGAAAAACAAAAAAATTATTCCGATAAGCTTCATTCAATTTTCTCTAATCCACAAGGTTCCACAAACGGAGTCGGTTTTTCTTGGTGAATGCACGGTAGATTTACAGAAAGCATTTCTTGACGACAGAGCTGTTTGGTATCGATTGGAAGACCCCAAAAATTTGCGAATGCAAACATTAGCGAAATGTAATATTTCCTTCAATATTTCTCCAAGAGGCTCAACGACAATGTTGTCAGGCGATGTCTCACGTTTCATTCGACGAAATGACTACAGCTTTCAACGATCAATATCTGATGACTGTGATTCAATCGGTGAAAGCACATCTTTACTTCATCCAGATCACGCATGGTTTGGATCGTCTCGTCGTGGAAGTTCACAATCTGAAACTCTTGAGATTGAAACGTATCAACTTGGAAAAGATTTTTCAAAATCATTGCCGGGTTCACGACGTTCATCTTTTCAAGGTTTGAGAGTAATTCAAATATTTAAAATGATTTATTAATGTTAAATAATTTTCAGATCAAGAAAAGAAAAGCGGAGAAGCAACGCCAATAAATTTGAGTAATCGCCGAAGATCATCAACAATGAGAAAAGATCCTGACGAGATTTTACGTTCTTTAAAAGCAGTCAGAGGTGAACTTGGAAGAACAATGAGTCTCTCAAGAGAAACTGAATATAATCGAACGACAAGGCGTAATCATTTAATTAAATTTATTTTCATAAAATATTTAATATAATTTTTAATTTAAAGGTCAAAGCAGAGTGCACAGAGATTCAATTACGAATTTTCATGATCCAAATGTTTATGATGAAAGTTGGAGAGGATCTTCAAGCAGCTTCCAACAAGCATCTAGTAGTGATTTGATTTTAGGCCCTGGCCAGAGAAAACCGCATTATCATCTGACATATTCCAAATACGGCGATCTCTTTCTCGAATTTAAAACTTCACGATCACTGGTGGAAATGCGAATCATGAGAGCTCGAAACTTACTTTTTAATTATGCTGATGCTCCTGACACTTTTGTTGAATGCTACATCAAAGATGGGATGAATGAGAAAATACGTCAAAGGAAAAAGACTGCCATAATTCGTCAAAATGTCAATCCAGATTACAATTATGTTTTAACATATACGGTGAGAATTAATTTTAATTCACTGAAATTAATCACATAATTGTTGTTGAATATTTTTAGATGAGTGATATTTATCGACGGTCATTGATTTTTATTGTTTGGCAGAAGGCAAGTGGCTTTGAAAGTAGCATCGGTAAGAGTCAACTAAATGATTACAATCAAGTTAAATAATAATTCTCCATTCACACATTCAGCAATAGGTGCAGTTGAAATCTACTTTGGAAAGTTTAACATTGATCAAAGTTATTCTGGATGGTATCCACTGTTTCCGACATTTTCCATGGGACTTTCCACCCGAAAAGACTTACCCTGACTGAACAATCTTCATAATGCCCAATTAAATTATATTTTAAGGGCTAGTTTGGATATGATAGATTCAATGAACTTAATTAGGATGAAGTACAACCGATTAACAGAAATCTTCTTGACTGTTTACTCGACTTTATCATAGTTTATTATAGTAAATAGAAACATTTGAATAACCGTTGATATTGTAGAAACTCGAAGTGATTGTAACCCCATATGTCTCAGTAAGAATTCTTCTGCTTGATAGCCTTACTGAGTACATCAATAACTGCTTTACTCTGTTGACATTTCATATCAGAAATCAGAGGCTTGAAAATTTGTTTCCTTTTTCATATCTTAATGTCTGACATGATTGTAGTTATCTCCTTCATTATTTAAACTTGAATAAACCATGAGACGAGCTTTTTAGGGTTTTGATGAATGAATCAAAGAATTTCTAAAGGAGAAACTTTAACTAATGAAAATATTCTGAATTTCCAAGATTTTCCTCAACTATTTGCTTAGATAATTTGAAAAGTTTTATTAAGATTGTTCAAGTTAAAGTTCTACAACCATAAATATTTATTTAAATTGATGATACTGAACAAGGGAATACATTTTCGAAACTCTTTAAGTAACTAAACAAATATCTACATCGACTCAAAAATCAATTTATTTAAATGAAATTTTAATAAAGAAAGAAGATACAATAAGCAACTTAATTAAATAGCGACAAGAAATAGTAAAGAAAAATTTCTAAATACTAACAATGAAGAATAATCATTTAATTTCTTCGACAATCATATCTATCTACTTATCTACATAAATACCTACTAAGGCCATAAATATTTGAGTTCATTTGAATGCGAAAATTCATCCCAAAGAGATCTGTTTGATAACATGAGTCCTAACGAAGACTGAGTTTTTGAAAATAAATAAGAAACATTTGATCAACATTTTACAGTGTCAGAATTGGATATTCAAAACGGTTGTAAAGTCTATTTACTTAAACATTCAAAAGTGTTGTGCAAGTTTACTCTATTTATTTTAGAGTGGAATTTATACCCTAAAAATATTCCGAATGTTAGAAAAATATTTAATTAATCACTTACAGTATGGAAGATTATTTAAAGGAATGAAAGGGAATTCCACTAACATGAAGAATCGTTGATTAAAATGTTTGTAAGGCTGTAAGAATCGACATCATTTGAATAACAAATCATAGTTTATTAGCTTTAAACTTTTAAAAGACTACTGTATTGATTGTATTTAGAGATGAATCATAACCAGAGCTTGATTGTTGATGCTTTAAATGTGTTAATTGAAAAAAATTGAATTATTTACCTTGTTGTATAAAGCTCGATATCTTTACTTGAGCTATTTAGAATGAATCTAATGTTTTTTTGATAATAATTAGCACACATCATACAGTTAATTACATACATTTACCTAACAAAATATATTGAGTGAATCAACAATTAATTATGGTCTGAGATGAAGATTCACGTAGAAGGAAAGTTTTTTGGAATTATTAACAATGTTAAATATTTCTTTAATCATCTAACTTTTTGATGGTACCGTCGGTTTTCAATCATTCAATCAATATTATAACATACATTCTATCGATATGAAATATCTTTGTGTCTTTACCAACGGTCTATTTTTGTAAAAGTCATGTCCATTTTAATAAACCAGATGATAAGAGAAAGCTTAAGAAAGGCACGCGAAAGACGATTGGATTCTGCACTCTATAAAGCAAAATGTAATTGCTTTCTCATATCGAGATAAGGCCTACTACTTGACAATCTTTTGAAGCGTTTACACGCTGTATACATTTATAGATATGTATTAGAGTTCTTTTGATAACAGATATCTAACTGAAAAAGAAGAAAATAAAATCAATCAACTTGATGCTCGATTAATGCTTCCGATTTTTAAAAGTGACAAATCGGGAATTTTGTATTCTCTCAAAAGTTCAAATAGCTTGAATAGAAATATTCACGTTTCTCGTCTAATACTGTGAAGGTTCAGCCAAAATAAAAGATATAAAGGTCAACTTATTTTTAAGGCATGGAAACATAATAATCTAACATAAAAATATAAAAAAACATTAGCGGAAATGTGTTGCGAAGAAAATAAAAATATAAAATTAAAAACTTTGTAAAGATTGAACACACACGAAAAATAAATAAAAATTATATATTGATGTCTTTAAAGTTTTCTTTTCTTCCTTTGATTTTTTGTTTAGAAACTTTTAAGTTGAAAACAATAATAACAACAACAAAGAAACGATATCTAAGAATATTTTTATTCAATTTCAGTGGATTTCTTCTTTTTATTGGATATTTAGCTACATAAATAGATCATTCATTTATGTTTTCAATATTCTAACAATTAACTTATCAATAGTTGACGTGTCTTAAGTGATGAATGTTTCCCATTCATAGCATTTTAGGCTCATGATAGCTGTGCTTTCTTTAGTTATTTCTCACATTTAGGAACCAAGCAGTCATCACCTGAAATATTCACAGTTCTTGGATGATCCAAAGTAATGCTTACTTACTTTCCACTCAACACCTATGCAGCCATCTAGAAAGTTTTCTTTCTTTAACTAAAATCAATAACTAAAATGAAATTTTAAAAAATTAGGCGATATTACTGTAATGAAACAAAAACTTTTCTCAGCTTTTCGTTTGCCTCACTGATAAAATTTTATGAACATGAATAACAAAACGAAATTATTTGTCTTCGTCGCACAAGCTTTTTGTGTAAAAATCTATAAATGACATCAAACATTTAAATTGAATAGTTTCCTTCTTTGCTTTGCATCATCATCATCGTCGTCATCATCATAATCTGAGAATTTGCTAATGCTATTAATAAACCTGTCTATTGTCGTCCCCAGCAGATCGTGCAACAGCGTCACCTTGAATGATGCATTACATAGCAGTCCAAGAGCACGGTATGAAGTTCCTACACATTTTATATAATAACGTAGGAACTCTATACCTCGCTGATGGCAACTAATTTTAAATCACTTTCAGTAAGATGAAGACAAAGAATCTGAAATAAAGAAGAAATGGATGAATGTTATAAAACTGGTGCAACAATTAATCATTAATTTCATGAATGTATGTCATCGTTTGTTCACCTCTTTTGATCCTTTTTTTTTATTCTTTTTGAGCTTATGAATAATTAAGAAACTTGTAAACTTGTAACTTGACACCATTTCTTTTATAGAGGTTTTCCAATGGTTGAAGTTGATAAGAGTTTAATGTTCATGATTTGTTTAATTTCATAGAAGAAGAAAATGTTGCTAAGTAGGCCTAGAAATTATTTCTAACGATCATAGTTAACAATTCAATATTTTCTTTTCATATCCTAGCTTCTAATAATAATAATCATCAAATTCTATTTGTAAAGTATGAAATGAGAAAATTATAATTAAATAAAACCTGTCATGTTCCTTTCAAGAAGATCCTAGAAGTTTTAAAGAAATTTCAGACATTTAATTGTGGTTTGTTGGCAATAGAAAAGAGAAACATGGTTAAAGATATCAAAAACGTTTCTAGCTAATTTCTCAATACAAATCCAAGTTTTCTTTCAACTAATTTTCGGTTACGATGAACTTAAACATGCATTCGAAACAAGAGTAACTTTCGATTTAATATTTCGTTCATGACTGCCAAGCAGATGGTCAACTTTTCATTAATTTTTATTATTATTATTATTTCTTTCTTTTTTAATTATTCAATGTTTGTCCCTTTCAGTTTTTTGAATGTTGAAACGTCTATAAGACAGCGTATAGAGATATCTTCAAATTCGAACACTTCTTTGAAAGCAACAGGTTATTTTATGAAAATAAAATTAAGTTGTGTTGATGCACATTATCGCAATACACTCGATATACATATTCCATCGCTTCCCAACATCAATTTTATCGTTGACATGTCTTAACATCTTTTTTTTATATATCGTGAAACAACAGCTCTTTTATCTCAATTCTTAAATTTCTTTTTTATGAGGGAAAAAAAGGTTTACGAATGGAGGAAAAAACAAAAGAATTAAATTCTGCTGGCAGATGTTTTTTCTTCTTCTGATATTGCTGAAGTTATCAATAGGTTTTCATTCTTTCGTTAGTCAAAAAGTTGAGGTCTGGCTATAGATTTATTAGGCATTATTACGAGATTCAAATCATAAGAAGTATTCAGGGCATAGCCTTTCATTTAGAATCGTTTCTTGACCAAAATGTGCAGCGAATGAAATCAACAAAACAATATGTCAGTCATGGCTGTATGATGAACTTTAGAAGAACGGCGAAGAAAAAAATAAATGCAAGAATTCACTTTCATGCGGCTAAGCACGATAAATTTATTAGATGATTGTTATCGAAGAAAATAAATTTAAAATTTGCATGTTTTTCTTTGAAAGGGTAACAAGGAGTTAGAAAAGAATTCCTAAATTATACTCTTCAAGGGTGATTCATAAACACATGTGTAAAGTGATTTCAGACGATGAGAAAATAAGAAACAAAATTTGTGTTCTTATTTTTTCTGTCATCTTTTGATGTTTATGAAAATTTTCATTCGATTCGTCGTGAAAAGAAGTAGATAAATATGATAAAATGTTTGTAAATGTATGAGTTGAATAATTCTGAAGCGAACTTCTAAGACTTTAATGCATACTTCTCAAGGAAACAAACAAACAAAAAAGAAATCTGAATAATAAAGGAAACCCATCAAAAGGGTGAAGATTTAAGTTGAGGTTCTTTCTCACGATACACAATTCTTTTGAATCAATTAAAATAAATATTGCAGCTACCAGCATTTCGGAAATTAATCTTTCTACCTTTTGCTGCTGTTGATATGCAAATTTTCCAAGGAAAACACAAAATGAATTGTTCGTATCCGTTTTTGTTTTGTTCTAGTTAAATAGTAAATAGCTTCAGCGATAATTAAATTTTACACAAAAAACTTTTATACCGAAAAGAAAGAAAAGCACGAAATTCTAACATGATCAACTGTTTTCATGACTAAGAAGTTAGCGATGTGAGTAGGGGTTGATTATGTTTATGTGTATGATTCTAGCACACAAAAGTTCTTTTTGTTCAATGCGTTTCATTTTTATATAAAAAGGGTGTGTTCATTTCGTGATATCGTGTGCAGTCAAATATGCATTTTTGATCGGGAGGGTATATACGAAAATTTTCTCAAAAGAAATAAACCTGCATGCAAAATAAAATAATGGTCAATGAAATAAAATTTAAAATGGTGCTAATTAAATAAAAGAACTGTAGAGAAAACAACTCATCTTTTAATAATAAAAAAAAATTAAATACACAAAAACCTGTTCATAAACGAGAACCACACCAACACACGAGAGTTAAGAAGTTGTGAAAACTGTAAAAGAACTAGTTTGGTCATCACAGCGACACATGATATCGAGATTTTTATATCTTTAAAAAAACAAAGTAGAGTTGGGGACGTGGAAACTAATTTGAAATAAAAACGATTCGACTTCTTAAATATTCGATCTCCCATGCAAAGAAGTAAGAAACCAATATTTTATCATTAACAAAGACATCGCGTAAGTATGCTTAAAACTACGGCGTCAATATTTAAAATCGGAGACCAACGCTTAGTTTTTATTTTCCATGTGTTAAGAATGTTCATGAATTATGATATTTTTTTTTGTCTACAGACATTATTTAACTGAAATCAACTGAAAATTAAAAGAAGCCAACTCATTCATGACTTTGATGCAGTCTGTAGTTCGTTTTGAGCAAATAAATAATTTAAATAATCATCTTACGTCGATAGCACACACAACAAGCAATACAATTTAGAATGAAACAGTCAGTCATCAAAAAGTAAAATTGCATCAATCATTTGTTCTCACTTCTCGGCAAGGTTCTTGGAATAAATTGTAATGATGATGTTTCTTATTCTCGTTTCTTCTCTTGATTCAACACTTAGTAAATATTGAATATTTTTTCATATTTTATCACCACACCAAGCGAGACAGGCTTGCCGTTGATGTCAATTGGTTGTTGGAAAATTAACATATGAATTGTTCGTATAGAGAGAACAAATGTGTATAATTCAAATAATTTTTCCAAATCAGGTTTTTCAACATTCTTAACTCGATATTAATATTTCAACCACGTAACAAAATCATAGTTGGAGACTTTATTCTGCCATCCGACGGCTGTGTTAAACATATTTTTATTTAAAAGAAGGAAAAAGAAACCTTGGTGTTGACGAGGTAATGATTTAAAGTTTAATGCATTTATAAATAACTATTCAATTCCTTTCCACTAAATGATAACCACAAGATGAAATAAAAAGATCTCTCGTCATAAATATGTTGAAAATAAGTTCGTTTCTTGACAACGCAACGTACAAAAAAAATAAAAACCACACAAGAATTAATTTAGAAATTACAACAAAAGAATGAACACTCAAAGTTGATAACTTTAAAGATCAAACTAATAAAATATCCTAAAAACTTCATATCAGATAATATGACTAACCAAAGAATTACGAGAAGAGGAAAAACAAGAAAAGAAAAAAAAATTAAAAACATCTTGAAGATTTAAACAGGTGAAAGTTTTGTACCTGAGCAGGTTGATTTCTCTCACTTCTTAATGTATGTCATACTTTTATGCTGTTGCACAAAAGTTGAATTACTTTTAAATGAATTTACAAGCACAACTGTATTCGGAATAAAAAGTAAAATCACAAAAAATTAGCACATTTCGTGTTTTTATATATATGTATTCATAATCAATACTTTCTCTTTGAGAGTTCTAATTTTTCTCTTCTTCATCGAAAACTTCCACTACTTTTCTTTCCTAAAATTTGCACTTGTATAAATCATGATAGTTTTTTTAAATAATATACTATTTTAAGAATATATTGCAGATATATAATATGAAAAACTTCAACATTTCAGCTTTCAGTTAAAAATTTTTCAACTAAACTTCTTGAACGCGCAACGATGACTGCCAGCGAAGAGCAAGCAAACACCAACGATTTTTTATTATGAAAAAAAAGAAGAAAAAAAAACGCAGAAAAAATTTTAATATTTTTTTTCCTATAGCACAATATAGCGTTATACTCCGTCCGTGTGACGACGAGTAAATAAACGAATATGATGTTATATAAAGTAAAATGAAAAAGAAAATGAAAAGGAGAAATTTTATGATGTTGGTGGGGAGAGAAAATAATATCAGCGCATGAATAGAAAATCAATGAGTTGAATGAATGGTGGAAGGTTCAAATAGTGTGTAATGAAATTGATTTGAAATAAAATAACTTGTACAATGATCTTTAACATGAATTCTAAAAGTTGATGATTACAGAAAAATTATTATGTATAATCTCTAATTTTCAACATAGGTTGACGAGATAACGGAAAACAAATAATATTTGAGAGAGACAAACGAACATAAGCGGTAGTTTTAATAAAAATTTGCTCTTCCTGTTTATTAGCGCCATCTTATGGTAGGATATTCAATCTTCATTCCGATATGCAGAAATTTAACAAAACTTGTCACTCGAATTTATTTATTGTGATAAATATCAAACATTAAACTCATTTTTCATATAACATAAAAAAATTAATTTATCCTCGAAATTGGTTTCAGAGAAAACATGTGGTTTTTAAAAAAAGTCAATTTTAAATATGAATTTTACAAAAATTTATGATAATTTAGTGTATTGAAAGCGACAGTGAAGAACATATTTAAAAAAAAATACTATAGAGTATCTACCATACAATTTCATATCAGGCTAAGTAGAATAACAAGTAATAAAACTTTTCAGACAAAGAAATCTTTTATGTTCTTAACGGTAAAGTTCAAAATTTCACACAACTCATTCTAGTACCAAAGCTTTAATGTGTCCTCACTAAAAGTTCTTTTCGACAATTTTTGTAAAATGGTATAACGAGATATATGGCGATAAAATGAAGAAACAAATTTGTATTGAATTATGTGACAAAGATAGATTTGTATCAAATTTAAAATAATTAACTTTCCTGTCATTTATACATTTTTAGTTTTAGGAAAATAAACTTTAGTAAGGACGGAATATTTTTACTAATTCATATCTATCTAGATTTCAGGCAAATCTTTCACTTATATGATTCTTTTAAAATAAATTGATCTAAAATACCAAGCAATATATAAACTTTTTCATTAACTTATTGCAAATTTCGGAGTTTTGACGAATATACTGATTTTGATAGCGAATTTATTTTGAAATCGATGTGATCTTAACAGGGGCCAAACAAAAGGAAGATAAAACCTATAAGACTTAAAACGCAACATCCCTTTGTGAATTTAAATGATTTGTGGGCTTTGTTTTGTTCATTTATGTATGAAAAATTAAGGTAATATTTTAGTTTGCTTACTATTGTTGTTGTTAATGCATACATGAAAAATTATTATTATCTATTCGTTGGGTTTTCGTTTTTTTTATCTTCACGAGTATTGAATATTCAAGCTTGTAAATTTGTAATAAAAGGGTTGTTGTCTTATTGTCTCGAATAGCTTCTGAAAATATTTCGCAATCTAATATGCTGCGCAAGTTGAAACTGTGATGTGTATTGAGATGAGAATTTTTTATTCCAATCCGTTTTTAATGGAATAGATAGTTAGATTCATTTGATATTGACAGGCGAATTCGAGATAGACGGCATTTATAATAAAATATGAAACGTTGCGAATCAGGCAAACTCAATTTTGAGAAAATTTGCATATACTATTGTTGATCCAAAGAATTTGCATATTTTTCTAAGGTATGAAGAGGGTTTTGATTCGAGAAGCTGTTCCGAAATCAATCAGCTGTTTACCTTTTTAGCATCATTCCATTAGAAATCATAAAACCTTTTCATTAGAAACTCAAGCGTAATTCAAAAAGTGTAGAACATATTTTGTCACATTTGCATATCTATGCGTGAAACAGAATTAACTAGATTCATTTTCATGAGGGTTACTAAGAGGAAAGTTAACCATTCAACATAACAATTTCAACAGATTTAAAATCAAAAAAGTTCTGAAGCTTATTTTTGAAGGAATTTAAGATGAAATAATTTCACAAACCTTTCACTTTCTTTTCAACATTCATTAGGAAACAAAATGCAAATTGTTTGAATTTAAACGTGAAGTAATTTTCACCTCTTCATTTGAAAGAATTATCTTTAAAAGATATAATCAGCTGACTACACAAGAAACAGCTGCTTGTTTATTAAACATTCTTAAAGATTTAAGAAAAATAAACCCTCCAATGCTATTATGCAAATGTTATGAAAAAATTCTATTTATAATTAAATGCCAAGGTCGTAGCTTCGTCTTTAAGAAATAAATGAAACAAATGGAAACAAGGCAATGATTTTAATCAGTGATTGGAAACCTTTCATCTGCGGTTCGTTATTTCGATTCGTGAATTTCAAAGAAATGTTTGATAAATTTGTGAGAATTTTATGAGTTATGATTAGATAGCCGACAAGCTTGTAAGAGTTTTGTGAACCAGTTGAATATTTAATTACTTTAAATTTCTCTTTTAAATCTTTCTCATTACTTATTTCATTCCTATATTGAGACCATAAATCAGAACTTTGCATTAGTTTCAAATTGACCTGAATTTATGATTAATTTTCATAACGTTTCACTTTTATTGAATAAAAATGTCGAGGAAAAGGTTTTGTATCACTGCAGATAAATGAATATATAAAAAAATCTCTCCCCAGTATATAATTACAGCTTTTATGTTATTTTTTCTTCTTGTAGTAGGTTACTGAGTGAAAAAAAAATAAATAAGAGGAAGATAAGGGAACATTACCCCCATAACTGTTTAGCAGTATCCTGTTGAAGTATAAATTTTATGGAGATTATTCTTCGTGCTTTGGTGAAATATAATCACCAACGAGAACAAGATTTTTTATGATAAACGTCGATTTAGGCTTACGAAGAATTCTAATGTTACAAGTGAACTCTCTGAAGACACATGAGAAGTGTTCACGTTTAGAAATAGAAGCAAGCAGCTTTATTAGTTAAATTTTAAATCATTTTTAAAACAACAAGCACAACAACTTCAACCCTTTGTGAATTTTATGCCTTTTTACCGCATATGAGATGAAAGGGTTTAAAGATGCTGAATCGAATGATCTGTTTTTACCTGTTAAACAACATCAAATATAATGCAATGTTAACTTATTTTTCAATTTCGATTTCAACAAGGAAGCCTCTTCATTTTAACCCTTTTACTTCTTTCTCTCTCAGTCAAGGATGCGTTTCATTGTTTAATTTAAGCTTATGGCATTTAATATCTGTAAATCAAAAACATTTCACATTGTCTCGATAATATTTTACGTTGTTTGAATATTCAAAACATAAATTGCGTTAAATTGTCCGTGAATTTTATGATTGTGAAAAATTGAAAGCTATTTCAGTTTGTGTGTTTTTCATCGACATCACGAATTATTTAGAATGGAAGCATGAATAGAATTTAGTTCGCATTTTTCACTTATCTAACGGTTGCGAAGCCCAACTTTTATTAAAAGTACGGGAAAAAAGGATCGAATTCTCTCTCTTAAAGATTTTTTCTCATCAGTTGGGTAACTCTTGCTTTCACAAATATTTAAATTAGTTTTTTCTTCTATCTTCAATGAAACAGCTGCCAATGTACTATTGGTAAAATGTTATAAATTATTTTTTACTCATAATTTAAATTCATTTTTTGTCCTTGATTGAATGACAAGAAATTTCTTTCACGCGTTTGTTCATCGTGCATAAAGAGTTGAGCCTTTCGCTTTTATTTCATTATTAAGAGACAGGATATGTAATGACATATGGAAAGTGAATGTTTTTTTTCTTAGTTTCAGATTGAAGACGAGTGTTGAACGAGGTAAGAAAGGGTAATCATAAAAAATCATTATAAAAAACTTAATAGATCGTTTCACTTCCTTTTCGTCATAAATGAATAATTTCAATTCCTGAGAATCTTTCTAACTATCTGAGTGATATTCAAATATGTTTTATATGAAGATCTGAAGTTTAATTTCATAGAAACATCTACGTGATTCGTCAACCCTTGTTCAATGTAGTCAAAAGATTTTAATTTATTCCACGTATAGTTAAAATCTGTTCAACCCTTTAGTTTCTGATGGTTTTGTGTCGAAAGAAAGAGAAGAGCAGAACTCAACCTCATTATAATAATCAGTTAAAATTTTAAAAATATTTTCAGAATGCAAGGCAGTTTCATTTTAGTTCTTGATCTGTTAACAACATCATTTAACAAGTAAAAAGTAAAAATAATTGAGGAAGCAAACTCACCACGTGTTTTGTTTTCCGGTTCGCACTCCAGTTCGTTATCACTTAAACCACTCACCGAACACCATTGGCAGACAAAAACAAATTAATCAGAGTAAAGAAAGAAAGAAATGTGTAATGAAAAGAAAGAAGACGGGAGAAAACGAAAAAAGTCTTTCAAAAGTGAACGCGAAAACCCAAACAGAAAGTTCTTCAATGAAAAGTTAAAAACACAATGAATAAGTTTGTGTGGCGGTAAAAGAAGTTTACCGATAAAGTGAAACTTTTCTCTTTGGTATATAAATTAAAAAGAATTAAAAGTTTCCTCACTGGTTTAAGAATGAAAGTCGAATGAACGTCGCGTCTACAATTTGCGTCTTTTGAAAAAAAAAAGAATTTCTTTCCTTTCCTCCGTGTTGTATGTTGTTCAAATTTAACATACATAAGAATTCTGATCGTTATGTTTATGTAGAAAGGCAGCATATATTAGAAACATGGAAAAAGTATACAAAAGACACACTTTTAGAATATACAAGAAAAATTCCACCCGCGCAACCCTCTTCAGAATTTTATGTAAAAATTACGTTTACATAAATACTTTTTTCTTTCTCACTGCCTCTTCTTTGCTTTTCTTTTTTTCATGTTGAAAACTTATACACTAACATCCAGCGAAGGAAGAAGAAAAAAGAGATATTCAAGTATAAATGTATATGTTGCTAGAAAATATCAAATGGAAATACTTTAATATGCAAAATCCAACGAGGCAAGGGAAGAAATATGTGAGCTGTATAAGTTTGATTTCTGTCTGCAACGAATTTTCCTCGTGACAGTGAAGACGACTTTTGACGGGGACATGATTTAGGAGTTGTATAGAAGAAAAAAAAGTAAAAAAGAAAAACGTCAGCGAAATGATTTTTCCTCGCTTTATCTAAAAGGAAATTTGACGATGAAAATTTTCATTTTTCATATATTTTTTAGCACAAGAGGCAAGAAGAGAATATAGCATTAAGGAAAAGGGGATATAATATGAGATAGATTGATTTTTCATACTCTTAAAAAGAGTAGAAGCAGAACAAGAAAAAAAACCTAATTTTTTTTCTGATATATTGAATTGGCAGATATGAAATCTTTTTAAGTACATTTTTGATGGCATGCGGGGGCGCGTTGAAGGAAGGATGGAGATAGCACAAAAGGCAACGAAAATGTCGGTAAAACACTTAACGTTATTGATCAATTCAAAGCGTTGCGTTCGTTGCTATGTCTACACAAAACAAATTCAACCAAATCATTCTCATTCGAAAATAATAAAAATATCTAAATATGAAAAAAAAACTAAAACTATAATGTTTTATGGAAAATCGATTTCGATAACATGAAAAGCCATTTTGTTTCCCTAAAAAAAAGTCCGTAGATTGCTAAAGAAATCCCCCGCTTGTTCATGTTTTCAGTATAGCAGAAATACTCTTGTCATATGCTGAAAGAGTTCACATATACGTATATCTACTTATATATTTCACCCCTTTCAAATTTATTCACCCACAAATAAAATTCTTTCGGAAAGGATGTGGAATAATTGAAAACTCCAAATATGAAACTCTCGATAACGACAAAATGGAACAAGATAAAAAGAAAAGTTTTATCGTCTTTATTATCTTCAAAACTGACTCGTAGTTTCATCCTGATAAGAAAAAGAAATTGAAAAATATTATTAAAGTTTCCCATGAGTTACTCACAAACAGCTGAAAATGACTTTCCATGAAATTTCCATGAAATCGATGAAGTCCTTCAAAGTTTCTATTTTTAATTGTTGCACAACTCTCTAAATAGCTGCTGCATGCTTCTAAATGAAAATGAAAATAACCTTGATCTTGATTCCACTGATTTTACTTTTTTTCTCTCGCTCCTTGCTCATTGCTTAATGTATACATTAATATACATTTGCATTCATTATACACATAAAACAGGAGAAGAAAAAACATCTTCAGCTGAGAAGAATTTTAGCAAAAAAGATTCCAAAGTTATTATAACGTGAAGAAGGTGAATGTATAAGTAAAGAAATGTGTACATGTTCTCTCATTATATAAATTGCCAGCTCTTAAAATAAATGAAAATAAAGTACAAAATCCATTTAATGAATTGGTGTGTAATTGTGTAAGGTTCAGAGCACGTTTACTTATGAGTTTAGGTGTTGATAAAAGGTTCATTGACTTTCTCGTCAGATTCATTCGCTATACGTCATATTTTATAATATGGAAAATAAAGAAAGAAATGTTTCAACAAAACTTGTCTTCCTTTTAAGAACATATCAAGCGAAATTCAAATATTTTATTCGTTCTTCTCGAGAATTTATGAATAAAACTTGTAAATGTTTTATCCTCGAATTGAACTCGAGATTCAAGCCAAGCATAAATAAGAAGAGAAAATTTCTTTCCTTTTTTTCAATTTTGCAGTTGATCAATTTTTGTCTTTATAAAAGGCTTAACTCGGGAATTTCAGATAATTTTGTGTTACACGCGTTCACTGAAAATAAAATGAATACGACAAATACTACAAACACATTGGTGAAATAGAGAAAAGGAAAATTGTATAGAAAATTACAGAATATTTCTTTTAACCCTCTACATCACATCGTAACGTTGGGATATGTATGTAAACAACGAATCTATGTGAACAGAATCGAGAATGATATTGTTGTGTATATAGAAAAGGACGCAAGCACACACACTTTCAAACATTCACATAACTGCACACAACTACACTTCAACGCATGCTCCTCAAAATGGCTGATGGAAAAATCGTTAGCTGCTTCGAAAGAAACTCTTGTGAATGTAGGAGTGATTGCTTTCCCACACACATCTAGACTATATAAAATTAATTTTTAAAAAAATAATAAATGAAAATGAAAAAATGAAAATTATCTTTTAACAGCAGTGTTTTTTTGGAATGTACATTATGTAATAAAATCTTAGCTGTTAATTGAGAAAATGAAATAAAGAGCGACCTATCTCAACAGTATTTATTGAGTATCTTGAGATAGACGTTCATAGAGCGATTCTGCGGGAATTTTAAGTATTTGAGAACGTGCCTTTAAGAATCGTGTCAAGTAATTAAATGCTTGTTGATAAACTTTACTAATTGGGTGATTTTATTTAAATTGATATTTACTCGCTGATTTATCTTGTTGAAAAAAGAAAAGAAACATTTGAACGATAATAATTTTTCAATCGACTCCAATATCATGAGATATTTGTTGTATATACATATATGTGTAAATAGATGATTGATATCGCATTGAAGGAGGTTTTTAAGCAACGTCACAAGTTAAAATGTGTAGTTGAAGCAAGAGAAGAAAAAACTTTGTGATCCTAGATTTCTTTTTGCAATTTAGTGTAGATAGGTAATTGAGTGATATTGCTTTGAAAACATCCCTTGTATATCGACGGTACAGAATATAAATTACATGTGTGCAATGTATCATCCAATAACACTGAGCATGAAAAACATAAAAAATATATCAATAAGCAAAAGATTAAGTCTATGTACGTTACCTTCGACAGGATACCAAACAGCGCTTAAAAAAGCACAAATTTAATGTATGGAAATCGAAAATTGTGAACAAGAAAGGAAGTTTAGAAATATCAAATGATAAATAATTTAATGCTTGAGAAAATGTTACATTCTTTATTTAGAAACGAGATTTTAATAAAAAAAGAAAAAAGGAAAATAAAAAGCTGATAAGATTCCATTAAAAATTATATATTACGTGTTATAAATTCTAAACTGAGCGAACACCTGTATCAAAGAAATAAAAAGATGATTTGAAAAGAACTACAATTGACTTTCATTTCTTCACCCTTTGGAAAAATTTGTTCAATTTTTTTTCTTTTGACGTTCTTATTACAACCCTTCACCCTGTCACCCTTCTTAAATAACTTAAGAAGAAACTGTTTCTCACGAAACGTTACAAAAGAAATATTTTGCATATGATTTATTATGCAAATAATTTTTTCAATGCGATTTAATTAAATAATCGAAATCAATAATTTATGCGTTTTTGGAACTGTTGTTAAACCCTTTCAAATTTTATTTAAAAGAAACAAGATCTTTGAGATTTTATTTTACAAACATCAATCATTTTACTTTTCTCACAGCTTGAATGTTTCTTTTAACATTCAAACGAATTTTTCTTATTTTTTCTTAAAACAGAAACAATTCAATTTGTTGGAGAAGTCAAATTTTCTAAATTTTCTTCGTCCCTCAAGACATCTTTAGGCATTTTCAAAGTACTTCATTCAAAAATACAAAATGTTGCATAGATACGCTGCGATGTTATTTTCAAAATAGAAATTGTTTGTATTCTTTTTTCAGAAATATTTGGAAATAAATGGCAACAATACAAGGTAAACTGTGACATTAAAATTTCATTGATTCTGAAACATTAATGAATAAATTCACATCGTCAGGTATTTTAAAACTTTGGTGTATTAAAAATATATTAAAAATATTTTCTGTTCGTTTTCATTTTGCTTACATTCACATATCTTCGTAATTTTTCATTTTTTCAGATTCATTCGATGTAAAAAGGTATAATCGTGACATACATTTTAACGGTCACAATTTAAATTTAAGCTTTTTAGCAGAGACACGGTTTTGAAATTCAGCGACATCTTCATTGATTTTCTCTGAGAAAAATTCTAACGAACATGAAATTTGAAGAGAAGCGTGATAGATGTTTGGTGTGAAGAAATTGATGAATAATCGAATTGATTTCAAACGATATCATAGTTTTGTGTGTAGGTATTCATTTTTCTTTCATAAGAAAATGTGAAAATAAATCCAAATCATTGCAATGTTATATTAAGCCGAGCATTATGTGTAATGAAGCTAAGCACATATTAAGGAAATGAATTTAGTGGATGACAACGTTTTTGTATGTTTTTTCAGCAGAATGCTTCCAAATAATACCAATAAAATAGTTTTGTTACATTTATTCCCTAAATAACATTTTGTTTTGCCAACAGTTTTCAAGTTGTTATGATTTTCTTTAGTTGAGTAAATAAGAAGATTTATTTGATTATATGTTATTGATAACATGAATTATGACGAGAGAAACAAAGGACATCTTATTGAAACTAAAAGATGAAATAAATTTAGAAAATAATCTTTCTCACCGTTCACAAAATTCTGTTACAATTTTCGGATGATGTTTGATTGACTTGATATTTACACAACTCTAAAGATGCTGAGCAGCTTGATAGAATTATAAGAACTAAACAGATTCGTTGGTAATTTTTTTTTTACACTGACGTTTTTTTAACCATGAGAACAGAAAAACGGATGTTAATTTGCATAATATATAAATTCTTTCTGTTTGTAAAGGGTCATGTTAGTTTCAATGACTCAACGTTTTCTATGACATAAAGAATCTATTTTATATAAAAAATGAATAACATTTTGAAAAAGATTTTTTGTCTGGAACATATCCACGTTTATTAAATTTCAAATGGGCCCTTACAAAATTTTTTGTACGTCTGCATACAACGCGATGATAATTTATAAAATAAAAAAAAAGCCAGAAAAAATTGCTTCAGCAAAAAATAAAAAAGATTTTAGATATTCATTTTTTGCTCTGTACCATAAATTTTCCCCTTCGTTTCTTTCACTTTAATTGAAATCGATATTTTCAAGATGACGATTCTCTCAGTCTTTAGACAGAAATTTAAATAGAAAAAAAACATTAAAATGATATGTTCAATTTTAATGTTTAATTCATTCAAAATCTTAACAAAAATGTAGTTCATCGTAAATATTTTGCCTATGTAGCGTGTGCAAAAAATAAAACCACAACAAATTAATCACCTGAAGTATAGGGACGATTCTTCTTTCATCATCAAAAGGCTTGAAAGGGTGAACGATCATTAAGTAATATGAATTTGCACAACTTGGTAATAAAAACATCAATAGTCAATAATCATATGAAAGTTAAACTGAATTAACATAACAAAAGCTTAACGTTTTATAAATAAAAACAACATTATGTTGAATGCATTTGTTCAAAGAACATATTTCAGTGTGGGTTTAATAAACTTTTATAGCAAATAGTTCTATAGATGAAACAACTTGTCACAAGCTGTAGATAGATAAAGAAGATAAAAAAAATTGCATTTATTCGCCATTGCTTTTTCTTCCATCCATCGATAGAATTTTCGCCATAACATGTAAGTTTCCATGTTAGCAAATACACTCGGTGGTGAATGTTATACACATAATTTGATGTACGAGGGTGAATTTGCTAAACTAACATTCATGTATGCATAAGATGAATATGACGGCACTAAATATTAAAATAATTACGTGACTTTTCTTTGGCTATTGATAAGTTTACCTAAATTTGTAAATAGAAGTTGGTAAGCAACAAAAATCTGAACATCCTTTTTCATTATTAAATTATCGTCATAAGAAGCTTAATCGATTCTTAATCTTTAATCTTTGAATGATTTATTCAATTAAAAGGAATTATTAGAAAACTTTTTCTTGCTAAAGAATTGCTTTCTCGACATGAGATGATCTGGTTATGAAATTTAAACAGTTAATGATGAAATTAAATAAAAATGTTTGAATAAAACCAATTAAATAATTTGTTATCCTTATTTGAGCTATTCTTGAATGTGAATTTTTATAAATAAGCATGCAACCATTGATGTAGCTTATCATTCGAGGTAATTAAGAATCAGATAACATTTCCATTTTAATATCAAAATGAAAGTCAATGTTCTGCTCAATGTCCACTTGTTGTCAATATTTTAAGTTATTATTTTCACTTTTTTATAATTTCTTTTCATGATATTTTCAAGATAAAATTAATGAGATTATCCAAAACTTTTGAAAGAAAAATCTGCCCACAGTACCTTTCAATTTATTAATCAAAAAATCAATTCAACGACAAGAATGAACCACCGTCTTTTTAAAAACATTTTCAAACACACATAAATTCATTTCAATTAAATGTTATTTACCTGAAAGAGATGTTACAATTACAAACTTTTATTCAACATTCATAAAATTCACTGCCAAACATTTCTCATCTTAATCTCTGGTTTTATGCCAAATGTTTTATTACACATCATAACGTCTTCTTAATGTTGTAGCATGTAATTAAAAAGGGTTCAAACATTATTCAAAATAAAAATTTCTTGTACCAGATTTCATTTTAGTTACCGTTTGACTTTCAAGACAAGACGACAAAGGCGTGAAAGCGCAAAAATTAAGATCATTAAAGAGATTCAAGTTTATGTGACTGTTAAATTGTTTTATTGAACTAAGATAAGATTTCAACTTACAAAATGTATTAATGACAAATATATTAAGCTCAATAATTTGTTTTGCGTTTGTTTTGGAATGTTAAAAAATTTATTGATCCATGTAAAGCATACAATTTTATCGATTTCATTCCAAATGAGATTTAAATAATGTTTCTATAAATATGATAAAGCTTATGAAGTTTAAGTAATAATAATAATAATGGACAAATTTAATCTTAGGAAATTCTTGTTATATCTTCGAGCCGACATTAATTTAAAACATTTTTTTCCTTCTTTTTATAAACCTAAAATTATCCTAGGTCAAGAAATTAATTGCAAAAGTCTCAGCTTATGTAAATGAAGAAAAAAAAAACAACAAACTTGAGAATCTTTTAATTCGAAGAAAAGAGAAGAAAATTAAAAGAAAATTGAGAGAAAATGTCTGAGACAGACATTTGGGGTGATAAAATGAACCTTTCTTAAATGTAGGTGAAAATGAATTGAGAAATAATTTAATTGCTTTTGTTATTTGGGAAATGGTTAATGGGAGATGATTTTCCCATTCATTAAAAAGAAAAGTGACAAACAATAAAATAATTTAACAACTTTTTTTGCAGCAGAAAGTCAGTCAAAATATGATAAATTCTGCTAGTTTAAAACTTTTATGCATTTCAGATGAGATATCAAGTAGTTTAATCAAAATAAATTTATATTAAGAAAATGGAAGAAAAGCTTTTGAAAATTTAAGAAGCGTGCGGATAAAAAAACTCACTACCGGCGAAACGAGAAAAAAAAGCAGAAAAAATTGAACCACACCCCACCATATATTAGAGAATTTAAACATACACAACCAAACATTCTTTTGTAATATCCTTCACTGTGAAAAAAAGATATGAAAAAATATCAGGAAAATAAAAAAAAAAATGTGAGGATAAAAGAGGTTGAGTTGAGGGTAGTTAAGTATATCAGAATGATGCAGGCAAAATCATTCACTTCTTTTTAATAATGTTTTATGTTATACCGCTACATATATTGCTTACTCTTAAGAGAATCCTCATAAGTATCAAGAACAGGTCTTTCAAAACCACACCCTTAGATTGTTATAGTAAGGAACAAATAATAATAATGCAAAAAAGAGAGAGAAAAAATTTTGCAAAAGGACTTGTACGTCACTTTTTATTCGTCAGATTTTGTTAGCTCGCATAACGAGAAATCTTTGACATGAAATTGCAAATGCAAAGCCTCTCAATGTGCTTTCATTATAAAATTCCTGTGAAACATGTTCAAGCATCATTTTGTTGATTTTTCTGTTGAATATAAACACAGACTGTAATGAAACTTATGAAATAAATGAAAAGAAAACAACATTTTGATATGTGAATCAATTATTCTATTTTTTCTGCAATTTATTTTCAGATTTAACTACAAATGTTGAATTTTCCTCTTCCTTTTTCTATTTTCATCCCCTCATTAAAATGTTTTTATTAAAAAAAGGAAACTTAACACACAAAAAAAGAAAGAAAGAGTCTTTTTCTTCATCTTCATCTCCAGCAGATTTTCATTTTAAAAGAAATATATTTATTTTGATTACGCATGTAAATTACATTTCGGGCCGAGAATATCTTCTTTTTTTCTCGGGTAGCTTCTATGTACAAACTTTCGTCGATTTCTTTCCTTTTTTTTCTTCTTTTTCTTCATCATATATGAATTTTTCCTCCGCATGCCTTAAACCGTATTTTGAAAGAATTTTCATCTCGTTTCCCCACTCGATCCCCCTTTTTTTTTCTTCCGTCTCAACTAAAGCGTGATATAAATACAGCGTATATAAAATATGACTTAAAACGAAAAGAAGGTAAGTAAATACAGCATATATACGAGGAGAGAAAAGAAAATAAAGAATGAAATCTATGTACACGAAACATTCTCCGTCGACTCTTATAACTTATAATAAATGGTAAAAGATTCTACCCCAAGCAATGTAGAATTTGCGAAAGAAATGAGTTTTCAACATATCTATAAGAGTTTTCTTTATTCCAACTTTTTTTCCTTCCTTTTTTTGAATAACAACGTATCGTGTATATGGTGGAAAAAAGCAAGTCTTTGTTTAGTCGAGTGCAAATTTTTTCCTCTCAAGTAGAAATCCGGGGAAATATATGAAAAAGCTGTTTATGGGGGAGACGCAAAATGGCAGAACACACATCAAAAAAACAATATTTCAGTAGAGTGAAATACAAAGGAAGGAAATGAACCAAACAAAGTAATTACAATCATATAATATGCTACGATGATGCTACATCTCCAGTACTTGTGCTCAACTGAGAAGCCAGAAAGCGAATCCATGATGGGAATCAAAAGGAGACGAGAAGAAAAATCAATAAAACTCATTTTAAAAAAGAAAAATCCTTGCGCTGTAGACGCGCGATAAAAAAAGGCGAAGAACGAGTCGAGTCCATTTGCCGCTTCAACGTTAATTTTTGTTTGCTGTAAATATTATTTTAAAGACTAATTTAAATGTTTTAACATTGACCTTATTTTATACTCTTCTATGTACAGTAATCACGGACTTTGCATAATTTCTTCTTTTATGTATTCGTTGCCTTTTTAAAACAAGCAAACTCTCATTTTCAATTTTCCCAACCGCTCTTATGTACTTCAAACTTTTCCTTTAATAACAGAAATTTCCCTTTTTAATTAATTCCGTATTCTCCCAGAACACTCCATCGAATTACTTACTTCTTGTTGTTATGCTTCGATGTGGCAATGGCAAGGTTTTTCCATTCATTCTCTCTCCTTGGTGTCCAATATAAATGTGGGATGATGAGTTTGTGTAAACACCAGAAAATATTTACATTATGTATACAAATTTGCACTTATTTAATTGTAAAGTCAAGTTAAGACAAGAAGCGTCTGCCGCTGTCTTTTACTCATTAAATTTCAGGCACATAACTTTTATGTAGACTCTCTCACTCTCTTGTATACTTTTTCTACCATAATTTCATTTTGGTAGCTTCCTTTGAGGGGATTTCTTATGTTTCTTGTGTCTTTTCTCTTTCTTTCTTCGTAACGTTAAACTTTTATCACTTGATAATTATATAATTATAATTACGACGATTTCAGTCGCAGACAAGACCTTTCGCAACAATTCCAACATCGGAATTGTTTTAGACTTTGTTTAAACGGTTTATTGTGGAGGAAATCAATGAAATTAACTCTATGGTAGCATAATCGATGAGCATCAGGGCGCGTAGAAAATCAATTGTCGTCAAACACCGTGAAAAAAGTAATTTAACAATTTTATCTATTTATACTTCGAATTTATTAAATTTTATGAGATTTTTCACAGCACATATTATGCAAATTTCGCAAGTGCGACTATGCAAAAAAAAGATATTCAAATTTAAATTTTCTGTATAAACATATTTAAACAAACACTCTAACTCACCTTAGTACAATGGAATTTCCAATAATGTTTTTGATTTATTCAAAATTCAAATGATTATTAGTGATATTCGATAGAAAATCATTGAGGCGTTGAGAATTGTTTTTTTCTGTATTATTATTATAACTCAAAGAGAAGGGTGACGGAAGAAGGTCCTTTGCATTTCATCTTTCTCCTTTATAAATGTCACCTGCACAAACGCTTTTTTGTTCCGTTCTCATGGTTCATCTTCGACTCTTACCTTTCATTTCCCGTAAGATGTTTTGTTGAAATGTTGCTAAAGGGTTGCGCATTTTTTTCTTAATTTGCATATTAATATTTTTTCTTACATCTTCTATACGTATGCAAATTATTTGACAAACTTTTTTTATTTACGTCTTTTAATAATGCATTTTTCGTTTAATTCTTACGATATGAAAGACCCCAAAGTGTGTGAACAACGCGGAAGTCATTTGCATTGGAAAATTATTTTGATTCTTATTCTTTTCATTTATGCTGTAAGCATCTTTCTCACCCATGAGAATAATTTTTTTTATATTAAAAGCATTCTTAGTTCTGAAGACACCTTGATGAATGTTATAAGTTACTCAGAACTGAACAATTACCTTCTTTGAATACGAATGAGATGGAAAAGTTGGGAATTTTAGTTTCTGTCATGAAATTATGTTACATTTAGATAAAAAAAAGAGAAGCGAAAGCAAAAGTGCCATCAAAATATAAGACGCGATTAATTTGAAAGTGAAAGTAAATAGAAATTATCATTTGCACATAGAATCTTGAATGTTATTTGCAAAAAAATGTCAATTTCCTGTTTTAACTATCAAGCTAAATTATTATTTAAAAAACTGACTATCAAGCTAACTTATTATTTAAAAACCTGACGTTTTAACAAATTTCCTCAAACTAAAAACATGAATTAGCTTAATGAAGATTGAAGTTTTAAATCCTTTCTATTAAATTTGATGATATTTATGAAAAATTTTCCATGATTGTCGACCATGATGTAATTCAATGAAAGGATGATATTAAGAGTGATAAACAGATAAAAAGCAATTTTAAGTTTTGATTTATTTCAAGTTTCTGTATTGTTCAACAACTTAACAAAGTTAATGTCATTTCATACGTCAATTAACAATTAAAGAAAGATTCTTTTGAATTGAACAGTTTGTTACATTGATAATATTCATAAAAAAATATTAATTAGAGTTTTCCAACATTAATTGAAAGTTATTCGAAATGTTGGATTGATAATGGTTAAAGTTATATCGAAAAGGGAGAATCTCTTCTCATATTTTTAATAGATATGATTTAAAAGTTTTCTAATAAAATGATTCAAGTTCCAATCAAATAGAAAATTTAGCAAATTTCCATTAATTTTATTGTTTAAGAGGCTGTGAAAAGCGAAATTTCGTAGAGAATTTTTCTCGCTCGATTTTACTGAAAATAATCGTAAAAGGAAGCATTTCAGAAAAGAGCTCTGAGAAAGATTAATATTCGAAAGTTATTAGATATGAAAAAAAAAATATGCAAATGTAAGATATTCGCTTGTAGATATTGGTAACCAAAATGAGGGAAAATATTAAGGGGAAATATTGAGGGGCAATTTTCTCCTCTCGAGATATGTAAATGGGTTAGTGAATCTCCTTAACGACGGAAGCGCCATTCAATCATTAATATTTAATGACATCTATTGGCGAGAATATGAAGTTTTATTAATGTTCTATACCGTTCTTCATATAACTAAATTGGTGTAACAGAAAGTGTTATTTCTTCGGGCAATCATTGAAAATTAAAGATTCTACATATCCGCTATCAAGATAGGTAAACTAATATTAAAAAATTTAATAAAAGATGTAACATTCACTATATTACATGTGGAGATTTCAAAATATAGTTATAAAATGCATGCAAAGTGAAAACATTATTCAAATCATGTATATATTTTATAATTTTTTTTCTTCTTGATATCAGTAATAAACATGTTTAATTTCATTTAATTTTACTTAAAAATTTATTTGAGTTCTTAACTTTTCTATTGATGTTTTTATTAGATCAAAATGAAAATCAAATCATTAGAGAATAAACTCATGTAATGATTTTACACTCATATTTTTTTTTTTAATTAATATCGTGACAAATGGTTTTTCCCAAAGAAATCGTAGCAGATATTTAATAATGCAAGCAAAATAATTTTTCTTCTGGAAATTTTATCCACTTGAACTTCAAGTGAACTCAACATAAAAGAGAAACATGTTGTAACCCGGAAGTTCAACTCAAACATACTTATATGTTATCCAATATTTTGCGAACAAAACTCCCTAAAAAAATAATCACCTTTCAACAACGCGTTACAATGAGGAGACGGAAATTGACATCACGAAAAAAATTTCTCAAGGGAAAATGCAAAAATGGAAAATGATGATCTACCATTTTGTGAAAAACTCAAAAGAATGGAAAGCAAGAATGAAGTGCAGGATATTTGAGGGTGGTGGTTTTAAGAGGGTGGGATTTATTTTTCCTCTTTCCGTTTAAAAATTTTCAATTTATTTCTTAGGCATTTGTCAAATGCACGCAAAGTAATTGTAGATGGAGATTGTTTTATAGCAATAATCATGATTTCAAGAAATTAATTACCACAAATTTAAATAACTTTTATTTACAAACCTCCTATCACTTAATTTATTTTTTTTCCATTTCGATTTCATCAGAACAATGTTGACACAACATAAAAATTATTTATGGAATTAAAGCAGTTTTGAAAACGTAAAAAAACTATGAAACTTTTATTTCATCATTAATTCTACACTTCATGAAAAAGAACAATTTTTTTTGGATGTCAAAGTAACATTTATGTTCAAATAATTGATAAAATCTCTTCAGAACGACATGCAACATAAAAGCGAGATATTTTTTAAACGATATCTTAAAAGAAGAAAGTAATAAAAAATATCCTTAAAAACTTCTTTTGTACAAAACGTTTTGGATTAAAAATATTCGAGTTATGGGTGAACTTCAGTCAACAGAACTTGAAATACGTTATTTTAGTACCTTGAAATATGAATGCGTATGATACATCATAAAAAATCTGTCAAATTTCAAGAAACAAAAGTTTCATTTTTTTGCTAGATTTAGATTTGAATTACGATATTGAATGTAAATGCTTGACTCTGTAACATTGTTATGTTCGCGTGAGTTACAGTTAAATGTTTTTGTGCCGACTTTTCATGTTGACAAGAAACTTTTTAGAAATTGAAATATGAAAAAATATTAAATGCATTAGTGATTTCACTACAAAAAAAAAACAATTGTAACAAAATTTAAAGTGAGAAAAAAATTAAGGCAGCAAAAAATGACGGGGTCGCTTTGTTATTACTTGTTTCTAGAGCAACGAGATTAAAGGGTGAAGAAATGTCTCTGAAAACTTGTTTTCTAAACTCGTTTTCATTTTCCTTCTACAAAAAATTCTTAAAAACGTTAAAACGCGTCATTTGTGATTTCATAAAAATTTTCTTAATCTTGAATGAACTGAAAAACTTCATTTTCCTTCATAATTCTGATAGTTATTAAATGTATAGACTTCCGATTGTTCTTACAAATCTTCATCAATCATACTCAATTGGCATTATGAATTTTGTCAAAACCACGTGCTTGAATTATTTACCATAACAATGTTTTCATAGTTTGCTCTTTTTAATGCTTCTTCATCATTTCATTTAAACCATTTTTGACACTTTACACAAAATAAACCCATTCAACAAATTGATGTTTTTTCTATTGCAGGTAAAGCCATTCAGGCTATTATCAAATATTGGGATTAATCGTTCAATAGATTCTTTTCATTCTCAAATATTTGTGTGTACAGTAGCATCCTTTGTATCATTCACAGAGAATATTTGCTTTCCTATGATGATATTTCAGAGCATTGACTGTTCAGTTTCTCCCTCCTAGCAATATTCATCATACCCTAAATTAAATAGAATCAGGGTAAATAGTTTCAGGGTGGCTTTTTTAATAGTCTTTTGATTTGCTTACTTCTGGTACAGACAGGTATTTTTTATATAAAGTTTATAAAGTCACACCATATATTTTTTTAATTTAAATTCTTATGGCTCTCAAGTAAATTGAAAAATTATCTCATTTGTTGATTGAGTAATGATATTTTAACAGTTATTTAATTTAATAATTATTAATGACAATTTTTTAAGATTTATGAAAGACGAAATATTGAATTAAATTTAGATTACTTTTGATTTCTTGTCACTGTGTTTATTAATTAGATTATCCACAAAATGTAACTGTAGTTGAACAGAATTGATATATCAAAATTACAATTATTGGAAAGATCAGATTATAACAAGATTGCAAACGAATAACATGGAACCAATTAAGGTGCTTTATGTGCTATGGTATTAATTTTTAGTAGTTTGTAAATATTAAATGCAGATACTACCTACTTGTCGAAACGACTTTGAAAAGAAACTTTTCATTTATTTTACTGCAGGAAAAATGACAATAAAATGATGTGAAATATCTTAATATCTCGTGTTAAATTTCAAAAAGTTTAGATATTAAGATCTCATTTCACATCATTTTATTGTCATTTTTCTTAGAATATTTTTAATTGAATTGAATGAAAATGTGTTTTTGATAATCATTTTTCATTCCAGTCACTCGTAAAGGATATCATTATGAGGCCAAGGAAGAGTTGTAGTCTAAGAAAGAGTCTTCCATCTGGTCTATGTTTGAGAAATCATAAATATCAGATTCTTTATGCGATATATCCAACATCATAAATATTTCTGCATAAACAATGAAAATTTGAAGAATGGAAAATCTTTCTTCATTAAAAATCTCTTCGACTGTTTCCTTTTTTTTAATTTACTCTTCATTAAGATGAAGAAAATCTCACTCCTAAAATCGATAAGCCTTCACTCTATGTCTCAATCAAAGTCTGCTTCCGTTCTTATAAAACTTCATAAAAGTGAAGTAAATTTTTTGCAATGATTCGTCGTTGCTATGGCGATTTCTTTCCCATTTTTATTTCAATATTTTTTTCTGTGAGGTCTGGCATTTTATGCTTTTAAAAAGAAATGCGAATAAGCAAAGAATAAGAGAAATATGAGGGAAATTTGCCGCTCGTTATTTTTGATATAGCGTTTCTCGATATATATGTACATATAAATGTTTTATTTTTCTATAACGAGGGTGCTGACAAAAATGTCTCCCTCATTTATTTATTCTTTTTATTTCTGCTTTTTTCCATAAAAAATAAATTTTTATGTTTGGCTCCTGCCTTCAAAATTTCCAATCGAGTTGCTTCTACAATGGAGGGTGAATTCAGCAAGTCGGGGGTTGGGTTTTGTTTGATTTCAATTTGAAGCGATATTTCTTGAAATTTATGAATTACATGTTTCTGTAATGAGGTTGAAATCAATGGACGTCGTGTTGAAAAGATGAATCAATTTAAAATTAACATAGATATTAGATACGGGCGCGTTTTTCAAAATGGTTCATTAAATGTGTAAGAAAAATGATGAGAAATATTAATTGAACTTATTATCACAAATTTCATTACAGCATATTTAATTTGAATATTTTCCCTTTGGGGAAATCCACATTGTATCAAATTTTAATTTAAAAAGAAAACGAACGATCTAACATGGCGTAATTAACAGTGGGTGCAGAATTTTTTTCGCTTTTCATCTTGAAATCTCTTGAAATGAAAACCAATATCAAACGAAAGTTATTTTAGCAATTTGAGAATGTTTAAATAGGTTTGTTGACATATTTTATCTTTGCTTGATTTTAATTTCTCTGTCAATATTTGTTCTGAAAATAAGAATCAATCAATAGTTGGATATTTATAGTCCGAATATAAATGACAATCATTCTCATGTTTTTTTTAAACTTCAAGTAAATTGAAAGGAAAAGACAAGCAGAACTATTTATTATGTGCAAAAAATGTTAATTTTCCTCTTTATTGTAGTGCACAAATTCGTGTCAAAATTCTTATTATAAATGATTCAACATTAAACCTCTTTAAATAAGTTACAAATTAAGTTTCTCAACAACATTTCTGTCAACTAATGTCAAACATTATTTCCACACTTCCATTATAACTTCATAAAAAGATCAAAGTTAAAATCCTTTTCTTGATCTTTTATTATTCCCAGGAAAATCGTTTCTTTCAGACTCTTAAAAAAAATACTTCTTTAAATCACGACTAACTAAAGACTACCGCTGTAATAAGTAAAATTGAATAATGTGGATGAATACCTGAAGTTCTTTGAATAGCCTTTTACCTTATAAAAAAAAGGAACTTTAATAAAAAAAATATGAAATGAAAACAAAAAAGCAAACCAGTTTTCTGGTCAAATTGGATAAGGGGCTAAAATAATAGAAAAAGGGTTCCAGCTTATTTCAATTGCAATATGTGAGTTGAGGGCCTTAAAACTGAGATTTAACGATTTTCTCTACATTGGCATCAAATATATGAAAGGTTGTGAATATCAGATGGCATCTGGGCATTTCAACATGTGATAATAGTCCGAAGCAAAGATTTTTTTCTCGTGCTAATACCATTCACCACAATGTATTCATGTATGAATGAGTTTAATAACGAGGTCTTCTCTTTGTCGAAGCGTCCTTGCTAGTTTCCCCTTTCTGACCTGTGTGGACCTGCAGATGTTTCATATTAAAAGTGAAATTCAGAGGATAGCTCAACGAATTACATAATGATATGTTCTGCAAAATCATATTATTGTTATGTCTATGTAGGCCATATGGTTATTACCTTTGTTGTAAGAAGTACTTGGAAAGCAATTTGTCTGGTTTTTATTAATTAACGATCTAGTTTAAATTACATCTGTTAATACAAAATCATGCGGAAGTTGTAGTTGAATGTCAATGACTTTTATTAAAACTTTGTTTTGGGTCTTAGTTGAACTACTTTCAACAATATTATCAGAGTGACTTTGTTTGTTTGTGACATTTTAAAGTAATTTTTATTCATTTGAAAATGTAAAGCAGGAGGAAGGAAATTCTGTGAAATTAAGTAATTTCTTGGAAGTAATTAGAGCAATTTAAAAGAATTTGTTTCAATAACAGTTCAGAGTATTTAACTGCTTACGTAGAAATGTTGATGAATAATTCTTTTATTGACTTATTCCTAATTGATAGGTGTTTTACTTATGTTGATAATCAACATACTTCCAGATGCATAAATGGCAAACATTGAAAATTAATAATGAATACAAGATTTGCAGGTGGTCAACTGCCGTAGACAGACAACTGGCACGTCGTCTCTGGAAATTGAATTCTTACTAAAACTTACAAAATCATAGCAAAAGTTCCATTTTTTATTCTTTTGGTTTATTTGCTGTTGTTATTGATAATGTGAGTTATTAATACTTTCATAAACTCAACTTCTTATGCTCTAAATATGTTTGGATGTTATAACATAAATCAGTTGATAATGTTTTAGTGTTAATTAAAATTTTAATTCAAATTATAATCACGTATTAAAACATAAAGTTAATAATTATGAAGTCAACTGTTATTATTCTGACACTGTTAATATTGTAAAGGAAGATTTTAATAAGCACGCAATTTGAAAATGCAAAGTTAAACTGAATCGATTGACCACAAAATTTTTATTGAGGCTATTTGTGATGAAAACTTTAATGGTAATTTTCAAAATAAAAAAGTTTTCCTGCTTTTTTGGAGAATTTAAAGAAACGAGTGATCTAAGTTGCCTTACATTACATTTTTCTTTTCTGAATTATAAATTTCAAAGTTCATAATATAAAGAAATTGTTTTAAATTTTTTTGTGAAGCAAAGATGAATCGAGAGCTGCCTAGAGAACAAACCGAATATCTTAGAATTATTACAAATCGAATTCGTTCACTCATTGCTGAATTATTTAAACTATTTTCTTCTGAAGGAAGAATCGATTTGGCGGTAGTTACTCATGAATTTCAAAGAATGGACATGAAAGTTCTTGATCTGATAACTGGAATCAACCATATGAATCCATACCAGCCATTTGTGTTCTTTCGCCAAGCTCCACTTCCCAGACAATCTGATCTTGCAGCTATTGCAGAATCTACAGAAGATGAAGATTCTATGCCCATTGGATTTGAGGGGTCATATGAAGAGGTTTCAGATGAAACTCCGGATGACTCTTTTGGTCGTTTAATTATTCCACATTAATAAATATCTTTATACAATAAAATACAATTGGGTTGTTTTATTATTACCTTAAGGTACTTAAATGAATGTTTTCTTACATTGCATAACAGTAATTAAACCGACTATAGAGCTTCAAAAATATTTTATATTTCTATATGTTCAATAATATTTAATATATTATATGTTCATTGAGGTACTTTTCAATAAAATGAATAAAATAAAGATAGGAATTCAGAAAAAGGTGACATCACAATGAATAAAGCAGAAAATAATGTAGATAAATAAAATCTAACGGAATAATAAATTTCAAAAAAGGAATCAAATGGTTCAAACATCTGAAAATTGTTGCTTAAATTTCTCGGAAAAAGATTGTTTGATTCAATTTAGTCCGTATGTCCATTGATTTTCACTCTGAAAGCGCTTTTTTTACATCAATATTTTCATCATCAGTCTTGACTCGATCTTTGCACAATAAAAATCATGAAGATTTTTAAATTATTTTATTTGATACTTTTAACAGTAATTTCATTCTCACAAGCAGCCCTACCGGATCAGAGTGCATTTGATTTGTTGTTGACTCAGGTAGATTACATGAATTTGAACAATTTCAAATGAATTTTTAAAGAAACAAGTGGACATGAAGTTTTCAACATATTTTCATAATACATTTCAGGAAAACAATCAAATACTTTTGCCAATAACCGTGCTATATAAAACAAAACTGCAGCTGACAAGTAAGTCTACAATGTTTATGTAATTAGATATGAATAAATTATCGATCGTCAAAATTTTTGGCCGGTTTGTTATCATGGATAATAAAAGTTTTGGATAAGAAAAACAAGCTCATATCTAAATAAACTAATAAAAAATATCATTAATACTCAACAGTTCTTTGTGAATCTTTTGAAAACTTCACCGAAATACTTTTGAGATACAAACTTACTGAAAGAATTTGTAAGGTAAATAATCAAATATTCAAGTGTTTATCCGGTTACGTTTACAAATTCCAACTACTCCATTAGGAAAATTCATCAATCGCTGATCCTGAAATAAAGATTGAAGAATCCCACAAATGCGGTCACAATGGTAAGAATTATGAACTTCAAATCATTGCATTATTATTGATTATGCATCATCATGATCAGGTCCTATCACAATGAATAAGATTGAATTCGTATCAAAAAACAGCAAGAGTAATCACACTGATGTAGATGACAAGGTATGAGACACACAAATTGTTGGAAAGGTATTTAATTTTTCTTTTCAGGATAATAACGACAAGTCTTTGTTGGTAATCCCTAAAGATGGCATTTACATACTTCAATTGGAAATCAATGGCAAACATGATTTTAATGCTTCAGTGTCAATGAAGTTTAAAGGTCCACATGGCTTCTTGACAGCTAAAGATGTTCCTATGCTTCATGTAAGTTCAATTAAACTTCTTTATCTCGATTCTAACATTTTCTTTATGCAGTTCTACGCTTTTATGTGCTTGTATTATATTTTATTGGCTTTCATATGGCTGATATTCTCAGCTTTACATTGGAAAGATCTTCTGCGTATACAATTTTGGGTTGGTGCTGTCATTTTTCTTGGAATGTTGGAAAAAGCTTGTTTCTATTTTGAATATCAGCAAGCCAATACAAATGGCTTTGCTACATTATCATTAGCACTGACAGCTGAACTGGTAAGTTAGGAAACTTTTGTTTTTATGAACGAATCGTTCAGAACGATTTAACTGATTTAAATTCATCAGGTGTCGTGTGTGAAGAGAACTCTTTCACGAATTTTAGTGCTGATTGTGAGCATGGGATTTGGAATAACAAAATCGAGGCTTGGCGATGAGACAAACGTCCGAATTTCTGTGATAAGCATTCTTTACTTCGTTATGGCATCATCAGAGTCTTATCTACGTCTCGTGCAAACAAGAGATAGAAGCGAAAATAAGCAACTTATCCTTTCTGCTGTGCCATTAGCACTAATAGATTCAATGATTTGTTGGTGGATTTTCACAAGTCTTATTCAAACAATCAGAGCTTTGAAATTAAGAAGAAACATCGTTAAGTTGAGATTCTATAATCATTTTAAAGCTGTTCTCATATTTGGAGTGGGAATGTCAGTCATGTTCATGCTTTACAGTATAAGAATTCATAAAATTACTGAGTGTGCTTGGAAGAATCTGTGGGTTGATCAGGTAAGATTGAATTTAAAGAACAAATAATTAAAACTTAGATAACTTGATTTCATTGTTAAAGGCATTCTGGCATGTACTTTTCTCGATTCTTCTAACATCGATTGCTTTTCTATGGAGACCAACAGCAAATAATCAAAAATATGCTTTTATACCACTACTTGAAGCTGAAGAGGAAGATGAGCAGTATATGCCAACCAATTACGACATAAAAGAACGAAAGACATCGTCAAGTCGAGCTAATAAAAATTCTTCAACTTCTCATCATGAAGAGAATTTAGATGATGACACAATTAAATGGGTATGTCATTAAAAACACTTTATTTCTTTTTAAGTGACCATAAATATGTTTATTCTAGGTTGAAGAAAATATTGCATCAACATCGATGCTTCTCGGCGACAGCGACGAAGAATTAATGAACACGAAATTTGAAATATCTAAAATGAATTAATTTTCGGTCGATTTAAATAGAGGCCAGTGATTTAAGATAATATGGAAATTAAATATTAATAATAAAACTGAATCTTAATAATAAATTATTCATGTTCTTCTCCTAATGGTTTTTTCAAGGGTTTTTTTGTCATCGAAAGTTGATAGGAATTGTGAAGTTCCATAAATATTTAACGGAAAATTTAAAATCCGGAAAAAATTTTTTGTGTCTTCACTAAATTTGTTTGTTGTGTCTCCAATATAATATTGAGTTGAAATTGAAATAAATATATTAATTTAACAGGAAATCTCTGTCCTCTCATAACGAACTTTAGCCAGCAGCGAATGCTTAAAATCAGGATAAATGGCTGACCGTGAAGATATATTGGCAAACTTTCAGGTGAATAAAAAAAAATAAGAAAAATAAAAAGAGAAGAATGACAAAGCAACAATACGAAATTGTTAAATCTTTGTTCCTAGGAAATAAGCGGAATAAGTGATATTGAGGTCGCAATTTGCCACCTTGAATCGACAGGATGGAACTTACAGGCAGCAGTGAACTCAGCTCTCGAGGAAACTTCTCATTTTGGAGACATCAACATGCTCGATAATCCTTCAGATGTTTCTATAATAGAATCGACAAAAACTTTACACAACGAAGCAGGTACTTTAATCACATTAGTATTCAAGGCTGGCAACAGAAGTAACGATTTAATTTTGCAGGCCCTTCTTGTTCTTCATCCAAAAATAACACTGATGAATTAATTTTCAACGTGCATTTCAATAACAGAAGTCATCAGATCCATATATCAAGTCTCAAAACGATTAGTAAGTGAAATTCATTAATTGATTTGAAAATGACACAAATTCTTATATCTCTAATCTTCATTTTAGAGGATCTCAAAGAAGCTATATTTGCAAAGACTTCAGTGCCACTTTGTCGACAGTTAATTGAGGGACTGCAAACATCTAAAGAAGCTCAAATTATTGACACAACAGTGCTGAGAACATTAAACGTTTCAAGAGAGAATAATATTTTCCTTACTGACATTTCAAATGAAGGCTTTTCGGATGACGTTGTAATTGTAAGTGACGATCCTTTACCGATGTACCAGCTACGTATAAGTTATGTGAATCCGTTCAATACGAGCGAGAACAAAGAGCTCAACTTAAATTTTCCTGCATCAAAAACGATATTGGATATCAAGAATGATATTCATGCAGTACTAAAGGTTCCCGTCCGTCATCAAAATTGGGTGGGATGGCCTGAAAGTTCATCAAATTCTACAAAACTCAGCGAAACTGGTTTCAATGCCGTTCACTTATTACAGTTAACTCGCATTGATACCGAAAATAACTTTGATCGCGACGTGTAAGCTTTAAATTTGATGATAAACTTTCTTTCTTCTTATCTATGATCTTTCTTTTTAATACATTTGCAGTCCTCTTGAAATTGATTCCGATAGTTCAGTGGAAGAGTTTGAAGATGCTCTAAATGCTGACGAAGATATTTTTGCTGAACCAGTGCCACAAAATCGCCTTAAATATCTGAGTAAGTTTTATTTATAATTTTCCTATCATTTATTAATTTAATTAACAATTTTTGTTGTTTTATTGAACAGTTGATGATCATACAGAAGGTAAATTAACTTGATTGATTAATCAGCAAAAAGAAATTTGAATTCTCTTCTTTAATTGCAGATGAGATTCTTGGCTGTTTGCAGTTTATCACAAATTATCGCGATCGATATGGTCACGGTCCAAACTTCTTTGAAGGAACTCTTGATGATGCTGTCAAAGCAGCTTGTTCCACTAAATCCGCCAAAGACGTAAAAACTTTTTATACATTTTCTTTTAAATTACAGTTAAAAATTTCTTTTTTCTTCAGCGAAAACTTCTTGCAATTTATTTACATCACGATCGAAGCGTTCTTTCAAATGTTTTTTGTGGACAACTTCTTAACAATGAAAATATAATTAAACAATTAAATGATAATTATATTATCTATGGTTGGGATTTAACTTGTGAGAGTAACAAGAATATGTAAGTGAATTAAAATATTCATTAAATTGTTGCTAATGTTGAATATTTGTAAGGTTTTTGTCGTCATTAACTGCTTGTGTTGCTGACTCAGCTTCACTTCAAATACGTGGAACGCCAATTAATCAATTACCTATTATCATGATCATTCGTAAATATCGAGCAACATGTGAAGTCGCTGATATAATTCATGGAAATATCAACAGCGATGAACTTTTTATTCATTTAATGATGAATTCTGATGCTTTTAATGAACAAATGAAGATCGAGATTCGAGAAGAATATGAGCGGATGCAACGAGAAGTTTTACTCAAAGAACAACAACAGGCATATCAGGAAAGTTTAGAGGCTGACCGAGCGAAAGAAGAAGCAAAATTACAAAAAGAGAAAATGATGGCAACAGAAAGACGTCGACAAGAATCCGAGCGTGCAGAAATTGAAGCTCGAAAGGAAGCGGAAAAAAAACATGTAAGTTTGATTAAATTAATCGTAACTTTATTAATTATTTTAATATTTAGGCTGAAAGCTTATTACCGCCTGAACCAGATAGCAATTGCACCGATCCAATCACCAAAATTCGATTCCGAAAACCAACCGGAGATTATCTCGAACGCAGATTTATTGTCGATAATAAGCTTAAGGTAGGAGGGAAAACTTTTCATTGCTTTATTTTAAAAATATTTATAAATAATTTTGTTTAGGTGTTGCTCAACTTTGCCACAGCAAATGGCTTTTCTCCTGAAGAATTCAAAATAATCTCGAGTTTCCCACGACGTGATGTGAGTTTCCAACTCATTGTAAACTTCCAAAATTATTCAAAAACTTTTTTTTTCTTTTACAGCTCACACTTTTAGATCCTGAAGAAACCTTGAAATCATTGAAACTTTATCCACAAGAGACGGTCATCCTTGAAGAGCGATAATTTCTTGTCTTTTATTTCGATTTGCACTTTTTCTTACTGTTTAGGAACAAGGAATGAAGAAAACGAGTGAAATGTTCAGAAAAAATGCATACATAAATATAAATTTTCGAATAAAAGAATTTCTTAACAATTAAAAAGGTTTTGATTTTTGATGAGACTTAAAAATATTAAAAATGTTTGAATTCTTATCATTACATGACATTCATAATTTATCATTTTAATCTTCAAATGTCATTGCTTCGTTCGTAATTGTAATTAAATTAGACTTACAAGTTTTTCATGCTTACAAATCTCGGATTGTGACATCATCATCGCTTCTGAAATTCATCAAAAAGATAAATGAAGAATTAAAACAGAACTTTAACAATTAAAGCATTGCCTTTTATTGAGAAATGAAAAAATATTAAATGTTGAGAAATACAAAGCTAAAAATTAATGAAGTTAAAAATTTCAATTCTCAGATTGAGAAAAAGTTGAGCATCAAATTTTGGATATGAAATCTTTTTATGTAGTTATGTAGTTAGTTGCTTAGTAGTTAAATGTTATTAATTTTATTATTTAAAGGAAGTTTGTAGAATATTTATGATGATTAAGAGAGCTTCATTTGATTTTCCTTTTTGGATAGACAGAATTTGTTGTAACTTATGAATGAATAAATGAAACTTAAAAGTTATTAATTAAAGTCTAAGGTTTTTTTTTTGAAAGCATAAGGAATGTAAAGCGAAAGATTTTGGGATGTGCTATGCCAAATGCTTAATTGTATGTTTAAGATTAATTGTGATTGAGTGTCATTGGATATAAATTGGTAAATATGCGTAAGTTGCCTCCTTTTCGCTGTGCTCTAAACTAGGTCAGTAGATCTAGCATAATTTCTTATCTTATGAGATATAAAGCGAGTGGGAAATTTGTTTCGTGAGATTTGTTTGTCCTTAGGGATTAATGTTTCAGTTATTCAGTTAACACTAATTATGTTTAAAATGTGATTTGGTGGTAATTTTCATCTTAGTTCTAAATGCTTTTTGATAATATCTTTCGTGGTTCTACGCAATTTTCTTGCTTGTGAGTGACAGCGCACATCCCTTTAATATAAAACCGAAACCCTTCGAGTCTTTAAGATTCATACATATCAATTATAAAATTACATATTGTAAGTAAATTATTTTCTTTTTCACTTGTTGTCATTTTTTAAAAATCAAAATCACACGTAACACAAATTGGAAAAATAAATATTTTATCTTTAAGTCAATACTGTGATGTTGTGTTGCTTAATACGTACACAGATCATAAGTTAATTAATTTAAAATACCGCAGCAAAATGAGGTACCATTTGGTTCTTAATCCAAAAGTTGCAATTGGGATAATCAGATTGTGGAATTGCATCTTGTTCGATATTAAGAACGAAGCTTGTTGGAGAATAATTGATGACTTTTCCATGACTTACATAATAGTCGAAGAGTTTTCGAATTTCATCAGCAAAGCGATGCTTTTGCGGTGAACTCGAAGTGTATCTGCCTAAGATCGCTTGAATATCAGAATCGACATCAGCAATGTTTAATTCTCCTTGGGTTTGACTGACAATATAAAATGGGAGATTCTTTTGGGATCTCGCTAAGACAAGCAGAGGACAAACTACACGAATATCGGAGATCATTGAAATGACTCCTTGCACAGTCTCACCATAAAGTTGAAAAGCTTCATCAGTTAAGTTCAATTGTCCTATTTTACTAGCTTCAACGTATTGTCGTAGCTCTTCAACTGTTAAGTTCGCAATTAAATTTGATTTGTCATACATGACATGCGCTGTCGTTCCTAAAACGAGTTTTGACGCCAAATTCAAGTCGTTTTTCCACACATCTTGAGGATGCTTCTTCAAGATGATTCCATCTAAGACGAGGAATTCTCGTGGCTTAGCTTCATCAATTGCTGGAAGTGTCGATGACGCTGGTCGTTTCCATGATTCCGGCAATTTTTCCATTAACGTTTTTGCGTCAACTTTCTTCCAGCAACCTTTATCTTCACAGTCAGGGAAGTTTCTGTCAAAATCGACAGCATTTTCCCGTTCAGTTTCTACCAAAGGTCTTCCCGGATAATGTGACGAGGGACTTGAAACCCAAGCACGAGAGAACAATTTACTCGCTTTGCTTGACGACGTTAATGCTGTTACCAAACTGGAATTAAATGAAATGTTTAGAAATTGATTTTGAATGTTAAATGAAACACTTACGTAGCTCCTGTGCGATGTCCAAACAAGATGACAGAGTTCGGATCACCACCAAAGTTCTTGATATTAATTTGAATCCTACAGAATTAAAAAAGTTTTTGAAAAGGTTTTATAAGATTCATTAAATTATTAAATTACCATTCTAAAGCTGAAATGATGTCTGAAAGTGCATAATTTCCTGATGATGGAATGTTTGAATTATTTGACAATGCTTCTAATGCCAGGAAGCCGAAAACATTCATTCTGAAGTGTGGACGAACGTAAAGAACTTCACGATAGCGAGCGTATCTTGCAGATGGTCGTAAAATACCTGACAAGGAAAATATTTAATTAACTAAAGTTAGAGAGGAGAAAAACTTTGTCAACTTACCTGGAGAGCCTCCCATGAAGTCATTTGCACCAATTAAGACAATGACAGGCATGAGATTTATGTATCGAACTTGAGGTGTTATCACGTCTAATGTAAGGCAATCTTCTTCACCAACTATTTCTCCATCTGTCATTTGCATGCATTCAGGTTTCGGATTATGGGCTTCTAATGTTCCATTCCAGCAGAAATTTATGTCATCAATGACTTGCGAATGTTCGAATCTCAGATTGTCAATTGGAGGCTTAGCAAATGGAATTCCACGAAAAGCGACAGCAGAGTCTTCGACAAGTCCTTCAACAACTCCACAACTTGTTACTGTTAAAACTTTTCCATCACGAATCGGAGCTACTTGTGTGTGTTTTGTACTTCCCAAGAAAGTAAATGCAATAATGAGAAAGACAAGAATCAAAAACAAAATGATGCCGCCAATTAAAGCGATGTCATCTGAAAGAATTTCATAAGTTATCGGATTTAATTAAAGGTCAGGTTATGATTGAATTTATGGACTAACCAATTGAGCATTTATAGTTTCTTATACTGCTAATGACGGGAATTTTCTTCTCTTCACTTCCTTCAGCGACTTTATCGTCATTTTCTTTAGCTTTATCAGCATCGACAGCGTCTGGTCCATTCTCTTGATTCCAAGGATCTTTCGTTGAATCATCTAAAGTTTCCATTGAAGCTAAGCCAGCTTTTCCTGCTGGTCCATTACCAAGTTCGATGTCATCAGAACGTGGATTTCTTCGGAATTTATTTAATAGCCCTGAGAATTTGGGTAAATGAATTGACGGTTTGAATTTATTTTCTGGTTTCTTTTCATCGTTGATGTTCTCATTTTCTGCTGTTTAAATGAATAGAAAAATAAAATTTACATATAAACGATAATTTTTTTTGTTCGATTTAATTTAACAAACAATTCAATGTAAAACTAAACTCTACCTTTTTTATCATCACTACACGAAGCTTCATTTTCTTGTTTTTCATTTTCATTTTCCTTCTCTATCGATGTGTCATTATTCGCCTTTTTAGCAAAAGGATTCTGCAATTTTGGAAGGAATCTTTTCTTCGGGGGAGGATTGGATGTTGTGGTTTCACCATCAACTTCTGTTGCATTTTGATTGATTCCATTTCCATTTTGAGTTTCATTGGGTTCCGGAGTGGGCTTTCTTCTATCAAAAAATTGCATGAATCTGTCTTTTAAAGAGATATTCGGTGGTAAAGTTTTTTCATCTATGGCTTCTTTCTTCTCGTCTAACGCTGTTAACTCGTCAGGTTCTTGCAGCGCTTCGGTTGATTTTTTCTCGTCCTTTATGACTTTTGAGAGCATTTTGTCGGTTTCAGCAGCAATATCTTCATCAAGAGGTTCGTAACTTTCCGTTTTATTTGGATCTTCAATATTATCTCCGGCATGATTTAATGTGTAAGAAGTTTTATCTGTTTCCATGTTGCTTTTCCTTAATTTTTCCGAAAAATGTAAATAAAAACTTTTCTTTCTACGCTATTTTCATGAACTCAATTTAACTAGTTTTATGTGAATGTTGAAACAATGTGCGAACTCAACTTTCTATAATTTAATTATTTCCACTTATGTTTTTCATAAAAATAAAAAAAATATTTTAGATCTTGACCTAGCGTCTTTTTTTTCTCTAAAGTTGGGCGATATGTAAATAGCATAAAATTGGGTGTTATGATTTTAGATCATAAAAGTTCGTTACAAAATTTTATGTTGTTCGTACTAAAAACTTTTTTGTGTCTTATAAGAAAAAAATTCATATAAAATTATTTAAAATTTCCTTCACATCTAAACTTTATTCGAACTTATCTAGATACCTATATAAATCAATTTATATAAAAACAATTTTAATGACATGAAACATAATTATTTTTCTAAAATACTTTAATTATCAAGCAGAATTATTGTTAAAGTTATTTCTTTTCCATTTTTTTGGTAAACAGTAATAAAATTATTTGAGGAATGAAATGAGAAATAAAATTTCATTCTTATCTTACGCAATACTATGAAATATTCGGAATGTTCAAAGATAAAATCAGATGATTATTTATTGCTGCTTCATCCCTTAACTTATACACGTAGGATTTGGTTGATTAACAGTTGCTTGTGACACCTTTTCTTGCAATTAAAAGATTCAGAACTGAACTCTTTTTGATGTAACTTACAGCTTTTTTATGAGTACATAGAGTCATATCGTAACCATTACACTTGAAAGATATATTCGAATTAATAATTATTAAGAAATTTAATTATAAAATAAAGATACCTGTAATATTTTATCATGAACTCGCAATCCAGCCCGGGATGCAGGAGAATCTTGTGTAACGTCAGTCACATAAATGCCGTAATCAGTATATCCTAAAAACAATGACAATTCATTAATACTTTCAGAGATAAGAAAAAAATTTGTAAATAATTTACAGATACCTTGTGGAGATTTAGTGAAATCCTGATCGATACCACCTAAATGAGTCATAATTACAGGATAAAATCTATCGAAATCTAATCCTTTAATAGTCATTACCTCCAATTTTAAAGCCACATCTTGCAACTTCCTTTCCCTCTTGATCGACGGAAATTTCTTTTTGCAGAGTTATTGGAATCTTTAAATAGGCGTAGTTGAATAAATTTATTTACAAATTTTCAATGTTATTAACTAGTTTGATGAAAACCTAATTGACACTTACACTTAAACACTGAAAAGCTGGAAAGAAACTGTTTTTGTTTTGCACTGATTCCATTATGTTCAATTATAATAGTTTAATTAATGTTCTCGAATAGTTTTTTAGCTTTCAGAATAAATTCAATTATCACCTCGAATTACACTCTCTACCTGAAACTCGTCTCCCCAAAGTCTAGTTTCAGGTGGAGAGTGTAATTATCAGCTTCAGCTATCTGTTCGGACAAATTTTTTTTAACGGGCCCCACTTTACGTATGGAAAGGTGCCGCGGGCCCCGGTCTAAATAGGGCCCCGCGCGGAGTTAACTAAAGGGCTGACTTCCTATTTTGATCCGAAATTTAAAAAAAAATTTATTTAAAATTTANACGAGATGTCTAAACTTTGATAGCTACCTATGTAGCTGTTTAGAGTTACGTCTGATTACATAGGCCACATGTTATAGATATTTTTAATTGTTTTGATCATATGTTTCATTATATTACACTTATAACCTACCTAGGTAGTTGTGACTTTCAAAGTTATTCATTTAAAAATATTTCGATAATTGTGTAACTGAAATGCAATTCAAACTAAGCTTTCGAAATTCTTTTCTGATAATAAGGAAAATATCCTTGATGAATAAGAAGTTTTCCGAATGTTGTCAAAAGTTTTCCATAAAATTTTCAGTCAAATTTAAAATAAATTAATTTGTAATGTTTAAGATTAAAAAGAACTTTAAAAACTATTAAAATCATTGTAAAATAAATTTTCAAATCTTCATATTTAACGATATCTTGGAGACTTCAAGACACTTCAAGCTTTTCACATTTAAAGAAAAACTAAATATTCACTAAAAAAATGTCGAGTTCAATTGATTTTAAATCAGCGATGGAAGATTTCAAAGTAATGTTTCCAGATATGGTTAGTAGAACTTCAATAAGTTATTTAATGAAAATCATGATGCAGATGATGAGTTTACATTTTTAATTCCGCATTTTTTTTATTATTTCTAGGATTCAGATGTAATAGAAGAGATTTTGAGATGCAATCATGGATCTGTAGAGAGAACGATTGATCAACTTCTAGCAATAGCAAGTGATAATCAGGTAAAAAATGTGATAAACTTCAAGTTTTATGTGTTTTGTAATTATCAGTCTTCTGGTTTTCTCAATTCAGAATGAAAAGTTTATGCGGGAAGATCATGTACCAAATCAAGGAAATGCAGTGCAAAAAACTAATCCCAACAATGAAAAAGGAGACAAAGCTGTGAAATCGTCTAAGTGGAAACCAGTTTTGTTACCATTAGATCCAAACTTCTTAAGATTGAATATGGGTGGTGATGATTTCTGTGATGAGTTTGCAGTTATGCTGCAAAATGAAGAATTTTTAGCTGAACTAAGGTTTGTCTGTTATTGAATTTATTTTTACTTACGTTTCATTATTAAATCAAATCTTTTCTTTTGGTGATTAAGATTCAATCAGGAATTTTTATCGACACTTGAGAAAGAACAAGGGCGAACTGATGACAGATCTTTTGAAGAAAGATTAAAGCATATGGGAAAAGTTTCAAGGAAAAAATTCCATCAGCTTGCTCGAATATTTACATTCCAACGAAAGAAGTCTTCATCTCAAAAACCAAAAAGCAAATTACTTGAACAAGATGATGATGACGATGAACCGAAAGGAGGTTCAAAAAAATAAATCATTTTATATTTTTCTAATTCTCGAATATTTATGACTTTCTTCATGAATTTCTTTATGTCAAAAAATAATTTCCAATTTAACTTTTTTGTCATCCAAACGCATGAATTAATTTTTAATGGCGTACAGCAAAACCTTGAGAAGAAGCTGATAAAGAAAAAATATTTGGTTAAGTTTAAAATTGAGAGAGAAAAATATGTAACTCATTTCTCAGAATGCAATAAATATTTCCATGGTTGTTTTTATTTTAATTAAACTGTAATAATGAGTGACCACAGAAAAGTTGCAGATAAAATAAATTTGTGTTAAATAATGTGAAACCTTCTAATTATGACGATTATGAGAAGTCTTAGAAATCTTCCAGCAATAAAACTTTTTAAAACTCAGAAATCCATTATAATCAGTGTTAATCACGTTAGAGGGAAATCGAGAATGAGTTAAATACGCCCATCTCGACTTGAAAATGCGCCCACTTATTTGAACTAAAAGAACTTTTTACCGCCACATTGTAATGCACACAAAACCTTTTCCTCTACAGCTTTTTTTATAAATTGGCGGGATTTGCAGAGTTTGTATCTGACTTTCTTCTTGATTATCGGACCAAAGATGAAAAATCCATGGAGAAAAAATTGTCAAAATTAATGAACTTGAGTAGAAAAAAATAAGCTTTCGCATTCAAAATATTTTCTCATAAGAACTTGGAAGCATTCGTTTACTTACTTACTTTGGAAGCTGTTGATCATTAACATCGAGACCTTTAATCAAGAAACAACTTTTTAGCGATGTCTTGATAATTTAATTTTGAATAGCTTAGATCACGTGGTCAAACATTTTTGACGTAAAATAAAACAGTCGGGAAAAATTAGATTTCTTGATATTTCTGAAGGGGCTCGTTTTTTGTTTGTTTTAAATTATTATTTTATTCATTTTTTTTGGTTCAACCACTTTGAATTTTAATAAAATTATGGTGACATTTGTGTTGATTATTTGTGTTGCAATGATGGCATTTGCTGAAGACGAGCTCAATATTTCTTCAACTTCAAACATTGATAGTTTTTTGATTAACGAACTTTTGAGAAATAGTGTAAGTTTTAAAACTAAATAAGTTTGAAAAGTAATAATTTAATAAATTGAAGAATCAACAAAAGCATCAAGAAATGGGAAAACTTTCGGGAATAATTTCTAAAAACCGTGATAAAGAAAGAATGAAAGAATCACAAAAGAAACTGTTGTCGCTTGATATTGTCCGCACAAGTTCCTTCAACTTAAAGGAACATATAGAGAAAAGGAGCCAGGATAATAATAATCATTGTGAGTTGAAATCTGCTAGAAGATAATAAAACCATTTAGTAAATAATTCTCATCATAGATTTACGTCTTTGCCACTTTAAAATCTGTAACGTAGGAAAACGTCGGGTAAGGTATTTTCGATAGTAAGTTTAAAAGAACTTTAGAATGATGGCTACGAAATAATTTAGTTCATTTCAATTTCGCAGTTCAGATTTTATCTCTGTTCAGTAATGGTGTGAAATACAAATGAAGACTTCAACAATTAACAGACAAATGGAGACGTTTTGTGATAGCCTGAAATGGAAGAAAATTGTTTCTTTCTTTTTATATTATGTGGTATGAAGATAATTGTGTTATGTGTAAGAACAAAAAAATTTAATAAACTAACAAATTCTCAGATATTTTCAGATTTTATCTTTTTGATATTTAACATATCCGCTTTTTCTTATTTCATTTATAATCATTGAAATATTTTCATCAGAATCTTAAGATAATTCAGAGGATAGTTCGGTCAAAATAGTTTATTGGTTTCAATAATTTGTTTTGAGCGAACACTTATTCTTAAGTATTTTTCATAGGTTTGAGTTGTCTCAGCTTAAGTCTCTCTTCTTCTAATTGCTCAATCTCTTTCTCAAACTCTTTTCTTCGTGCGATTTTTTCTAGCTGATCTTTTTCGGGACTTGTAATCTCACCTGACACAATCTTGTCATTTAATGCATCGGATTCACGAAGTCGCCTTCTCAATCGTTTAAGTTTTTTTGATATTTCAATCGTTGGATCGTTTAAAGCTTCAGAGGATAAACTGATGGATTGAATCTTTTCAGTAACATCTTTAACATCAATTTTTTCCGGTACATTCTTTTTATCCTTTATTTCTGCAGGTTTCTCCTTGGGCTTTTCAATGGTTATTTGTTTAGGCTTCTCAGGTTTAGTCTTGGCGGAAGTTGTTGCTACTGTTGGGTGCCATCCAGGTGGATATTGTGATGTCTGTGCTACTCTCTTACCTTTCGGAGTGTAAAGTGGAACTTCCTCTTGAGGCACGAAACCTTTTTTTACAAAACAAAATTGTTCAATTTTAATGAAGATCTTGAGGATTGACAGCAAAAATTATTAATTCTTACCAGGTTTAACTCTTCGAGCCTACGATGATAATTGATTGTAAGGAAAATAAGTTTACATAAAAATTATTAAAACACTAGATAATTGAAAGACTTAAGAAAAGAAAATAAAATTGATAACATTTTTACTTACTTTTCTCCAACTTCCATCCTGAAAAATGACACAATTTTATATTTAGAATAGTAACTAATATTGTATATTTTATCCACCTTTCGCATAGTTGCTGGTATCTCATATTGATTAGCAGATCCATTTAATTGAGCTGACTTAATTGAATTGATAGAGTCCATTTCTAAAAGAATAAAAAATATTTGTTTTTATCTTGTAAATATTGTTTTTATCATCACATCAAATATTAATTACTTTTGAAATGATTTAACTGTGTAATATGTTTCGTTGCTGTTTGAGACAAAGGTTTTAATATATTTCAATTTTGAAATGATACAGAATGTTTTGAAAACATAAAAAATAAAAATATTTGATAATGTTTTTATGCTGATTGAAGTTCGAAATATTCGAGGAAGCAGTTGACAGCTGTTGACAGGCTTTTAAATTTTTAAAAGTCGTTAAATTTTTAAAAATTTGTTTATCAGCGATCATTGTAGATGAAATTATTTGTAAACATCATTAAAGATTCATCATTGGGCTCATATGATTATGGTTTTATTTTTTTTATCTGAGTCATACATAGGATATATATATATAGGTATACCTAGGTATATATATAAAAATGAATTTGAAGGAAAATTATTGAGATTTGGCTAAATTTCTTTTTATTATTTATAACTTTGTTCACTTTTTGGCAGCATTTGTGTGCTGTTATCTTGTTAACATATATTTTAATTATACTTGGCTTTGACCTTTTTGTATAATATTTTTGGAATCACCTTATCTTTAAGCGAAGAACTCATAAAGATTCTAAATGCCGTCATAGAAATTAAAACTTTTTCAATTTTGCTTCCTTGCCATCATTTAATTGTAAAGAAAATGAATAAAGATCGACCAATAAAGAATTTAAAGATTATGTGGTAATTGCAAATGCAAGAAAAAATTTCCCTAAATCTTTTATTTTTTAAAATCGGTTTTGGTGGTCTCATGACATTTTTCTAGGTAGTCATCTAGTTGGCTGAATTTTAGATTCATTTGTGTCAATTTTTAAAAAAAGCATTTTTTTACAAAACTTGAATTTTATATTTAATTGATAGATCGCAACTATGTCCCTTTTTGCGGCCGCAGCAGTAATCAAAGTCTCATTTCGTATAAAATTAAATATTTCTGATTTAAATTTGCTCATATAGATTACAATTGCTGGTTTTACATGGCATTACTGCAGTGTCAATTGTCTTCAAAAAAGTGTCGCTTCAACGATTGAACAATTTGAAGCCCAGAAGAATCAATGTTCTCAATGTCGAGCATTGAATGCTTCAACATCTTGTGACAAAACGAGAGATAACGACGGAAGTAAGAATTCTTCTGCTTTATCTTCTGATAACAACATGAGACAAGACTGCAAAAGTTCTGTGGAAAACAAAGTGAGCTGTAATCCTGGACCTATCACCAAAAATGCCTTTTTTAACTTCGTGCGTGCTCAACGTTTGGCACGTTGCGGACATCCTCAAACTGAAATTGTTCGTGAAGCTGCAAGACGATGGCGTTTAATGTCACCACAAGAAAGAAATTGCTACAAAATGGAAAATCTTTGAAATAATGTTTAGAATTGAAATTCTTTATATTTGATTATTTAATTTGACCTCAAATTTTTGGTATTTAATACAAACATTCATGCTAAAATATTAAAATTCTTTGAAAAAATATTTAGTAATTTCATTTTTCATCATCGTATTTGGCTTCGATTCATCGACTCTTATCTATCATAAAATTTATTTTAAAAAACTACCTGAAACCTTGGTTTGAAGATACTTATGTAGATATGTAAGAATCTTTATCTGAAATTGAAATTTTCATGTCAATTTGGAATCTGACCTTAAAAATCTAATGAGTTAAATAATTTTCATTTTTACTGTTACAACTTTATTTATTTATTTTAGGTGAAATTGAAAGAAACTCTTTGAAATCTTTTCTAAATTGAAATGCATCAGATTTTCGTTTTCTTTTGAATGGTTTGAGAAAATTACGCCTTCGCTATATAGAATCATAACTTTTATGTATGATTGAAATTCTACCTGCATATTTATCGAGGAATGGGAGGCATATTACTAGTTGGTCCCGTTCCAAGTAACACTTGTTTCTGTTGACTCTTTTGCATTTCCTCCATTTGAGCTCTTTCTGTTTCAAATAAGACCGGGGCGAAAAGGATCATACTACTTGTGAAGAAGATCCAAGAGGAAGCACAAGCGAATTTATATAAGCTTACAACGGTTCGAACAGACAAATCAACAGCAGACTCGGTTACATTACGAACAGGATCGGGAAACATTTCTGTTAATCCCCATAACCGTTCACCTAATGTTTCGTCGGGTTCCTTAAAATAACAAAATGTAAGAATCTTAAAAAGATGAATTAATGTTAAACTTACATCTTCGTATTCGTCTGTTGCCTCGATAATTTCCTGTATCAAATATAATTGAGAGGTTAATAAAATTTATGCAATACTTGACATTGTTGTTACTTACATTTTTTCTTTCAGGAGTTTCATCTTTTGAAGAAGTCACCGATTCCATCCCAGAATCTTTCTCAATTTCAAGAAACTCGATACTATTATCCATTCAATTGTCGGGTGAAGAATCTATAAGTTCAAATATGGATTTTTGTTATCATTTTCTGAATACATTACTTAAATCTAATGATTGAAAAATTTAAATACTTTTAATTATTCTTCTTGCCTAGAAATTATTAGCTTTAATTATGTTATCTGCATACAAATTCGTTTTTTGATCGTTCAATTTTGTGATTTTTTATTCATAAACTAAAGATGAAAATATTACCTATTCAGATGTGAAAACCAACAACGAAAAAAATAAACCTGAACCAATCAACCGTAAAATTGAAAGTTTTCTGATAGAAGAACAATTTCTTATTCAAGGAAATATGTTTTTATATCAACTTATTAAAACATTAAACTATCTGTGTAATCACTTGCATAATTCTTCTTCAATTGATACATTTATCGAAGGAAACAATTAATGGTTGAAAGAACACCGTCGAAAAATGGTTGGTTTACGCACTGGTACAAAGTTCGAAAATCGAGACTACAAAGAGAAATCCTGAAGTAAAATTTCGTCTCAGTCATCAATCATCATAGCTCCCGACGAGTTGACGTATAGCCATTGAAAATTTTCAGTAATTTTTTTGTGAAAACTCAATTCTAAAAACATAAAAAATGGTACTCGATGAAGAACATCCCGTTTATGGCCCATTTTTCGGTGTGATGGGAGCTGCAGCTGCAATCATTTTCAGCGGTAAGTTATCACCAAAAAAAAAAAAATGGATGAAAAATTTTACAGATTTTTCAACATTTTATTAAGTCACATGAAATCACATGTTCTAATTCTTCATCTAACTAATCTAATGTCTTTTTCTTTTCACATTAAGCGCTCGGAGCTGCATATGGAACCGCTAAATCAGGAACAGGAATTGCAGCGATGAGTGTCATGAGACCCGAACTGATTATGAAATCTATCATTCCTGTGGTCATGGCTGGTATTATTGCTATCTACGGATTAGTTGTTGCTGTCCTTATTGCTGGAGCTCTTGAAACACCCGACAAATACGAATTATACAAGTAAATATAATTTTTTAGTAAATTTTCACAAAATCATTTTGAGTCATGTGACCATACAAAAAAAAATCAATGATCGTAACCCATTACATTCTCATTTACTCGCATACACAGTGTTGTTTGAGTGAATACAGTGAATCATATTGTTTTGAAAGTAATGATTACTGCAAAAATGACTTAAGTTGAAGAAAATTATTGAAATTTGGAGGGAAATTTCGTGAGTTGAAGAAGATTAATCATTGAAAAAAAAATGGTATGCTGATCATGCGCACTAATATCTTCTTCTTGTTATAATTTCAATCTTTATTATGATATGATAAAGAAAAGTAAAAAAATTCAATTGAAGAATTCTAATCATGTGATAGACATGATGTGATTGAAACGGAAAGAGAAGAAAAAGAAGAAACTTAACAATTGGTAGTGAAAACTAAGTAAATGATTTTTCAAGGACTTGTCACATGACTCTTTTTTTAATCATGATCTGTTATCATTAACTTGAAGCGATAAACCACCGACAATTGTTCTTAGATTGAATTTATAATTAATGACTTCTTTTTGCAGGGGATTCATTCATCTCGGAGCTGGCCTTTCCGTTGGTTTCTCAGGATTAGCTGCTGGTTTTGCTATTGGTATTGTGGGTGATGCTGGTGTGAGAGGAACAGCTCAACAACCACGATTATTCGTCGGTATGATTTTGATCTTGATTTTCGCCGAAGTATTGGGTCTTTATGGCTTGATTGTGGCCATTTACTTATACACCAAACAATAAACAAAAATAAACAAGTGTTTTTGCGATAATCTTAACTTTAAATTCATCATTAAAAAACTTTTTTGTTTTGTTTAAAAATGTAAAATTATAATTTTCAATTCAAAATTCGTGGATTTTTTACAAGTCTCAAATTTCAAAGCATAGCCTGCGGTTGATCAGAAGAATCGCACAAATCCAATCCACATTTTAAGCTATGATTAAAAAATTGATGTTTGTAAATGAATGCGCTGATTAGGAATTTGTCTATAAAATCTATGATAGTAATTCTTTCTCGTTTAAGTTTTAAAAAGTTTACGGATTCTTAAACTATTCAAAATTGATGCTGTTTTGGGTAGTTTTTCATGAACCATCAAACTCAAACTTTATCCATAGAAAGAATTACTTGACAAAATTCAATTAGTTAATTATCAATCAAGTCTTATATATAAAACAAAAATATATCTATGAAATATTACATGCATAATTACATTAAAATTCATATTAAAAAATGGTATCATTGAAATATCAAATTGTTGTCGCATTGAAGAGGACTACCATTAATTTTATGTGTAAATTTGATAAGTTCTGAAAGCTAAGAGAAAAATTTCAATCAATATTAGAATAATGAAACAAGATGAAGAGTATCCTTAAGAGACATGCATATTTGTGATTTTTGTTTCCTCAAAAATATATATTCAATAGAAATAATCGAGAATCAAGGTAAACATCAGGATTTTGTTATGATTTTCATTCAGATTGTACCATCGAAAAGATTAAGTTTCAATTTATTCATGAAAGAAATTATCTTATGTATGCTAAAAACGTCGAGAAACCAAGAACATTAAACGTTTATTTGTACATTCCCGTAAGTTGGAAATCTTTGTCTTTTCATTCAAACATTTTACATGGAAATTTATGTTTCAGAAATTCTTTATGTATAAATAGGTGATTATGCCAAAACAAGAGTTTAGTGAATTATAAACAAATTTTCAGTTTTCAGATGAATAAATTTTTAACGGACATGAGTTCAAATTTGAAATTTAGCATTTTTTCATTTTGTTTTGTGTCTTTGCTAGTTAGCAAATATTGTTGCCAAAAATCAATGTCAGACAGACATCAGTGAGAGTGCCAGCACATTTTTAGCTTAAGTTGCTAAGGAATAAAATGAAGAGCAAGAGGTCTAAAAAAATTTATTAAAAATTAGAAAATTCTGAAAATAAAGTATTTTTGTCATAATTTTTAGATCTACTTCACCAATAAATAAAAGAAGTTTAAGAATACAAGCAACAAAACCAAATTATTCAGACGATAAAAGAAAGGTAAATCAATTTGATAATAATAATTGTAAAAATGGCTTTTACATAGATCGCGTTAATTTTTCAGAGTCCCCGAAATCTTTATAATAAGCCGAAAATAACCGAGAACAGTACAACTCAGAAACCGGTATCAAGGAAGAAAACAACTGCAAGTGGCTCAAACTCATCCACTCAAGAAAAGTCTGCGGAAGAGGCAACAGAACAAAAAGTCGGCGCTGGTGATAATTTGATAGAGAAAATTGCTCTTAATAAAAGCGAGACTCTAAAATTAATATTAGACGACATTAACTCCAAAATTTCAAGTTCGCAACAACCTTAAAAGGAAGGATTTGCAAATATTTTCCATAGTTTTATAAAAGGAATTTGGATTTTAGTGTTCTTAAGTTCCGAGACAGTGTAAATTTAAATTCATTTTTGTCTGAAAAAAAAACCTAAAAACAGTGTAAAACTAAAAATTTCTTATGAAAATATAAGTTACTTAAATGCTACGTTAATAACCAAACAATTAAGCGTCTCAAAACAATTAATTTGAAGCTTTCGAAGAGAAAGCCAAAATCTATTTTATTTTAAAGAATTTTTTGGCTACGAGGAAAAAATGTCTGTTTACTATAAGTTCAACAGTGAGTTGAATTTTAGCTATGTTGGCTTTGATGGCCTTCACATATCGGTATCAGACTTGAAAAAAGCGATTTTGCATCAAAAACGTTTAGGAAAAACAGCAGACTTCGACTTATTGGTGAGTATAAAGAAATAAGAAAATGTGAAAGTGAAACAAAAAACGAAACATATTTCATTTAATAATTCTAGATAAGCAATGCTCAAACAAAGGAAGAATATAAAGACGAGCAATGTCTGATTCCGAAGAATACAAGCCTCATTGTAGCTCGTATTCCAATCAGTAATCAACATAAAAAGTCATGGGAAGTTGCACAGAACACAACTGAACGACTCCCCCAAAATCCTTCAACGGAGAACATTAATCATGATATAACAAGAATGAATGGATCTGAAGAGGATAAAATTCAAGCAATGATGATGCAAAGCACACTTGATTACGATCCTACAAAGTGAGTACAAATTTATGCCTACTAACACATGTCGTAGAATATTTTAAATCGAACATATGCTTCTTATTTCCTATCGCTACTAAGATTCGGAAAATCCAGGTAGTAAATTTTAATCCTCTTCCTAATTAGCTTTTAATGATAAACAGATGTCAAAGTATAAACAACAATTATAAATAAATTAATTACTCTTTAATAGTTATCAACGTGTTCGCGGGACAAATCAAACTGGGGAAGTTCCACCAAATTACCGTTGCCATAAATGTCATAAACCAGGACATTGGATTAAAAATTGCCCCTTAAATCCTGTTGGAAGTAAGGATCATCATCATTTCAAAACGAGACCTGAAAGCAAGAAGATGACTGGAATACCTCGATCTTTAAGAGACAACATTGGAGCTGAACAAGAACCGCCACCACAAAATATGTTCATCGAAGAGAAAAGAGAAATACCGGAAGATTTAGTTTGTGCGATTTGCAAAGGAATATTCAAAGATGCCGTCATGATTCCATGCTGTGGGAGTTCATTTTGTGACGAATGTGTTCGAACAGCATTACTCGAGTCAGAGGATAACGAATGTCCTGATTGCAAGGAGAAAGGAACATCTCCTGGTTCACTCATTCCGAATCGTTTCTTAAGAAATGCTGTGGCTGCGTTCTACTCAGAGACGAGCAACATTTTATCTCGAGAGAGTCAGAAAAGTAATAATTTTCAATTTTTTATTTTATAATTTTAGAAAGTCTTTCTTCATTGATTAATCATAAAAAAAATTCGCCAGAGACTTTCTTTCGTTTCAATTTTATTGTTGCCAAAAGGAGAAAGTTTTTGTCTTTATTCTCGATCATTAAATTAAAATTAAATGAGATGCAATGTTATTAATAAGAAATTATTTTTTTATTTTTCTGTAGAAGAAACTGAAGAAGTGAAGGAGGAAATTAAAGCGACACATGAGCCGGAAAAAAATGCTGAAAATCAAGAGACAGAAGTGCAAGATGAAGACGAACCCATGAAAAACTTTGATGAAAAGTTGGAAACAATTGAAAAGAAAGACGAACAATTAACCGAAGTAGAATCTGGAAATGTAGGACGAAAGGAAACAACGGAAAAGGATTCAGAATCTGATGACGATGACAACATAACAGTGACAGTTCCACCAGCTCATCATACTAGTTGGGGAGCTTCATATCGCGATAATCGTCCTCGTAGAATTTCATCGCACGGCGCAAATGATTTTCATGACTCGTACATGTCGAATAAAAACTCGCAGGATGACAATGAATCGTATGAAGATGAAACTTCCGATTCATATTCACGTCAACATCAAAAGAGATCAAATCATTATGAACATTCATCGTCAAATACACCACAAGGCATCAGCACATTGGTCGGTGATGACAACAGCAACAACCAAAGTTTGTATCATTCATCGGGACCATCTCACATCACTGGTCAAAATATTCAACAACAAAATGATGGTCATTACCAATCGCAGGCTCATTCACAGCCTCCTTCAATGTATAACCAAAATCAACAACATGGAATGATGTCACAAATGCCGTCACATCAAATGTATCCTCAAGGACCTTCTTATGGTCATCAACCGTCGGGTCCTTATTATCCAGGAAATCAAGCAAGGTGAGCTTCATTCATTAATTTTAATCAACTTTTATTTAAATTTCTTTTCCTTAAACTCAGACCAATGCGATTTGATCATCAAGGAAATTATCAAGTCCCAATGCGACATCATCATCATCACATGCAGTCACAAATGATGCGACCAATGCATGATAATTACTCGATGAGACATCCAAGACCACAAATGAATAATTTGGCGAATGCTGTTACACATAACATTCAACAACGTTTTGGAACTGGGTAAGATTTCATATTTAATTATTGTTGATTAGTTAATTAATTATTTGTTTATTAGATTCATTGATGATCCATTGGAAGCTTTCAATCGTATAATGCGTGAGAAGGAAATGCGCAAAGACAGATACAGAAGATCGCCAATTCGATCTGGTGACAGACGATCACGATCGTTTGAACGTAAACGATCACCAGTTCACCAATATTCGCCGGAAAATCGAAGACAAAAGAATTACGTCAAGCCTCGAAAGCGTTCGAGATCATTTAAAAGTAATAGCAGTAAAAGTCGATCATTTAGTCCACGTGGAAGATCAAAGAGTCGTTCATATAGTCCAAGGTTTGTTGCATTATTGTGTTTTATTACTTAAATTTATTTAACTTTCTTCTCTCTTTCAGATATCGTCGTAAAGAAAATGCACCAAAAGATCGTAGAGATGAAAAGCATCGAAGTCCAGTTAGGTAAGTTAAGAAATTTTGTTCCTTCCTTTATTTGTTTTTAACTTAAATTACTTTAATTAACAGACGAACCAACAGAGGCTCTAGAAATAATTACAAGGGCGACAACATCTCATCAACAAATCGACAACATGCAACAATGCGAGATGTTCAGGAACATAACTTAGAAAATTTGTAAGTTCTTCATAAACTTTTCTTGACATTTCATTCTAATTTTCTTTTCTTTATCTTTAACAGAAATAATAAACATGAACCACAGAACTTTGATTATAACAAGGAAACAAATAATTTTGAAGGTTCACATAGCTTAGAAGAACAACCGCCGCCACCAGGTGATGAAAGTGAACTTTGCAACTTACAACAATTACAAGAAATGACTGAGAATGTAAATGTAGATAATAGAAATATCACAGAAAATGTTGAAAGTGTTATGAAAGATTCATCGGAGACAAATGGTTCAAGTAAGGTAGAAAATATCACAAAGAAAATTGCTGACGATAATAAAGCCGAACACTCTGATCATCGTCATCATCATCATAAAAAGAATCGTAGTCGAAATTACGATTCTTCTGATGAGAAGAAGTCGAGAGACAAAAAGAAAAGAAAGAAGTCGAAAGAACATGAAAAGAAGAAAAGTAAGAAAGATCGAAAGGATAAAGAAAAGAAATCAACAACGGCAAGTAGTAAAAATGATTCCATTGAAAAGACTCCAGAAATCCCTGCAGAACCAATGGAAGTTGCTAAAGAAATTGAAGATAATATTGCAGAGAAGTTAAATGAAGTTGAAAGCTCAACACCGGCACTTGATTGTTCGAATGAAAATGAACTTCCACCAGAAGCTGCAGCAACAATAAACAGTAGAACTTTAATAGACAATCAAAGACTTAACCGATCAGATTCAGTGTTAGATATCAATCCAAATATTGATTTGGAGATTGATGAATGGATTGCGCCAGAAGTGTCGAAATGGGAGCGTGAAGAAAACAAATCAACGACGACAGTTGAGCATAATGAAGTTGATGTAGGAGTTGGTGAAGTTAAAAAGAATTATGAAGAGAAAGTAACTTCAGAAATATTAAAGCGAGCTGAAAATGCGATCTTTGCAAGAGCAATAAGCGCAATTCGACCGAATGAAAATAAAAAGTCAAGTGATGGAAGTGGAAAGAAAGAAACGTCACCGACAACAATTTCCATAGTTAAACGAACTGAAAACGCAACAGACTCAAAGTTACAAACCTTCCAAGTGACTGTACCATTAAATGAAAGTGGTTCGCGTTCAGTTGAATTGAAAAGTTCAAACAGTGGACGAGAAACAAATCGAGGAAAGAAATCACCTCTTCGTACGTCGATTAAGAATCGTTTGGGTGTCAAAGTTTCCGATAGTAAAAGTTCCGAAAGTGGCGATAGTCGACGTCGACCAACTGTACCATTAAGTTCCTGCATTAGAGTTTCTAGTGAAAAGCAAGCAACTTCAAATCGAAGTAGAGTTAGTGACAGAAAACGTTCAGCAACTCCAGTTGGTGACCGAAGATTAACATCAACAACAGCAACGTCAAGACGCCTTAGGACGAGTCGATCAAAAAGTAATTCCCGTCATCATGTGAAACGTTCGGACCAAAGATCAGCAAACAGAGGAAATAGTAAATCGTCATTTGATAGATATCGTGGAAGATCCAGAGATAGAATATCAAGAAGCAAAGATCAGAATAGAACGAAAGAAGTTGATCATCAATCGTCATCATTAAACGAAAGAGAAAAGTCGCAAGTAAAAATTTCACGAAAAGATTCGTTAACGAGTGAAGTGAAAAAGAGAACGAGAGACTCAAGTTCATCATCGACATCATCATCATCAGAGAGCAGCAAAGGAAGCGTAAAACATTCAAAGCGCCATAGTAAACATAAAAAGCGATCACGCTCTCAATCAGCCGACTCGAATAGCAATTCGAAGCGTAAAAAAGCAAAAAAGGAAAAGAAAGCAAAGAAGAAGAAAAAGTCTCGAAAGTAAGCGAATAAAGAGTGGTTTTTGTTAATTATAATTTGTAAAATCCATTTCTTGTGTTGAATTTGTTACAAAACCAATAATAAGTAAAATAAAAATGATTTAATCAGAATTCTCAAAAAATTTCCGTCTTCACTTCAATTTGTTCATTTTTTTACAGTGCAGTGGGTTGAAGAATTTTCCCAAATTTACTTTTTGATCACATTGAGTCGTATTTGTATTCATGTCTTCTTCTTAAAGCCAATAAAAATTAAAAATACAGCAACAAGTTCCCGAATCTCCGTCAAAACTCTGTTGGGTATTAATAAAAAAAAGACTTTCAAATACTTGCGACATAAATAAATACTTAATTAGATACTTATCAACTAAATATCGATCTGAAAGTTTAATTAAAATTTTTTATTGTGCACACTTTAACGACATACACGAGAACCATTTAATGCACGTTTACAATTTGAAAGGAAATATTTCTATTTAAGTAAGAAGTAGATGTCAAGCAAGTGAATTAAAAGTTACAGAAAGTATAATTAAATGATTAACTCTTTTCATTCAAAACATGATTCAGACGATTGTTTATTCATTCTTAAAAATTCGGCAGGAAATATCCCACAATTTCATTCAAGTAACTTTTTTACTCTGTTTTTCAAAGATAAAAATAATAAACCAAACGATTTGAAGAATAACAAAACGTAAAAATATGATGAAATAGAATTTGTAGATTTCGTGTTTAAAGAATTGCGAAAAATTTGATCACTTACTTGAAAAGCGTGAACAAACAGCTATGACGATAATTTGTACGATTTTTCATAACCTTCTTCATCTATTTTCACCGCAATTTTCACCCACTTTTCTTTATTTAGTGACAAACAAAATGAATGACATCCAGAAAGAAAAATTTCCGTTCAGCTTCGATTTCAAGTAGAAACATTAATAAATAATCTTTGCTATGAAACACTGTAATCGAATATTTCGCTTTAGAATGCATTTTATCATGATCATCGTATTTTTTTTATGTTTCATATTTCATAACATTAGACATGATCACAAAACGATACTCAATGGAATATTCCATCGCATGCAAGTCGGCTAATAGTTTTCTTTTCGTTTTTCTGAGAAACGAATCCAAAAGATATAACAGAACATGTGCAACTTTTAGTTTTGGAATTTCGTTTGGATCTTTCTTATGGTTGTGCTGGAAATTCCATTTGACGTCGTGGACCGGTTTAACTGTTTTAAATTGATGGTGCCAATTGTCTCATAAAATCAACAAAGTCGTTCAAGGCTTAAGATCTTAATGAACGCCAATAATGTTAGAGTTCAACGATTACCTGGAATTCATTTAAATGTTTTCGCCACTTCTTGTTCAAAATAGCAGAACATTTCCAAAAACAAACAACAACAAGCATCGAATATCAATAAATACTTTTACATTCACGAGATTTCCCTCTTGGGGTTTCCCATAATTGCTCCCATTGTATTTATTGCAAGGCGTGATTTGATTTTTTAAGTGGTCGTTCAAGTGAATGGAATGTCGTCGATCGCTTATATTTTTCGCATGTTAACTTGCAAAGTGGAGGGAAATATATTTAAATTATATCACATTATGTCAATTGATAACAATCGTAATTCGCTACTACTATAAATGATAATCTAAATTTTTCACTTAACCGTCTCATTTTTCTCAATTGATTTGACTTCTAAAATCACCGTATCCGATACAAATCAAGGTTTTTCTCGTCATATCTATTTAAAATGAAAATTGAAAAATTAAAAAGTATTTCGTTTCGAAAGATTTCTAAGCTTTCCTTATGAATATTTGATACAAATCTTATGAGTGTGCGAAAAATTGCACATAATTACATCCGGCAATGATGTTACTTTTATTTTCGATTATAATATTTACTTAAAATAGATTTTCACGATAAAGAACGAAGACGAACGAACGAGTGTTTTAACTGCAGACTGAAGGTTACACAATAATTCTTAAATTATTCTCACTTCCGAAATACTTGAACTTGGAATAGTTTTTGAATGTATTCACCAACTAAATATATGCCGGTCATAGACTTATAGTTCATAAATACATTTAAGATTAAGCGCGAATAGTATGAGTTCACCTTATACTTTATTTTTAAATCACGTGTGTATCGCCATATTTTGAGCAAACACATCATTCAATAAGCACACTCTCTGTTATGATATTTTAAAGATTTTGCTAACAGTTTGCGTTTTGCCGTTGACCGATAAATACATCAGCGAGAAAAAAAAATTATTTTTATTTTTACCAAAATAAAAAGGTGAATAAGAGTTCGACATGAGAATTCTTTTTGTTTAATTTTTAAAAAATTTAATTATATCTTTAAAGAAGAAAAATGAAAATTGATGAATTTCAAGAAAAATCGAATTAATTTCGATTAAACTTTTTATTTCAATCAATGATATTGAAGTGTCTGAAATATTTATGAGCATGCGAAAAAAATCTCAAAATCTCAAAAGTTGAAATCCTTACAAATTTTATTAAGCATTAATTTGTGTTAAATAAATTGTGATTTATTTTGATAAAGCAAATATTTTGTGCGACAATTCCTTTAACGGAAAGTTCAATAAGATTTAGTTTCGTTTACAAGAAATATTCTTGAAATTTGATGCCGCGAGTGACGAAAAAATTCCACTAAGCATTTGTCGATTAATTGCTCATACTACTGACCATGACAAATATTTGCTTCGTGACGATTTCTTATATACTTTGAATTTCAATTAATAATCGTTTACATTTACTTTCTTTCCTGCGTGATACGATGACCAGAAAGATTGAATGAATTTTGATTTAAAAGAGAACGCAAACGATTGTCATACATTAAGAAGTACAACTGATGAAAACTACAATGCCACAAAACAATATAGAGAAAGGACATAGCAATGCTGCATTTGAAGATGAATTCGGCAGAGCGTAAGTAACGACTTCCATTTTTTCTTTAATTCTTTCTCTAATCGGAAAATCCTAAAATATTTTTGGATATTTCTGGTTGAAAAATGCTTCAAATTGCGTTGTTTTCTTTTTTATGGTAATTTGACGTCAAACCTACATGGACTTTGAAAATAAACAATCCGAATGAGACTCTCATTCATATCCCACAATCCAAGCAGAACAAAATTATTTTTTTATTTTAATTTTGAAAACTTAGTGAAGAAGTCAAACCAGAGGAAGAAACTTTTTGTACAACTCAAAATGTGCTTAAAAAAGAATTTTTTCCCCTCTCCAACAATTGTCTTGAATACATGAAAAGCTCAATATTTATTTAAATAAGCAATGAGCTGTATAATTAGCAAATAATGTCTTGTCTTGTAAAGATATCTCAAACCGGTTCTTAACATCTCAGACTGTTCCGAAATAATTTTACAGCACTCGCATCATTAATTTTATTTGCAACTTTTTAACATTTTTTAACACTACTCATGGATAATATTTAAATATTCACAATATCTCCATATTGGCATTTATTATTATGGAACAGAACGGTCAAAAAGAAAGATGGAAACAACCTTGAGTTGAAAGAAAAAGCTTCTGTTGAAGTAGTGAAAGATGACAATTATGATCCGTTTAGTCACAGGAAAGTGGAGCATCCAACAACGTGAGTTTCGTTTTGATAGCTTTTAAATTCCAAACATCAAAAAATAAATGTTTACGTCAATAAATCTTAATAGGAGATGGGATACGTTCTTCCATTTGATGAAAGGTTCTCTTGGAACCGGAATTTTCGCTATGCCAAATGCTTTCAATGATTCTGGATATGTTGTTGGTTAGTGGAAATGAAAAATCATTTGAAACCTTTTAAATCTAATAAATTTATTCACAGGAACGATCGGAACAATCTTTATTGGTATTTTATGTGTGAGTAAACATTCGAATGAGAGAATTTCTGTTTCATGTAAACAGATTTTCATTTTCATTCCAGACATATTGCATACACCAATTGATTACTGCCGAATATGAGCTGTGTAGAAGAAGAAAAATTCCTAGCATGACTTACACTGGAGTAGCGGTAGCAGCATTGGAAGATGGCCCGAAAAATTGCAGAAAGTTCGCATCGTTGAGCGTGTATGTTGTTACAAAATGATTTTTAAACATCAATTCTCATGTCATCGATCAATTTTCAGTTACGTCATAAACGCCTTTCTACTCATTTATCAATTGGGAACATGTTGCGTGTATGTCGTGTTTGTATCGTCGAATATTAAAGGAATTGTAGATTTTTATACAGACGAACCAGTTGATATTCGATTGATTATGGTGATAATTTTACTTCCATTAATATTTTTGAATTGGGTAAGAAGCATAATTGGGAATAACGATCAGGAATTTTAATGAATTTTTCCATTCTTCTTTCAGATACGAAACTTGAAATTTCTAGCTCCATTTAGTACATTTGCGAATCTCATAACAGTCGTCTCGTTCACTCTGATTCTTTATTACATTTTCGAGGATTCCTTCACGATCGATGATAAACATGCGTTTGGAGATGTCAAAAGTTATCCATTATTTTTCGGAACTGTTTTATTCGCCCTTGAAGCAATTGGTGTTGTAAGTGTTTATTTATGTAAATGGATTTGGAGGGTTTTATGAATGAATATGATTAACATTGAAATATTTATCAAAGACATTATTTAATTTGATTTAATCTAAACTGAAACTTATGTGATTCATTCATCGTTTCGTTTCCTGATTGAAAAATTTCCATTTTACTTTTTACTTTGCAAACTACATTCTCGATAATCGTTTTTACTTGAATCAACATTTGATCTTTGTTTTTATGTAAAAATATTTCAGATTTTACCCTTGGAGAACGAGATGAAGAAACCAAAGGCATTTGGTGGATCTTTCGGAGTATTAAATAAAGGCAAGTTTTTAATAAATTATTAGATTATGATGGAATAAATCTTAACAACCAGTTTTTTAACATCTACGACATTGACAGCAATGGTGATAATCGTCGCTCTTTATGTTGGAATTGGATTGTTCGGATACCTCAGATTTGGCAGTGCTACGTTAGGATCAATCACGCTGAATTTACCTCGACATGAAATGTGAGCTAAAAAATTTATTTTTAGAAATCTCTTTCAATTTACTTTATTGATAATTCTACTTCACAGTAAAGCTCAAGCTGTACAGGGAATGTTAGCTTTTGCAATATTCATAACTCATGGTTTGGCTTGTTACGTAGCAATTGACATCATATGGAACAAATATGTTAGTGAAAAAATAACAAACTACAACACATTTTGGGAATATGTGACGAGAACTGCTCTCGTCTTCGTAACATGTAAGTTTATATTTAAATGTTGTTTGTGTTCAAGCAGCGATGGCTCAAAAGGTTTAAATAATTCAAGCGCAAATCAAGTTTTCTTCATATTTAATTTATTTACCTTCTACATTATAATCATGAGTCAATTTTTCACTATAAAGTGAATATTTGCAATATTTATTACCCAAATCTATTTACCTGTTCATGTAGATACTTCAATCTTAAGCTGTTCAATGTCATTGTATCTACCCCACACTTTTCAACTCACTTTAATATTTTTTTTATTATTCCACAGTCTTACTCGCCATTGCCATTCCAAATTTGGAATTGTTCATTTCATTATTTGGAGCATTATGCTTGTCTGCGTTAGGATTAGCTTTTCCAGCTATTATAGAAACCTGCACTTATTGGAACACAACCTCTGGAATGGAAAAGGCTACTTTAGTGTCAAAGAACGTCATCATCTTCATTATAGCTATTGTTGGTCTTGTAAGTGGAACTTACACCAGTATTAACGAGATAATTCACACTTTTTTCAAGTAAATAGTTTATAGATATTTAATTTTAAGGATGTAATCCATAGAAATGTGATTTTAAACATTAAATTGCATACAAAATGTTATTCATATACAAAAATAAAACAGAAAATTATTTTTTTAAAACATTAAATTAAAAGACACGATGAGAGTTGACATAAAAAGACTTTTAAAAGAAATCTTTAACATTGTGAATGTATAAAGTTGTTATGAGATATCAGCTGGAAACGAGATTGACTTAAAGTTAAGAAGTTTTCAGCAAATAAAAATCATTATCAGTACAATTAAAAAATGGTTCAAAATCTTTATTATAACTAATCATTTATGATTCACAAAATGTGTATAATTATCAAAATGTTTTTCGTTTTTCGTTTCTATCAAAACTTCTTCAAAGTCCAGTTCCTTTTTAGATATTTATCTTAATTTGATTAAGCAGCACATAATCTTATTGAGCGTACATGCAAAGTATCAAAAATGTTTTTATTTTATCAAATTTGTTTGAAAAATTATAAAAGTTTGATTCGTTTTTATCGTCAGCAAAATGCGAGGCTCTTGCGACATTCTTACACCAAAAAAAAAGCTTAAAATTCAATCAAAGTTCATCATTTCAAAAATGGCCTCAAATATCTACGATTATAATTTTTATTAGAATCAATCAAAAAAGTATCTTTTATTTGCTATGCATAAAGTTTTGGCTTTATAATGCGTAGAACGCTCATTCTCACATTAATTTTTAATTCAAGCGCTTCAAAATCGCTTATCGAATACGGTTAGCCCGGTAGCATAATTGATTATCAATTATTATTGACTTGACGTTGAATGTCAATGAAAATGGCAATAAAATTTATTATTTAATGCTTTATATCTTTAAAGTTTAAAGCGAATACTGTTTTACTTTCGACTTTCGTTTGAGAATGACGTAATGGAAAGGATTAAAAGGATTTTTAAATTTTGAAACTATTTCATAGTTGTTATCTTATTAAAAATGTTGATTGGAGACAAACACATCAATTAAAATTATGAGATTTAGATAATCAATAAAACAAAAGAAACTTACAAGTATTTTTTTTTTCATTTTAAAAGTGAAAGTTTTAAAAGTTAAGAAATTATTCATAATGTGAAAAGAAATTTTAAAAGATGAAGAAATAAAATAAACTTCTTGAAATAATCTTTGTCAATGTTTTTTGCAAATATTTTGGAAAGTCAGTCTCATATTTTGTACTTTATATAATATTTATAAAGCAATTGCTTTAATAAGTCTCGATGTACTTTCAGTCTCAAAATAAATTTGCTTTTGAGGCATTAAAAATTGCAAAAATTTACTTTCAAAACAAACTTTTTGAACAATAATCGTTCAAAAAGACAAAAATAAAATAAAAAAAGAAGAATGTAAAATTGAAGTTAATTTGTGGACATTTCCACTGTCATTTGTTTAAAAAATTTATCATCTAAAAAATTTATGCTACTTCAGTCTTTTGTGTTTCATATTTTCTTATCTCTTAAAATATTTGAGGTAGTTGGTTAGTTAAGTTTAATAAACTTGGACAAATGTTTTATTATGTGAAATTGCTTCACGTGAGTCTGGCGAGGTTTCGACCATTACAACGAGACGTCCATCTGTGAATAATTAATTAAACGTGACATTTAAGAGAAGATAATTAACATCTTAATTTAAGATGATTGAACTTTACTCACCATTTAACAACGCGACGTCTATGAAACAAAAATAAAATTAATTAATCTTTTTATAAACTTCTCAAAATTATACACAATTGAGTTGCCAAACTTTGTCAATATTTCAGTTGACAACACTGAATTTAAGTTTCTATTTTCAACTCACCACTGGGTCGATCTTTCTCGTCCATATTTGATGTAAGAACATTTCGTGCTGACGGACGAATTTCCACGGTCCACAAGAATTCGAGCATAGGCGAGAAAATCAAAACTCTTTGATTTTTAGAATCTGCCACGACAATTCTTCCATCGTCATCACAACAAATGCCTGATGGTCGACAGAATTCATGCAAAGCCGATCCTTCATGTCCTTTTGTAGCCAAAATCTTTGAAAATTGAGATAATTTTAAAATTCTGAAAGTTTGTAAGATTTGAAACTTACTTTTGACATCGATGCATCAATTAAAATCAAACGATGATTCTCAAAGTCAGAAATGATGATGTTTCCTTGTGGATTGAATGCAGCACCGCGAGGTGTGGTCAAACCCTTCAAATATCGACTGTGATTGACACCATCGAATGAGAATCGGGAGATGAAGTTACCATCTGGGCTGAAAAGTTGAATTCGATGATTTCGCGAGTCAGTGACCAAGATTTGTGATTTTGAGTTGACAGCGCAAGCCCATGGGTACATGAACTGATTCAACTCTTTCCCGTAAGATCCAAACTTCAAGATGAAAGCGCCTGAGGCTGAAAATACTTGAACACGATGGTTGTCCTTGTCAACAACAATGATTCGATTATTCTGATCTGTTGCTACCCCGGCTGGGAGATCAAACTGGCCACTGCCAGTTCCCTTGACACCAAACTTGAACTTGAAACCTCCATCCGCGAAAAATACTTGAATGCGATTGTTACGACGATCGGCAACAATTATTTCATTGTTTTTATTCACGCAAATTCCCCATGGTCGCGAAACTTCACCATCTTCATGTCCATCGAAGCAAAATGTCAGACCTTTAATGAAATATTTTTACATAATTAATAAATTGTTAATGGGAAGAAGAAGAAATGTTGTCATGTTCATACCTGGAACCAAAGCTGGTTTCACAGAAATGTGCGAGTGACTTCCTGCAATGCATTGACCAATCGCATTTGAAACTGTAGGCTTGACAATTGCTGCATAAGTTTTCGCGGAAGTGACTTGCGAACTCATATTGGAGACAATTGCTGAAGCATTTTCTGAGTTTGCATCCCACAACATTGGATCACCATTATTAGGCGAGTTTCCTACACGCATTTGTTGACGACTCATCGTTGATGAAGCTGACGGTTGTGGTTGACCATTCGAACCATTTGAATTTGTATGCATTTCGTGTGGGTAAGTAATGTTGCGACAGTTGATGACAATCTCGCCTTGACTGCGTATTTCTTGCAATAGCTCGAAGTTCGGTGGAATGAAAGTTATGGATTCATCCTTCGGTTGGAGATTCTTGTAGATTGAAGCAAACTTTTCAATTTGATGTTCTGTGTTTGCGAGTAAGAATGCAATGTCGATTTTAGGTACATGGTCGAGTGCTTCCACTGACTTGGCCATGCAATCTGAAGTTTCAGCTAAACCAGCTGTTCAAAAGAAGTTTTTGAATTATTCTTAAATTATAAAAAGATAAAAAACTTACCCAAAGCTGTTCGTAAACCTGTCATTTGATCAGATAAATTTGCAACCTTTTGTTGACGATATTTATCGACTTGTTCCAAAAGTGACCGTTCGCGATCTTCAGCTGCAAGAATCAACAATCGGAAAGCTTTTTTAACACGTGATGAAATTTCCATTGAGTCTTTTTCGATTGATTGTGAAAATGCAACAGCACGATCGATTGAAGATTTAATGAATTTAATTCCCAATTTCGAGCTGTCGTGAATTGCTTTCAATTTATTCTTCGCTTTGTCGGATGTTATGTTGGTAATTGGAGTTGTGTCGTGATCCTTGTGATCATCTTTCAACACACATTCCTGGCATACAATTTTCTTGCAAGATTCACACAAATAACGCAAAGTTTCGCCATGAATTTCACATTGCGGTTCATTCGATGGAAGAACGTTCGAAGAGTGAAAAACGGAATTTGTTGTCATGCTTCCAATCGGCGTGATTTTACCAAGTCCGATGATTGTGTGCTTAGTGAATGTATTCATGGTATGCGAGTTGACACAATCACCACATAAAGCGTCGTTGCAGTCAAGACATCGATGAATCGCACCATTTTCACAATGTCCACAAAAAACACTTTGCGATGAGCTCGACGAGCTGTTTGTATGAGGCGAAGTGCTTGGTGAGATATTTCGAGTCTTTGAGCTGCTTCCACTGCCACAGAAAATATCGATTGGATTCGAACTGTCAATACTGTAATTGTTGAATGAGTTAATTACAGTATTGGATCCATCGTTGAATGGATGGTCTAAGATGCTTGAAAACAAGCTGTTTCCATTCATGTTATTTTCATTTCGATTGCTGATTAAAAAATAGATTAATTAACCTAATTAATTATTATAAATGTTAAAACTTACTTTTTTCCTTGAAGAGATTCCAAATTGGGAAGAGAGCTTAATAAATTTGTTAAGAAGAGATTATTTGACAGATCGTTGTGATTTGCAGCATTATTATCTTCACCATCTGATGGGTGAATGGCAAAAGGATCCATCGATGAAATGTTGATTGAACTAAAATAAAAGAAATATTTTAATAAATGATGAGTAAAGGATCTGCTTTCAAACACTGTTCGAGAATATTTAAGTGAACACTCAGAAAAGGAATTTTTTCAAAACTTATTGTTACTTTCTTCTTCATTTTCGTAGATTTTATTTTTACACTCTGTGAAAGCGGACAAGAATCGATCATGGATGAGAAAAAGGTTCAGAAATCTAGAAAGTTACAGAAAAATTTTCGGTTCTCTTTACCTGAATTCTCTTTTAGAATAAATTTCTATTATCCTTAAAAATTAAATTTATTTTTCACAGTTCTTTTTGTAAAAACATTTTTAAAGATGAAAAAGAATGAAATTGCTGGGTACAAGGTTTACAATTATTCACAACTAGTTTTCAAATATTTTTTCCTAAATTTTGTTCAAACAATAAACGAAAAAAAATTATTGATTTAAAGAAAAGCAGAAGCAAATTTTCTATTTCAAATAAAATTGTTGTTGGCGATCTTCATGATAGTTTTAAAATATTTTATCAATTAATATAATTTTTCTTTGTTATTACAACACTTTTATGAAGTTATATGGCTTTACCTGCAGCAAAAACGAAACAATCCAAAAGGAATACAAAAATTTCATTTAAAAGCCTCTGATGTTAAATCACTACTGAAGAAAATTCTTCGAATGCACTCTATGCATAGAAATAAATAAGAATTGAAATTTATTCCTAATATTCTCGACTTTAAACTTACTTTTAATAGGAAATTTTAAGCAATTATTTTTCACCGGTATTTTCCAGAGAATTTCAGTTGAATTAAAAACTTAAAATGTTAATTTTGATTGATTTTCTAGGAATGGTAAAATATGCCGACACCATTCTCTCGATTTACTTTCTTGTCGTTATCCCTTAACTTAGAAATGGTTGATGAAGCATATGAACCCCTATTATTTTCTACATCCCTCTCTTCCTTCTTTCGTTTATGTTTATTTGTAGCGCATGTATGGTAGATAGGTAGCGTGTTACCCTGCAAAGATGAATTCCACAATAAATGAACACAAAAATTAGCGACTTGGTGGTCATAGCGATCGTCTAGAATTGCTTTTAATGTTAATTTCAATGATCTTCTTATGATACTTCGAATCCAATAAATTACCTATTTCATTATTCTTTATTAATGAAAAATAATGAATTTTAATTAGATAATTATTTATTAAGCATCATAATAGATTCTCTTAAAGAGATTAATAGGAAGAATTTATAGAAAATTATTTCGCTATTGAGGGTATTTTGTATCAAACATTTCCATCATGCTTTGATATGCGAATGTAAAATGGAAAATGTTTTTCTTCTCGCATAATTGCAAAGGGAACAACATAAGTACGAATAAGTGCATGAGTATATGTACGTGCTTTGTTTAAAACTACACATATGCCCTTTTTCAGAGTTTCTTGTTTTATTCTCGATTTTTTATGCATCATAAATTTTTAGTTGCATTTCAATTCTATAAAATATATCAAAAAAACTATTAAACTAATTAAAAGATGTGTAAGTTGAAACATAATCTAAATTTTAATCACCCTTAGGAATGTAATTAACAAATACTTTAATTAATCAGCTCAGCAAAAAGTTTTAACAAGTTTTGCGAAGCCGGAAAAATATTATGAAAGTGAAACAAGAAGCAGCATAATCAGCCAAACTTTAAGTTGGATGTCTAAAGATATCCAAAGTAGTTTTGTGCCACCTCCACCTAGACCGCCTTATCTTGAGCGTAAGTTCTCTTAAAAATAGAATAATTACAATTTAATAGCATCTTTATCAATCATTATCAAGAACTTGTAAGCGATGGTTTGACAACTTGTGACTTGTGTGGATGGGCATGGAGTAAGAAAAAGTTTTTTTCTCTTGAAGGATATGGAGGTATTTAATTATAGATATTTATAATTTAGTATTTACATATCAGACACATATTTCTTATTTCTCAGAACAAAATCACAATGATTACATGTGGATTTTTCTTTTAATCGGTAAGTCATGTTAAACTGAGTTTCCATAAACGAAAAGTTAATCATCTTTTTATGTTACAGTTGTGACATTTTCTTCTGCCTTGATTGGTGCCATTATAATGGTGACAGCAATAAAATATCGCAGGTTAATCACAATTTAATTTCAATTTCCTTTCATCAATCATTTTTAACTTTTTCTTTCTAAATTCCAACATTTTGTGAAAGATCAAACGTTTTAAGAGGTAAGAAAATTAGGTACTTAAATTATTTAATGTCATAGATATTAAATATTGAATCAATTTTTCACAGTCACAAAGAGCTACTCAGAAAAGAAAGATTTTGGATCTGATCAGAATTTTAGTGAGACTAAAAATCCAACTAATGTTGACATAAAATATGTTGAGAATGACGATAATTTTTACTCAAGTAAGTAAAAATAAATTAAAAAGATTTCATTCAATAATTTTTAACTTCCTATTTAAAGCTTTAGATGACCAAGATTCGATTAATTCTGAGAAGCACAACATGGCAAAGTATAATCGGAAAAATTGCGATTCTGGTAAAAAGTTCGAGGTAATTAATTGTAGATACCTAATTGTAAATAATTTGATCAACAGAATTTCTTTATTCTTCAGAATGAGATGCCATCAGCACCAGCAAGCAGCAGCAGTGCATATTATTCTAATCTATCAAACCCCGATAAGCAATATGAATGCATTGATTCTTTTGCAACATATTTAAAGTCCGATTTCAATACATGTAGCGGTGGCAACTCTTTCATTACCTTGAATACCAATGTCATAATGAACCGACTGTCTGCTATCAGTGAGAATAATTTCTCTAATCAACACCGTGATGTCAGCTCGGAATATGTTTAAATAAGAATTTGCCATTATTACTTAGAACTTTTTTAACATTTAAAGAATCGAATACTTGAATTTAAGATTAAATTAAGTAAATAAGCCAGAACTTCTGGCCCAGAAGTTAAACTTCTCGTGTCTCCCAACCCAACGCCTTTTTGCGCCAAAACCAGAAGAAATATTTACGAGTCTGAAAGAGAGAAAAATCAAACAAAAATGTATCTACTTAAAGTCGATAGTTATTATAGAAAAACTCTGACCATATCATATATTTAATACGATATTCAGTAATTTATTTATTTTCCAATTTCTCGTTTTGATCTCTTTATAACGAACGTATTATGTTGTGTGTGTAGGTGTGGTTAGTTGCTTGAGGCAAATTTAATTAGATTCATCAGAATTATATTCAAAGAAGAAATAATAAACACATTTAGAAACCATGGACTTTCAATTGATCTTGCTTCACCAATCCTGTTTTAGTCAGAAATTGGCAAATGTTCTCACGTTGATCTCCTTGCAATTGCAAAACTTCACCATACTCTGGATGTTCGATTACAGTTCCATTACAAGCAAATTCCTAAAAAGAAACACATAAAACTCATAAGATATTGTATCAAACATTAACACTTCAATTTCAATTCTTACTTTTTTGCAGGTTCTGACGATTTTCTTCAAATCATAATTCGATGAAAGACCTTGAACTGTTGTTAATGTTTTGCGACCATTCCTTTGTTGAATTCTTATATGAACGAGACCGTCTTGAACATCCTCGTTTGCGGAGCCAACAGCATCAGCAAATGGATCTAAAAATTCAAGATGAAATCAAATTTTATTTTAAATTAATAAGAAACAAAGACACTTTGAGGATATTAAGATGCCAAATAAAAAAACTTTTCCTCAATTAACAAACTTTTGATTATGATTACGAAGGAATCATATTTTCATTTAACTTTAAGAACACAGCTCGGTTTCACAAATTGCGAAATTCCGAAACAGGATCCCAACATGTTGCAATAGAGTTAGAAATTTCTAATGTCTGACATCTTTTTCTTCTTCACAAAACTGATGAATCACTTTTTCTTACCAAATGTATTTAAGTTCTGGATTGACATACGAAACAAAATTGACACTTAAAGGAAAATGAAGCTGCTTTCGTGCTTTAAAACTTGGTAGAAATATTCAATTTTTTGTAGTTTTTTACTTAAGTGTCGAGAGAGGCGATATCAAAAAGTACTAAAGAAGTAGGTACTAAACATTGTTCTAGATGGACTCAAAGGGTGTGAAAGTAAGTAAAAAAAATGAAATTTAAAAATCTTCGTTAATATTTTAAAAATCATCAAAATAAAACAAAATTGAAATTAACTTAAACTAATAAATTTATTAATATCATTTAATTTTAAAACTACAGTGGCTTATCGTTCAATATGCTAATTAAACAACGAGCGTTCTTTATCTTAAGGATCTTGACCATTTGCATCGATGAAATATTTAATTAATGCTGATGCATATCCTGACACTTTAATTTAATACTAGAAAATGTAATTGCATGGAGAGTATCTTTTCTAATAACCAGGAATGTTTCGTATAAGCATCACTTCTTTCTATGGAATGCTACTTGCGTAAAGATAATGGACTAACTTAGATTAAACTTTAGATTAGATTAGGTAAAGGAGTTTAAGTCTGCTTGACCAATTTTTTTTTCAACCATTTGATGTATGACGAAAATTAAAGCTAATCAACTAATACACCTAGTTTAAATTTATCATTCCAATCAATTATTATTCCTCTTATCATCATCATTCTTCATTCCATTAATCTCTATCATTCTACTTCTGATTGGAACCACTTTCATTGATGGATTCATTCGACCAAATTTGCCACTTCTTGGTATCGAATCATTTGATTCTTCGGATGATGATCTTCTCGCTATTATTCTTTTTGAGCGAACCGGCATTCTTGTAGCACTAGATAACAATAATCAATATCTTACATTGTAAATTATTTTATTAATTTTTACCTTTTCATACGCAATGAGTAATTAAAGTTTTTCGGTCCATCAAAATCTCCATCACTGCCCGAGTTCAAATCATCATCAACTGAATTCACCATTGTACTTACGATTTTATGATCAGAGTTGTTATTATCAGTGTTGCTTGCCGAGTTTTTATTGATGATTGTGGTGATTGATGAGTTTGTACTGTAACTGTAACTCTCAGTAGTGCTTGCAGTCTCCAGTATGAGTTCATTGACCTTCTTTCTTAGCGTCTCTAAATTGTCATCATCACTTGCTGCACGATGTTTCTCGCTCAAGTCTTCTGTGTCGTTGTCATAACTTAAGTTACTTCCAGTCATTATGGATGTGGCCATTGAAGTCGCTATCGAGATAGCCATTATCGGATTATTTGTCTGAGATGAAGATGTTGTGTCTTCTTGAGGTACATTGTCGTCAATATCGCTTTCCAAACTCGATTCCATTTTTTTCTTTTTCATCGATTCAGATTTTGCTAAGCATGAAGTTGTTAATATAGTGTCAACGACGTCGTTATTATTCTCTACATCTTTCACATCAGTTTGAGTTTGTGTGTCAACAAAATTATTTCTTGTTTCAGTTTCATGTTTGCGTTCACGATTGACGTTATTCTTCACACTCATTGACGAGCCGCTTCCGACACGTCGATGTCGAGTTTTTTTGTTGCTGTATTTTCCATTTGATTGCGAAGTGACAGTTTTCGTCTGGTTGCCATCTAATTGAACGTACATCGATGTCTTTAACGGACTACTTGGTGGACTTGGCGAATTCATGGAGTTTGCTTGGGTTATTTGATTAGCCAAGTAGAGTCGTCTTCGGCTTATTTTATCAAAATGTTGTTTACGCAGCTGAGAAATTGCTTTTCTGTATGGTTTGCTTGTTCCTATTTGTTTTTCTCGTTCCGCTATTTCTCTCTCCCTTTCCTCAAGTTGAGCAAAACAAGCACTCAGCTCCATGTAAAGATGATTAGTTCGTTCCAGTTTTCTCTCATAAATTAATCGGACGTCTTTTGCATGCTTCCATTCTTCTTGTCGTTTACGAATTAAATCCTGAAAATTTTTATTATTAGAATTTCATTACGAATGTAGATAAAATTAGATCATTTCACCTGTTCATGTTCATGAATCTTTGTACTGTTATTAATGCTGCTCTGAAGCTTCTCTTGAATCTCCATTTGCCATGTCTTTTGTTGCTCACAATAACTTTCTTGACAATTCATCAACTCAGCTCCTGCTATTTCCAAATGAGCTAAAATAATTCTAAAGGATGGACGATTTTTTGGTTTTGCACTCCAACATTGTTTAATTAATAGTTTGTAACCATCAGGACAGGTATCAGGTATTGGAAGCTGAAAATGGAAGTCAAATTAATTTATTTAATTGACTTTAAATTAATTAATTTACCTGGAGGGAATGATTTCCAACTCCCCAAATTATTGCTGAAGAATCAAAATCCTTGTATGGGATTTCACCTAGAAAAAATCAATTAAATAGTTAACTTAAATTTTACATTTCAAGAAAGCCTCTTACAGGTCAAAAGTTCCCAGAGAACAACTCCAAAACTCCAAACATCAACTTTCTCTGAACAAGGCTCGTTTCTTATAACTTCGGGCGCCATCCTTAAAAATAAAAGAAACATAAAACTTGATGAAATGTCAAGATAAAATTAATATCTCACCAAGCAACTGTTCCAGCAAAACTCATTTTCGTGCTGATGTCGTTAAACTCTCGTGACGTTCCAAAGTCTGAAATTTTTATGATTTCATGTTGTCCAATCAGAATGCTTTAAAAAATAATTAGTATGAAACACTCAAATTAAACATTATTAAAATAAATTGCTTACTTTGGCGATTTTAAGTCTCTGTGGATGATTTTATGTGAATGAAGATAACTCATGCCTAATGCGACTTGCTTTGACCATGAAACAACTCGTGAAATTGTAATTACTGATGCACCTTCTTTAAGAATCTGATGTAATGGACCGTAAGCACAGAATTCCATAAGTATACAGAATACTGGAGCTTGTGTGCAGATTCCCCTATAAAACAAATAATTTACAAGAATATTCAAGGTTTTGAGATTATTACTTCAGGTAGACACAAAGTAATTAACTTACCTAAACTTCACTATATTCTCATGATTCAATTTCCTTAAATGTCTTATATCCGTTTCACGAACATCTTTAACTTTCTTAACGGCTACTATTTCATTGTAGAGTTTTCCAGAAAATACTGTTGATAAAGAACAAAAACAAATTGACACTTATTTACATATTTAAAGCGAAAAAAGTGATTTTTTACCTGCTCCTTGAGCACCCGATCCTAACCATTCAATATCTAGAATAAAAAATGACATTCGAAGAAAAAAAGAATAAGAGAAGAAAAAATATCTTCACAGACATCGAACTCACCAGATATCAACTCAAATGGAATTATCCAATCGTCTTCGTTTCTCATTCTGACGTCGTTTAGACTTCCTTTTCCGATCAGCGATAAAACAGGCTTCATACAGCCGAAAATGCCATCAATCCAACTCATCTGTTTTTCATTCATGTTTCCTTTACAAAGTTTTATCGGATCACTGTTGTTTTTCGCGTAGTTATAATTTGTATCGAATGGATCTTTAGGAATTTTTTCATCCACAAGAGTTACACTATAATTGGAGCGTTTTAAAGTTAAAACATCAACCAAATAAGCGAGAAAGAAGAAGAAAGAAAAATCTTTACCTCTTTTTAGGACTTTTTTCTGTTTCACCTGTGTCCACCTTTTCTCTTGAAGAATTTTTATTCTCACACTCCATGTTTGAATAATTTATAACTTTTCAAAGCTTATTTTTATAATACTTCCCTAAATTTTAGTTGCCTTAAAACTCAGATCAGTTTTATTGTGTTATATTAAGTCTATTTAACGAAAGCATTAAACCTTTTATGCTTTATTTCTCACTCAAATCAATATTTCACAATTTTTAAGTTCTTAAATCTCTTTATACTCATTTGGAGACTGTTGACAACATTTCTTCTTTTTCCTGAGTACTTGCAACTTCAACAGGAGCTAATATTGAATAAATTACTATTCTACCAACAAAAAATGTTATGTTTACTACTATTTTTTTTAATTATGATGAAATGAATGAAAAACTTGCTGCGAAAATCGATATTTGTAGGGACTGTTCAGTAACATGATCGCGTCTCCATTGAACTTAAAAATAAACAATTTTAAATCTTAATAAACCGTTGAAACTTCATTCATATAAATTTTCTTAAAACTATCTTTTTATTATTATTCAGATAACTTAAAATTTTAATAATAAATTGATAAAATTCTTAACTAAGTTCGTTAAATTTCTCATCATCATCATCTTCATCGTCGTCAAATTTATCTTTATAATTTTTATCTTTAACAGAACGTTTCTTGCTCAATGCTATCAAATTTTCGACGATTTCTGAATCAGGAGTTAGAGTTTGACCTGCTGATTTGTACTCAGGATTTACTTTCTTGATGATTCTCCAAATTGTGGTTTTGGGAATATTATATTTCTTTGCAACTTCATTTTGACTCTTTCCATTTAATATTTCCGCAATTGCTACACGCAAACGATCTTCATAATCCTCCCCTCGAGAACGGTTCTTGAAATTGACACTTTCAGGAAGTTGGCCCATCTCATAAAGCTTCAATTTTTCCCGATGGAGTGTAGAAATCGGTATATTGAATTTCTTTGACAAACTTATCAAGCTTTCTCCTCGTTTAATAGCATCAATGGCTTGCAGACGTAAAGGATCTTTCTGTTTTTCACTTTTAACGTAGCCAAGTTTCTTTGCTCGACGCCATAACAAGGTTTTAGGAATTTGATATTTCTCAGATACTGTTCGGAAACTGATACGAACAAAAAATTAATAAATTATTAAACTTTTTTTATTTAATCTTCCTCTCACCTGCTTGAATTATTTAAAATCTCTTTGATAGCTTCATTTACAATTTTTTCGTCTGGATTCTTTGGGGGTGAACGTTGCTTAATGTCATGCGGTTCCCGATCTAACTTCTCTTTCTTTGTTTTTAAAACACTCTGCATTACTAAAGGCTCATCTTTAGCTTCAGAGACAACATTAAGAAGTTCATATTGTTCTTCGCTAATATCTTCATTTTCATCAGCCATTTCATAATTGTTCTCTGTATCATCAATGTTTGATATTTCATAGACTTCCAGTATTTGTCCAGACTCCTGGTCGGCTTCTTGTTTCAAAGTATATTCAACATTTTCTTCTTGTGTCTCAAGGTCTTCAATAAGGGAGTCAAGATTGTTCTCTTTAGCAGTATTTGATCGAATAGGAGTAGATGTGAATTTTGCAGGACATGAGGTTTTCTGTACTTTGTTAAATACAAGTTTACGCTCACATGATATTGTTGCCTTTAACTGCAGCAGGTTGCAAGCTTCAATGAAGTCTAAAAACGATTTCTGAATAAAATCAAAATGTTTCAGAGGTTTTCTAACTTTCTCACCAGACATGTATTTTGAATCCAAACTGATCCAACCAAAATAAATGTACTCCACAAGTTTCTTTAATATCTCTGGATCGACATCATCTATTATGATGTTAACTGTATCTCGTTGATTTTCACTTAACAAGGTTTTCAAGAAATCTGAACTCAATGCTGTGAAAATTTGTACAATATAAGTATTGCGTTTATCTTTTACTAAGCAATGTAAATTAAAAGTACAATTTATACTAAAATTCTTACCTAAAGCAAAAGAATTAACAGGAACAAAAGTGTTTTTACTTATCAAGAAAACATCTTTCGGGTCATTGCTTTCATATAACTCTCTGTAAGCATTTAAAAGCTCTTGATTTTTATCTATCGTTGTATTTATTACGAACGACATTTTCAATCTGTAATTACGATCTTTTTATTTTTAGTTTAAAATAAAACTCAATATAGCTTGTAGGGGCATGAAACTAACGAACGCGCTTTTTAGTTCTAAATTAAATAAAAAAAACGTTTTTAGTACAATATTTGTTATTATTTACACGGAATTTCAATCTTATTTTAGATTGCACAATTAAATAACAGAGATAATTTCCACGCACTATGTCAGAGTGAGTAACATTTAAAAACTCTTTTGAATTTAATCAATGCACTTGATGCATGTTTTCAGAAGAACTCGAAGATTTAGAGCAAGGCTCAAAGAAGATCCCGTAAAATGGAATGAGTTTAAAGAAAAACGACGAGTGTATCAACGTTTAAAATATCAAGAAATGAAAAAGGATCCCTCAATTAGAATAGCACGAAACTATCGACAGAGAACTTATCGATATAAAAAGAAAATTAAAAATGCAATTGAAATGTCTGATGCAGAGAATACAAAAACTAAGTCGACGTCTTCAAGAAGTTTTGATGAAGTAATGATCAAAGAAGATCCCATGAAGTTGGATGAGTTTATGGAAGGTGAACAAATAAGTGACCCTGCAGCACATCAGGAAATAAAAAAGGGCCCCTCAAGGAAGAAAAGAAATGATCAACAGAAACTCTACCGACCTATGAAGGAAAATAAAAATACAATCGAAGAGAGTGAAATATTAGATTCTTATATAGGAAATTATAAAACTAAATCATTGTTTCTAAGAGCATGTCAAAAAGTAATGGATGTGCTTCCCAAAGACAGAGAAAGCAAAACACATGTCTTGAAGTTTTTATTCTACAAATTTAATTTAGAATGCTAATGAAATTCCTATATTTTTATTATTAAATAAAACTCAATATTACTTGCAGAGGCATGAAACTAACGTAAACGCTTTTTAGTATACTGATTTAAATCCAAAGACCATTCTAGTACAACATTTGTTATTATTTACATGAGATTGAATCTTATTTTGAATTGCAGAAAAGAAACAAAATTAATTATCCAATACTATGAATGCAGAGTAAGTAGTATTTTTAAAATTCATTTGAATTTAACGAAGAAAGTAATTCCTGATTGCAGGTATCAGAGAAGATATATAGAAAAGCTTAAAACGGATCCCGTAAAATGGAAACAGTACTGTGATAAAAAACGAGAATATCATCGTTCAAAATATATAGAAAAGAGTAAGGATCCCTCATTTAGAAAAAGAATGAATTACCTACAGAGAGTTAATCTGTATAAAAAGAAAATTAATAAAGCAACTGAAATGTCTGATGCAGAGAGTATGAAAACTAAGCCAACATCTTCAAGAAGTTTCAATGAAGTAATGATCAAAGAAAATCCCATGAAATTGGATGACCAATTAATAAACGATCCTGTACCACATCAGCAAATAAAAAAGGTTCCTTCAAAAAAGAAGAAAAGAAATAACCAACGGAAACTTTATCGATCTAAAGAAGAAAATGAAAATACAATCGAGGAGAGTGAAATTTTTGATTCTTATATAGGAAACTATAAAACTAAATCATCGTTTCTAAGAGCTTGTCAAAAATTAATGGTTGCGCTTCCTAAAGATAGAGAAAACAAAAAATCAGTTTTGAAATTTGTATTTTATAAATTTAATTCGGAATGCTAATAAAAATTTAATTTTTCAACACCTTCAAATTGTTCTAATCAATGATTTTTATTTAAATAATATTTGAATATCGTCCTAAGTTTATAAATAAAATAACTTTTTTAAATGGCCATTCCATTCAATTTTGAGATTTGTACAAAATTACGACGAATTGAAGTTTTTGTATCCTCTTAGGTTTCTTTCAATTGCTGATGCAGGAACACCAAACATTTTCGAAGCTTTCTTGACAGAATTGTTTGAGTCTCTGCATGAATTTATCGCTTCTTGAAGTCTCCTTTTGAATCTGTTCTGTTCTTCTCTTAGCTGGTTAAGATTAACTGCAACCGTTGGAAAAGTTATAGATGGTGAATTTATTTGATTTCTTTTGAATCCCGTCTTCATGTTATATTGTTGTACGTTCCTGAGATTGTCGCCATCTGTCCGCTCTTCCTTCTTGCTTTCATTTAAGTAGTCACTTCCTCCACTTACTTCACTATTAGACATTTGTTGAGGATCTTTCATACTGTAGTCTGGATCTGGTAATTCATTGTTCAGCAGATTTTTCTCTCGTGTGTCATCAAATTGATTCTCTTCTATGATGTATTCTTCATTCAAATATTCTTCTTTGATTCCCTTGTTTCCTTGCTTTGCAATAATTTCCGATTCATTATTTTCATTTTCATTGAAGAATATTGTTTCGACATTGTCATTTGATTTGAAATATTCATCAAACTCCATCTCAACTTCCGCTTTTGTTGACACTTCTGTGACTCGTACAACTTCCAAACTATTTTCTCTTTCTCTTAACCATTTGGATGATTCCCTTCCTTGATTTTCAATTTCGTCATTAGCTTTTTGTGATTTTATAAGTTCTGATATGATTGGAATCTCTTCACATCTAAATTCATGACATAATGTCGTAAATTCTTTCAAAAGTGATCCACTTATATGAATTTCGCCAGTATAAAAAAATTGTACAAATGCCAAAATAACTTCAGCAGAATAATTTGGTAAAATTATGTTGTAATTTGAATTAAAATCACTAAAAAGTTCTTTGAAAAATGGTGATGATAAGCTAAGAATCAACTGATGCGCTTTGATTTGGCTTTTTTCCCTTGAAACAAAAATCTGAAATTGATTTATTGTTGAAGTTATTGCTGAACACAATTTTATGATATGTTTTTACTTACGACATCTGATGTCTTTGAGTCATCAAACAATTCTTTGCATTGATATACAACATAAGGTTCTTGATTTTGCATTGAAAACAAACAAAAGCTTTTTTCGGATGCCATCGGTGAAGATAAATAAAAATTGTTTGTTCTAAAATGTTCAAGGAGGGGTTAAGCATCACTTCAAAGAATATTTCTTATAACCAGGATTAGATTAAGGTTAGATTAAGTGTGAATAGAATTAGGATTAAAATTAAGCTACATTTTTTTAAAAGTTTGGATTTGTTTTCCGATAGCATAAATTTTATTTAATTATTTTTCTTCACAAGAATTTAATAGAAAACTACATATAAATTAAAAAAAAGAACATCATGTATCTAGGTGGAGTCCAGGCTATTGTTGGTAAACAGGAAAGCATAAACAATACTCAAGAGTTTCTCAAGTGACAATTAACATAATTTTTTTAAGCTACATATATTTTTTTCATTATCATGTTGTTTTTTAATTGTTGAGCATGTCCCATAAATCTTCTTCCTTTTTATCCTTCGGTTTCGAAGTTGTTGTTGACACTTTTGATTTAACATCCAAGCTACTAAAATCATCTACAGAAGTGTTTGCTTTCACTTTCGATGTTGATTTGGAAACTTTTACTGTCTCGGTTGGTTTTTCAGGTTCATAAACTTCAAAACCATTCCAATCGTCTTCGTCATTTTGACTTAAAGTAAAAAGTTTGATTAAATATTTTAAATTATTTAAAAGTTTTTAAACTCACTATGATTTGTGGCTTGTATGCTTCACATCTTCAACCCAATTCCAATCGCCACTTTGAGATTGAACGTTATCGGTTCTTTCAATATCATTGTATCCAGTATTTGTAAAACTGCTTAACCCACGTTTACTGAATTCTCCTACCTGAAGTAGTAATAAAAATCGTTTATTAAAGAAAGATTGAAATTTGTTGTAAATAAAAATCAAATAAAAAATAAAATTGAACATAAGAACGAACCTTAGAGGCGAAACTTGTAACTTCTTTACTAGCGGTTTCTAACAAACCACCTTCTTTCACCTTTTAACATAATTCAATATGAAAATAAAAAGAAATCATAAATAGAAAACAATAATAAATTATAAAATAAAATATTCAACCTTTTCTGAAACATTTTGCGACACTTCAACTACCTTCTGAGTTGCAATTGATCCAAACTTCAGTGCATTGTCTTTAACTTTACTAGCACCAAGTGATAGAAGATTCCATCCCGAACTCAAAGAGGAGAGTGTTGTATCAAAAACTTCTGATTGGCTTCTCGTAGGCTGTGGCTGAACAGTATTTCCAAAGCCAGCATAACGACCACCCTCAGATGGCTTAAGATTTTCAGGACGTTGTGAATTTTGAGCTTGCAAACCAGTGAAGAAATTGTCTCGTTGATCTTTAAATTGTTGGCTATTGATGTTTTGATATGAAGTATCTTGATAACTTTCATGTTGATAACTATTATTAGGCAAAGCGGAAGTGGATTTCGAGTGTGACATGGAATGACTTGATTTCTTAATTTTATTTAAAGCTTCATCGTAATTCCACTCTCTATTTTCGGCAAGTGCGGAGATTTTATCGCGATATAAAGCAGCCGCTTTGCTGTTATATCGCTGATGAATATTCATGTTATCCCAATTATCTTCTTCCTCTTCAAAAAATTCTCGTGCTGCTTTATTTCCTCCTACTTTCATCTTAGCTAATTCAGCATCCTTCCATTTATCCATGGTTACACTCCTTACAAATGAAAGATGTACTCCCAGTCCGCGATGTTTCCCACTACATTCCAAGCATACGAAAATGCCATAGTTCACACTGACCCACTAAAAGAATTAAATTTGCAAAATTTCATTTTTCAAAAAAGTTAGCATATTTTTTAAACTGCAAACCTGAGGTGAGTGTGTTCCGCATTCGAAACATTTGTTGTTTTCATTAGTTCCTTTAAGATCTTGTAAAACACGTCTTGTTCGCGGACTGGCCATGATCTAGGGAATTTACAAAGAAAATTACTTAAAAGCAAACTGATGATTCTACACTTTCTTTTTTGTAGCGAGTTAAGGGCATTAAACTATGACTTTTGATTCATGTTCTAAAACATTTTTGAAATGACGGTTAGAATGAACTCATATAATTTCGTCAAATGTTTTCTATTAAAATATTCTAATAAGAAGAAAATATGTGTATAAAATGATAGAAAAAGAAAATATAAACAAATTGAAAAGTTGAGACAGTAAAATTCCTCTCAATTTTTTTACTTTTTAATCCAGATTTTAATCTCATTTGGATAAATCTCGTAGTTTGTAAGGGTGTTAGTAAGATACTGTGAGTTTTTAGAACATAAAAATTTTCTTTCTCAGCTCGAAGGAAAAACAAATAAATTAAAGTCTCGCTAGGTAGTTCTAGAAGGATTGCAAGATATTTGGAATGTTGTTGTGCTGAACGCTAACGATCAGATTCCAATCGAGTTAATAACTTTAAGATCTAATAAGAAAGTGAAAAATCAATTTTATTTTTTTTGCAACGCAGCTATGACTCCAGAATCTGTCGAAGATATGGAAGAAAGATATTCAGAATTATTTAAAAAGCTTGACAAAGGGAGAGATGGTCGAATTGATATAAAGGATTTAGCAGCAGAGCTAAAGGAGTTAGGAGTGTGCGAATCTTATGCAGAGGTAAAGTTTTATCACGTTTTCAGTGAATGAAAAAGTCAGGGAAAGCTCCGAAGTTCGCTCATTGTCAAGTTAAAAATACTTTTTAACATTTTTTTCATGTTAAAACGTATTCAATTTTTTATAAATCACTCGTCGACTCTCCTTCATTCATGCGGAGAAATCGATGAGTTCGCAATGACCTACATAAATGAATGGTCACGTTACTACTTCTTATCGACCATAGAAATGTTTCGATTGTTATAATCCTTAGATTGATTAAATTTAATTGCCTTTTCACGCAATCTTTATACGCAATAAAACATATTACGTAAAAACTCGTGTTTATAAGAATATAAAATCGTGCTTAAAATGTTTAGCGTCATAAAAGTTTTAAAATGAGCCGGCAAAAATACATTCATTTGTCTTAAAATATAATTCACATGTTCTTGATGAAGAAATAAAATAAATATTTTTGTTTTCTTATTTCTTTTCATGATAGAAATTTATTAAGAAATCCGACGCCAACAAATCTGGTGAGTAAACATTACTGACATCTGAGGAAATTTTAACATCAACTAAAAGCTTTCAATCCTTTTTTTGCTAGGCGATGTGGGCTTAGGCGAATTTGTGAATTATGTTCGAGAGCATGAAAAGAATCTACGAATACAATTCTCAACTCTGGATAAAAATAAAGATGGTATGATCTTATCAGTGAATTAAGAATTAAGTAACATTATCATTAATCTAACATCCGTCATAATCTAGGAAAAGTCGACCTTGAGGAGATGATAATCGCATTTAAAGAACTTGGCATTAAAATGGAGCGTGATGAGGCTTTAAAGCTTTTTAACAGGTAGATGTCTGATATCAAATGGCAATTTGATGTCATTAAATCTTGACCCTCCTACTTTTATTACTTTAAGAATGGATCAAGACGGGAGCTTGAACATAAGTTTTAATGAGTGGCGAGATTTTCTCCTTCTGGCCCCATCAGATAACATCCATGACATCATAAAATATTGGAGACATTCAACTGTAAGTAAAGAAAAATTAACTTTGTTTTTATTATTTGTTTGATCGTCACAAGATCACGAGAAAGTAATTGGCGATGCCATGTCTCACATACTAACATATCTTTCCACGAAATCAAACAATGTAGGTTGATCAGTAAACAAAAAAATGTTTCTAACACATTGACAATAACAAAATCTCTTCCTGTCGCATACTTTTGGCAAACCGTTGCTCATAAAATAGTTTCTTACACAGGTAATTACAGTTAGGAATAAAATACATCTAAGCGCCTATCTTCATGTAATTTTCCTAAATCTTCAACTAACATTCCATTCCTTCGAAAATTACCTGATCAATAATGAGAAAAATCATTAAATCGTAATTGAATATTTCAATGGAAATTCCATGCGCGGCATCTGACTCCATGACAATTTCTCAGTAGTTAGTTGAAGTCATCTATGACGTCACAGTAACTATCCCAATAAAACTCGTTATAAGCAGCTGATTTCACACGCCAAGCAAGAGAAGAGAAAACGTTATGAGAATGTAGTTTAGCTTCTCTATGCCTCCAATTTTACATTCATACAAATGTGTGTGAGACCTTGTGAGACTCGTCACGTTGAGTGTCGAGACGGAAAAGTAATTTAGTCATTTCTTAGCAAGCATCGAGCTTGGTCACAGAGAGTTGTCGCTTGTTTAAAATTACAATTTCTAAAAAAATAGAAAAATAAAATTAAATTAATCTCGATAGTTCAAGTCGTCATAAATAAAGACTTTTGTAAATCGGGAAGTGCATCTAAAAACATTGAACTACAAACAGAAAGGAAACGAGAAGCGTGAAAGATATTAACGTTACGAAACAAAACCGAAAATTTCTCGAAGTTTTTTTTCCTTTTCTTTTGTGTCGAGTACTTTAAATATCAAAAGTCACAAGAGCCTAGCTTTAAAGTTTAAAACTATCCGGAACAAGCATTGAATCAAGTAGCTTAAATTTGAATATATTTGTGACAGGAAAAAAACTGTAAAAAGAATATATTTATTAAAAATACCTATAAAAAATGGATCAAATGCAGAAAAGCCAATATCAGAAATGCTGTGTAGTGATTTGTGGCGATGTTATGGAAGACTGGAAATATGTGTTTAGAGAACTCAAGATGAGGGTAGGTGTAAGTGTAGTTGCAAATCATGTTCACAAGCTCGTGCAGGGAATTTTCTTGTCCAATGTCTGTTAAAAAAAGGTCGACATACGTAATGAGTCGAGCACATGGCAACAAGAAGGCACGGTTGAAAGTGTGTTGATATTGCAACATAGAAACAACACAAGTGAAGAAAGCAACGATTCGTGTATTCGTGTAGCGTATCGATTGGCATTTTCGAAACTCGTGCTTCACTTACTGATCATCTTATGACTTTTGTAAACATGTTTTTTTGGTTGCTTTTTTATTTCGATTCCTAACCGACCAAATGTACATATTCAGTATGATTTGTTGACTCGAAACAAAAAAGAAATAATTAACTACGTCATCAGAAATTGTCTGTGAGCGATAAGAAAATTTATTTTTAAATAAGTAAATTGTTCAGACTTTCAATTTTTTTCCATTTCTGATGCTAACTCGTTTATAATTTGATCTTTGATCATGTCTCTTTGATTGATTTAATAGAGCACAAACGAACCTGATAAGAAGATTGCAAATTTAAAACTTTTCCTTTGCTGTTTTTTTCCACAATTCATTTTCATTCACAAAATTTACTTTCTTGTTGATGAGATAAAAATTAAAATTGTAATTCGCATATTAAGTTTCTTTAATATTAAAAATTGTCTGATTCATCATACACATTTATGGTGCTAACTAAAAGCTATTTTTATAATTCATTGTCACAAGATTTAATAGTTTTAATGAAAAATCTTCCAGAAATAAATATTTTAGCAACAAGAAATTGAAATTAATTTGACCTCCTTGATTCACGTTTCAAAATTTTTTGCTTCTCCTTCAGTATCTTGACATCGGTGAAGATTTGAATGTACCTGACGATTTTACACAAACCGAAATGGAGACAGGGAGATGGTGGCGTCATTTAGTTGCTGGTGCTTTAGCCGGTGCTGTTTCAAGAACCTCAACAGCTCCATTAGATAGAATAAAAGTTCTTCTACAAGTTCAAAGCACAAAGCAAAGAATCTCAGATTGCTTCAGTTACATGCTGAAAGAAGGCGGCGTAAAGTAAGAAACATTTAGAATCAATTTCATTTTTGAATGAAGGCCAACAAATATTTAACTTTCATTTGAACTTTTCAGGAGTTTATGGAGGGGAAATGGCATAAATGTCTTAAAAATTGCGCCTGAATCAGCAATCAAATTTGCCGCATATGAACAAGTCAAACGTTTTATTCGTGGACCTGATAATCGACCCATGTCGATCTTTGAAAGGTTTGTGTTCTGTTTATTCCTTTCCTTGCCAATTTATCAATAAACAGGCATCTTATTTCGTATTATTTTCATCTTTGTTTATAGATTTGTTGCAGGAGCTTGTGCTGGTTGTGTTTCCCAAACCGCAATTTATCCTTTAGAAGTATTGAAAACTAGATTAGCACTTAGAAAAACAGGGCAATATGCAGGAATGTTAGATGCAGCAAAGAAAATTTATGCTGGTGAAGGACTTCGGAGTTTCTATCGTGGATACATCCCCAATGTTTTAGGTAAATATCGCGCTTATTTTTAACACCTTTGTCACTGATTGAAATTCATTTGTTTTACTTTTCATTTCACAGGAATCATTCCATATGCCGGCATCGACCTTGCCGTATATGAAACATTGAAGAAGAATTACTTGTCACAACACACTGAACAGGAAGCACCACAAATCTGGTTGTTACTTGCTTGTGGTAGTGCATCGTCAACCTTGGGCCAAGTCTGCTCATATCCATTGGCTTTGGTGCGGACAAGATTACAAGCACAAGGTGAAATAAATGAAATTGAAAGTGAATTGTGAACAGTTTTAATTGAAATTGTTGCCATTTATAGCTGTGTCGAAAACAACCAATTTAAATCTGAATGTTGTAGGATTAAACAGTGTGCCGTTTGCGTCACAACCGAAACTTCCATCAAAAGATTATACCATGACGAGTGTCTTCAAGAGAATCATTCGAACAGAAGGATTTGCCGGACTCTATCGTGGAATCACTCCAAACTTCATCAAAGTTTTGCCAGCTGTTTCTATTAGTTATGTGGTTTATGAATATAGTAGCAACAAATTAGGCGTCAATATGACATAAATGTCATTAAAATATTTATCATCTTTACATCTTTGAGCTTTGCATTAGATAAATAATTATTTAAAAATTTCTTTCGACTCTTTCAAATCATCTTTTAGAGATAAAGAAACCTTTTTTGATATAATTCAAAGATTTTGTTCTTTTGTCAGCTCTCTTCTCCTATAAGAATTTTTAATGTCTTAAAAGAAATCCTCTTAGGAATTCAATCCTTATAAAAATCATACAGTGAATAATTTTAATTCTTGTATGATTCATTCATAAAACAGATGAAAGACCATCGAATCAAAGATAGTTTATAAGAGAATGAGGATTTATACTCCCAAGTATTTGTTTTAGATTAAAATTTTAATCGGTTGTAACAAGACAAATCTTCTTATCTGTTGCCAAACTTTGTGTTTATTTTTTGACGACATATGATTTGTAATACGATCGATTTGTCATGCACTCCTCCGTTTTCTAAATAGAAAAAAAGTTGCATAGATTTAATTCTCTTTAATTTTATTAAATAAGGAGATTGAGAGTTAAACTTAAACAACTTAGAAATTGCTTTTTGCATACCTAAGTAGGAAAAAAATATTTATTGATTTTAAAAAAAGACGACGAATTGATAGAGTTACTTAAAGCGACTTAAAGAACATGATAAACTTAACCGAATAAGGAAAGGTGTGGAGTGAAGCTAAGATTGTGTCTTTTAAGTCAAACTTCAAAATGATATGCAAATTTAATAAACAAACAAATGATAATGATGAAGTGAAAAATCATGAATGAGAAACTAATTTCTGTGATGCTCTGATAGAAACATTTAGTTTAAAATTTAAAGATTTAAATAATAATTAGGTAGCTTTTTCAACAATTACCGAAGGATTTAGTTTTTCATAAAACAATAATTGCAACATTGCAACTGCTAATAACTGTTCAAATCGGTCAAGTCTTTTCATTTCCTCAGAAACTTTTGACGTGCATTTGAAGAGTCGAATTCTTAACATAAGAGAAACATTACATTGTAAACAAGATTAGTTAAGACGTAAATTTCTATGCATTCAATTAATTCTTAAACTCTGAAAAGAAAAAAATTAGAAAAAAATCATAAATTAAACTTTTTCTTCCTAAGCATCAGAAATTGATGTTCTAAAAGCAAAACAATCTAACTAATAAATTAAGAAATTAAACAATTTCGATTTTAACTGTTAAAAAACATAAATTGGAAACATAAAGTGACATCTCATCTTTGTGCTTTAAAATTATTATTTATTGAAAATATAAACAAAAATTGAAATGAATTGAAATTAATAAATTCCAAGTTCGTTGATCTAATTCATGAATTAAATTTGTCTCTTTTCTTTTAAACTATTTTAGTTATTCCAGTTTAATATAACTAATTCGTCTAAGTTTATTTGGTCATTTTCTTTTTCAAAAACAGGAAAACATTTTGTTCAAGGTTGATTCATAATTTATGACAAAGTAACGATGAATAATCACATAAAATTTCAAAGGTTTATCAATGAAAGCAATGGACGTTTATCATTTCATTTGAAAATTTTAAATGTCATTCATTTATTGTTATCGGAAAGAATAATTAATTTATAAGTGTGGGTGGGTTGAATAATCAGACACTCTTTTTATAATGACTTCACTACTTTTGCTGTAGAATGGAAGTTGTCATGATATCTTATTCGTTTTTTGATCATATAATACCTGATGTAGAATTTATATTTTAAATATATGCCAGTATAAAGATTTTTCTTTCTTCTTATAAATTCTTAATAGTTTTTAAAGCTCGTGATATTGAACGATTAATTCACGAAATTAATAATTTTTTTCATTCAAGTTCTACTCAAATTATTTTCATACGTATTAAATATTTAACATACATAACGTTTACTTGATCTTTTACTCAAAAAGAACATCTATAAAAATATATGACAATAACAAAGAATCATACCAGTGACGTCTTAGCCGCACCGTTTTTAACTCTTTGCTATTGTCGAAAATGAATCTTTGAAAATGCATGATAGTTGAACCAATTTATCACCAATCGAATTCGTGAAAGCATCCACGAAAATATATTAAACTTTAGTATTTTATAGCAAAAGTCTCTGACTTGATCAATTAAATGATAAGGTTGATGACCTCCGTTGATATAACAAACGTAACAAAATCCGTCTCGTGATTTTCCTTTGATCGAGTAATAATATGGAAGAAATGAATGCAGAGTAAAGCTGTAAATAAAATTTATTAGATGAATGTTCTTTCACGTTGATAGATTTGACTTACTTATAACGCTCATAAAATAAAATTGCTGGTTGATTTGTCGTTAGAACGTGTAAATATATTGCCTTAATTTTTGAATTTTGTTCACTACTTTGTAAATGTTCTATAAAAGTTTCCAAGAGAAGAGTTGCGATACCACTTCGACGATATCTGAGAAGCAAGAATTTTTTATCATTAATATTTGTTTATAATTCCTCATAAGTCATGCATACTTGCAATGAACACCGAGTGAAAGAATATACGCAAGAGATGATCCTCTTCCCAAACTCTCAGATAAAATAGTTTTGTCTTCTTTGTTCAGTTTCGACCATGATTTAATTTCAGCTACTAATAATCCAACGATAGCAAAATTATAGACTGCTGCGAGGCTATAGAATCTTGTCGAGTTATGTGTAATATCTTCATACCTTGTTATTTAAAAATAAAAAGATAACAAAGAAAGAAAATGAATCTACAGGTTTTATTTTATTTACGTTTTTTCTTACCAAGAAAGTGGATATTCAATGGGAAAAGACTCCTCACAAAGTAGTCTGACCTCATCAATGTCATCAGGAACGAGAAACCGTAGTGAAATCTTTTCCATGCTTGTTTTCTTTTTGTCCGAAACCTCAAGGATTTGTTGCATTTCACTATCCTCTCGTTTTTCGCTGTACCTTATTTATTAACATTAAGAAAAATTATGTTTTACAAGATCTTGCACAATTTTCATGAATTTTTATTGCGAAATTGTCTTACCAAATCATTTTTAAATCTAACTTGATCGTATCAAATTTCAAAAAATAAATTAAAAGCTTTTGTTGTTATTTATTCTATGTTAATGACAGTGAAATGAAGAAATATTCATAATAACTTTTTTCTTTGAAATAAATAATTTTCAATATTTCTCTTAGATGTATTCAACAATATATTTTTTTCTTCCTTTTTTAATATAAAGATACTTTTTCACTAAACCTTCAAGTGAGTATTTTATGCTTTTTGTGTGAAGAATAAAATATTTTTAGAATTTCAAATTTAATGAACAATTTTTTCGTAAAGCAAGGGCATTGAACTAGTGTTGTATTAAACCTTCCAATTTGAAGGGTTCCCGGGCATCATGTAATAAAAATATCTGAAAAATAGATGAATTTTAAATAATGCAAAAATTTACAATTAAAAGCCATGCATTTAAATTATGAATAAGAAATGAAACGAAATGTTTGGGATGTTGACATAACTTTGAAACTTTCTTTTGAAAATAACTTTATTACTTGTAATTTTGAAATTGGTTTAAGCTATCTAAGGGACTTTCAGAAGTTTAATGCTTTCTTCAATAAATAAAATGTGTTGAGAGCCTCTGCCGAAACATTTTTGCTTGCAAGCAGACTATCTTCAAGAGCTCTTAAGCAATCAGCCAAGTTATCATCGTCGTGTTGTTTACATTGAACTTGATTTTCGGTTGTATCTGGATAGTCGTGATCTTGATCAGTTTCTTCTTTAACAATAACTTCTGTTTTGAAGTTATTTTCGTGAGCTCCTATGGAATCAACAAAGTCGTTATTGTCGATTTCTTCAAATTCTTGTTCATATTCAACTATATTAAAAATATCACAATTATCTTCATCTTTTTCAGCGACAGTTTGTAAAATCTCTTCATCTGTCAACAGCCCAGACGAAACTAAATCATCATCAAAGTTTATGAAATTTTCGTCTATCTGCATTTGCTCAAGAGGATCCCAGTCATATATTTCTTCGATCATAAAATCTTGTTTCCATCCCGCTGCGTTGAAGCAATTGCTGATCGTTTGTGGTGATATTTTATCCCATGACTGAACGAGAATGTCGATTGCCTCCAGGACATTATTTTCGATTGATTCCTTTCCATCTATAATTTTCATGTGATTGCTGACTAATTCTGTTCTATAAAGTTGTTTGATATTTTTCACTATTCCCATGTTCATAGGCTGTGGAACTGAACTACAATTCGAAGGGAAAAAGACCAGTCTAATATTTTGAAGGAGATAAGAAACACTTTTGGTATGTGCTGAACAATTATCGACTATTGCCACGACAAAACGATTTTCGACCTGCAGCTGTTTATCCCATTCGACGAAAAAGTCTTCAAATAAGAAAGGTGTCATCCATGCTTTTAAATTGTTTCTATACAACGATTTAATTTTCGTTGTGACGTTTTTAAAGCAGAGAGGATTTTCTGACTTGCCAATTATTAGCAATGGCAATTTTTCGGTTCCTGACATATTTGCTCCTATGAGTATAGAAAGTCTGTTGCGACTGAGTTTGCCATCCGAACAAGTTTCACCTCTCAATTCCGCACTTTTGCTAGGTGTTGCCTTCCACAATAGTCCAAACTCATCTAAGTTGAAAATGTCATCTTCTGAAAATTCGTTTAACAATGGTTCGAATACCACTTGAATCCAATTCTCAGTCATTTCCCGTTCGACTGAGTCAGAATCATTAGAAACTACCCGCCAGGAAACAGAATTTCTCTTTTTAAACTTAGCAAGCCATCCATCTGAAGCTTTGAAATCTTCAATTTCCAGAGATTTTGCAAATTGTAGAGCTTTAGTTTTGATTATTGGTCCTGATATGTGGGCCTTTGCTGCACGCATCTGACAATACCACAAGTAAACAGCATGTTCCAATCTAAAAGAAAATAAGAAGTTAAATTGTTGATAAAGTTGCTTGGAATTCCACCAATTAAATGTTGTTACTTTTGATGTTTCGGTGGTTTAAATCTTTTTCTTTTTAAACACAAAGGGTCATTTTTAACCATTGCCCCAATGTCCTCTGATCTTTTAAATGTCCTTGACAAGGTGGCTTGAGAACAGTTAAATTTTTCTGCCAGACTTGAACGACTTTCACCGGAATTTCTCAAATTTATAATTAATAATTTGTCTTTTGCACTTAATAAATATCTTTTTTTACTTATTTGCTGCATTTTCTTTATTTTTATTGCCTCTAAATAATATTTTTCAAGTAAAAATTTGATTAACGCGTAGAAGTCTGTTTTTATTTTATGTGCATTTGTGGAGAGTATTTCCTATACGAACACTGATGCACATCAGAGAGTTTTTCAAATATAGAACTTTTGCATTTGTGGAGCGTACATTGAGCTTAACTGAGATTGTGTTTTAACTTATGGTGTTTTTGTAATTATTGAGCTTGTATTTATGAAGCAGGCAATGTATTTTTAAAGTTTCGGATTTAATGAAGACAAAAATATTTTCGTAAAGCAACGGGCATTGAACTAGTTTTGTATTGAGCCTTACAAATTGAAGAGTTCCCGGGCATTAAATAAAACATTAGAAAAATAAACGAATCTAAATCAATACACAACTTTACAATTAAAGGCAATGCTTATAAAATATTAATAAGAAATGAAACGAAATTTTTGATGATGTTGACATAATGACTTCTTTTTAAAAATAACTTTATTACCCTTAATTCTAAAAATGATTTAAGTTATCTAAGAAGGGACTTTTAGAAGTGTAATGCTTTCTTCAATAAATAAAATGTGTTGAGAACTTCTGCTGAAATATTTTTGCTTGCAAGCAGACTATCTTCATGAGCTCTTAAGCAATCAGCAATGTTATCATCGTCGTATTGCTTACATTCAACTTGATTTTCGGTTATATTTAGATAGTCGTGATCATGATCAGTTTCTTCTTTAACAATGACTTCTACTTTGAAGTTATTTTCGGGAGCTCCTATGGAATCAGCAAAGTCGAAATTGTCGACTGGGTTTTCAGTTTCGTAGTTGTCGATTTCTTTATATTGTACTTCATTTATGGCGAAATTATCACAATCATCTTCATCTTTTTCAGCGACAGTTTGTAAAATCTCTTCATCTGTTAGCAACCCAGACGAAACTAAATTATTATCAAAGTTTATGAATTTTTCGTCTATCTGCATCTGCTCAAGAGGATCCCAGTCATATATTTGTTCATCGATCATAAAATCTTGTTTCCATCCCGCTGTGTTGAAGCAATTGCTGATCGTTTGTGGTGATATTTTATCCCATGACTGAACGAGAATGTCGATTGCCTCCAGGACATTATTTTCGATTGATTCCTTTCCATCTATAATTTTCATGTGATTGCTGACTAATTCTGTTCTATAAAGTTGTTTGAAATTTTTCACTATTCCCATGTTCATAGGCTGTGGAACTGAACTACAATTTGAAGGGAAAAAGACGAGTCTAATATTTTTAAGGAGATAAGAAACACTTTTGGTATGTGCTGAACAATTATCGACTATTGCCACGACAAAACGATTTTCGACCTGCAGCTGTTTATCCCATTCGACGAAGAAATCCTCAAATAAGAAAGGTGTCATCCATGCTTTTAAATTGTTTCGATACAACGACTTGACTTGGGATTTAACGTTCCTAAAGCAGCGAGGATTTTCTGACTTGCCAATTATTAGCAATGGCAATTTTTCGGTTCCTGACATATTTGCTCCTATGAGTATAGAAAGTCTGTTGCGACTAAGTTTGCCATCCGAACAAGTTTCACCTCTCAATTCCGAACTTCTGCTAGGTGTTGCTTTCCAAAATATTCCAAATTCGTCGAGATTAAAAATGTTCTCTTCAGGAAATTCAGCAAGAAGAGGTACGAGTTCCAATTGAATCCAGTTATTGGTAAGCCTTTCGTGGATTGTGTTAGAGTCATCAATATTTAGTTTAGAACTAATCGCATTTCCTTGCCTTGGTCTGATGATGCCATTTCTTCTTTGAAAATTACAAAGCCAACCCTCAGAAGCCTTGAAATCAACTATTCCCATAGATTCTGCAAATTCTAATGCCTTTTGCTTAATAATTCGTCCTGTCAGACGAAATTTTCCAGTACGCATTTGACGAACCCAAACCATGAGAGCTTCGTCCACTCTAAGTAGGTATAAATAAATGATCACAATAAATTTATTTGATACAAATTTTTAACATTTCATTCAATTATTTTAACTGGAAACGTAATCATTCTATTCTTTTAATTAGACCTACCTTTGGAACTTTGCTGGCTTCATTCTTTTTGATTCTAAGCACAAAGGATTCTCTCTTGCTTTCAGTTCAATAGATTTTTGATATTTTATTATAGCTGATAATGTTGAAGAACCAATATTGAATTCTTTCATTAAGTTGGCTCGTGACTCTCCACATTTTGCTTTTTCAATAACTTTGAGTTTATCTTTGATAGATATTGTTCTTCTTTTCTCATTTATTTGCGACATTTCTAATTCTTTTAGAAATTGGCAAAAATGTAAATAAGTTGATCAAAAAATTGTTTTTTGTGAACCTTACACTTTGAATGGTTCATCACCACTACTTATTCAGTACACTTATTTACTACTACACTCCTACTTCTGCTCTTTGTATGATGAAACACCAATAAAATGAAACATGCTTACTATGCTTATAGTTTTTAAGCTCGACACAATTTTTGTCGAGTTGTAGTTTTTCTCTGATTTTTCAAAAGGTCGTAATAATTTAAATATAATAGCTTTATATTTTAAGAATTCTGCAATAATTTGATTGTTCCTTTAGTAAAAATTATATATTTTTTTAAAAATTTATAAGAAAATTGTAGATAACATCTAAATCATATTTTATTGCATAAGTTCTGGAAATTTAGAAGGAAAAAGTATGGAATTCTTAGAAAATTTGAGTGACAGTTTGTCCCCGTACAAGGATCTGGTAGCAAATATTGCTACAACAATGACAATTGCACAACTGATGACACCAATTCTTTTGATAAATGACATAAGAAAGATGAAGACAACTGAAGGTATCAGCATTGTTCCCTTCCTAGGCGGTGCAGTTCTGTACGTGGTTTTTTTCAATTGGACAATAGATGTTGACTTTTGTCTTTTATTATTTATTTGTTATAATATTTAGATGCACACTTTTTCTTCAATTTGGTCAAATGATTGGTGACCCTGTAACAGTGAAAGTTGTAGGTGTAACAAGTAGCAGTTGATGTCAAGCACTTTTCTTATGTTTTTTTCTTTTGTTCCTTTTATTAGAACATTGTTGGAGTCTTACTCAGTCTTTTTTACTTACTTGCTTTTTACTATTACACTCCAATCAAGGAAAAGTTTTCAGTTTGGTCGAAAATTGGGGGTGCATTTATATTTTCTACTGGAATCATTCTTTACACAATGGTAAAATATACTGGAATTCAATATCTTTTACTGATTTGTAAAGCTTTTAGTATGAAGATCCCACCCTGGTAGAAATGAGATTTGGTATGATCTTGACTGGTTTGTTGTATTTAGTTATGGCTGCACCAATGGCTGATTTAAAACATGTAATTCGTGATAAATCCACAGAAAGCCTTCCATTCCCTATAATATTAATGGGATTCATAGTTTCTTTTGTTTGGTATGATCTTAAATTCTTTTAATTTCAAATAATCTTATAAACATTTTTCATCAGGTTGATTTATGGAATAATCTTGAATAGTTTATTCATGGTTTTTCAAAATATTTTTGCGGTTCTTTTGACCGGATTCCAGCTATCATTCTTTGCAATTTATCCATCAACTCCAAAAGTTAAAGACACCAAAAAGAAAAATTAATTCAAAGAAAATAGTCGACTAAAGACAATAATTAAAGGAAATTCATCTGAGATATCTTAAAACGTACTCTTGTTAAAATTTATTGTTCCTCATGACGAATTTATTCCTGTTAAAAGACAATAATAAAAATAAAAGAATTTTCTAAAAACATAAATTTTATATGATCATCATTGAACACATCTTTCTATTGAAATCTTCCTTATAGAAATGATTATGAATCTTAACGGAAGTTCCTTTTTTGAAATCATCGAAATCATCATCGAGTTTCGAAATGTATATCAATGATAGTTCGAAAGAATTAAACGCCATCAGATTTTTTTCTCGCGAATGTCATCAAGTTATAGTTGAAATAAACCTGCATTTAAGACTAAAATTTATAGTCATCTAATTTTCTCGAAGAGAACAACAAAAGGCTTCTAATGTAAGATTGAGTTTAAGTCAACACGAAAGAAGAATGCTTCTTTACTTAAAAAATCATTTTAATGGTTAGCGAATGATTTGATTCATTATAATGCATTTTTCAATTGTTTTTTGATGAAGGAAAAGAAAGTTAATATAATGGAATTAAAAAGGAGCGTGAAGGGTTCAGACATGATACGAATATGTCTCCGGATTTTTGGGGAAATAAGAAGAAGAAGTCTTTCGAATTTTCCTCCATAAAAGCATATCTTTAAATTAAGTGGAAAAATGATTTAAGAAAAAAGAAATTTCTCATGTTGTCTAAGTTATGTCTATATTGGCTCTTGATAAACAAAAACAAAACCTTTTCAATTACTCACTAATTTAGAAGAAAAATAAACAATTGCATTGTGAAATCACATTCATTTGATTGAACGAGAGATATCATGGACTACGGAAATAACGAGAATCGTTTTAATAGCAACCGGTCTTATAACCGCGATGGAGGCGACGGCGGTGGTCATCGCAGCAACTTTTCAGCATCTGAGCGTTCAGTCATCCAAATTCCTGGAACTCATATTGGAAAAATTATCGGTCCAGCTGGTCGACATATTAATGGTAAGCTAACAAATTTCTTGGCAATACAAAAGTAATTGAAAACAATTTAATTTCTTCTCTTTGTAGATATGCAGAGACAATACAATGTCAGGATTCAAATTAACAAGATGGTGAATGAAGAAAAGAAAAAAAGAGACTAACAAGAAGTAAAATGTATCATTAATCTTAATATTTGTTCTCCATTTTATTTAAAGGCAAACAGCGATGGAACAAAAGATGCAGAAATCTCTGGTAATAATATAAATGATATACAAGACGCGATTAAAGCCATCAATGAACAAATTGATGCACCATTTGAGCGTCGAGGTGGTGGCGGCGGAGGTGGTTCTCGGTATAATGATGGACCACATAGATTTGGCGGTCAAAGAGATGGTGGGTACAGACCGAGAGGTAAGGGGAAGATTTTTTTTCCTCGTTTGTTTATTTGAATGAATTTTAATAGTAATTTTATGCATTTCAGGTGACAGAAATTACGGAGATCGCAGCGGTGGATTTTCACGTGGCAGAGAAGACAATTAAATTTAACCAAATTTAATATCTTTTTTTTTTTGTATATCCACATAAAAGAAGTTAAAGGATTTAAAATTGAACGAAAAAACATCTCTGAAACGAAGCCTGTTCTTGGGGGATAACTTTAAAAATAAAAATTTAAAAACACTTTGAAATTATTTTTTTTATTATTATTTTTTTTTTGAACAGAACAATCGCTAAAGAAAAATATTCTATTGACTTCCATATTATATCGGTTATCATAATCAGTGGAAAAAAAAGAAAGAAAAAAGAGAAACACAATTATTCAGAGGTTATAAAATAACAACTTCGTATTACAATAGAATCATAAGCTAGAAAACTTAATCGAAGATCTTTCTAGTAATGTTTTTCTTTTATCAACATTTTTCTTCGATCTTTCTTTTCACATTCTTTTGAAAATGTTCTTAAACTTTTGCTTACAAATGTACCAGCAATTATTATATACCTAAATTAATGATTTTCCTTTTATTTCATTGCTAGGTTGCTTTTTTTTTCATTTTTATGTTCATTTTTTTTTGGATAATGATGTAACGTTTTTCAGTTTTTAATAAAAAAAAATTATAATTAAAAAAAACAAACAAACGTAAACTAGAAGTTAATGTGAGCTTCAACTCAAATTTCTTTTCTTTTTGTATTTCGTTTTTATGTAGTAAACGAAAAGTCCCAACACCTCAAACAGACTGCAGTCTGATGTTAAATCGAAAAAGAAAATTTTTCCTTTATCCGGCTGGAAGCTTTTCATAGTTTCTTTCAAATTTCTTTGGTGCTAGTCATTAAGTGGTGCCACTTGATAATATTCATTTAGCTAGTTCCCGATTATGAGAAACTTCAGCTGGCAAATATTTTGTATATGTTTGTAAACGAAAAGGCCACCACCAAACTGCAACCAAATCACTATCTAAATGACGACCAAATGCTTTAAATATTTATGTTCAACACGCTTTTCTTCTCCTTTCTAACTAGCTCATACATATGAAAAATTTCAAAGTTAATCATCTGAATTCATACATAAATTTAACAAGATTATTCTTTAACTCTTCTAAATTTATATGCTATGGCGATCAATGTGTTAATTATTGTTTTATGAATAAAGAAGAAAAAAATAACAAAAAGAGAAGAAAAAAAATTAAATTAAAATTAGTGTGAAATTGATTATTATTATTATAAAAAGAAGTTAAAGAATCATTTTTGATTTTTAATCGTTTCAGTTAATTTTTGTTTTCAAAAGGCATAATTTTTCTAAATCACATTTTCATTCATTTATGTTCTTTAACGTGGTTTTTTTTAATCATTGAAAGAGTTGTAACTTTTAAGTCTGTCCCATTTCAGCTTCATTCAAAGTGATTCCTTTTTCTCTTATTTTTCTTTATTTGTTTTACAAAAGAAAAAATTAATTAGAACTTCATAACTGTAATGTCTAATGTTTAACGGCATTGAATGCACAAAGTTTCTTCATTTTTTTTATCTCTTTTTCATCTCACTTTCTTTCAAACGATGATGAAAATTATTTTGTGTCTTATTTTTTCGAAACAAATCTTGATTTCTTTCTTCAATCATTATCATTATAATTAATATTATTATTTTTATAATTATTATCATTATTTCTATTTGGTTGATTTCTGATTATTCTGATGATTATTGCAATTATGATCTCGTTGCTCCCTGTTGGCACCAATGGTATCGTAACGTCGATAATAAAGAAGATATGGAACTCGAGGTGATTTTGGATTGAGAACGTTTGCTTCAGGCACAGCTTTGACTGTACTGTCATCATAACGAATCCAACTGCTGTATCCAACATGGAACACATCAGTTATGTAGTGTCCCTTACTAGCCTCTTTTCCATCATGATAAACAACTGCAAACAATTTATATTGCTTTTGCTTTTGTTGATATTTATTTTTTGACGCAATAATCTCTGTTTTCATGTTTTTAATGATAGAAAAAAAGATTAAAAACAAATAAGTATTTGATAAGAAGAGATAACTTACTCGGATCCAACTTCAATTCAACTGGAAATTCGACTGTTTTTAGGATTTTAGTGCAACTATCTTTTTTGAAATCGAAACATTTCAAATGAAGGATGAGAACGACAGGAAGTTCTTCTAATGTAACTTGTTGCCATGCTACGACTTCTTGATTTGTTCGACTGCATGTAACACCTTCAAGTTGATCACGACCAACTAATATTTCAAGAGCTTCACGAACCGTTGTTGCTTTCTAATAATTTATGTGAGTTAAAATAATATTTATTACTTATGTACGTAATAAAAGTTTAAATGACTTACTTCAATTACTAATTTCAAAGTGAAGAACGGTTCAATATTGTCCGATGAATGATCCCCTTCTCGATGAACTCGAAGACGTAATTTACCACCAAAAATATCACTAATTGGTGAACGACCAAAATCAGTCGTACGTGTTATGGTGCTTTTATTTCGAGTTCCACTTATGACCTGTCGAAAAGTTAATTAAAACATAAATTAACGATAAGAATGGAATTTCCTTTTTGCAAATTATCACAACCCTGCCATTCTTCTTCATCTTCAGCATTTGGATCAAAGTTTCCGTTGACATCATCGTTAACTTTTTCTTCTTTCTTCGGTGGTGCTTTAGGTTTCTCAACGAGCTTTTTCAACTAATTTTTTTACAAAAATGAATAAAAGAAAGAAGATAAGAAAATATTTTTTTTTTTATAAAATTGTGAAATGTACAGATAAGAAAGAATTTCTCTCACCTCAATCATTTCATCATTCATCCGATTAAGAATGAAACTCAGAAACTCTTCAGCATCCTCTTGTCTTCCTTCAACTGGAAACATTTCTGTTCGCAGTGCTTGAAGCATTTTAAAAATACAAACAGGCTCGAAAGCGCTGTCACGAATTATTTCTGGGACTTCTTCTTTTCTGTTCATTTTATCTCGTGGTACCCATTTCCGGTAAGGCAATGGACTGTAATTGGAAACCAGTTCGACCCTGACAAAAAGAAAAATTGTCACAAACATTGCTTTGAAAAGAATTTCAAACTTTTCACTTACATTGCATCAGTTACAGGAGTTTTTGTTTGGACACGATAAGTTGGTGACATTTGAGGAATTGCTTTCATCAAATGATAAAAAGGCGGACAAGCTACCAGAGCCTGAAGGATGGCATTAATGTAGCAATAATTTGATTTGTTAAGCAATCCTCGTGGTAAGAGACTGACGCTGCTGCTTTCAATCTTGTACTTTGAAAAGAAATCTATGAAACAAATAATTAAATTGAAAGAAAGAAAGATGAAAATAATGAGACAAACTTACCACCCAATTTCATAGCGTGTTGATCAACGTGAGAAGACTTTGAGTGAACATTGTGATTGACATTCATTGTTGAATTATTGTTAAATTCATTCAATTTCGTATTTTGAGGTAGAATTTTAGAATCAGAAGCATCTCCACTTGCTGTAGTTGCAGTAACAGTTGATGTTGGTGGTTGACTGTTGACTGTTACAGATTGAGCAGAAACAGCTGAATAGCTCATGACACCAGGCAACAACTGTGGTGGTTGTTGTTGTTGATTAACAATTGTCGGTTCTGAATGAGTTTTGGGTATCGTTGATTGCTTCTGAGTTGTTTCTGAAGATTGTGAAGTTGTTGTTGATGATGGTTTTGAACTGCTTCCAGTATCTGAAGACATGAATAGTTCAGCCCATGTTGCTCGAACTGGAGTTGAATTATTTGTCGCTACGGAAGGTTTTGTTGAGTGTTGTGTGACTTTATCAGCAACTGGAAGTGAGGCTGGCGTCACTTCTTCAGCTGTCCGAACATTTTCTTGAACAGCAGCACCAGTTTCTGACTTTTTATTGTTTACATCTTGACTTGACCCTCCAACTCCAGTGATTGTTGTCACAATTTGCTGTTTCACTCGTTCACTTAGTGCCATTTGTGTTTGTGCCTTTGAAGTTTGCGTTTCATTTTGTTGTTGTCTAAATTCAGTCTTCTTACCATCAACATGCTGTTTTGACGATGTTTGCTGCTTCGATTGAGACGGTGCAGTTGCTGCTGCAACAGTTGAGAATGTGCTCTGAAAAGCTGGAAATTGTTTATCTCTTTCATTATTCATTTCGCCATTTCTCTCTTTTCCGTCATTTCCGTAATCATTGGAGCTGTCAACATTATTTTGTTGCAATTGAACGCTGTCCTTATGAGGAATCGCTGACACTGAAACAGAAGCAGTTTGTTTCTTCATTGATTGTTGATTTATAAAATTCTGAGGATTTCCCCATGCTGGAGGTTTCTCTTTCGTCTTTACGATCATTTTATTATCAATTACATTGACAACTTTAGTCGGAGGAGCATTAACTTCTTCATATTTCAATTCCGCAGCGTTATTAGTTAAGTCAGCAACAGTTGAAGACTGAACTTCAATTATGTTGTTGTTATTATTCTCGTTATTCATTTCCATTTGTGTAGCCGCAACATTAGTCGGATTATGAACTTGAAGCACATGATGAACTCCAGAATGTGGTGATGAATGAACAACATCAGTTTGAATCATTAAATCGCGTGTTTTCTCAATAATTAACAATTCACCAGCAGCAACACTTTCATTATCATTTTCAGTCGGATTCATATTTGATTCGTGCTGATAAATCTCATTCTGATCAATTGTTGTTTCATTCTCAGTCATGATTGGTTCAACGTAAAGATTTTGTTGAAGACATTGACCGTCAATGTTCGGGGTCATCACTTGAAAATTACTCGGATGATTGATAATTTGCATTTGATATTCATCTTGAGTAAATTCGAGATCAACTTCCCCTCCGCCTCCACCGCCAGTTCCACCCACAACATGTGGCGAATGTTGGAAAATCGGCTGTTGATGTGGCTCCGAAAATGCGACATGATGTGGCCAGGGGATTGATTGAATAAGAGTTGGTGGAGGTGCTCCACTACTATCCGGATTTTGATTGTGCTCATTCTCAGATATTTCTGACTGTTGATGAGTCATCTGATGTGGTTGTGTTGGCATCACATTGTACATGAACGGATAAGGATAAACATGAAGCGGCTGTTGAATTGCAAACAGCGGTTGTCCAGTTAAATTTTGAGCCGTTGCTGAGCTCGTTGATCCAGGAAGTGCTGCTATATGTGGTCCACCACCGGGTGGTCCATAGTAAGGAGGAAAATGATGATGAATATAAAATTGCGGATACGGTCCAGATGACATCAATGCAGTCGCCGACGGCTCCATCTGAGAATATTCCGCATTTGGAACCGACGATTGTTGATTCTGCTGCTGTTGTTGCTGCTGATGTTGATTATTATGACGCATTGGATAATCACGACGACCCATATTTGTTCCGCCTCGTGCTCGACCTCGCCGGCCCCGATTATTATTATTGTTATTATTTAACATGTGTTGTTGCTGTTGTGCTAATGGTGGTGGATTAGTGTGATGATCATTTTGAACTTGAATGCCCATGTTGGTATCACGTTCAGTGTTTTGGGGATAAAGAGCAGGAATCATTGTTTGTCCAGGTGGTCCATTCGACACATAACCAGTGTGGATTGGAAAGTGTTGTAATAAAGGCACAGTTCCAGAAGGAAACATTTGTGGATAAATTTGTTGTGAACTATAATGTCCTGTCGATTGAGGATGATGAGGATGTGAAGTGTTGTTGCTTTGATTCGATGATGGAGACGACGATGTTGTTGTTGACGTTGTATTAGTTTGGAAGTTTGTCAATGGCGGTGACATGTTTGTACTCGTGATGTTTAAGTTTTTATTTGAATCGCGAGAAAAATCTTTTTGATAATATTGATTTGATTCCTTAAATCCAGCGCTTGTTCTTTTCGTTGAAGGATCTTTTTGACTCGTTTGATTTGACTCTTTTAAACCAACTAAAATGGAAAGAAATTAAGAGGTTTATGGTCAACTTCATCGAGTTGATGTTTTTGTAAAAGGTAAACAATAAAAAATCAAAATGTATCGTCAGGAGGTGAATTTTGTCTTTCGAATTGTAAATTTTAAGCAACTTTCATAAATAACTTCCATGTGTTGAAGAAATCAAGAAAAGAACGCGACGCTCACCCCCTGAAGATTATTTTTTAAATTAGCTACAAATAAATATTTGAAAACGGTTAAAATGAAAAAGAAACTTTTGAGCAAATGACAATTAAAAAAGCAGAATAATTGTTATTAAGAATGGTTAATAACATTAAACTGAGTGAATAATCCTTACCATATGGCGCTTTCTTGTTATTGGGATGCCATTTGCTTAGTTTCTCTTGTGTGTTAGAATAGTTTCTAAGATCACCGAGTCTTTTAGAGTTTATGTTAGTATTACTATTATTATTTATTGATGAGACATTACTGTTATTAAAATTATTGTTATATTTTCCACTGAAGTTGTTTGGCTCAGAAGAAAACGATCGAGTTGTAAAAGGAGCATGTTGTGGCAACTCATGCTCAATGGAATTCATTTGTTTTGTTGTATAAAATTGGTAATTTGTTTTTTGAATTTTGCTACTATTACTATTATTGTTATTATTGTTAGGATGATATTGAACGGTGGTTGAACATTTATGTGGTAGAACAGGAGAGTTATTCATAGCTAAATTACTTCGATATTTCTCTCGATGAGCAGAATATGTGGTGGACGAGGATGAAGCACTTAAAGTATTTTTCAATTTCAACTTTTGTGTCTCATCGCAAGAAGACATATCCAAGAATTCAAACGAATTATAGTTAGATGTTGCTTTGTTGTTGAACTCGTTTGTTTGCATCTGTTTATTTGTCTCATTACTCGATCCTTCAGTCCTTTGATTTACTGAAGACTTCAATTTTAGTTTTGTTTTAATTTTTTTTTAAATTGAAAATTTTCATTAACCCCGAGAATTGTATGAATGTTTATTTAAATGATTAAAATCGTTTCGAAAGAGAAGAAGAAAAAAAATTAAAGAAAAAAGTAAGAATTAGTTAATTATGTCGCTCATGTGTGTTTATAATTTGAAGTTGTTCCATTTTGTGGTGGAAAAAAGCATTTATCGAACATTTTTTTCTTACTCATAAGAAGTAAGTTTTCCTTGAGTTGTTAAGAGTTTAACTAATTGAAAAACTTGTTTGACTGGAAAACGTTTTTTTACTTCTTGTTTAATTCCACTATTTGACTTGACAATTGATCTTAAAGGATTCTAACCAAACTCAGTGATTACGAAATTCTAAGATTATGTTTCGTTCAACTTACCAATTTTTTGTCCATTATTTCAATTATTCGTACAATTATGACATTTTTCTTGATGTTTCTAGAATTTGCTCAATGCTATTCAATAGGTTGACCATTATAATTAAGAAATTTGCATTTTCATTTTCTTTTTCGTTCTTCTAATATGTCGGCTCACACATTGAAAAATGCTCAATTTAAGACGAGTTTTTTTGATTTCAAGATTTAAGTTTATGTAATTATTCCTGCTGATAACATGATTGAAATGAAACTGTAATGAACAAATAAGGAGCACAATGTAAATTAGCCATTTATAATTTGTCACTATCTTATCACTACAATTTCGACTCACAAATTTAATTTGATATCACTTGATGATTTCGAGTTCTAACAACTAAAACATCTCAGTGCAATTAATGTTATATTCCTTACACTTGAATATTATGTTTCTACCATGAAATATCAATTTTAAACTGGTGATCTTTGTCAATTTTCAATAAAATGTTCTGAGGGGAACGAATTGAAGAAAACCTCCGGTCAGAGGTGCAAACCGTCGCCGTCGTAGTCAGAGCTGCCAACCATCGCCGTCCGGTTCACTTTTTTTAAATACTTTCTATTCCGAAGGTTCGCAATAAAATTAGTAATTGATGTAATGAATCATGATTATTCTTATTTATTTCTGCTTTTTCTAAGATTAATTTAATCTTTCACATTTAATAATTATCAAACTATAAATATATAATGAATACCTACATGAAGCATGCTTTAATTAATAACGAACTAATGGAAGCTTCCTTCATGACATGAAAGGTGATATTTATATATTTTATTAAGATTATATATAAAAAATTTACATCATTACAATTTAATCGTTTTATTATTCCGATTATTTGAATTTTATCCCAGCACCTTATTATGATTGTAAGTAGATACTGAGCAATGCATTTATGATGCATCTTGAAATAAAACACATGCGCGATAACAGATTATTATAAAAAATATTTGTATTTTCACTACAAATTTAAAATAGTGATATTTTTGTCAATTGGTTCTTAAATCTATTCATGCTTCTATTAAACGTGAATCAATGATAGTATGGCGAGTTGTATTACCATCGAGTCTTTAGAAACCAACTCATTAGTTAATGAAAATGAAAGAAAAATAATTGAAGAGTTTTTTTGGCTCAGATTTCTAGAAGTTGAAGTAAATGAAACAAAAAACTTTCAGGGATCCAAAAGCTTTAAGAAGCTTTGTAAGATGGAGAAAATGGGACAATCCATTTTCACCGTGACAAAACGTCTTCGAAAGGAGGATGAAAAGTAATTAAAATTAATGTGATTATTTATAAAAAAGTTTAGATAAAAATCTCTTTTCTTCTTTTTATTTTGTTGTAAAAAAATGTAGTCTTGATTTTGGATTTGAATCAGGAATTGTATGGACGAAACCATGCTTCATCAATACGATTGAAAAAAATTCTCCTGCTGATCAAAGTCATTTGGAAGTCGGAGATTTTATAATATTTATAGATAAAATGAATATTGTTGATATGAAAATATCCGATATTATGAGTTTGATTAACAAAAGTGACGTTCTAACAATCGAAGTGTTTCGAAGATCAAAGGCCAAAACGTCAGTAATTCCAATGTCCATTATACAAAAAGCAACAAGTAAAAATCAAAATGAAGAAACGATTTTAGAAAACAAAACGATTGATGAATTTAAGCGAAACAGACTTGAATCTAAAAGCTCTACAGATTCTAAGAAGAAACATTTAACATTCAGTAAAGATGAGGTCAGCGAAAACTTTTTCGTCAACTCTCAATAATTTAATTAGTTTCTTTTCATATTTTTCAGTCTTCTGCCTCGGAGTCCATCGATTCACAAAAGAACTACAAGATTTTAAATAACTTTTTACAGTGTGAACGCCAATTTGTGAACTCATTGATCTTCGGTGCAAATCGTTACATTTCACCATTAACTTTCCGTAAAGATTTGATTAGCACCAAAGAACATGAACTTGTTTTCAAAAACATCGAGTACATAAAAAATCTGATGGAAATGATTTCTAATAGAAAGGATAGAAACAGCATTGAAGATGTTATTCAATCCTATGTGAAACATAGCGATGAATTAATTCAAGCATACGAAAGTTACTTCACAACTGTCAAAAGTGCTGACTGTATAATAGTCGACAAAACGCATCAATCAGAATTCATAAAGTTTATTGTAAATCCATCCATTCCAAGCAATCAGCCAGTGTTTCATAGTTTTATTCATTTACCTGCTGAATATTATAATGATCTGCAAAAGAACTTTCAATTAATCTTAAGTCAACTGGGAATGGATGGCAAGGAATATCATGAATTGAATTTGTTCATCAATAACTTAAAGGTAAGAAATTTTCATTCTTTTTTATATTAAAAATCTTAAAGTTGAAAATTCTTTTTAAAATTCAGAAAGTGTATAGTGAAGCTATGCACATAGTTTCTGAAACTAAAACAGGAGTTAAGCCAATCTTACGTAATTTAGAGTCACGACTTGTATTTACTGCTAAATGTAAGCCATTCAAATTAGACATATCAGGAAGACATTGGATTTTTGGTAATAATTCTTACTTGCCTTAAAATGATTTTATTTAATAAACATAAAATATTTTCAGGTGGAGATTTGATAAGAATTGAGGGAAATAGCTTAGAAAAGCCAGTTTACACTTTACTGTTCAGTGACATTTTAGTATTCTCCACAATAAATCGTGATCGGGTACTTTTTATTTCTGAAGAGCCCATCAGTCTCAAATCTATTGTGGAAAGTTTCTTCAATATACGAAAGAAAGGTGAGAAATTTTCGTTTTTATTAAGAAATTTAAATATTCATTTCGGTTCTTTAAATTACAGAAAAAGATTTTCGCCTAACAATTGATACAAATCCGAATTACAACGATCACTCACCAACGACACATTGTACACCTGATTTAATAAGACGATCACCATTGAGACAGTTCAAACGACGAAACATTCACTTAAGAGCACATTCAGAAGAAGTTAAAAAGGTTTGGCAAAACCTCATCACACAGCAGATTTTTAATGTAAACTCAGTTTCACATTCCAACTCAAGTAATCATATTGAATCATTGAAAACTATTCTGCTTAGAAAACCATCCAATCAGACTGATAATTTTACTGACACCAGTACAAATAAGAGTGAGACTGAAGATATTAATGGGTCGAGGAGTAGCAATCAATTAAATCTCAAGTCTCAAAACGCTTTTGACTTGGACGATCCTTTGGATCAATTTCTCAATGATGGTTCAAGTCATTTGGAGACACCAGAAACTCCATCTTGTGCTAATGTTTCATCACTCTGTGATAATATGCAAAAAAGTATTTCAATTACAACATTTTCATCGAACAGAAATACTGCTTCTGACTGTTGCGACTCTGAATATGGAGATATTTTTAACGGCTTTGATAGTCGTGATATTTCATTTTCTAATGATGTTAAGGAATGTATGTTTATGCAAAACGATCCTTTTTTTGCTGACGAGTCATAAATGTGCATTAAATGTATGCGTGTAAGTGTACATTATGTTTCTTAATAAATTACCTACTACCTAATTTATTACCTAAGAAGTATCTGACGATTAATTTAGATTTGTTAAAAAGTTCTCTTGCAAAAGAAAAAGAAACTTATGCAGCTTAAGATTTACTAAATATCAATAAAAGACATTAAATTTGTTTGTTACAAAAATTCGATGGTCTAACTTTTATGTATGTAGATAGATAAATAAATGTTTACAATTAAATTCACACGATTATGTCCTTGTCACTAGGAGGTAAATTTTTCTTTGCTAATTTCATTTCATTGTCCATTTTTGATGGTTCTGTTCGAGTATGCCACACTAACACTTGATTTATTGCTAACGGTTGCAATTGTTCTCTGGTTGTAACTTTTCTTAATATTTCGCTTTCTTGATATCCTTTCTGTACGTTATAACTGAAAGCTGCATCAGGATTATTCATAAATAAATCACAACTTATGGCGAATCCTGCCATGTCAATGGGAAAAGGTCTTTCAGGTCGCCACATGCTATTAAATCCTACAACTTTGCCACTCTCAACAATTGGCTTTTCAAGGTTCAATGCTCCAACAAGTCCAACACCCCAAACGCCAACACGACCACGTTCGATTTTTAACATCTCTTCAAACAACTCAACACTGTAACTATTGTCATCATCCATAAAATAAACGATTCCATGGCCAGGCTCATGTTTCACTCTTCTTTTAATCCAATCAAGAGCTAAGTTACGCTGTTCAACACCTCTTGGCTTCGACCAATGAGGATCCTAAAATGACAAAGAAGAAAATGTAAATAAAATTAATTTTGTGTAAAAGTATGTCAAAATACTTTTTTTGATAATTTATAATCGGAAGGAGTTTTAGCGTGCAAAAGGACACTTCGATGAGATAAACCTGACCGGTTAATGAGATTCCTAACTAATATACTAGTTTCGTCAGCATCTTCAACTATTACCCAAAATAAGTTTGGCACTAGGCGGAATAAATGTGAAAGTCTTGAAAGGAACATTAATTTATGTTTTAAAAATAATTAATTATTCTCATACATATACGAATGCCTGGTCTTATTACCTCGTCAATTCAGCTTTCTGTACGGGTCGATAATAAGTTGGTGTAACAGCATAAATTATTGTTGAAGGTGATTTATCTTCTTGGTATTTTTCTTGGTTTTGTGAAGACGTGCAAGAATTTTTATTAAAAACATAAATAAATAATATCAGCACAACAGCCACAATTCCTAACAACTTTTTACCACTAATTCTTATTTCACTATTCATTTTTCTATTAAGTAAACTATAATTGGACATACTTTAATTTAAAATAATAATATTAAAATTTAATTTACGAAACTCAGTACATGGTCTCAAATTTATTTTCTTGTTCTCTGTTGATTCATTTGAGTGAGATAGTGTGAGTGGTTGAAAAGCGCCATCTTCCGTAAACATTTGTAGTTAATGATGATGATGATGATGATTTTAGGACATTTGTGAGCATAATTTCCCCAACATAAATGTTAAACTTGCAATGGAATGTATACAAAAATTTATGGAAATTTTATAAACTTTAACAAAAGTTTTGAAAATCCCAAGAAATAAACTCCAAAATAGAATATCCGAAATATTCTAACATACATATCGTTTAAATATTCAGAAAAATACATATTTATGCTCACGAAAAAAAACCTATTTAAATGGTAATTTTTTGCTCCTTTCAAACGAACATATTTTTATACGTCTATAATTCATTCATTGATAAATGTTATCAAAATAAAAATATGCTTTGAGAAGGTCACATCTCTGAAATCAAACTTTCTTACTTTTTCAAATTTAATATGAAATCAAAACCAAACCGACCAAAATTATGCATAATATTTTCCAAAATCAATAATTAAAAGAATTGTTTTAAGCTTTTTTATTTATAATTTATTCGATGAAGCTTTGCACGTATCGGTTGATATAAAAGCTAGAAATTTATTTTACATCTCAATACGAATAAAAGTCACAAAATATTTTATTTTTCTGCATTTTGCTTGTACTTGCACCACTCTAATATGGTATTTAGGCATACAAATTATATCTTTTTCACTTTATGTTTCATTTTAAGTACTGAAGCGAGAAAGCAATTTCTGGATGATATCTTAAAGTTTATATTTTAAAATGCTAAAGAGAAAAGTAAAGAGACTTGAAAGAGCTTCAATGAAATGTCAGAAATGACATAAATGGTTTTTAAACTTTAATAGTTTGTGCAAATCTTCTTATAATGTCTTGTTTAAGTTAACTATATGTAGGTAATTCTCAGTTTATTTTCTTATTTGGACAAATTTTGGCTTTTTCTCATTGGAAACTAAAATGATAATCAGTCTCTTTGCAATCAATATAATACTAATTTTTCCACTTCTTCGTCTTATTATCCCTAAATTATGTTATTACCTCTTACTTATTCCCTAGCTAGCAAGTAATAGTGTTTGATGCAAGTATTAATGCCTCAATCAAAAACCTTTTAACATTTAAAGCAAAATGCCCAAAGTAACATTCTTAATACGTTTATCGCGGCACAAAAGCAAACTTTACAACTGCTTCAGACATGGCACATTTATTAACATAGCATTCTTGCGGCACTCCGAGGTAAGCAGATTTATATTAAAGTATATTGTCAAAAATAATTATCAATTTAAAAGGAATCAATTAAATAATTCTCATCTTAATTTTCGATGTCAAATAAAACTGAAAAGAATCTTTTAAATCTAAACTTTTTAATTTTTTTAAATAATTTGACTGTGAAATATTTAATTTAAGATGATTTACACTAATGAACTTTTTCCGATGATTTCTCCAAGACTAACTTTCCCATCACCTTCGACTATTGAGCTTTTTTTGTGGCCGTTTGAGCTCAGTGGTTGCCTTTCCGCTTCGTCTCTAAAAAAAGTAAAAAGAAAAAGAAAAATACGCTCGTTACAATTTCGTTTTGTTTCGTTTCATAAAAAAGAAACAACTAAAGTATTTATAATTTTCAGCGACACACATTCAAATGAAAGTGAGTAGCTTTAAAATACCAAAACATAAAAAAAGCGATAACTTCCGCAGTTTCAGAAGTCGAATAGAAGCGAAATACAAAAGGTTATCAATAAACATCTCAGACTTTGCGAAAAAGGCAAAAATATAAGCAGACTTAAAGAATTATTTCATAACTTATAATATCCATGAAATTATTACGACTCATAAAAGAATTAAAGTTCATAATGAACACATAAATGAAGAAATGAAGAAGGCTAGACACCAGACATACGAAAGGCTCATTGAAAGATTTATTTTAGTACTGAAACTAATGTCAAATTAATGCAAATAACTACTCTACATAAATAAGTGTTTGCATTATTGTTTCTGTTTGTTTTTGACTGGTTTCGGTCTTCTCTCTCCACATAATAAATATAAGCAACAGCAAAAAAGAATGAAAGCAGAAAAATAATATGTGCACACGAATTAAATGAAATCTTTGTTTCTTACGCAGGTGTACCATCGTCCAGTTTTAGAATAGGCTCTGGGAGTGGTAAAGGAGAAGGACTTCTCATGTTTGGGTAATGCGATTCTTTTATCAAGCTTCCACTAAAGAAGATCGGAAAACGCCAATCATAAAGACTTTTATGAATAATTTTTGAAAAGTGGTTTTGTGATGACATAATATGTGTTGTGCCGGGTCAAAGGTATGTGTCAAAAGGTTCAATAAATTAGAAAAACAAAAACAAAACTTATTAACTTTCTACAATGTTGCTATGAACAAAATGAGTTTAACGTTAAATTATGAGTACTCGGCATCGCTAATCATGAGTAAGCGTTTAAAATGTTCTATTATTAAAATGAATGTTTAACCTTTGCCTTGATTATTCAACTTAAAATTATTTTGTCAATCTCCTTACCTTCCAAACTTCTCTTCATCCAAATCTGATGGAGATCGTTTCGGTTTACGACAAAGCATTGAAAATATCCCAAGATTCAATGTAACACAGCATAACAAATCAATTATTATCAAAAAAAGAAGAATGCCGGCTACTGAAATTCCGACGATTGTTAGGGATGAAATATTTATTCGGTTTTCGGCTACTTCAATGACATCTGCTCCTGAAAAGAAAAGGAATTGAGAAATATATTTCATGTCATCAAAAGGAGTGTTAAATTATTTGCATAACAATCAAATCTAAAAATATCTAAACAAACAGTGTTAAAATTTATTATAATTTTTATGGCTTTGTGGAATTTGTTATTTGTGAATGTGTGAAGCATAGAAATTTGAAAGCTATAAATGTTGCAAACATGTGATGATTTATGTTGAAATATTCAGTAATTTATTAAATTTTAATTGAAATTTGAAACTACACTAAGCTTGAATCTGCATGTTTTTCACACTTGCCCACCTTGTTATCCTCTGATATGTTGGTCAGTCCAATTTTTAAATTTAAAACTTAATTTATCACTTTCTTGTCTTATATAAATTATTTTATCCTATGAAAATACTCGAAGTCTAATAAAAATTCTTTCAATGCAACAAAATTGAATAAAATGATTTTCTTAAAATAACAAAAAGAATCCACAGGTTATCCCGAAGCATGTTAGCTCCATTGAAAGATGTATCTGAAGAATATTTTAAAAACAATGATTTTGAATTTTTTCTCGTTCTTAATTGTCTAGCTTTAGGGTTTGAAATGTGGTTAAAAGGGGGAAATACTTTCATATTTTTTCTTTTCTAAAAATAATAAAGAAAAATGTCTCTCCAAAACGCTAAGATATTTAAAATAAAAAGTAAGCCTTTGAAAGTCTTCACAAATATTTTTATTCTTGCTTCAAAATCTATTTCGTTAAGTTCATATTTTCTATTTACTATTAATCTATTTTCTAATTCTTATCAACACAGCAGTATAATTATTAAGCTGCACTTAATTCATAAGGACACATTTTGTGTTTACTTTGGAAGTTATGAACAATTTCACAAATTAACTGTCACTTTATCTATGTACGTGCCATCTAACGCATTACGTTACTTATGTTAAAGTTCAACAAAGGCGACGTTAATTCTTGCCACGCGCCGCGCAATAAAGTCATAAGTAAACCGGTTTACGTAAGATCACACGTGAATACATAATTAACGTACGTAAGTACTGTGACACATTTCAACTACATTACAAATATGAAATATTGTCATGGTAGTGAACTTTACATTCGAAATAAAGCAAAATTAGGCAGTCACAAAACATTTAACACAAAAAGTTCTAATAATAAACCTTAATTAGTTAATAAATCCAAACATAAGCATGAGCACATAGATCTTTGAGTGTAAAGCTTAAAGTTAAACCAAAACTAAATCATAAGAACACTACAATTAAAATTAAACATTTTTTAATGTTTTTTTTTCAATTGAAAATAGAAAAAAATAAAATAAATTGAAACTTCAGTTTAGTGCCACAACATAAAACTAAAGACGACACCATTAATACACATAATATGCAAAAATGTGTTCGAGGCTGATGAGGTCTTAAAGCCAGCCTGATATGTAAATGTTCCATCAAAGGATCGTTGAGACTCACCTCGCGCAGTTTTCAAATACACACTGGTATTAGGCGAATATCCTATGCCATTATGAGCCTTAATTTCTACACGATAATATGTATCGGGACTTAACTTGTCGAGAAGTTGGTTGGATCTATCATGAGGGATGTAATCTTTCTCCAAGCACATGTTTTCAATTTCATTCCAAATGTTGTTGACCTTTCCACCCTATTTTGAAAAGGTAAATAAGAAATTGAATATATTAATAAATAAATTTAAGTTTTTATAAATGAGATATTCCCCCTAAAGACATTTTCAATCACTCTTGATAACTTAATATTTATAAATAGAAGATAATTTAATCAATAATTCAGAAATGGAAGTCATAAAACATCTGACTTCGCTATTATATTTCAATAAACATTTTAAAGCTACTTACTGGGCAATATCGGATTGTAAAGAAATCAATGGGATCACCATTGTCAGCTGGACGGTTCCAAATAAGTTCGAATTTATCTGAATATGTTGACGCAATAATTGGAAGTTCCCCATCAGCTTGTTCTTCTTGAGTAAACTGATTTAAGATTCTCGGGGCTACTGGGACGGATCTTGAAGGCGTTCCTTGGATAACTGTCGGTGACCATTGACCTAAACCAACATCATTTCGCGCAGCAAATCTGTTGGAAAAATTTAAAAATTTGTTGAAGATTGACACAAAACAATGAAACATTTTCATAAATTTACCTCAATGTGTATAAGGTTTGTGGTCTTAATCCTTCGACAACGTAGGGGGTGTCAGGTGTCCATGTTCGGTTAATGGCACTACTCCAATCAAGATTTCGTTCTTCTTTATACTGTACGGTGTAAGCTTTAATCGGCATTCCTAATTCAGTTGGTGGTCCGATGATATCAAAGATAATTGTTGTTGCTGTGACAGTTCGTGCTTTGGCTTGTGCAATCGGTGTTGGAAGTTGAGCTTCGCGTAACTCCATCATATGTTCTTCACGGCCAAGTCTATTGACAGCAATGCATTTATATGCTGAATAATAACGACGATCAACTGGCGTTACAATCAAATCACTTCGAGGTCCTTCTTCGACAATCTGCAAGAATTTATCTTGCATTTCACGAACTAATCTTTCATTCCATCGCCACTCGATTGTTGCATTTGGGAAAGCCATTGCCATGCAACTAAGATTCGCTGGTCGTTCTTCCCAGCTATAAGTTGGCGGCAATTCTTTCATATGATCAAAGTTTGGTGGATATTCAACTGCAATATGGCCAACTTCAAATGCAGTATCACCTTTGTTTCTTGCCACACATTGATAAAGGCCGTCGTCTGGTCTTAAAACTTTTGATATGAGCAATGTTCCACTTGACTCGCCAAACTCTTCATCAATTTCTTGTTCCAAAATGATTCTATCATCATTTTCTTGTTGACCAACACGAAATTCTTCGGTTCGTTTCCATCGACGGAAAGTTATCAACGGTGCGGGTCGTCCCTTTGCTTTACATGTAAAAACAGCTTCGCCACTAACTGGAATTGTGATGTTTTTCATTTCATATATTTTAGGTTTGACAACGACATTCAATCTCATTTTTCTTTCTGTTATTCCGGCACTGTTTCTGGCGACACATGTATAGACACCACGATCATTCTCTTCAATTCTTGTAGCACTCATTTGACCGTTATGACCAACCACAGAGAATCGATCAGCAAGCGACATATCTTTTTGATCTTGATTAATCCATTTGAATTCAGGCGCAGGCTTTCCACGACCTGAACAAATAACCGAAAATTCCTGCCCTTCTATGGCTTCATATTCTTCACCAAGACTTGTGATTTCCGGTTTTATTTGAACATCTAATCGAATATTTCTCTCCATGAGTTCGCCTGTTTGAATAACAGCAGCACGACATGTATAAATGCCGTCGTCTGACTCTTGTACATTGGTAATCAATAAACCGTCGTGTTTGACGACGAAACGGTCAGACAACTTGATCTGGTCGCCATTGCGAAGCCAATCTGTTAATAAAATTAAATAAATACACGAAAATGATGTTTGTCACTTTCTATCATTGCACAAAATTTTATTTACCAACTGTTGGTGGTGGATTAGCGGTAACGACACATCGTACAACATAATTGCTTCCCGCAACAGGGCTTTGATATTCTGGAGCGTCTTTCCATGTGATAGCAACTAAATAAATAGCCCCAAAGGATAAAATTATTAGAATTCGACGAAATAAAACTCGTTTAGTATCTCACCATATGTTTCAACTTTGACTTTATTCTCAAGCATCTCTGAGTTTGCGTAAGATGCGGAGCAGTAATAATACCCCGCCATTGTATCAGTTAGAGATGAAATAACAAGCATTAATTGTTCTCTACTTAATGCTTCAGTGTAAATGACTGGCTGTGTTCCAGATCTGACAAAGAAATAAAACAAAATAAATCATTTGTGGGAAATCTAAGTGAAAAATAAATATTTATCTTAACAACAACAAAAAAGATATGAAAGATTGGTAACCGCTCAATAAATGGGTAAAAGTAGAGTTTAAAATTGTAACATTATCCATCAGACATATGCATGACTGGGTAATGTGGTGTGGGTTATCATATCTCAATTTTCAAAGATTTTTTTCATCTCGATGAGATAACTTTAAGCCGTCTCATGTTTACTCATTGAAGAATGAAGGGAATAACAACATGTTGGATGACATTAGAACGATTGACGTAATTTAGATTAAAACATCATTAGTTTGAAGTTAATTTTAAAGCCTGAACTTTGCAACACACACATTTAGTTGTGTTAATAATTAAAATCACATTCTTAAAGAAACGAACACGAACTTTTTTCACTCACAACTCACTTTTGGTTTAATTTTCTTCCGTGAGAATCAAAAACCGGATAATATTTGCTGTTCCTAATTTGTTTTTAAATTTCTTTTTGATTTGATTTATTACAAAAATTGCGAGAAAAAAGTTTAGTCTTACGGTTTTGGTAAAATGGTGTTGTTATTGCTGTCACGCCATCTCAAATCGGTTATTAAATCTTTCTGCTCCACATTGGGTTGACATGTTAGAATCAAAGGTTTTCCAATAGGCTTCCGTTGTACACTCTGTGTTGGCAATATTTCCAGATGAGGATCAGCGCTATATGTTAAATCTGTAAAAGGAAATGTAAGGATGAGTAAGGAGAAGAATAAACGAGGCGTTAAATGAAACTTCTGTGGAAATTTATTGCATACATGGCACAATTTCAGGAAAATTTGTCGAATTCCCTTTTAATCTTCTAAAAGAGTGTAAAATTCAAATTTCATCGTTTTAAAGGAGGAAGAAGATAAATAAAAATAACATCAACCCGCAGATATGGAGGTGTTAAGTTAGAATGAAGGATGAAATTTGCGAACGCAAGATGAATAAAAATTTGAAAATGTTTGGAATGTGTAAATTCTTTACCATAATTCACAAGAAATATCATAAAAATTTATATGTTGAGCATCAACATGTTGGCTCCAAAAACATTTTTTGCTTGTTTTTCTGGTGGAAATTGTTTTTGTTGAAATATACGCTTCATAACATCTGGAACGGGGGAGCTATGGCAATATTTTCTCTATCAAAAAGATTTTTATCAATTTCGGAGAGTCAAAAGGGAAGAAATGCGAAGAAAGTTTTTTGGTTTTTCGGGTGAATCGACGGGGAAAGTTGGATGGAATTCTCCCCATGGTTGTATATATTTTTTTTTTCGTGGAGGTCAATGAACTTTCTTTTCTTTTTATTTTTTCCTTTTCCGGGGAATTTAGATAAGTGTGGTGATAACGCTGAGTCATTTCATAATGTGAAAAGTACAATTGAAAGTGTTGCTGATTGATCATAAATAGATAATTTAATAAAAATAAACACAAAGATTCACTCTGTCTACAGTTTGGATAGAAAGAAAGGAAGCATTAGAGGAAGTTCATTTCTATTACTATTAGGAAGCGTGAACAACGACGATAGAATATAATGTGAATGTTGAAATGTGAGATGATATTTTTTCTGTCTTCCTAAATAAAGAATCGAGTGAAAGTAAATAGAGGAAAGTATCATAAATTAAGTAAGCAGAAGTCAGTTTTGTGGGATGTTTTAGTTGAAAATCTTTTATTCTTACAATTTGCCTCAATCTCATTTCTACTTAGTTTGTTGTTGAAACAAAAGAAAGTCGTAGTGTAGGAAAGAAAAGAAGAGATTTGAATTGAAACGTCTTGAGGTTTGCATGAGTGTTATTCTTTAATTAAAATAAAATTCAGCAGCTTTCACATAAGTTAAGTTTTTCTAACCCTCATCTAATAAAACTTGCGAAAAAGAATGTTCTTTTGTTTTAACTTTATTGTTTCCTTAATGTATTTTTCTGTTTTGAACCATCCCCCCCAATATTGTTCCTTGAAGCAATGCGAACATAATATCTCCCTTTACGACTACTAAGAAACCTTTAAAGCGAACATTTCTCGGTGTTCTAAATTTTTCATTTTCTGGAATTAATGCAAAAAATAAAAATACGACAAAGGAGAGAATGGTAAGGTGGAAAAAATATAGCCATGAAAAACATAATGCCGTAGATTTAGGTACGACATCTTCAGACTGGGGCTTTCGTATTTAAAGATAATGTTAACTTAAAATGTGAAATTCTGTTCTTGATTTTTTTTCTTCTTTTTTTCGCTATCTCCATGGGAATCTTTTCGCATGAAAAGGAAATTGTTTAGTGATTTATTTCCACATGAAGAATTTTGACCATTCTCTTTTTTCTTGCCTTTGAAGATCAATCTTTACAAATATTTTGACATTTCATTCCACATCAACCGTAACCAAAAGGATGCTACTTTGGTACGGTAGGTTCATTTTTTATTCTTCTCAAATCTTCTTATAATTTTCTTTTGTGTCTATCTCAAGTTGTGTTCAAAACATTTTGCTTTGACGGAAAGGAACTGAGAAACATCATAAAAAAGAAGAATTACAACCGCTTTTCATCCGCCACATGTTATGTTTTGGTGTGTCGTAAATTAAGGTTGCCAATATAAAATCAAAAGGAAGAGAAAAAATTATCTTGAGAAGCGCAAACAAGTGTCGCTCTAACTAACATATGTGCCCTAAAAATATTCACAACTTCAATCATTATTAATTAAAAATATTCCCATAAAGTCAAACTAAATGTTCGTCTTCCATTGGCTTCTCGAACTCTCAATCCAATGGAGACATAAATAAATGCATGTTATTTTTATTCAGTGTGAACAAAGACGAGAATTCAACATAAATAATACAAGTAGATATTTAGTGTCTTTTTTTACATGAAAGTTATACAAAATTCTATCAGTAATACAACGCTTTTCTGTCGACAACACGGTTTACCGTATACGTTGTGTTGACTATCCAATACATATCCGCGACTGTTTTATTTTTAATACACCCAAGCTTGATTGTATTTTACTTTGTTTCGAGAAATTAGCAACTTTTAAATTACATTAGGATTAATCATCATTACAAGTCTCCATCAATTGATTATTCTAAGAATTAGTTTCATCACGATTACACAATGTTAACAATTTAACTTAAATCCCCTAATTTGGTGATTAAATGCAATTCTTACCTATTAGGAAAATCCACAAAATAAGTTTTGTGATGGAATTTGTTTGTAATCCACAAGCCATTTTTGATAGTTTTTTTTCTTTTATTTTTTTAACTGGGCAGACACAGCATTAATCCTTTGACATGAGATTTGATATATTAAAGTTAAAAATATGTTTCAAAAATGTTAGTTTCAGAAAACTCAGGTTTGAGCAACGTTTTGTTACACTTTTTTGTATTTTTTATATTTTGTTCTCCAAAAATAAATTCAAGTTTACACGCGTCACAGGTGAACACAAGTAAAATTATTTCTTTTCAATGCTGTAGTAAAACTTTGAAGACAAACTATTTTCATTTTATGTTGTAATTAATTATGCTCAAAATCAATATTTGTGATGTAAACTTTGTCTCTATTGTTGTTATGAGAAACTATCAATATTTTTTAAACTAATTGCAACACCAAATATATCACAAGAAGGAAATAATAATGGGGACCGTCTCCTTCGACTGATGAAAATATTCTGATTGTGTGGATTAAAATGTATGTACGTACACTCCGATATTTCTCTCCAGAATTGCGTTAAGACAAGCGTTAAGAGAGCCAACAAGAGAAATCTCTCGCAACGCCCGCGTAAGCTCGAATAGAAATTGCGTTAGTGTGAGTGGAGGAAGCTCTTCAAGTTTATAACGTCTTCTGCAATTTGCCTGTACAAGGAATAATTGAATTGAAGACAATAATTTTATTTCTCTTTTTCAACTTTATTTATCCGGTATTGTGATAATCTTTATTATTTTGAAGAAATTCTTTTTGACTTTCTTTAGCTGTGCTGAGGTGTCAGATAAAAGCTAATCCCCTTTTTGAAATTAACGTCGGCTTGCACCAAGGCTTGCACAGGTGATACCAACATCGTTGAATCTAGGAAAAAACTGTCTTTTATTATTCTTATAATCAACGAAATTGAAGATTAATCAGTCATTTTCGTCCAACATACTTATATATATATTTGTCTAGCATAATGTTACAACTAACAGAAACTGACAGGCGTTCGGAAGATATTTTATTTCCCCCATGAATTTCCCCATTTCATGATTCATCCAGCAAGATTTTTGTCTGCACCACTCAACATCTATCGATTTTTTTCCTCTGGAAATTTTATCCTGAACACGTCCCAAGCTATGTAGCGTGTTGATTTTTGAAAAGAGCTTTACTGGGAGAAATTTATTTTATCTAACTTTGCTATCTTGTATCTCGTAGTTGATCTGAAACTGACTCTAAATTGTCAATTAATAAATTACTTTTCGATGTATTGTCATTTCATATTTCATGCAACCGTGAAAAAAAAGATGCAAAACATAATTTATTATGCGTGGTAAATTGAACAGAGTCAAAATTTGTGGAAAGCGTGAAATTAATATTGTTGTTGTAAGTATATTGCAATGTTTTCCCCTTTTTATCAGCTTCATGTTACTTATGTAACAATATCGAATTCATTTCATACAATTTACTCACAATAACGAGGGAACTCACGCAGTTATTTTGCTGATTGACTCGAGAAGAAACATAAAATTTATGATCCGATATTTCGAGGAACAATTGGAAAGGGATATTGACTTGTTCTTCATTTTTGATGCAAAAAAAATAAGAATCCTTAAATCAAACCGAAGAAATAAAAGATCCAAGCATATAATTGAATAATCTTCGTTTCACTAACCTGTTGGGTTGCTTTTAATTTACTTCGGTTCTGATCATCATCAAACCTTTTCTCCTTTTGATTCAAAAAGCATTTCAAAGGAATTATTTCCCTTTGTATAAATCTCAAGACACAGTTTGGCATCTAGAATGATGAATAATGAATAAGGGCTTACTGTATGTATTCAAAAAGCATACGACTTAAAGGTTTTGCGAAAATGCGTGTTGAAACATCGAGACACAAAGAGTAACGGGGGAAATTTATCCGATTTTGATTGAGTTCATCTTGTTACGTGATTGGACTTTTCAATACGTGTTGCATCCTTTTATTTGACGGAAACTTCCGGAATTTCCATTTAATAATGAATGAGAAAGAGGGTGTTTCATTTAGTACGCTTAGGATTGATTTGAAATCAACAAAGTTTTTGCAACCTGTGCATATTTTTATTCTTTTTTGTTATTATCAGGGGTTGACAAAAATTTGTCGTTGCTTGTCGTCTTGTTGACGATGAGCATTGGGAATACGTATATTTAATGTTTTCAAAATTTCAATAAAACCAAACAGCACACATAAATATTTTATGAATTGGAGGTGAAAATGTGTGAATATAAAAATTTATGTTATGGTTTCTGATGGTTGTGCTGCTGTAGTCTCGTGATAATTCCATGGAATCATAACTGAATGACAGAAGTTGGAACAATGAAGGGTCTGTTACTTCGCAGAGTTAATTTTAATTAAGATCTCATCCTTTAATTGCAACAGCAGAGGGTGAAGAAGGCACAACATTGCTATGTAAACCATTTAATGAATTTATATGTCCCTTCGGCGTGATTTACAGAATATAACAAAACCTAAATGGATGAACACAGATTGTTTGTTTGCTTTTTTCAGTCATATCTATGCATCTACACTTTCTGAAAAAGAGAAAAATCATTCAAAATTCTATTCAAACTTCTCGTTTTCAGAATAATTAGAATTTTTAGTGAAAGCAGCGAACGAAGAGAATGAAAAAAGTCACTAGAATGATTGATGCCCTTTAAATCTCCTGTGAAGGATCGATCCATCAATGCTTTTGACAACAGCTGAAGTCTGCCGATTCATTTTTGATTCTTTTTCTTCCATATCTTCTGTCAGCCTAACTGAACAGGCGACAATTGGTTCTTGTTTCGAAAAGGTGTATTGTTGTGCGATTATAATAACTTTATATCAGAAATTAATCTGTTACTTCTCTGCATCCGATGTCATATTTAGTTTGTTTTAGTTTTTGATGCAAAAATGAAAAGAAAGAAATGAAATCATGGCAACGAAATTGTTCGGATGGCGTCGAATTGATGGAAGCAGAGGGGGAAGAGAAATTATAATAAAATTTCCAGTCTTTGTTTTGGGAAAACAAGGGCAGTTTCTCCTGATACATGCTTATTGTTTCGAATATAATTTTATCAACATAATTGAATCAGCTATGATGTGCATTTACGGTCACATAAAATTTTTGGGGGAGAATTGTTTATTGTTGGAATTATCAATAAACATTGTGCCGAGTCTAATATTTTATAAATTTACTCAATTTTGAAAGAAGCAAAAAAAAATCATGACGGCAATTTATTAAAACAGAAAGCCGAAAATATATAACCCAGATACAAAATCGTTTTTCTTCGAGAGTCTTACCTTAATCCTCTACCCTTATGAAAACCACTTGAACATTTCTCTTATGCTTCGAGCAATTTCGTTTCCCCGTGAACTAACAAATATTCTTAGAGAAGGAAGCTGTTGTGACTACTTATGATAAAAACGCCACCTTGTCAGATTACAAATGGTAATCTTGAATCATGGTAACGAAAAAAGTTTAACAAACTTTCGAAGTTATCAAATCAGTAGAACTTAGATATGTTTTTCAGAAGTTTAATCTCTAAACTCATCATCGGAACTATCACATCGTCATTAAACATAAGTTTGGTAACGAGAAAAACATTAATGCTCCTAAAGCAACATAATAAAAAATTCAGGGAACGTGTAAAAATATTTATAAGAAATTTTAATGTTAATAACAGGCGGGCGAACATAGGAAGGTAATAAAAATCTCATTTTCCAGTTCACCATGCTTTCTAACTTTATAAGAATTATTCTTCTCTCCCCCACTTAATTTCGGTCTCATTGTTGCATAAAATTTCAACGTAAAAATTTGACATAATAAATGAAGACAAATTCGAGGATTTGAAAACAGACAATGACGAATTGAAACATTTAAAATCTTTCTTTTTGCTAATTTTGTAGGAAAAACTTCCAGCTGTATCTGAATTATGAATTAAATTTGTGATACACTTAAATTGTGATTACGTGTAGGAATATTGTGATTATGGCTTGATATTTGTGATAATTTAATGAGCATATATACAAGTCGCTCAACAGATTGCACAATGAAAATATTCAGAAGCAATCTAGAGTTTAATAAAAACTGTGGTGGCGACATTAATCCTAGACAAGAGTACGACTATGCTGTCTAAAGTTTAATCATGGATCAGCCTCTCGTTAGTACACATAAAGTAAAAGTCAAAAGTTTTCCCGTTTTTTCCTTCATTTCCTTTGCAAACAAAAGAAAAGAAATTTTATATTGAACTAATTTGTGTTAGAACAAAGTAAATGGAACTTCAAGAATGCTTGATCGAACAATTTTATGATCTATCGGTTATTGTGGTGAGAGTAAAATCAATATTAGTATGTTGAAGTGAATCTACGTGACATTTGCTATGAACATAACTCTCAAATCCAGACGAACTTCTTCAATAAGAATAAAAATTATTAAATATCCATCTCTGAACATTTATCTAACTGGTTAGAATCTACTCTCGAGTTTTATTTTCGTTCCATGTGATGATTTGCTGATGCGACTCGAGACAAGGGTTTATAGATTGTTTTTATGCTTTGATATTATTTGGCTTCATATTTTTCTCTTAGATACGAAGAAAATTACAATCTAAATAATTATAATAATAACAATTTTGCTTTCAGTTCTAATTTGTGTTCATGATTCAAACGGAAACATTTCACTATCATTTTTTTTACTGAAATTTCCCTTTACTTGACAACTGAAAGTTTGCTAACAACAGGGGTTCAAGAGAGAATCTAATTATCGTATACAATTTTCTTTTCTTTTATATATGCTGATGATGAGATATCTCGAGAAAAGTTTGTTTTCGATGTGAATACATATTTTCTTAAATAAATGACTTGTGCATGCTTCCAAAACATACTCATTTAAACAAAAGTTCAAATAAAACTATTTTTAAAGAGTTCATTTCTTTCTTTGTTTGAACTTACATCATCATAATTTCTTTTTCCAAAATATGAAATTTGTAGGGAGCATAATGAAGATTAACACAAGCATGGAAAGAAATTTTATGATTTTAAAATCAATTTATAACGGAAATTCCCACCAAGAAATTCAAAAATCAGCTGCGATGAAAACAATGAAGGAAAACATCAACGAAACATTCAACATGCAACATCAATTTTAGATTATTGTTGAAAACAACTAAATTTCAAGTATGTTTTAATCGTACTATGAATTGTTAGCGCTACTTTAATCAGTCTTTCATCAGAACGCAAGCTAAGCGGGTGTTTCAATTAAATTTGCGGTTGTCATCGAGAAAAGTTATAATGTCCGAACAGAATCGCGTTCTATCAATACAAAGCCATGTTGTGCATGGATATTGTGGAAACAAATCAGCAGTTTTTCCACTGCAGGTAAATGAATTTCTTGAATGAACATTTAAAGATCCCGTGACGTGATATTTTCTTTTCATTCTTTTCTTTCCGATAAAGCTTTTAAATTTTGACGTAGATGCAATAAATTCCGTTCAACTCTCAAATCATACAGGATATGAACACATCAAAGGTCAGATATTGAGCGAAACTGATCTTGCAGATTTATTCAATGGCCTTACAGCCAACAAGTTGCATCTTACATATTCCCATCTATTAACTGGTTATGTAGGAAATGATAAGTTTCTTCGTGAAATTAGCCGAATCATAAAAGAGTTGCGAGCATCAAATCCTAATCTGATTTATGGTGACTAATCACATTTTTATCAACATGAAACAATTTTTATTCAATGAAAACTTTTAGTTTGTGACCCGGTTATGGGAGATGCTGGGAAAATGTACGTTCCGGAATCTTTACTTCCAATATACAGAGATGAAATAATTCCCTTGGCTGACCTTGCAACTCCAAATCAATTTGAAGTAGAATTATTGACAGGAAAGAAGATATTGAACGAGAAAGATGCTTGGAATGGCATGCAATGGTTTCATGATCAAGGAGTTAAACTAGTTGCACTTTCATCCACTGAATTCAGTGGAACCAGCACTTTGATTGCATTTTTAAGCTTCAAGAAACCTGACGGAACATTTGAGAAATATAAGCTTTCAATCCCAAAGAAAGCAATACATTTAACAGGAACCGGGGATTTATTTGCTGCTCTTTTACTTGCTCATACAACTCGTATGCCGAATGATCTTGGAAGAGCTTTAGAACTAACAATTGCGTCGGTTCAATCTGTAATCGACGAAACCATTAATTCAATGACTAAGGAAATGCAAACTGGTCAAGTTAAAGTTACAGCACAGCAACGAGAGCTGAAAATAATTCAAAGCAAAAAGCATATCGAATCACCGATTGTTAAACTTCGAGCAAATAAAGTCGACTAAATAAATATTGGTTTTGAGTGAATCAAATTAATTTGTTTTCGTTTCTTTGATAAGTCTTATCAAGCAAATAATCAAATAATAAGTGAATATTTGAAAATGTTACCAGACAAGTTGTAAGATTAAGTTTAAGAGTGGAACTTACGATTGCTAATTGTTGTTGCGTGTTAGACGATAAATTTATAAAGAAATTTGTGATAACACAAAGTTCAAAACCAATATTACCTTAATGTAACGATGAACAATAAATTAAAGTAAAAGTACCTAATTCTGTCTATGTTTTAATTTCGTTTCTTCAGTATCCTAAATCCGTCTTGGGATTTTTCATGTGAAAATCTGAAAATATTTTCAACTTTTAACTTAATATCAAGGCTTTAAATTACATTTAAAATCTTGATATTAAGCTAAAAGTTGAAAACATTTCCTTATTTTCACTTGAAAAATCCCAAGACGGATTTAAGATACTGAAGAAACAAAATTAAAACATCATAGACAGAATTAGGTACTTTTACTCTATATCATAAATAAATGTCTAATGTTGTTAAAATATTTAAATACAAATCAATATATCAGAATAAAACAAAGAATGTGTTCATGATCAAACATCAATCACATTGTGTTGACATCAAAAAAACCTTAAATCAATTGGCTATCAAATATTGAAAACTCAAGAATTGAAGACAATTTGTCATTTAATCACAAAATTTAGTCATCAAAATTTCCATTTGAATGTTCATTTCTCTGAAAACGGAATAAAAATTGATAAAAAGCAAGTTTCAGCTCATCAAATGATTTATTTCGGAGCTTAGATTTAAATCTTGGAAAACACAAAAACTGAGTTTACTTGAGAGGAATAAAACGTGAGCTGTGAGTAGCACCAATACCGGGTCTTCCGTGCTTGACTGGCTTGTATGTCAAAGAAAAGTCTCCCAAATAGTGACCGATCATTTCAGGTTTGATTTCAACCTAAAATTAGAAAATTTTGTCAATAATTCGCCTGGAATGTTAAATAATCGAAAATAAATCGTGAAAGAATTAATCAGATTGCCATTTATAACTCCTGCAGAACGAGAAAACTTATATTGCTCGACATATGTTGAATTGAATCTTTTAAAAAATATAAAATTTCCATTTCGATGAAGAACGAAGTTTTCTCATTCAATCAGTCTCGTCATCGTCTCATCATATTTAAAGAAAGTTACGATATCCTATTTATTTCCTTCAACATACCTGATTGAATGTTTTTCCGTTGTAAATACCAACAATAGAGCCAACCATTTCAGGAACGATAATCATGTCTCTCAAATGAGTTTTGACAATCGCTGGCTTTTCCATTGGTGGTGCTTCCTTCTTGGCTTTGCGCAATTTCTGAATAAGTGCCATAGGCTTGCGTTTCATTCCACGAGAAAATCGCCGACGAGCACGGCTGTGCATAATTTCAGCAAGTTGCTCATTTGGCATATCTAAAAGCTGATCCAGATCAACTCCACGGAAAGTGAATTTTCTGAAGATACGCTTTTTGCGTACTTGCTCTTCGGGTGCAGCCTGAAATGTAAATTCATTAATTAGTAAAAGTTGAAGCAAATCTCATGTTCTACTTACATCTGCCATCGTTTAAATCCGCTATTTAATTAATAACTGAGGTCTGTGAAAGAGAAAACAAATTTGTCAACATAACCTTACAAACCAAATGAAAACTTAATTAATTTTTTAAATAGAAGCAGTCTATTGTTTAGCTTATTGAAGCTTATTACTATGGAAAAATGAAGATTTTAATTAACTTCATAATTAACTTTACTTTTTAAGCCATTTAAAGCTTTCTACGAATTTTGCACATTTTTGTTACAAAAATATTTCGTGGAGAATATTTGAAAACTATTCAAGTTTAAGCAATGTAAAACCATTGTTTTAATTATTTAAAATATAAATTTTGTAGAAAACGTGTTTAAGTTAATATATCTCTCAGTTTAATTGCTTAAATCTTCAAAATATCTGAGGACGACACTTACTCTTTGAAAAGAATCAGTCGAAAAGAAAGCAGAGTCACAAACCATTTGTCGACATGTTTTCTGTTCAGAGGCTCAAACCATTCATTAATGAATGAACCGCTTATGAAACTTCGAAAAAGTTTTACATGTAGAACTTGATCATCACCGATCAGATTTTTACAAGCATTACCTGTCAGATTTATTTTAACATTATCAAAGGTGTGAAGAGACAAAATAATAAAGTTTTAAAATATTTATGAGTTAAATAGATAATAACATTAACTATCTAATGAGAATTGTTAATATTTAGCATTGAAGAGATCGCGAGAGAACCACTTAAATATGTGTAAGAAAACAGATCTTTAGTCTTCTTTTCGTACTGAACTATACAGGAACGCGAACTAAGAAACGAGAAAATAATTTGCTTACATGCTAACATTTGTATGTAAAAGATTGGGAATAAATAAACTGCGTAATTAATAACATTATAAGTTATAACTAGGTAGTGAATCTGTGACAATTTAAGAAAATGCAAGATTTCAAAAAGCTTAAAAAGCTTTTGTGAATTGACGTTTCAATAATTTATTAAATTTCTACTACTCATATTACGGTTATGCATAAAATATAAAAATACTTCTCCAAGATGAAGAAAAACAACGATGCCATAGTTATCGGTAATTAACATTTATTATACGTATAGTGTTTTTGTTTAAAGGTTTCGTAAATATTTTTGTTGCGGAAAGGCCACGACACTTATTATTTATCTAATTGTATATTTATTTTCTTATTAATTCTAGAAAAAAGAATTGGTTGTTATCGGTGAGTGAGATCTCAAAAAAATATTAATTAAATTTGTTGATCAATTTATAATTTGCAGAGCTGGGGTTTTATTCTCGATAGCCCTTATATGCATACTTATAATAATAGTTTGTATTCCGCCACTTTTTTCAAGTTGGGGTGCTCACCAAGAGCTTAACACCTACTTGCTTATATTCTTAATTTTTGTATTTGTTATACTCGGCTGTGCAATCGTAATGTTCATAAATTATCAGCATCGACAAGCTTTTAAACAACGTATGAAGTCAGAGTATGGAATTTATACTCTTCAGAGAGCAAGATTGAGGAGGGGAGAAAGCGGTGTCAATTCAAATGGCACAGAACTACAGGTGAAAAACTATAATATTTTTATTTTTTTGTGTTTTTCATTTCAATTAAAAAATATTTACAGAAGTTTGACGTGAACCTCAACGAGAAGCAGACACAAAGTCTTAAATCTTAATTGGTACCTGTTAGTTTTTAAATATTTTACATTGAAATTATCGAATAAATAAATGTGGAATAAAAAGCCTTGTAAATACTAATACATGAATTTGTATATAAATTACTTTTTTTAGGTACATAAAGAAAAATAAATCTTGTAGTCTACATATATACAATTCATGAACTCATATTATACACATAAGTATTCAACACTTATTGATGTTCATCTTGCATATCTTAATACGTTGCAGTTTATCGAGTTTCCCAAAAAAAAATTTTTTGAAAATATATTCATAAAATAAATTTTGTCGATGACACCGAGGAAATAAATGAATACGCATTTTTGAGTCTGTAGAACAGGAACATAATAACAACAACAATACAACCTCAGATTCGTTTTTTTTCAGGTTTTTGAGAGAGTCAAATATTTTTTCATCTTCTTTTCACTCTCAACTTTAGTTCTCAGCAGTCGCTTCATTGAATCGCACGTAGAAATTTTTTTCTTCAATTCTGCTTCGCGAGGTACCTTTCCCGATTTTCGTTTTTTGGAGAAAAGCTGTTTTTGAAAAGTAAACTTTTGAAATCAATATAAATATTCTAAAAATGGTGTAATTGTGAGAAAAGTCCAAAATGAATTTTGAAAGATTCATGAAGAAACTTGTGAAGAAAGAAGTGAAAAAAAATATACGCACACATACAAACATTAAAATTGAAATTACACATTGAGTTTTGGATTGAATGGTGAAAAAAAAATGGAAATTAAGGTAAGAAAATGCATTTGATTATAAATTGATTATAAATCTTCAGACCATAAAGAACTGCACAAGAGTTTAACGTACTCATAATACGAAAATAGTTTGTTTATAATTAAGAATCTTATTTATAATTACTGTAAATTGCATAATTTATGTTATTTTGCTTTTTTCTTTTTCCGATACTTACAATCAGTTGCGTTTTCTCTTTCATTTTCACTTGTACTATGAAACTCACACATTCAAAGAAAAAGTACCATGGCGATGATAGATGATAATAATAAGGCGAAAAAGTACATTATAGATTTTACTTTGGTATTATCTATCTCTAGAAAATTTTTGGAGATAACAATTCAGATTAAAGTAACCTGAAAAATAAAAGTGCAAGTTTTATAGCATTTGATAAACATTTAAACTTGTATTTGTGTATGGTTTAGTTTAGTTTAATTTTTTCATGCTGATTGTTGAAATATGCCTAAGTATCTATTCCCAGTAATGAATGAAGAAAGTTTATCTATATTTAAATTTGAAACTTGTTCATGCAACGAGTTCTTAAGGAAATGATTCAAAGGCTTCATCGTACAAAATTCCTCTTTGTTTGCTATTGATGAGAAAATACTGAGCCCGTTCTTAATGTAAGTTTACGAAAAGAAAAAAAATATATTGGACACGAAAACATTAAACTCTACTATATCTGTGTCTGACTGTATGTGGTTACATTTTTTTCATGTTTCTTTACGCTTTTCATTTATTGACCTTCATTTGATTTGAATCTTTCTCTAAATAGAATAAAATCCTAAAAGATTTCTTTTATTTGGTTTTAAATGTTCTAAACTTCAAGAAAAATCATTTTATGTAAATATATGCATCAACAGCATCTGCGTACATCTTGAAATCCTCAATTTAGAATTAGAATTCAATTTTTGTATATTTTTTACAGATAATTACTTCCGATTAGACAAGTTTCGAAAACAGTCCTCAAATAATTATGCGAACTGAAACGGGTTTAAGCATTTAATGAAACTACATTCGTTTGAATGTATTTTATTTCTCTACATACTTAACACATAAACAGAAGAAAAAATATCTGAAGTTTACGCCAAAATAAAGATTCAGCATGGGGGAAGTTCAATGTCGAAATCTTTTTTTTACAATTTTTAATTATGTTTTAAAATATAAATATCTTTAATCGTTCAATTCTTAAAAGATTCTCTACGAGAAAAGAAAAAGGGAGATTTAAAATTATACGTAATGACTTGATAAATATTTTTTCTCGCTTGAATTTCCTTCATTTAACATTGAGTTTTCGAAAATAAAAATGTCATGATAAAAGAATTTCTCTTGAAGCTTCATTGTAATTTGTAATCATGTAAATGTAATTGGAACATTATGTTACAGACCATAGGAAACCAGTACAGTCAATATGGCTCTTCGACCTTCTACAAGGGACTTCGTTTGACGATACCGTCAACTGTGAAAACAGAAGTCATCAATAATAATAATAAATGTTTAAACCAAGCAAGCGCTAAAGACAGTTGTGAAGATGAAAAAAAATCTGAAAACGAAAGAAGGTATACGAACACAAAAAATAGCTCTGCAAAAGAAGATTGAGAAGCATTTTTGCATCAATGTATTAAACGGGCTTTTATTATTTCAGTATTACCAACAATTGTAAGACATTCATTATTGCTATGGGCGATTGCATACCTGTTCGACCGTGGGCCGATTCTCCAATTGAATGCCTTGCAGAAGTTCGAATGATATGGAGAGATAAAACTGAACAATCACTTTTGCTAAGCTTAAGGCTTTTCTTTTTACCGGAAAACACTCCAAAAGGAAGAAATAATCATGGCGAGGTAAATAATTTTATCTAATTTAAGACGCAAAATTACAACAAAGAAATTGCAATTTTTCACATCGACTTTTTAGTTTCTCAGAAGAGTAAAAAATTTAAAACAAAATCACGTGCTTTTCACTTGTAGTAGTTTTTTAAATGAAAATCTCTGCTAAGATAATTCATTAGTCCCTCTGTGATACTTACATAAATACATACAATTTAAAATTCTCTTTCTATTTCTGACACATTCATAAGAATTTTGTTTTTCCTTGAAGGACGAAGTTGTTGCTGTTAAAGATTTGGAATCACCTAGAGGACGAATAGTAATTCGTGCTGAAGATTTCACCTCATGGGTCGTTGAAGATTTGCAATGGAATTGGGGCCTTACAGCAAGTTTTCATGATAAGTCATCAACAAAGCTTACTTCTTCTTCTAATGGCATACCTGTTACGTCACTTCTATCAAACTCCAAACTAGACTTTAGTGAAGTGGAAAAAGAAAAGGAAATAGGTTTGTATAACTCAGAGAAGAGAAGAAAAAAATATTTTTTCTAGAGCTTTTAACGCCACATTCATCACAATGTTTGTTTAGAATCTGAAACTAAATAGATTGGGCCACATATTTTCTGCTGTTGAAATATTTTCTTCTTCTTTATGATGATGATTTTTTGAAGATGAAGTTTTATAACTTCCACTTTCAACAGCAATTCGAATCGTTTCGTAAAATAATTATCATTAATAAACAAAATTCTGTTTTATTTTCAGTCGACAATTTGCATTCCAACGTGACTATTTTGAGTTATTCGAGATATTGCAGATATCGTGCGACACTTAAACGTTTAGAACACATAGAAGATAATCAGATTCGAATTAAATTGATAGAAACATTAAGCGGATTTGTTGCTTCTCAACCTAATACTCGAATAATGTTTGCTAAGGAGACAATTGATTATCCGGATTTGGAATCACATGAAATGCTTTGTCCACATCTTGCGCCAAAACTTAAAGGAAGACCACGAGGTCGTCGATTGAAAATTACCAGTAGAGTATCCGAGTGTTCATCTCCAGCTCCATCTTCTGAATTCTCTGTAGACAGTGGCGAAACAAACGATTCAGATGTGTTTGATGGAAAACATTTGGTGAGATTAAAACATAAAAGCCTTGAACTGATTTTCCATAATTTTCGATTTTAAATTTTTCAGATGAAAAATAAAGATAATCAGAAAATGAGTCAACGATTGACTCGAAACAAGAGAAAATCGGAATCAATTCAGACAGAAATTTACACGACATTGTCAACTGGACGTGTTTCTAAGCAACGTTTACCTTTATCGCCACTTAAATCTGTTACCAATAAAAGAAAAAAGAAATCAAACGAATCAGATGATGAACCAGATTCGTCATCCTCTGAGGATAATAATGAAGACGAAGATTATGATGACAAATATGTCAATCGTAAAATGAAACAAGAATCGGGATCGAAAAGAAAAGTTTCACTTAAAGATGATGAGAATGGAAATGAGCGAAACAGCGTTTCCATTATGAATCTTATACCAGCACTACAGATCCCAATAGATGCATACAAGAGTCCCGAAGAACTTGACTTTTTGATTCGATTAAACAACTTTATGACCGAGAGAGCTCAATCATATCCAAAATTGGTGTGGAGTTTAAGAGATGGTAAGTTTTTATTTTATTTTTACTATTTGAATTACGTTAAACGTTCTTCACGTACGTAAAATTTTCATTACGTGCAATGTTTCGTGAAATGATCACGCAATGTGTAAGCTACGTTTAACAAACATTGAACGTTAATTGTACGTAACAACATTAATCAAACAACTTCCTTGTAAATGTTTTCAGTCAACTTATTTACAATTTACACTCGAGTACAAAAACTTGGAGGATTTGACGCAATTGCTGATAATCGAGTGTGGAAGAATCTGTTCGAAGATCTTTCTGAACCTGGAAAGTGCATTACTCAAGGCATGACCAAACGAAAATACGAAAGAATTCTCTTGCCTTTTGAACGTTTCGAACGTGAGCTCAGAGAAAATGGGAAATATAAATCTGAACTTACAATTTCAACGATTCCAAAAGGGAAAGTTAACCATCGAGAGTCTCAATTTAATCGCAATCAAAATAAACGCCCACGCTCATCATCGCCTGCAATAGAAATAATTCCTTTGAAAAATGGCTCATCTGATCATTCGGAACTTACTTTTGAACAAATCAATGAAATACAAAACATTATTAAACCAAAAGATTACGAAAATCAGCATTTCTACAATGGTCACAGTAATGATGGTGTCTCCGTTCCTGTTCATGTGATTGTTCGGCCAACAACAAGTACATCAATCGCTGAAAAGATTGCAAACCGAAAACGTGGTTTTGAGAATCAAAACAATTCATATTCCTTTACAAACAACAATCAACAAAAACCTAAAGAGAAAGAAAATATTCCTATGATGCCGTCAAGTACAACAATCGTTCCATTAAAAAGTGACGGTTTTCCAACCTTCTCTCCAACAAACGTCGTTGAGTTAATCGACAGTGACGACGAAAGTAATTGTCGCAAAGGAAATCAAAATATGAAGAAGCGCAAGTTGGATATTTTGAGAGAAGGAGGATTAGAAGTCACACCAATAAGTCGTCGAGCTCAAGACTTTCTTATGACTTATCCCCATCACAATCCAGGTCGTTCAAATACAAACAACATGCAGCCAAATGTCAGCTTAATGTCACTCTCGCCAGCACGAGCACCTCCGGTAATTCAAAGCTTCAATATGTATCAGTCAACAAGTCAAGTGTTCAAAAATCCAAAAGAAGATGTCATAAATGCAACGAGAAGCTCGAAATTGAGTTGCTTGGATCTTACAAGTAAAACATCAAACGAACAGCAACATTCATACCCGCAATCTTCTGACATGTTTCGTGATGTTCGCAAGAATTTGCTGTCAATTGAAGAAGTTCAGAAAAATTATCGCGGTTCGAATCCTGATCTACAAATTACTCTCGTAAAACCGAATCCAGACAGTTCAGTTAGCAATAATAATAACAATAACAATAATAATAGTAATCAGAAAGTTGTTCATCAAACTGGTTTTAATAGACCATCGACAAAGAAACTTAAAAAAGTGCCATCACAAACACTTCCACCTGGTATTCCACCAATAAATCCAGTCATTATTGCAGCAGCAAATGAACTACAAAAACTTCAACAGCGACAGAACATGCCACCGTTGTTTCCTTTTCTATCGGGATTAGACATCACACCGTTACAACAATCAACTTCCTCAAGAATGCCAAAACCATCGACGTCATCACCATCATCTGAACATATAGACAATGCGTTGTCATATTTGTCAGCACTTTATTCAAATCCACTATTGCAGGGAAGCAACATTTTGTCACCAGCTGCTGAATTCTTGAAGCTTTACACAAGCTCAACCTCAGCTAATCGAGTTCCATCAAGTAAAAACTAAAAGTTTCATTGATTCATCACTCAAATAAAAAATTTGCTAACGTACTTAGTTGCTGTTCATTCCAATCTTGTCAAGTCATTTGCGGATTTTCGTTTCTTTCAAATTATTTTAATTTACGCTCGCTGGAAGTCTTCAAAATTTATTTACTTGTTATTGCTTTGCTTAATTCTGTTTTTTCTTTTTCTTCTTTTTTCTTACGAAAACAGCAAAAATATGTTTCGTAATATATGTACGTAAATATTTTCAGATAAGCTCTCTGAAATTATTGTTGCAATTCAAGTGTGATTTTCTCTTACATTAATTAGTTATTAAAATTAGTTATCAAACATTTGAAATAACACTAAGCCCCTCTCATGAATAAGTATGATAATTTTAGAAGTAAAATTGCCAGAAGAACATGTAAAATCTTTTTTTACAATAATATAATTCATTCATTAATATGTGAAAAATATGAAATGAAATAAAAAAGAATTTCACAAGAGACTTTCTTTTGTTGTCTGCTTTCTTATGTAGATGTTTGAATTTCAAAGAAAATAGATAAGACGTCGTGGCATGTTAACAACAAAATATTATCTTGATATTGGATTACTGAAAATGTTTACATTTTCCACATTCAACAGGAGAATTGACTGACAACTTACCACGTTTCACTCTTGGGTGTTCAAAATTTCAAATGATAATTAAAGCAATTCCCAAATGGCCAATAAAAAAAGATTGGTTTGGTTTTTTATATACATTTTTCTTTTATTTTTTTTGTTTTCCACAATAACTGTTCCATGATGTTAAATATGACTTTTCTGTCTCTGATTTTATTAATTTATTTTTTCTTTTCTTGTTTTGTAAGAAAAACTCGTCACTCCTTGAGAAAGTGAGTTTGTTTTCGAAAAATTTACAGTCGTAAATGGTTTAACAATGAAATTTCCTCAAATATCTCTTTCTTTTAAAGTCGTTTTTATGTTATTTTAATATTTCCTTCTTTCATTCTATTGCAATCATTAGGATTTTTCTGTTTGTTCTCCATTTTCATCAAAATTTCTTTTTCCTTTTCTTTTGTTTTAAATATTGTAATACTTTTTATTATAAGGTTTGGTTTTTCTTTAATAGATATTCGGATTAGCTGTAGCCAAATTAAATAAGATTTTTGTTCATCAGTTTGTGCTGATTACTCAAGACATTAGAGGATAAGATAAAGACAAAGACAGAGAAATCAAAATAAAGAAAGAGAACGAAATAGCGCCATAGGCAAGGGTTGTTTAATTAAGGTGAATAAAGGAGTGGAAATTGAATATTTCCATTCTTCGTTTCTCTTTCAGGTGTGTGTTTGTATTTTTTTTTATATGGGTGTAACAGTGAAATTTTCATTTAATTTCATTAAAAATAAATTTTTGCATTCTTTGAATTCTTTTCATGGTAAATATTTAAATAAACTTTATTATGGCTTGATTGTTTTCTTTGTATTTTCTTTTTTATCTCTTGCTTCCATCATATTTATGGACTTGTTAAGTTATTAATTAATTAACCTAATGAAATGATTTATTTTTCATTTATTTTAATCTCAAAAAAGAGTTGCTAGATAAAGGACCTGGAAGAAATATACACAATTGAAATGTTACTTTTATTTGTTTAATTCAAAATGGGATTGGATGACATTTGCAAGAAAACTTATTCAAGATCACCAGAATTCTACATTCACAGTGCAATCGTAAATTGAATGAGTTTACTAGCAAATGTCGTGCCGATCCTAAAATATAATGGAAAGAAAAACTTAAAAGTTTCTTTTTAATCTTTTCCAGTGTTCGTTATTTCATCATTTTAAATGCAATCACTTTAAAATGTATATAAATACTAAAATGTGAAAAATTGCTGTTATTGGTTTCATTCTTAAACGCTTAACGTTAACATTTAGAAAGAAAATTCTCCAAATAAAGGTGCAATCGCTAAAAAACTTCAATAACTTTCGTGTATCTTCATTTACCTTCATTAATTAAAAAGTTTAAAGGAGTTTAGGGTCAATCAATAGCTTAGCTTTTCTGATACTTTCATCGTTACAATCACATAATTGCGCAACTATTCTTTTCATCCTTAATTTCATTACACAAATAAGAACGTAAGAATTGAGTTCAGTGAGATTAAGTAGAAGAAGTTTTTTTTATTAATTTGATTTAATTTTTTTTTCTGCACATCAACATATCCTATCCTAGAAGTGTTTATATTATTTTTCTTCTCAATTAAATTTTTCTTTTAGATTCAATTTATGTAATCTTTTTGCAAAAAGTGTTAAAGTCTAAAAACTTTAGTTTCGTTTTTCTTTCTTCCCTTTCATCATCATAAAATAGAAGTCAATGTTCCTTCAATTAAGTTTTCTTTGTTTTCTTCAATCACCTTCTACACAAATCGTTTCTATGTAGTTTAAATACTTTAACAGTGAGGACGAGAAATTTTTTTCCGTGCAATATGGTAGATAAGAAAACAAAACTGGATTATGTGTGCATGCTGAATTTAAAATCTAAATAGCCTAGATGATAATTTAAGGGTCACTTTATGTATCGTTACGTCATACCCTGTTGCCAAAAAATTTTTACTCGCATATCTTAACCGACTTTGTCTAAGAACAACTGTTTAATTAGTTAAAATGTACAAAATTTGAGCCAATAACTTTAAAAGAGTTATTCATATCAATGAGTAAATATATTTGAGATAAGATACACTTTCAATTTTTAAATGAACATATAATGACAGAGATAAAGAAATTTTCTGATAGAAGCATGCACACACAATCAAATTGTCACAGCAAAAGTTTTGTTTAAAATTTTCAAATGACCAAGAGCTGACTGAAAAAGAGACTACCGCAAACTCCTGCCTTCAAACACCATCCCCACTATTAAGGCATGTTTTTCTTCGAAAACATCTTTCTCATTTTTTTATTAAAAGTCTGCCAAAGTGACGCAGATATCTTTTTTTTCTAAACAATTTAAATTGAAGTTAAATGTTGAACTTTATAGGATCAGGATTTCAGAAGAAACATTTCTGCTATATAAAGATCAAACGTGCCTCATTAGTTAAGCATTTTTTTATTACTCTCTTATTTTTTTCATTTTGTTATCATATGAGTTTTGATAAGTTTAATTTTCACACCGACGAAAAATAAAAAAAATTTACGCTCAACTCGAGCATTGCATTAGATATACAATTTTTTTCTTCTTTTTTATGTTTTTTTTTCTTTTTTTGTTTCATGTTTCCAATTTCTTCTTTTTCTTCTTTTTTCATCAATAAGAAACTGTTTTCATTTTAAAAAATGTGTGTTAAGTTTCTTTGTTTTCAACTACATAGTTTGATTTTTAGCGTTTTCAGAAGTGAACAGAAGTGATGTTGGTGAAATCCGTTTGGGCGAATCTCAAAACTTTCTTTCTGGTTTATGTTAGATATTTAGATATCATCGGTTGGCTTGACTTTGCATCGGCTATTTGAACTTGACTGGAAGAAGAGAATCAGTTTGAAAACAAGTTTCGTTAAGATGTTTCAGTTTTTCAGCCAGTTTTATCGTCAAATAATCGATGGCAGCAGTCAATCGACTCTTAAAAACCAGACAGCAAAATATTTTCTTCTTTTCATATTTTTTTGTTCGTTTTTGAAATCTCGAAGAAGGAAGCAAAAATCAAGAATTAAAAAAAGCAGTAAAATTAATTTTAAAGTGAAGTTTTTATTAAAATTAAACAGTACAATGTTTGTTCAAAACAATTAACGGGGACAGCAGAACTGTTTTGCTATTTTCTTGCGTTTTACATTATAATCAAGTTTAGAGGAAATTTTTTCTTTTTTTTATTTCTTTACTTTGCAATTAAAATTAGATGCGTCAATAAAGGTTTTGAATTTTCTTTTAAGATGTTTTTTAATATTACTTTCTTACTATTTTAACTTTTTTTTCGCTTATCAATTTTTATTCAGTGATTATAATTTTATCGTTTAGAGATTTTTGCGTAGCTTAGATTTTCATTTTTATAACTTTAAAAAGAAAAAAATTAAAATGTTTGAAGAGTTTGAAACAGCATTTTTATGTCGTGTAAGTATTCTATTTTCTTTTTTCAATTTCTATGGTAAGAGAGGTAAATAAAATTAAAAAATACAATGGTAAGGAGGGTAATAAGAACAACTGATTTAAATAAATTTATATAATTAAATGGAGAAAAGAAAATGAACATCTAAGAACTTATTAAAAATTGAAAAATGAGGTGCGGCATCATGCGCAAGATTTCCACAAAAATTGAGATGGAGACCATTTTTTTTAGTTTGCACAAATATGGTTACATTGAAACTGATTAAGATTTTTCTTCCTTTAGTTTTCCATTTTCTTCTTCCTTCTTCATCATCTTTCCATGGATTTTTATTTTCATCTTATAAAACATAATAATGATAAAAGATCAAAGTGTAATAGTTGTTGACAATAATTTTATAATTGTTGTAATGTGGATTGAAAGGCTGTTGTAAACCTAGAGCTCACTTCGATGTCATCATTGTTACGAATTCTAAAATGCGGCATACAAAAAAACAAAAGAAATAAACAACATGAGAAAATGGAGTGTTTGGTTTGACTTGAAATGTTCAAAAATTTGTTCATTTTCTGTTTTTCTTTCTTCAAAAAGATCGGAGATGCTCTACGTGCATAAAAAAAAGAGTTACGTTAACTTTATGTTGCATCTTTGCGTTGTTCTTTAATGTTAGTAACATACGTATGACTTAACAACATATACGTAGATATGTGACAAAATTAAATGTACGCGTGGCGTTTTGTAACACGAGATATTTATTTATACAAGTATCAAGTTCTTTAAAGGAATAAATTTCATGTCATTCAAGAAACAATTTAAAAGCTTCATCTACTACTAAAACGTTTTTGATCGGAAAGAAAAATCAATCAAAATGAACATTTTCTGATGGTATGGAATTAAATAATAAAGTCCAATTGTGTATACAAATAAGAATAAGAAGTGAAACTAAAACATACCTTCATAATTAACTTGACCATCCCCATCTATGTCAGCCTCGCGAATCATTTCATCGACTTCTTCGTCTGTCAATTTCTCTCCCAAATTTGTCATCACGTGGCGCAATTCGGCGGCTGAGATGAAACCATTGCCATCCTTATCAAATACACGGAATGCTTCCCGAATTTCTTCCTCACTATCGGTGTCTTTCATTTTACGGGCCATCATTGTTAAGAACTCGGGAAAATCAATTGTACCATTGCCTGAAAGAATAATGTTGAATAGAAAAAATGAGAATTATTACGGATTTTATAGCATTTCATGTAAGCAACAACAACGACGACGGAAAAGGAAACGTTTAAGCTCAGCTTTCCTACACCCCACCCTCGTGTTATTCATAATTCTTCTTTTTTTCTTTCATTCTTCCTCATAAAAGCCACAATAACTGAAATTACTAAAATAATTCTGTTCTGTTTGGTGAAAGGTTGTTCCATCGTGATACCATCGTTTGCCTGTTAACTGAATATCGTTTAAATTTATGCTTCACTTTGAATTTTTCTTTTCTTTTCGTTTGTAAGTTAAAACAATAAATGTCGTTTTTTTCGGATTTGAATTCAGTTTCGTGTTGCGATTTGAAGACAATGTTATGGATATTTAGAAATATTTATTTACAATCTATATGCTGATGATTCATTTTATAAGAATCTAATCAATATAAGAAACATCAGATGGAAATCAAAAGAGATGAAAATTTTCATATTTATTCAAGTTATTCTTCTTCTACCTTTATCCTAAATCGATTCCATTGAAACTTTCATGAGCGTTTTTTGTTATGATAAATAGAAAATGATTAAACGATACTACTAGTAAAGTTGAAAGCACAAAACACAACACGTAATGTATCCATTGCAAGTGATTACATCCTTCGTGTTAAACGAATGTTCATTCCAATGCCTCACATGTTTTTTGTCGTTCTTATTTACTGTGAGAAACAACAAACAAATAAAAACAAAATCCTTTGAAGTTAGTCATATCGATTTTCTTTTATGATGTTGCACACGGAAAACATTGCATTATTTATTTAGTGGTTGGTTGGTTGGTTGAATTTTTGTTATTCAAATAATTTAATAACTTTTTTTCTTACAAAATGTTTAATCGTTGAATAATGTAATAATTCTAATAATAATAATCATAAAAAAGAACGAAAATTAAAAGAATCAAAACAAAATCTTTTCGAATAATTTAGATGAGATATTCAAGTTTCCCTGCTACATAGAAATTACAAAACAATAAATTTCCCTAAATTTTCTTTTGCTGTTTCGTGATTATATTCGTTACTAAATCAAACTCCGTAGCAGCAAGGTTAATTCTTGTAAAAATGAAGAATGAGATTCTCGCACGGAAGTGGAAGTGGGAATTTGATTTCAGTTCAGTTTTTTTTCTTTCTTTTAACAAGAAAAATAAAAAGGGCAGAAGCCTATAACATTATCAGTTGTATTGATCTAAAAAGGGGAGAGGAAAAAAGCTATGAATATCGTCCTGGTTTCCACAGGAGGTTCTTGATATTTCTTATCTTTCTTCAGCTTTACCACCAATCTTCTGACCTTTTTTGAAACGAGGAACGGTACAAAAAATATAAAAATGAAATTTGCAGATTTCAACATTTTTCAAATATCTACTCTTTGTGAATGTACCCAAAGCAAACTAAAATGATTATCTGTTGTATTCAAGGTCAAAATCTAGAGAATGGAGCATTGCGGTAAGTGGGAGAGTTCCAACAATAATATAACAACAATCAATCTGTGACAACGCAAAAGCCACTTGCTGGTTTTTTTTTTCATCTCACTCTTGCGCAAAGCTATCGATTACTGTGAACCAAATTCTTATAATCTGATTACGTTTGAGCGCCTCGACACAAGTCGACTTGAGTCTAATTTCTGCCGCATATATGAAGTAATCAATCAATAATAAAAATACAAAAAAAAAGTAAAGCAAGTGGAGTGCCTGCGATAGCTGAGAACGTAATCTCAAGTGGTGTTATTTTTAATTACCACTGCATTATTATCCAATCGCTGATGATTTATTTTCTACGATAACACTGCGTAGACTAGCCTTTAATTGTTTTATGCGAAGTCACAGGGCGAATACACAATAAGTGAATAAAAGAAATAATGTCAAGCTTTGTAGATGTTTTGTATGCATAGTTCGCTTTAATAAACAATCATTGACAATGACAGGGACTATAATAAGCGATTTGCAAGGATAAATAATAGCTAATAATAGCTTCAAATTGAATTTAAATTAAAACACTCACCATCAGCATCAACTTCGTTTATCATGTCTTGAAGCTCAGCTTCTGTTGGATTCTGTCCTAGCGATCGCATGACGGTTCCCAATTCTTTTGTCGTGATTGTACCATCACCATCCTTGTCGAACAATGAGAATGCCTCTAAAAGTAATTAAAAAAATCATAAAGTAATTAGTCTAAAAGGACAAGAAAAAGAGAGTCAACAACAACGAGATGACAAGTAGTGTCTACATAAATAGATTGTCATATTATAATAAACATGAAAAAGGAAAGAAGAGTTTTCCCTTTACTAACCTTTGAATTCGGCGATTTGCTCTTCTGTTAATTGATCAGCCTGGAAAAAGGAAGAAAAAGAAAGTTATTCTCGTTTGCCAATCCTTTTTTTTCTTTCCGTCTTTTTTCCGACCAAAATCTTTCTTCATACATCGATTCAACTGAAGTAGAATGCTTGGAGCATGTATGATTGTGTTAAGAAGGAAATTTTCATAGAATTGCGCAATGGCGAAAAGTGCGGAATGAAAGTTCATCATTTTCTTGAGATAAAATGAAAATTATTCCTTCTCAACCCTTATCATAATGTCGAGAAATTGTTTTTCATAGCATAGCATGGCATGAGTAAGTAGTAATAACTTCATTTATGATAAACGACGAAGAATGTAAATTTCTTGTTTTATATTACGTATTAAGACTACATAGCGTCTTATATTTAAATGTTGACTTTGTTCTGTATTATTCATACACATTTAGCATTTTCTCCCCATCAGTGGATTCTTTTTCTTTCTTTTTTTTATTGTTGCTTTGCACCTTTTTTGAAAGGCAAGGAAATTGGAACAGCGAGATGGTGGCGGACAAGCTTTTCCGAGCTTGCGCATGAGAACATTGGCGAAAAAAACATGATATAAAAATTATAATTTGAAGACGTTTCCACTCGCTCAAATTGATTTTCGAGGCTCTCCATTACTTAAATGAAACAACGAAAAATATTATTCTAAGAAGTTTAATCATTTTCTTTTCTCGTAGGTAGCTTTAATGTCGCAAAAAATAAAATATAAATTTACATATTTTTCAGCATGAGAAGCTTTTCTCACTAGAGAACGATGTCGTTGTGTGTGTGAGTGAATAAAAATTTTCAACTTCTTTTTTTTCTTCGCTAATGTGAGCGAGTTGGAAAACCTCTATGATATATCTCTCTCCTAAATATTTATATTCAACTAGTATAATCATCGACATGTCATGAGAATCATCATTGTAGTGATTAAAAATATCATCTATGACTATTTAGAGCTTTAAGGCTTAATTTGGCTTCCTTTTCGTCTCCGAACTTCAATGACACATCGCAATGTATGCGAAAATTAATCTTAAGCCTTTCCGACTCTTCATTCTTTCCGTTAAAAATGAGCTGAGGTCATCAATTGTACGAAAAATGAAAGAAGATGGAGATATGAGAGAAGAAAACGGCAGACACTAATTCATCGCTTGCTTTTTTCATTATTTTTTCTTTATCAAAATTTTAAAATTGTTATCAGGGAACATCAATTAGCTTTATTGACACCTGATGAATCTACTTTCGATGCAAGAAAGTATCATTAAAAGTAGAAATTCTTCAGTAGAAAAAAATGAGAAAGTGAGAGAGGTATAAAGTCCGCAATGCGGCAAAATATCGGGTTTTTTGTGTGTAAAAACACGAAAGATGCCTTGCTTCGTTTCATGATTTGTGTGTTGGTATTAGTAGCCGTATTTTTTTAAGGGAGTCATGCTATAACTTTGTCACTGGGGACTTATTTATCATTTTTAACACGAAATGTCATTTATTTTAATCGATATGGTTCTTTTTCATGCCACAAGACTAGATTATATCGATGCAAATTAGCATAGGATCTTTAAAGATAAAAATACCAGGTGAAAAGAGAGAAAAAAAGCCAGTGCGAACGCTGAAAAATCAATATGAAAAAAAAATGCGTTCTGTCTCTAATTTCATCCTGGATCTTTCCGAGATGTATATTTACCATTTTTCCTTTGTGAAATAATTTAAATTGTAATCCTTAATACAGCTACACTAGTTTTGTTCTGATTGGTGACTTTGCTGTCGCTCTAATCAAATTTCGAATTATGAAGTTTTCCTTCTTCCAAAATTTGACAATTGCGTAAGTATATCTTGCAAATTTGCAAACAATCGATACACTAATTGAATTTATGCACTTGCAATTCTAATATAACCACTTAATTAAACGGCTTTCTTAGTTTAGAGAAAATTTTGCTCGTCGCTTTAAACACGTCCGATTCAGAGAAAGTTCGACAATCGAATGAAAATTCCACCAAATTGAAACAGGCTGAAAAATATTTTCGTTTAACTGTTCAATGACTGTCTGACAACCTGAAAATGGAACAAAAAAGATGGCTGCCATTTATGAAATCTTTTTATCCGTTAAATCTCACCAAAGTCATTTCTAAACCAGAAGATTAAAGTTGATTCGTGTTGGAGCACTGATAACGCTATTTTTCAATTAAAAGTTTTATGTATGCATCAATGTTGAGACTCAAACCATTTGACGTGTTCATTTACTGCTAAATTTTAACACAATTGAATTAATCATTCAATTAAAATCTGTAGATATCCAACGAAATTGACATGAAATCTTATCAAAATAAAAAACCATTTGTATTTGTTATAAATTGATAGAATTAAACAAAAATATCATTTTATTTCATATTTCATTTAAAAATTAAAAAAAAATCTTAAAATTATTTGTTGAAATTACATTTCATCAACATGACTGTACTTTGGAAAATTAGCAACTTCCACTTTGTCGTTCACTTTAAATGATGGAAACAGACCATTTTGATTTGTTCGCAAATTTTTGCCTTTTGAAAATCCATTCCAATGATTTCCAGCAATACCAATTAAATCTCCAGTTTTCACTTGAATTTGATCATGAGTTGAGGGTTTGTGATCGAGAACACTTATCACGTTATGACTGTTTTGTCCTCCATAGTAATAGATATCATCTAAAGATTTAAATCTATTGTAGGCGTCAGGATACACTGTCTGCATAATCTAATCATAAAATAAAATTATTACATAATTGGATTAGATAAAAATTGATAAGATTTCTTACCTCATATGCTACTCTACAAACTTGAGAACTAAATGTACATACAAGAAAATCACTCTTTGAGAGTAGATCGATATCTAACATAATTCCATTGAGAGATGAGTCTGTGTATCTCGTTGAAACTGCAGCAATTTTGGCAATTTCTGGATCACCAATTACATCGTAATGGGGATAATTTTTCCTTGCCTCGTCAATTACTTTTGGATCGTCACTGGCGAGGAAAACTCTTCTCTTCTCCACATATTGAACCATCTCTAGTTGATTATAATATTCATCTACTGAACGCATATATTCATCAAGACTATGAAATGATGCTTCAGTCCCAACTTTATCAGTTCGTCTAATGTGAACTCCAACGATTGGCTTTTTAAATCCAAGCTTCTTCCTTCCATTATCAAGCATTTCTTGGGTTTCTGGTTGAGGCTTCAAAAGGAATCTTTAAGAAATGTTAATTTGATTATTGTTTATTTATTATTTCATGATTTCTTACTTAACAAATTGTCCAATCCACCAGGCAATCGGATCGCCATGAAGTTTTGTGAGTCGTGGTGCTAAATCAGCTGGAATTGCTAGTGGAAGAAATGATGGACGTGGATTGAGGGAATCAATGATTGGAACTGTTAGAACTTGAACATTCTCATTAGCAGGCCAAGCACCCATCGATGCACCACGTTCATCTAAGCAAGTTTTGCTAACTGGTTGAAATATTTCTTCAAATCCTCCTTTATGATATCGCCAGCCTAAAGAAAAAATGTAGTTTAATTAACTTCTCTTTATTTATCGTTGAAGATAATTCACCTTTTGATTTCAATATTAAAGTTCTTTCTGTTGCATAGGCCATAATGAAACAATAAACCATATGGTGCAGTTGACATCCCCATCCACAGCCTTTATTGATTTTACACACTAATTTCTTGGCTGTTGCACAATCTGTTGGATTTTGAAGGTAATAAAGTCTTTTTTGTACAAGATCTGATAATGCTTTTGCTTCCGTGTGACGGTAATTTTCGTATCCATCATTCTTCGTCATTTGATCAAAGTCATTTAAAAGAGATCTAAAAAGAGGAATGATTCACATTCATATACATCATTAAACATGATAAATATTACCGATAAGGAAGTTAAAATTACCTTTTATGCTCTCTCGATAACTGAACAAAATCAGTTAAAATCTTTTGCGATTGATGAGATTCCACTTCGTTACTTAATAATTTCTGAAGTTTTTCAGCTTCTGACGACATATAATTCCAATATTCAAGGATATTCGTGCCTATACGCCGACGAAGTAGCTCATATTCAAGAGATGGAATTCCTGTTCGTTGATTTTGTTGTGATGAATCTTGAAGTGAATCTTGAGTCTCAAAATTATCTTGAAACTTTAAATGTATTTGTTTGAGTAAATCAGCTTTGGCATCATTACTTGCAGCATCGTTATTATAATCGTCAAGGAGCCGCTTCAAATCATTGTCAATTGATTTCGACCTCTCAAGCATCGAAATTGCTTGATTTAACTTTTGCATATCTTCAGATTCATTTTCTCCACCAGTAGCATTCAATTTTGTAATGAAAATATAAATTAACAAAGCCCAAATGGCAATGAAAACTAGAATTTGGCGAGTGAACGACATGCTGGTGGAATTTAACTATGAATAAACTGATAACATTTTCTGATCAAAATGAACATCTGTAAAGGGTGTTCAACTACTAATCAATCAAAGAGAAACATTGAACCATTTTGAACTCACATGAAGAGACGAGTTCAAAATTTTCTCAAAGTAGTAGTGACGTTACTTGTTAACATCCATTAAAAACGTTCTCAATTTTTAATTCTTTCTTCGAGTCTGGATTATTCATAGTTGAATTAAAATCTTTAGTTACAAGTCTAATTGATTAGGTAAGCATTTTTAGAACATCATCTCAACAAATTCATTTTCGATAAGTAAATCATGTCAATTAAGCTTTCATTTCATCTGAAAATGAAAATTAAGAAAATATATCGATGAATAAGATTTATCAAATTTTCTGCCTTAAATAGCATTTTTAAAAAAGAATCCATTTAGTTTACTTCATTAATTCTGTTTAACTTCGCTAACAGAAACAGGTTGCAAATTTTTTCATGAAAATTATTCCATTAAAGGAAGTTTTAACCTAAAATAACGTTTTCGTGAAATGTAGTGGAAAATTTTAATTTCTTTTTAAGGTCACCATGCCATCGGATTCTAAAAAGAAAGAACAGCAGCGTAAGAAAGATGCGCGAAATAAAAAAGTTACAGGAACTGTTAAGAAAGAGGAAAAAGCTGAAAATGGAACTACCTCGAATGGAATCGCTAAGGAGATGACTGAGGAAGAAGCTTTATGTGGTAATTTTATTGAATGACCCATTAATTGTTACAGAGAAGAAATAAATGAAATTTTTATGATTGCAGCAAAACTTGAGCAAGAAGCTCGAATTAATGCTGATGCAAGGTCATGCACTGGATCACTTGCAGTTCATCCAAGGTCTCGAGATATTAAGATTGAGAATTTCTCGATAACTTTCTTCGGTGCGGAATTATTGCAAGATACAATGTTAGAGTTAAATTGCGGTCGACGGTATGGATTACTCGGATTGAATGGCTGTGGAAAGTCTTCATTGTTAGCAGTGTTAGGAAATCGTGAAGTTCCAATTCAAGATCACATTGACATTTTCCATCTGACAAGAGAAATTCCTGCGAGCTCTAAGACAGCGTTAGAGTGTGTTATGGAAGTAGATGAGGAACGAATCATTCTTGAGAAATTAGCTGAAGAACTAGCAACCTGTGAAGATGATGAGTCGCAAGAACAACTGATGGATGTTTATGAACGGTTAGATGAAATGGCAGCTGATCAAGCAGAAGCACGCGCCAGTCGTTTACTTTACGGTCTAGGATTCGATAAGAATATGCAGCAGAAAGCAGCAAAGGACTTCAGTGGTGGGTGGCGTATGAGAATTGCTTTAGCTCGTGCTCTTTTCGTTAAGCCTCATTTACTTTTGCTTGATGAACCGACGAATCACTGTAAGTTTGAAATCAATCATAATTGGAAGTCAATTGACGTTTCTTCTTTCTTTTTCAGTGGATCTTGACGCTTGCGTATGGTTGGAGGAAGAATTAAAAACTTATAAAAGAATTCTTGTGATCATTTCCCATTCTCAAGATTTCTTGAACGGTGTTTGTACGAAGTAAGTTGAGAATCTTTACGGAAATTCTTTAATTAATCATTTTTCATTCCAGTATTATTCATCTTACCAAGAAACGTCTCAAGTATTATACAGGAAACTACGATATGTTCACGAAAACAAGAATGGAATTACTGGAGAATCAAATGAAGCAATACAATTGGGAACAAGACCAAATTGCTCATATGAAGAATTACATTGCACGTTTCGGTCACGGTTCAGCTAAACTTGCTCGTCAAGCTCAATCGAAAGAGAAAACACTTGCGAAAATGGTAAGAAATGTCGAAATGTTGACGCTTTCTCGTTCGATAATCAATTTTCTTTTATCTTTGATTTCTTAGGTTGCTTCCGGATTGACAGAGAAAGCAGTTGATGATAAAATGTTGACGTTCTCTTTCCCATCATGCGGAACAATTCCACCACCAGTTATTATGGTGCAAAATGTTAGTTTCCGTTATAACGATACGACTCCTTACATTTACAAGAACTTAGAGTTTGGTATTGATTTGGATACACGACTAGCTCTTGTTGGTCCTAACGGTGCTGGAAAGTCGACACTTCTCAAGTTGTTATGTGGAGAAATTCATCCAACACAAGGAATGATCAGAAAGAATTCTCATTTACGAATTGCCAGATACCATCAGCATTTGCATGAACTCTTGGACATGGATGTTAGTCCACTGGTAAGCAGTCATGAACATCCTTCAATTATTTGAATTTAATTTGATTTATTTTTAAGGATTACATGTTGAGATCTTTCCCGGATGTCAAAGAAAGAGAAGAAATGCGAAAGATTATTGGTCGATATGGATTGACTGGAAGACAACAGGTTTGATGAACACAACTCATTAATTAAAGTTTCTCTAATGAAATTCTTTCTCTTAGGTTTGTCCCATTCGGCAACTGTCAGATGGTCAACGATGTCGAGTTGTATTTGCGTATTTGGCTTGGCAATGTCCTCATCTTCTACTTATGGACGAACCCACGAATCATCGTAAGATAATTTAACAAAAACTTTCATCATTTTCAATAAATTAAATTTTCTTTCTTTCATTAACAGTTGACATGGAAACGATTGATGCATTAGCTGAAGCTATTAACGATTTCGATGGTGGAATGGTTTTGGTTAGTCACGATTTTAGACTCATCAATCAAGTAGCTGAAGAAATTTGGGTTTGCGAGAAAGGAACTGTTACGAAATGGAAAGGAGGCATCTTAGACTACAAAGATCATCTGAAGAAGAAAATCTCGAAAGAAGCAAAGTAAAATTCCTTTAAATTATTGTGACATCAGACAGACAAGCAAACAGATTCGTAATTGATTACAATTTCTATAACTAATTGAATTTTCCTGTACTGTTAAAATATCATCAAATGTTTTGTGTATGACAAATTAAATTATTTTTTATTTTATGCTTTAGTGAAATAATCAAAAAATAAAAATAGTTTAAAGTTTAAGGGAACAACAAAAAGCAAATTAATATTTTTATTACTTTCACTTTTCCTCAGTTTTTTATTTTCAGCTTTTTTTAGGTCACACAAAGCTTATTGAATATTCGAATGAATAATAAAATATCAAGCACGAGTCGTGTTTCTCTTTTCATTGAAGTTCGTAAAGCAGAGAAAAGTTTCGATTACTAAATTTACTTTTATGAAACAGAATAAATCAGAGAATATCTAATAATATAATCATTAATAATTCATAAGAAAAGGTAAGTAAAAATTTATTCTTTCTAAAAACAGAATAATGAGTGAATGGAAATGAAGCTTTTTAGAATGATTGATAAGAATTGAACTAGATTTAGTTGAGCTTTGACATTATGATTTATTTCAGGACATAATAAATAATCTAAATTAATTTCCGCATGGAAAACTTTCTTGAATGTTTCTGAACATTTTATGACACCAAACTGAACTTTCGACATAAATTCTGACCCACTAAAACCTGTAAAGAAATGAATTGAAATAACTCAAAGACAATTAAAGATGATTCAGCTTATGAGCTTAAACATTTATTTATGAACTAATATCATGAAAAAAAGAAACAATTCATTGAAAATAACACTTTTCGTGGAGGTCTCTAATAAGAATTAACTCTAATAATGTAAGAAAAGTTTACAAACGATGAAAGAAAAAAGCGGATAGTAACTAAAAGGAAATGTTTTTATTAGTTTATAAAATATTATCTTCTGAACTTATCCTAGTTAAGAAGTTACATATTCTGAATTTGCATTCTCTAAAGTAGATCCTCTTATTATTAAATCTAATTTCATGATTATAAATTATACCCAAACAATAATTCTTCTTTTTTTTCAAATGTAACTCTCAACCTTTTCATCTTGTTGGAAATAATTGAAAATTAATTTTTTTTCTTATTTCAATTCTCTCCTATACGCGAAATATCACATAAATCATATATTTATATAGATTTGAAACTCCTTCCTTATGATTCGTTTCTTTTCTTTTTTTTTTGTTAAAGGTTGGACTACATAAATTTAGTTGGACGAAAAAGTCAAATAAAATTTGGAAAATTCTATTCCATTTGAATTGAGTGTGTGACAGAGAGAGTGAGATAAAGAAAAAAAAGTTTAAAACAAAATCTTAGAGTGAATTCATGAATCCTTCTTCAGTTGAGGAAATGTAAAGATTATGACTTCCTCTAAATAAAAGAGAAGCAATGTTGGGAATTACAATCACTCTAGGAATTTGTCGTGTTGGATTTTCCATATACAACAGAAATTTATACAATATACAACTATTTATGTAGATTGTTTAAAAAGAATTCATACAACGGTTTCTTTTATTCTTCAAGTCAATTTTGTGTTAATACCACATCATTTTTTTGATAAATTGTGGATTACGAAAAGAAAAACAATGATCGGTGGTTAATATTCAAAAGGATGATTGGCAACCTCACTTAAGTTGCACATTTAATGGTCTGATTCTGATAATCCTACAAAAGTTCTTCGAATTCAGCCATTAGATCCCCTTGTCGATTCATGTCAATAGGTCTGGATAACTGAAAGAAAAGAAAAAAAAAGTTTTTAATTGAATTTTATGATTTATTATGTTACGTAAAGATGTTAGAGAAAACCGTACGTGTAACGCAACGTAGCTTGTTCGCATATCTAAACGTTAACGTAACTTAAATGTTTACGTATAAATTTGCCTTTTCAAAGTCGGGGTTAATCCATGGGATCCGACTTGCGTGGATTTGACCTTCCATACAAAGTGGGTCAAATTGTAAGTCCAGGTGTGATTACACCCTCCACCTGAAACTAACTTTGGGGAGACGAATTCCGGTGGAGGGTGTAATTATCATATGTACATGTAGTAGCGCCATAGAAAATTTCGCGGGAAATACTCGAATTGAATTGTATCAATTCAAAGCCTTTTCAACATCGAATTTAAAAATGAAGAGCCAAATGATTCTGGGGAACATTTCATTTATGAAGGTGAGTTAAGATTAAATTAAAAAGTTAATTTCAATTCATAAAACATGTTTTATGAATTGAAATTAGGTTTTTTATTGCTTTCAACTGATGATTTAATGATTTTTGTTTTCGTTGGACATTCATTCATTCCCCAACCACGTTCAAGTTGTCTATTAATTTTTTCTTGAGCTTCATGAAGTTTTTCTACAACAATACTGTACTTGCTACTGTTACTTGATTCAGATCCCCGTGAATTTGTAAGCGAACTGCTATTTTTTCTTATTGATTTCCTTCCCAGATTAGATGAGTTTGTCGATGTTAGTGATGATGACTTTAATAATGCACTCGTTGACGATGAACTTCTTTTCTTTTTGTATTGAAGATCAATAAAATAAATATGTTCTAATATTTTCTTCGCTGATAATCGCGTATCAGGATGATATGACAATGTTTTCTTCAATATATCATTTCCATAGTCACTAAGATTCGGCACAAGGTTGTGTAAACCCACCGACTTACATTTCGGAAAATTGTAATTTACATTTCTGTGTTTAAATCGATTCAGAATGATATTTGATGGTGATCCAAGAATGAGATGAATTTTATGAAGTTGATCTAACTCATTATCACCAGGAAACAAAGGATTTAATGTGAGAAATTCAAAGAAGCAACAACCAACAGCCCAAACATCCATTTTTTGTCCATAATATCCTGACGTCAGTAAGCATTCAGGTGCTCGATACCAACGCGTTGAAATGTACGCAGAACGTGGAAAAGGATTATCAGTTTGACAAACTGATCCCAAATCAGCAATTTGTATCAAATCTGGTCCTATCATGTTATTTCTCCATCTCGTTTCGGAACGAATTAAAATATTTTCTGGTTTAATATCACGATGAAAAATTCCATTACGATGTAAATGATGTAAGCCTTGGAAGATTTGAAAAATATAATTTTTACATCTCCGTTCCGAGAGAGGCTTTGTGCGATCTTTTATAAAGTCGTACATCGACATATCCATGAGATCAAATATCAATGTCAGTTTTCCACATCGCTCTTCAAAGATAAAGTTCACCAAACTGAGAACATTTTGATTATATTCAAGCTTTTGCAATGTCTTCAATTCAGCACACGCTTTTACTTCATCCAAGTTTGCATAATATTTTGTCAATCGTTTGGCTGCATAGAAATGTCCGCTTTTCTTTTCTTTAACTTTTAGGACTTCTGAGAATGAACCTTCACCGATTTTACCAATCAAAGTGTAATAAGACAGAAAATTGTCAAGCATTCCAAAGAAAATAAATTTAATTGGAATATTCAATTAAGCAAAATAAAGAAATTTGTCAGAATAAATTTCTTTGGTTACTTTGAACATTTTTTAAGAAGATGAGACATTGAAGAAGGCAAATTTATATGTAGAGAATATTAAACAACACTTACCGCTTCCCGACGTCTTCTCTCTTGTTCAGCTGCTCGTTCTTCAGCCCTACGAGCTGCAGCTGTTCGCTCTTGTTGTGATTGTGCTGAAACAGGTGATGTACTGGCCGGTGATGCACGCATTTCTTCCATTATATTTGTGATGGGATCAGCAGATGGTTTTCTAAATTGTTAACAATTTTAATAAATGTTAAAATAAATTCAGAAAGAAAACTTTGCTTAACAAACCTGTGACCATTGCTTAAATCTTCATTTTTATGCTTCTGAAGACTTTCTTGATGTCGTTTTAACTGTTCTTGTTCCTTCTGTTTTTTCATCTTTTCTTGCTCCTGCTTTTGTCGCTGTTGCTGTTCCTTCGCTTTCGTCTTATATTCCTGGAACGCATCTGATGGCACTTTTGATTTACTAGATATTGTAGCACCTGGATTTTGTGGTGACCCAGCAGCTGCTAATTGTGACCATGAACTTGCATTCTTTAAATTTTGTTCATATTTATTAAATGCTTGACCAAATCCAGGCCCACCTTGTCCACCTGAACCAAGAACCTTCGCTTTATCATTTGGATTCATTAAAAGTTCTTCAATTGGTTTCGGTGTCAACATGATTTTCTCTTGTTTGTTTGATGGTTGAGTTTGATGTTGTTGATGCTGTTGTTGTTGTTGTGAATGTTGTACTTGCTGTTGCTGTTGATGTTGCTGCTGCTGTTGTTGCTGATGCTGTGAAGCATGAGCTGCTGCTTGTGATTGTTGCTGTTGTTGAGTAATTTGTTGTTGCTGTTGCGTCGATAAAGCAGAAGCCATTGAATTATTTCCTGGCAAATTATTCCATGCATCTGGAAAGCGACTGGGAATATTTTTCATTTGTGGATTTAAGAAAATACTTGTTGATGGATCCATATGTTGGTGTGCTATAATATTCATGAAATTGCTAACAGCACCATTTGTACCGTTAAAATCTGATCCGAAGCCATTCGAACCTGGCATTAAAGGTGCCGTCATATGACTCATCATGATCTGTTGCTTTTGAATTTCCATAAGCATTGCACCCATGTCTTGTGTAGGATTCTTCTGTGAATTATTATTCAGTTGTGGATGTTCCAATGATGCAAGTGACTGTTCCAAGGGATCAAGATATTGATTCAAATTGAAAGGCGTTTGATGCTTCGCCTGTATTGGATTCGTATTGTTATTTGCCAACTGTTGTTGAGCTATTGTTGTCATAACTGATGATGTCGAAACTTGCATTCCACCTCCTAGTGGATTTGGATGATTCATGATGTTCATGTTAGAAGAACCTGAATGAACAGTTGTTGGCGCAGGCGGTGGCAACGGTTGCTGTTGTTGCTGCTGCTGCTGTTGCTGTTGTCCAACTGATGATGTTGATAAAGGGTTCAACAATGTTGAATTAACATTTGTTGGTTGTGTCATATGATTGAGATTTATATTGCTTTTGTTGTTATTTCCCGTTGGCGATGGTTGTGGCTGTTCGGTTTTAGTTGGCATTACTGTAGCCGTTGGTATGGATTTATTAGCACTAGACGAAAGATTATTTACAGATGATGTTGATAAAGGTGGTGGTTTTACTTCTAACGGTTGGTGAAGTTGTTGCATCAATTGTGAAGTCGGCGCTGTGCTTGAAGTTGTTTGTTGTTGGGTATTGGAACTTATTGTTGTTGCAACACCAGTTGGAACGATGCTCGTTGAAGGCTGCGACTCTAAAGACATTGAAAGTGATGATATAAAAGACTTTTGTTGTTGTTGAGTCAATTGTATTGGCTGTTGAATTAAAATATTTAATTATTTAGGGAATTCACATTAAACCTTTAAAATGTTTGACTCACAGCTGGTTTATTATCAGTGTTTTGAGCACCAGACGAAGCATCCTTAATTTTCTTTCTCGCAGGTTCGTCATTACCTAAAAATTTAGATTAAAACAATTTTAAATTTCCATCCTTCCCCTCATTGGATGAATCGCCGTCGAAATTCCAAACAAATGTGTACGAGAAAGAGTAACGAAGCCAAGCCAAATTATTACACAACATAACGTTTTCTGTTCAAACATTTTATTACATTCCTCTGGGTATTATTATTATATTTTTTATTATTATTATTATACTTTCATTTCAAAAAGTATTTTCTTTTCTTCTCTTTATTATCATTTACGTCCAAAAATTCTTAAACTGTGAATTTTTCTTTCATGCTTATGTTAAGCAAAAGTTTTCATGACCTGAAGAAGAGAAGGGAAACGATTTCCCTCCATAAATTTACTTTATGATTTTATTATCTTAGCCACTATTAATTCTTAATAAAAAAAATTGTTTTCTGTTGTCTCCTAGATGAAAAGTTCCACTACATGACTAAATTGAATTACATCAATCAATATTGTTTTTTTTTTCTTTAATATTTTTGCTTTATCTTCTCAACCCGTTGGGTAAAAAGTTTGATTTATTTGTTCATTTTTATTATTACTAAATATTATCAAAAAAAAGGAAAGGAAAAGAAAGAAAAGAGTGCTCAATGGAACATCTCATTGTGATGTTCTTGTTTGTCAATGTGTTTGTCGTAGCTTGAATTTTAATCAAAGGATAAAAAGTCAAACGATTTACATTCACTAATTATGATGGCTTGATTACCATTTTTATTCGCCTTTTTGTTTTATTCCTCGTTATACAAGTTATTTGAATAATACTTTTGTTTAAGTTTGTCAATTTGAATTTAAACAAGAATGTTCAACTTGATAGTTATGTACAGAAGAAAAAAGAAAGAAATGAGGTAAGTCAACTCATTCCTTCTCCTTTTCGTTTTTACCTTTAATATTTTCTTTTTAGTCATTGATCATTACAAAAATTTGTTTAAAAATAAAAAAAGGCTAGTTTTAATCGATGAAAACCTTGCAAACAATGTGTAATGGGTCAGCCACAAATGTCTTTCATCTTCATTAAACCATCACATCGAGAATTAATAATTATTGAATTATTTAGATTTCAATCGGGTGAAGAATGTGACATGAAAATATTTCCACCGATTTCTCGTATTACTTCAATTTCAACACAAATAACATTCATAAAAAAGACTATTGCTTTAATTTGTATTTTGACAATAGATAAATTAATTAAGTAAAAGTAAGTATCAACTTAAACTTGCATCACGATTATTGCATTTTGGATTTTGGCATTTTTAGCATCAGGTGATTTACACATTGTCTGCACACTGTTTATCGTACCGAAATATGATTGTAATTTCCTTCATCACTGAAGACTTTTCATCATTGGCGTTGCTATTTATGGCTAAGATAATAAAAAATTGCATTTTCATGTTAACTTTTTTTTTTGTTTATGTTTTTTGAATTTGAAAATATTTACGTTAATGTTGTCTGTGGCTTCATAACTTTAAAATCTAATAATTATCTATGAATTATTCATTTTCTTTTTCTTTTTCGTCGATAAATGCATTTTAATGATGTAATACGAATAATTTAAGCTCACCATTAAATCGAAATTTATGCTTAACCCAGGAAAAATGAATGGATTTAAGCTAAGCAAAGCTGATTCACAGTTTAAGATATTTTGAAGGTATGAAGAGTATTGAATGAAGGGATGTATCAACATGTTGTTATATGGCCTTCCCCCAGTACACATTTTGCATGGATTTCGACGACTGTTTCATCTATCTATTTATCATTGTTATTAATAATTTGTTTTCTGTTTTTGTTTGTTTTTTTCATCATTTTTTGTCATTCATTATTACAATTAAGCAAGGTCGTTAGTATTCTTTTCTTTTATAGATCATATATACATATTAAATTCACCAACATTTTGTCGAGCTAAGGCTACAAAGAAAAAAACATTTTTTTTTCCTTCTTCTTGTCGTTTTTGTTGAAGAACAAAATTATGCTTAAAGGAAAATTAAATTGATGATGTTGTTCGAAACAAAATGAATTCTATTTATAAGTTGAGAATTAGAGAACAAATAAAATAAATGAAATTCTAACGATTCTCACCACTATCAGATCTGATGAATGATTTATTATTATTAAATTTTTTTCATTCTTTTATAACATAAGAAGTCTTGAATTGCAAATTTCATTTTGATTCTATGCATAAAAGTTATTAAATTGAGAATCGAATGGAGTTCAGGATTAAGGAACAGAACAAATGTTGACAAATATAAATGATTGCGAATGATGAGAGAAAGTTTTAATTATTTTAGTACCTTGCGCTTTTACATATTCTTTTAATGGAAATTATTCTTCTTTGTTCTAATAGATAATTGTCAAAAATTCTGTTTTAACTTTACTTCTATTCGAATCTTTATATATCTTACAAAAGGAGAAAAAAAAACTAATTTAAATTTAATAAAGTGAACAATAAATAAGATAAAAAAAAGAGAAACTTAATGTGGGTCTACCGACAAATTGTTCAATAGAAAGCCATTGCAAAGAAAGGCTTATAATTCTTTCATTTTTGTGGGAATCACTTGAATGAAGAGTGTGACAAACACACGTTTGAATTATCACATGTTTGACTAAACATGTGAGAAATCTCACGGAAAGTCCCACAACTTCATCTCCAAGAAGAAAAGTGACAAAACATAAATGAAAATTTAAAAGTATAACAAAGTTTTTGTTTTTTTAAAAAAGAGAGATTTGTTAGAATGTAATTTAATATGTATATACTTTATACATAGGCTCATTGAAAAAAATAGTTATTAACGACTAAATGATTCGCGCAATAAGTTAATTCAAAACTTTTGTTTTCATATTCAATTTTTTTTTAAATCAGACTGTACGATTCTTGCTTATGATATATTTCTAAGACTCAGGACATTAATCGTCTAACCTGCTTCGGTGTCGGAGCTGTCACTTGAACTGCTATCAGATGAACTTGATGATGATGAATCACTAGAACTACTTGATGATGATTGGCGATTGGGAGCTTGTGCATTTGCTTTATTTGACTCATCTGTTGGAGATTTCAAGAAAATTATTTCCTTTCACATTATTTCATTATCATTTCTCACCTTTCTTTGCACTTTTCTTTCCAGAACCTAATTGACCTGTCACATCTTGAAGTCTCCGCTCAAGTTCATGTTGTCGCTCCGACATTTGCTCAGCTTTCGACTTTCCAGCGACCTTTTTATCTAAACATGACAAAATAAAAAGAAGATTTTGTTGAAGAGATTCTCATCTGCCATTTTTTTGTTACTTTCTTAATGTTAAATCAAAATCACTGTTATTTAGCCTTCACCAGATATAAACAAACAAACAAATAAGTAAATAAATAAATTCTACCGCAAGATTCATTGTAGATCATGCGAAATTACGTAGTTGAAAAAATAAAATAAAAAAATGTGCTGAGAGTTCATCCAAATTAACACGACGACACTACTTTCATTGATATTTTCTTGTTTGTGACACTTCTCATTGCAGAAGAAGTAGTAGCAGAAGAAGAAGAAATTAAAACTTTTCTTTTTTTCAATGCCGAAAGCACAAAACTTAATTCGTAGGCTGTTTGAACTCTTTTTCTACTTTACACATTATTTAAGATGACACTTTCTTCAGGGACTCAAACTTTTCATGATTTCTCAAAATGCTTTAACAGCAGAGAATGTCGTCGTAAATAATACGCTGTAGATCAAGTCAAACGACCTTCTTGATAATTCGAAACTAAAGAAATTATGAAATTTTGATATGCGAGAATTCTTTTCACTTGAAATGGTCTCTAACGAAAAATAAACTCATAAAATAAATAAGATAAAATAAAATAATAAAAGGAAAATAGAGAAACGTAAAAAATAGTGAGAAAGAAGGAAAAAAAAAGTTCTAAAGTGATTTTTTTTTATATTTATATAAAACGTAGCAGTGTGTTGTGTTATTTGGGTGAGACTTACAGTAAGGCTTACGAGTTTTTTTACGAAGACATTGCGCAACATAAGCTTCTAATTCTCGCAATGTTGACGGCATTAGTGTCTCGAAATCGATTTCCATCTCGTCAGGATTCGAATCGCGTAACGATGGCTCTCGATTTTGTATGATATGAACAACTCGACCTAGTTTGTCGCCTGAAAACAGAAACCAATGTCATGTCATGTCAAATGATGAATTTTCATAAAATTATATAAAAATTTGTTTCATACCAGGCAACATGTTAATGTCCAGGGACAATTGTCGTTTTTCATCATACGACATAGGTTTTGCAGTGTCTTCTTCTTCGCTATTGAAACTCATTGATTGATTCTTCTTCTTACTTCCAGTTTTAGGTGCACCTGCACCAACACCAGCAGTTGGCTGTGAAGAAAAAAAATTTTAGATATTGATAATTAATCAAATTAAATGAGAGAAAACTCACCTGTTTCACACGTTTTGTGACTCCACCGGTTACTGGCTGAGCCATCCCTTTAGGCTGCTTCTGACCTTTCACTTTTGGCGTCTCCAATTTATTTGATGAATTTTTAACTTTTGTTCCATCTTTGAAGGGCGTTGCATGTTTGTTCTTTTTAACATGTTTTCTTGCAGGTACAGAATTTGACTTTTTCTTCACTATTCGTTCTAATTTTTCATTAAGCTTGGCTATTGACTCTTGATGCTTCAGAATTTTATCTCTTATGGACTCTTCATCCATACTACCATCTGAGTCATCAGTGTCATCATTCGAATCGCTTTCCGAGTCTGAGCCACTACTTTCAGCATTCATTTGATTGTTGTGCGTTGCCGTTGGATATGTTGTAACCGGCTCATCTGGGATGTTAGCGAATCGCATTTCAAAGACGTCTTGTAACTTACGTCCCATCTTAACAACATCGTGATCTGGTGGATTATATTTATAACAATTAGTGAAGATCAATCGAACATCAGCCTCAAACTCTGCAGCTGTTTTATATTCTCTCTCATCCATTTTTCGTTTTACTGTTCCCAAATCCATTGGCTTCTTTATAATGTCGTGATAATCATGAAGTCCAAGCATTTTCGCATCCACAGGCTTATAAAACGGCCATGCATAGCCTGAATGCTTTTTGCTAAAGAGTTCTTTAAGAATTTCGTTGCAGGATTTTAATGATTCACTCAATTTTTCTTTGCTCTTCTGTCCCAGTTGTTGATTGACTGCTGGATGTCCTGGAACCATTGGTGAAAGCGGGTAGGTGTTTGATTGATGACTTGGAGCAATATCCTTGAAGAAGAATAAATTTGGTCAAATTTCATTCAAATTTTCATTTCATTATTTTGAACAAAGCAAATAATGAAATTAAATAAAAATAAAAAGCGGCCAATCAAGAAATACCATCAAGCACCGCTCACCTTATTTACCTGACGTCCTCGAGTCGACACTTTTACATTGGAATCAATTAATGGATAGCCGGCGTCATTAAATCCTGTTGCTGTCGTCGGCGTTGTAGTGTCAGCCTTTCTTTTTACTCCTTTTTTGACTTTGGCTGGCTGTTGAGGTGGAACATTACTGATCATTGGCTGTTGACTATTCACCATATAAGCAGGAGGAGCGGTTGGAGGCGCAGCTTGAGCACTAGGCTGTGGTAGACTGTTGTGAAGGTTTGTAGGTATTCCTTGGGTTGTTGTAGGCTTGTTAGTGCTTCCTGGTATGGTTCCATTTCCTGTTATGTCTACAGGTACTGGTCCCATCATCGTCGGAGGTATATTCGTGGTTGTTACATTTCCAGCCACAAGAGGGGTGCTGACGCGAGGAGTGTTAACTTTGGGAGCAGGAAGCCCACCTACAAGTGTTCCTGGTGGTGCCACTACTCGAGGCTTCTTCTTGGCGCTCTTTCCCGATGATGTCTCAATTTTTATCTCTTCTTTAGGCATCTGTGCAAGTTTTCCTTTGAAGAGCTTCTCCAATGCTTGTGCCATTACAACAACATCCTCACCAGGCTTGTTGTAAATGTAACAATTATCAAACATCGTTTGAAAGTCATCGATTGCCTCTTGAGCCTTCCAATAGTAATTGTTTTCTAATCGCTTCTTAATCGTTCCCAGATCCATTGGTTGTTTAATAATTCTATGATAATCAGGCAGATTGAGCTTGGCCGCGTCAACTGGTTGTTGAAAAGGCCAACTAAACTGATGTTTCCATACAATTTTCATTATTGTTTTAGAAAGATAATGAATTTGATTTGTTTGCCTTCCTGGCCGATCAGGATGAGGCTTCACGGCTGGTTGGACGATCCCATTGACAGGTTCAACAGGAACTTCAATTCTTGGAGGTGTTTTCTCTCTTACATCTGCTGAAGGAGCTGTAGCTGGCACTGAATTTGTTGCTATAGACAATGATGGCTACAAATTGTTTGAAATAAAGCAGATTTTATTTTAATTCACTAATTTGTTTTTAATTATTTCACTTTTGTTTTTAATTATCTTACCGTTGCTGTAGGTACAGTGGATGGAGCAGATGTAATAGAAGATGTTAGATTGACGCCTGAATCATTTGGTTGCTGCATTGTCACAGATGGTTGCCTGTAAATACCGGTTGATCCGTCGTTGAGATCATCATTAAAATCGTAAAAATTATCCATCGTATTCCACATAGTCCAAACAAAAGGTAACAGACACACTAACTATGCTCGTTGCAATACTTTTTTTATTTTATCAACAATCTATCATTATTGTTTTTTTTATTTGTGTTCATACGAAATCATTCACTGAGGGAAAGATTTTTGAGGTTATGTATGGGTCATCCATAGAGCCATTTTGAAAAAAAAAACTTTCTCACAGCAATTTGAATTTTTCAAAAAAAGAGTTTTCAAGTTGCTTTTTAACTTCAATTTTTATGATATTCCAGAAGAAGCACACGATGGCCACTAAATGCAAATATTTTTAGTCTGAATTTTGCACGATTTACACTTGAAAATTAATTAAAAGTAGCGAGCAAAATCGAAAGCGTCCTGTATATCGGTGAAAATACTTCCACTGGAAGTCACTAACATTAATACAGTTTTTCTCTCTTCACACACATTGAAGCAAAAAAATCTACAATTTCCAAGCGCGTATATTTTTTGTTTAGAAATGCTTGCATGCAAGGTCAATAAATCCGCACATAGATATGTAACTCATATAAAATTTATTGAAAATTAACTTTTTATCAGGCAAATTTCAATAAATATCACAAACAATTTTCACTTATAATTGCTGTTATTATGTAGGTAGCATAAATGACTACTCTCTGCTGACTTCTAATCAAGAATGAACTCAGATATTTGATGAGATGGTTTTTATAACTGATAATACTTGAAGGTAATTAACATATGTACATTAATATTGGTATTCATTCAAACTTTAGGATAACATCCCTCCCTCAACTCTTAAATCCAATTAAAACCTTTGTATTCACTAATTACAGAAGTAACTCACCAAAATGTATTCTCTTAATTAGTTTGACGAAAATTTGTATGAACTACACTTTTGAGACACATCAAAATGTTTTTTTCATTGCTTTAATATTTTCCTCAATTTTATTTATAAATGCACTTTTATGTAGTCAGTGAAAAGATAACTTCGATGACACCTTTTCTTGTTTTGTCTAAAATGTAGAAAAAGAAAAAAATGTTTTAAGTAGACAATATTTACAAATAAAATCATAAAATGACGACATTTTGTGCTTCCCAATAAACACAAATTAAATAAATAAATTTGAACGAAAACATACATAAACCAAAGAAAACAAAACAGTTTCAATATCACTCTTATTTATTATTATCTTAAAAATCCGAATACATCAAACGATTGTCACTCCAAAATGGGGCGAAACTCTCTCTCTCCCTGAACATAATTTTTTCTCTCTTTCTCGAAATTTCTTATGACACAGTATAATAAAAAAATCTAACAGAATCTCAACCAAAATCTTATTTCATTCAATTTCGAAACATATTAAAAACAAAATCCATTTCCTCCATAGTTTATGAAAAATGATATTTTATTAAAACTCCTATTAAGTAGCATGTGTGAAGGATTTTCCCAATCAATAATTTTTCAATGGCGAATGATGATTAAAATATGAAATATCATTCTTAATGACTTAATTCCCACTAAAACGAGATATTTTTGTAAGAATTTACCTGGGTATAGAAAATTTAGTAGGATGTAGGAAGTATCGGGAGTTATTATGCTAGTTTCAACTGACACTTCGAGTTATGACCTATTTCTTCTTGCATAGCGCTTTGCGATTTTACAGCGAAGATTTTCAATTTTCGATTTGTCTTTTACAACACAATCTCGAAGCGCACCTTACTTCTTTACATTTCTGAATAGCCACGTTCAAATCCTTATTCTCCTTTTACGTCAATTATTTTATTTATAAACTCGATTTCTAGTAATTTTTTATTTTCTTGCTTTTTTCTGAAAATGGCGATTTCTCAGTATTCAACATGGCGGTTCTCGTGCGTTAAGAAAATTAATAATTTCAAAAATTTCAATTTCTTTAAATATGATATTGAATTATATTCAAATTCAACTTTTTCTAAATTATAAATATCTATTTCTAGGAATTAAATTTAATTTTGCATTCAATTTCTTTATTATTAATAATTCGTCGAAATCAGTAACAACGACATCTACATGTGATTTTCGGTTTTGAGCCGGAACATTTATTTTCTCAGTCGTTGTTTGCTTGTAGCGGTTCAATATCTGATTATTCGTAGTTTGTGGTACCAAGATTCAAGTCGATTTCTTATCCTGATAAGTGCTATGATGTAAAATATTGCTAATATTTTATTACATGTAAAAGAACAACATTTGTATTTTTAAAAAGATGAACCTACGTGATTAATAAATTTATTAAATTAAATTAAAAATTATTTCAATATTTATTATCGTCATCTGAAAAATTTTAAGTTTCCTGAAAGAGCTTTCGAACGCTACATTTGATAGATCAGATTGAAAACTTCATATCATGAACTCTCATTATGTTAAACAAAATACTTCATATTTGGAATTTTTATTCTCTTAACAACACAATATAAACAAAGTAGAAACCAATAATAAAAAAAAACGTAATTTTGTAAAACAAAAATAAATAGGAAATTACAAGAAAATTGAACATAAATTCATTATAGATTAAAATTGATTCTATTTATGTATAAAAACAAATTGCTTAAAGAGTCTTAAAAATAAGGGAAGATTTAATTGTTAACGGTGCTGGTTTTAATAGTAAGATTATTGCTAAATCTTGAAAAAATTCTCAAAAAAGCGCAAACAGGGGCTTCAAAAGCTAATGAAACAATGAAAGATAAAAGATAGGATGCACATGTTTGTCCCAAAAATATGATGACCTGGAAGATCGTAAGATTATGAAATAAATTTAATCAACATTTAAAGTTTAATTACCATTGATTCAACACTCATATGAAGAGGTGCATCAGATTGAAGTGCGTATATTCTTATCACAATTGGATGCACCAGATACGCACAATAGGTAACTCTTGAAAACGGATATAAAACTGTAGCTGAAAAGAATTTGTTGAGTAAACCACCGTGGCCTGTTGAGCAAGCTATGACTATCCAGGCTAAAGCAATAGCCCAAGCTGAATGACTTAGAGAACTGTAAGCTGCAGCTGCTACTTTGGTCAATTCTGTTTTATAAAGTCCATACAATAAATAAAGCAGAACACTGACAGAAAGTGTCCAACCAGTTACTAGTTGGATCTAAAGTAATTAACAAAATTAAATTGAAAACAGTCGTCAAAAGTTAATTAACGAAAAGTTACCTTTGTGAATTTAATTTTACAATTTGTTTTAAACAAAATCCAACCAACACACATTCCAACCAGATAAGGGCCAAGTCTAGTCCAAGGTTTATCATAGATTTTATCAAAAAGTGCTAGTGGATCATCTGTATTAGGCATATGATTGTTTGAATATGCGATGATTCCTATAAATGACGATAAAAGTTGAAATCTTTTCATGAATACAAATGTTTAAATAATGATTCAACCTGTCGTAATCCATGCTGAAACCATAAGCATTCCAAGTGTAGATGCTGCAACTCTAAAATGTCTTATTGCCACAATGAGTATGATTGACCCGATTATATAGAATTGCGTATCATTAGCTAAGTACCAACTCCAAAGCATACACATTTGATCAACTGGAAACAGTGTATTGATATAAAACACATTTCGCCACCAATATTTTGGACAATTTATGTGATCATTTGTTGGTGGCTCAAAAACTGAATTGCTCGCAAAATATTTCATAGTAATTTCCACAATTCCAAGAACGTAAAGATATGGAGCTGAAAGTCGAACAAGTCTGTAAAGCACTAATCCTCCGAAATGTAAAAATCCTGATGTAAATTCATTGACGCCATTGGTAAGTGTTGCTAATTTTCCTTTCGCGTTTGTCCTGAAGTATATAAACGACACTAGAAATCCGCTGATGAAAAAGAAAGTATCAACACTGAATGCACCGTTTGTAATGGTTTGAAACAAGAATTGCTGTTCGACAACTTTTCTCAGCTCCATATTGTCAGAATACTTGAACGAAATGATACAAGTGTGACCGAGAATGATCCACGCCATTGATAAAGCACGAATACCATGAATACATGGAATTGTATCGTTGCCAACAGCTTGGTCACAAATCGCTTTAAAATTTGATGTCACAGAAAATGAAAGTAAAATTTCTTCGAACAAATCTAAATGAAAAATTGATAAAGTTAATTTATTAAATATTAGGCAATTACTTTTCTATTAACTCACTCAATTTCCTTTCTTCAACAATGACAGTCTCGGTTGCAAGGTTCTCATCTGAATTATTGTTGTTTAAACCCGATGGTATTCCAATGTTGACACAATTTGTTTTATTGTCACTTCCAAGTGCTCTTGTTAAATCATAAGTTGTGCAATTCAAACCCGATGAATCAGAATTAAGATCCTTTGAGTATTTCTTTCCAGCCTTTTTAATCTTTTGTTCTTTTCTTAACTTTGAATCGTAAGCTGTGCCGCAAATCATGAAAATTCCAACAATAGTTGACACTGTTCTGTAAATGTTAAAAGAAATATTTTTGACATTGACCAAAGATTTTTTTATGAAAAACACTCACATCATTATAATAAATGTATAATCAGTCCACAGATTGAATCCATCGGCATTTGGTATTCGAACATCTTTAACTTTTACAACCTTTGTATCAAACTCTCTTCCCGCGATCTCAGCGATGGTCAAATAATCCTCTCGGCCACAACTTGTTGGCAAACAAACTCCAACAAACACTGTTCGAGGCTGAAATTTGAATATTAAGCAGTTTTCATATGAGAAAAGTTTTCGTTGTTACCGTTGTTGGTGTTAAAACAGAATCGTTCAAAATTATTTTAAGGACTCCAAAGCGGGGAATGAACGGAGGATTCTCGTGTGCTAAGTTGTGTGTAATATGAGAACCACTATGGCCATCATTCGAACCAGCTTTCATTACAAAATGTTCATCTGAATCTTCTCTATAAATTCTTCTACATAATGTCATAGATCCGGTCCAATAATTGTTACCCCAGAATAATCCGCTTGAGTAATGACCAGAAGCATCATCCACTATAAAAATAATTTAAAATAGACGATTTTAATAGCTTTCAATGTACCAATAGATAACTGATCAAAATGTTTGTTCAGTTCTGTGTCAATATGTGCATAGCAAGTTCACTAAGAGACCTTCAAAAGAAATCAACAGAAGACTTGGCACTTGTGAAACACACCAAGGATGGAAATCATCAATTAAGAGTCTTAAACCAGATTCTTCTTCAATAGCGTGAAATTTAGAAATATCGAAGAAGCTTTTTACTTAAAAAACATGATTATTATGTTAGCACTTTTAATTTCAGTTGACGGACCTATAAATATTAATTTACTTTACTTTAATGATTTACAGCAATGCAAGAGGTGCGCTTATTGACCAAAGTTATTGCAAAAAAGAAAAATTAACTTTTGTCGTGACAAAGAGAAATCTGAAGTAAGAAAGTAGCGTCTGAAAGCTTGAAGCATGGCTTGAGATGATCAATTATTATTATTTTATGAAAGTGCACTTGGTTCAAGGAGAAAAATAAAATACTGAGAAATGTAATTATCTGGTTGCATCAACTTTATATGTTCGTACATTTTGTTTTTCCCAAGATGAACGTTTGACAAATTCAAATGATTTGCCATTACATGAAACAAGTTTTGCAATTGCATGAATGTATTAAATATCTAAAAATGTGACGTCGAATCAAGTTCCTTTCGAAATTTGTTTAATTCGGTCTCTTGCAAACCAATAAGTACATAGACAGATATTTTTCTAAGAAAATTACGATAATTTTCATCACACCCGACGTCGTCTCCTTAATGAGTGTACCAGTTTTGAAATTGCAAAAGAGTTTCACAATGATTTATAAAGGTATATTGAAATTATAAATGTTGGCTTTATTCATGTATAAAGTTAATGAAATATTTCGGAATCAAAATAATAAAGTTTCCGACGAGTCATTCATTTGCTTAAGATTCATCTGAACTGATCTCCGCAAAAACTTATGCAATATTTAATATCTTTTAAGCACTTTCTCCAGCCGATATCTCAGCAGAAAAATAAATTGTTTGTGTGTGTGTGTGTGTTAGTGTAATAAAGTTTAGCAAACATTACGATAAGTGAGTTTAGTTGCATTTGCAAAGAAGTCATTCACTTGTCATTACCAACTAATTACAAAACATTTTCAAGTTTTATAAAATATCCATGAAAAGTAGAATCAACTAACGACAGTTAAACCTCTGTGAGTGCTTATACAAAATTGCACATTTCTGCTTAATACGCATATTTCTAGTTTTTCAGGCATTTGACGGCAGACGATAAACTAGTTTTAAGATTATTTTACTTTTTTTTCTTCACTTCTTTCATTTTATTTTTTGAAACTTCAAGATTTCTTTGTATACTCCCGGAGCCTGATCCTACTGAACGTAAGCTTGTGATTGTGAAGATGTAAATATTTCGATGTTTTTGTTTTCTGAAAGTCAAGATGATGTTAACTTTTGCTATTGTTGAAAACATTCTGACACAAAAGATTTTTAATCAATTTTTCTTAATAGTTTCATTCGATTAAACATATTTGCATAAAACAATTTATAAACGAACATGAAATGTTAATAAACATTTATGTTAATTCAATTAAATGCTTGTTCTCACTGATGATATTTTTTGTGCGAATTCTTTTTTGTTATTAGTTTTATATGTGTCAATCAAAAATTAATACGCCTTAAGAATGTTCTCCAACACAAAAGATATTTGACAATAAATAATATATCTGGTGTTTGACGACAAACAATTATTCTAGTTCATGGATCGATATATTCATTCAAATGACGAACTGATTCTTATTTTTATTTATTATGACATCATAGGAAAGTCTCAATTAAAAATTCAAGATCCAAACGAGTCCATTATTAGCCTTGATAGTCCAATGTCTCCAATTTTATTTGCAATGAACCTTAAGTTCATCACAAAACCCGTTTCTCAGTCTACTCACTCATTTGAATCACCCATGCGCAGTGCTTTTTTTATTTATTATTTTCTTCCGTAATGAGTTATTGAAAGTTGTACAATTTAAGCGTAATATTTCAGGTAACAAGTGTCTTAGTTTTCACTTTGCTCAGACCGAGTAATATTTGAAGCGCATGTTATAATATTTTCTTGTTCCAACGCCCGACAACCGTTCCTTTGAATAACGAAGAAAATATTAAAAAAAATTAAATCAAAATAAAAGAAAGCCGTTCACGTCACTTTTATGTAATCGTTAAAAAATGTTTATATCCAATTCGGATGAGGTTTGTGAGCTTTTTTCATGTCTCTCGTTCGCTCTTGTTTGTTGGATAAATTAACATGATCACTTGAAACTGAATAATAAATAATTTCTTCTGTCGCTTTTCTTCTTTCTCTTAGTTGAAATGAAAGTGAATTTTATTTTTGCTTCGTTTTCACTGTGTGGGAAATAACGAGCAGCTGATAAACCTACTTTTAAGAGCCCAAATCTCCTTTTTGTCCAGTCCGTTTAAATATTCAATCATATGTCGGGAACATACTGTGCTTAGTTTGTCGTGAATTTGCATCCATTTCGATCCAATAACGTCAATACTGAACAGGTCTAATACACTTTTAATGCTTGTAAGGTTTGCATAATTATGTATCAAGTCATCTTTCCTTGGAATTAGTTTTTTATCATCCGATCCATAAGATAAATCGTTTGAATTCAACTGAGAATGAACACTATTAACAACTACTATACATAAAACTAAAGCACTCTTAAATATTAAATTTTTCATTTTTTTTCTTCTATGCAATTTTATCACAATTCCTTCTTGAACATTAATCAATATTCAATTCAATGTGATGGTATCTGATCCATGCAGTTGTTGCTAAATTTCACAAATTATCATCATCATCATGTCTTAAATCATTTTTTTATTTATCACAGGATTATAAACAATTAGAGAATTCAAAAAAAGTGAGAAAAACTTTGATCGTTGTCACGTAATGTTCGTTCAATCAAATATGTAAATTTTTTTTATAATTTTATTTATCCGAAGTAGAAAATTAGTAAATATGAAAAGCTCTTTCAACGCCGCTGAACTTATCCGATCAAACTCCAAAAACCAACTAAACTGACTTCAGAAACGTCAGCTTTTCTCCTTCTTTATGTTGTAGCAATGTGAAGACAATTTTCTTATACTTATTTAAGATTCGACAACACATTAAAGATACTTCAAAGTAGCGTGTTGTTGAAAAACAAGAAATTCATTCATTTCTGTACAGTACGGTTAGTTTTTGAGGAAAACGTTTGGAAAAGTTGTCTGTGTTGTTCAAGACCATTAAAGACTGACTCGTGTTACGACAACACTACTTTAATTATGCTACAGAGGCAAAAATGTGTAGAGAAATTTAAAGTTGATGCAAATATGTGAATGTTTACTGTTCGTTTCACTTTCGCTTTCCTTAAACTTCAATGTGTACCTTACGTAGTGAATGTTAAAGCTTCACCAGTTTATATCAACCATCATCAGTTTTCGGCTGTTTCACAAAGCATTCATTTCTTCACTTATTATACGATGATGATATCATCAATGAAATCTATTAGATAATTGAATTTTTTTTGTTCGGAATCTTTGATGTCTCGAGTGTAAAATATTTTACATCCATTGAAATATTCTCAAACGTTTATTTAAGTTCGGTTACATGCCAAAAAGGTAAAATATCCCGCAAAGGTAGTTAACGTTACTTATTGTATGTGCTTATGCAAAATTAAATCATGAAATTTGTTTGTAATGATTGAAATCTAAAGAAATATTAGCAACAATAAAATAAGAAACCGAATTGAATTATATCATATTAATATTACTAACTGAAATCTCTTACAAACAGAATATCGAAAAGAAAAAGCTTTGAAATTCATGAATCATATTATATTATTGAATTAATTAATCATATAATTAAAAAGCATGTAATAAACAAAAGCAACAAGCAATCGCAACATAAAACTTTATTTTCAATACTAAAGTTGAACAATATTTAATGTAATTAAATTGAAAGAAAGCGTTTCGAATGGTGTTTTAGCAGCTTTACTTCCATGTATACCGTAACAATCGCAGACTATTGCAAAATCGTCGAGTCTTCTTCTCTTTCTCTGTCTTTGGCGTGTGTATTCGTTTGCTTCTGTTAGTCGCTACAACAAGTTATGAAAAGCCGTTGAAGACAATGTTCATTGAGGTTTTAAAGAAATGATTAGTGAAATGAAAAGAGACTGGGTCAAGATCTAGGCCTTCTCAATAACGTTCAAAAAATACTTTCGCTCACACTGTTGAATAAGCCGGCAAACAAAGATCATTGCTTAGCATTCATTTATCCATCTTCTTATTTTATTGTTCCTTCATATGTCACAAGATTAGGTAGTAAATAATTATTCGTTTTGACTTTCCACAAGTTTCTTGTACATAATGTGAAGAGTAGTCGTGATGGGTGTTTCAAAGCAAATATAAAATGTTAGTGATGCCATAATTGATATTGCGGCAAGTCCTACAAATGTTACTACCTGCGAAACAAAAAAAAAAGATCATTAAATTGTTATTTTGGAAAAACTAATGATAATGACATTAAGTGTGTTGAGGTTTTTAAATGGTTCAATTCTCGTTTAGGCAAATGAATAAATCAGTTTTTTGTCTGATATCTGAAGCTTTTGAAAGCAACAAGTGCTGTTCAAGGTTTCTTCGTGCTTCTTTACATAAAAATCAACAATAGACGATTTTCAATTCTTGCATATTACAAACATTGAAGTCATCAAAGTTTGAATATCTCGTAATAGAACTGTAAGCTCTATTAAACAACAATTAAATCGAATGTAACAAATTGAAGAATTTTAGTTGCTGATACTTACAAGAAGTGGAAATGAAAGGAAAATTGCGTTGTTTGTGCTTAGTATGAAGACTCTTATGATAAGTGGGTGAAGAAGAAGCGTTGTATTTGATATCTTGCTTATAAGTTGAATGATTTTCGATGTTAAGATGATGTCAAAAAAACCTGTTGAATTAATAGCAATTTGTTTCATAGAAAAATAAACTTGAATAAACATCTGATTCAATAATGCGGAAGATTTGCGAAAAGTTTTAAGAAGTTAATAATTGAATTAAACAAATTCTCACCTCCACTACTTGTCATCGTAACGAAACTTATCCAAAGTAGTATCAAAGCCCAAAATGTATGACTTAATGCAAAAAATCCATATTTCATCCAAAGATTGTTGACATTGTCAACTTTATAAAATGATACGAGACAGTACAATGTCAAGGCGATAATCCAACCTGAAAACATTTCAAATTTGTCATTAAATGTAATTGAATTTGAATGCTTTAAAGTGCATGAATATCTCACCAATCGATAAGCACACGGAATTTATTTTAACTTTTTTGTTTAAGTTGCATGACAAACAACCGAAGAAAATTCCCACCAAATATGGTCCCAAATGAAGTATCGGGTGTTCATATATTCCATTGAAAAACATGAGTTTTTCTTCACTAGTCAAGTTTCTAAAATATTTCAAGTTTAAATCATTGTTTCACATGAATGAATAAACTTCCTTACGATATATGAGTCACTCGGTTAGTCTCAACATTGATGGTCGTTGTTGTGTAGAATGTTGATAAGTAAAAGGAAACGAAAATTGTGAAGGCGTAACGAGGATGATTTCTTGACAACATTAAGATCAACAATGAGATTGCAAAGAACTGAATTTCAGTTGAAAGGTACCACGTCCATAACATACACTAAAAGCAAAATATTTAATAAAATACTTAATGATTTAAGCAGCAATTTTACCCTCTCACTATAAGGAGAATACAAGTCCAAGAAAGCGAGCTTTGTGAAAATATTTTCACACGTAAAATGATCATTCGATGGAATTGTCAAAATGCTATTTTCATTGAAATATTTCATAAACATTCTCAATAGATGAATTGTTGTTATATAAGGAAGAAACAATTTGAAGATCTTATACACTATTAAAAATATATAATGCTGCAAATGTTTTGACACTCCTTTGATTTTATGAATGCCAAGGTCTTTCGATGATGTGAAAAACATTTGACAAAGCGCTACTCCGTTTATAAAGAAAAACGTGTTAATAGAAAGTGAGCCATTCTTGAAGATGAAGTTAGCAATAAAGCTTTCACCCTTGGATTCAATGTATCTTAAATTATCTGAAAGAAATATAAATAAAGAACTTTACAAGGACATTCTAAACTCACTTACTAGCAGCATACGATAAGGTTGTTGTAACATTCAAGAAAAGAATCCAAAATAAAGCAAAACATTTCATAACATGAAAGGAACGATTCAGATCAACGCGATCAAATGATGAGTCCGATGAATCTATCACAGAAAGCTGATTTTGAAAGGAAAATTCGAAAATTCTTCCTTGAACGTCTGGATTCATTAAATTTTTTCTTCTTCGATTTGGTACCACACAATTATCTAAAGTAATTGTTATGGTTTTATCGATCTTGTTCTTTTCCAATTTAACAAGATTCATGTGATTACACGCTTTGTTTGAAATTGTTAATGAGTCAGTTTTCTCGTTCATTTTGTAGTTCGCAGTTTTGCATTTACAAATCCTTCGTTCGTTATTTTCAACTCCTTGAGGTTTCTCATTGACCCTAATAAATTAAAAATACGAATTATCAATATTGCGACTTAATATCAAATGTTTATTACCGCATTATATTATTTCATTGAACTTACCCTGAGCTTGTTATTGCGGGATGTTTCGTTTCAATTTTATCTATTTTACTCCTTGAATCTCCAACCTTATTTAAATCATTTATCATGATATTTCTATGGTATTTATCATGTTTTAAGACTTTCATTTTCGACCGGTAATAACATTCGTAAGATGAAATCGAAATCGTAAAAACCAATATCACGGAAGCAATCGCTCTAAAAATGCATGAAGTTTTTCAATTGTCATGGCGCAACAAAAAATTTGATCAAATCTGTTATGAAAGGATCTTACGTAATTATTATGAAGTTTATATCCGAGTAAAACTTATAGCTTTGGTAAAGTATTCGCAATTCTACTAACTCAGTATCCTTGAGAAGTTGATGAGGTAGGAGTGAAGTGTAAGACATTATTTGCATCAAATCTTCATAGGTGCATGAAGCCGGCATGCAAACCGTTTGTTGTATTTCTTGTCTCTGGAATAAATTGACGATGATTACATTTCCTTCCTGATAAAAATGATCATAATTATAATTAAATACTTGATCGTCAACATAAGTTGAATATTTTGCATTGACTAGATGAACAAAAAATGGAACTATGCTTAAAGTGTTCACTGATTCGTAGTTAGTGTTATCAGATATGATTGAATTAAGTTCCTTGTTGATTTCATTGCATTGCTCAGGATTGGCCGGTCTTAAGTGTTGTCCATAAAATAAACCGCCTGCATAATTGCCCGATGAATCCAACACTAAAACAAAAAGCATTCGAAAGATGTTTAGATTACTTTCATTTTTTAGTGATTTGAAATTTCCACATATGAGTTTTAATTAATTAAGAAGAATGTAATGAAGAAATCTCATCACTTACAGTGTGTGATGATTAAATTATTTTGAATTCGTACATTAAAATTCACTTTCTTAACCGAAAAATAAATTAGATGATTATCTCACTTACGTTTGTATGCCCATTTCAAATCTTTTTGAAGAGCATCTAAATAAGAGTACAAATTTTGAACGCAACTTTGCGATATATTCCAACCAATGTCATTGAACTCGAAGAATCTAACTAAGGATTTCTGACTAAACACTTCAAACACAAAATTGACATTCGAAATTGCTGTTGATGTGACACACGTGATTGTGAAAATTTTAATAATTAAAGAAAACACTATTGGCTTCATAATATATCAAAGAAAAAATAACAGAAAACTCGAGCAAGCACGACCAAACACTTGGAGCCGCAGTTTACTTATGGTTTTTCTTTTTACTTTTCGTTAGTTTCATTAAAACACAATTGTTTTACCAACAGTTTTATTCGCTTCAGAGCTTCCATTTTACACTAGTCAACAATTGATTTTCTTTGGATCAATTTTGATTGCGTTAATATTTAGTGTATGATAGTTTTGAAAGAAATATAATAAAACAATCGTTTATATGTTGACAACGATACATGCCGCGTGATACATGCCCTGTTAATAAATTCATTTTGTTCCTGAATGATCATATTAGAACTTGAAATATTGAATGATTTTCTAAGAGAAAATGTACGTATAGTAAAGAATAGGGAAAATTTCATTGGGGTGTTTTGGGATCTTCTGCATTTTCCCGACATAATTTCATATTGCATGATGATTGTATAAGACCATACAAGTCAATTTATATGATCACAGAACAATATGCGAAATAAATTAGCATATTGAATAATACTACTTATGAATTGAGTAATATAAAAATTGGAAATATTCAGTTCAACGATGAAGGTGTTGATGGCATCAAAAAATGATGTTGAAACATTAATCAAGATGCATAACATGCTACATAAAAGAGAACCTTGCAAATGTTTCATACTGAAATTTGTAGGGTTTCCTTTTGAACTATTCAATTGAACCTTTTTGAACTCATTTAATTGTTCAGCTTAAAAAACACGTCAACAAAGGCGGTGTTTTTAGTTTTTATCTTATTTTAAATTATTATTAGATAAATTATTATATTATACTGATATCTATCACATTATCAACATGAAGTTATCATGGTCTGCCGTATTCACAGCAGTTTTTTTTGGATATATAAGTTATTCGATGTGGACATTCGCTCAGCTGTTCCGAACTTTAGAATGTACTGATAAAATAACTTGCTTTCAAAGCTTTTTGAATAAAAATCCCAAGATGCAGCTAGCACTATTCACATCGCATTCAGTCAGCCCAATTTCAACTGAAGTGAAGAAGCTTACCAATGTGAGGAATTTTGATTATCGTGAGCCTTACAGCAGGTAAATATTCACAGATATTTGATAAATTAATCAAAAAAATGTCCTCATTTGCTTTCAGGGAGTTTAACGTTGATGTTCCATTGAAGACAAGACGTAATGGAACTTTATATTTATATGTTGTGTTAGCTATCGACGACGATAACGCTCTCGATTGGAAAGAATTCCAAAGAGATGGTCCAACTGTGATCCAAAGAATTAGCTTAACTCAATATACTGTTCCAAAAGAAGCCACGTACAATCTTTTAAATGAAGGAACAACCAATCAAGATAAAAAAACTAAGAAAGAAAAACTTTCAAATATCAAACCCAAAACTCATATTAAAACGAAAGTTTTCGTGACAATTCTAACAGACAAAGCTTCGATGTCACCTCAAGATGTCGTTCCAGAACTAGCAAGAATGATAAGAGTCAGTAGAACAGCAGAATTCCTTCCCATGATTCAGAGTAACATTCTCAAAGAACGTTTCAATCATTTAGTGGAAGTCACAAAGAACACGACAGAAATTTCACTCGAATTAAATTATTCACCATCATCAGTCGGAAAGTTTCGTCTCATAGCTCACATTGACAATGCTATGAGTCAACTAACAAACTTTGGATTCTCAGCTAAAGATGTTGATGAAGTGAAAGAAATCTTTGCTGATGCAAACATTTATTTGTTGTGTGGAACTTTGTTCATTGGAAGCATTCACGTGAGTTAAACTAAAAAATAACTTAAAAAACTTGTCTTAATCATTTTCCAATTTTTTTAGACTTTATTCGACTTTCTTTCGTTCAAAAATGATGTCAACTTCTGGCGAAAGAAGAAGAATTATGCTGGTTTATCAACTCGATCAACTATATGGCGAGCATTCAGCACAATTATTATTTTCTTATATTTATATGACGAACGTTCTTCATTACTGATTCTTATTCCTACGGGTATTGGAGCAATAATTGAGTTATGGAAGTGTAAGAAGATTCTTAAGATGGAAATTAGTTGGAAAGGTGTAGTGAGGCTTAATTCACCACCTTCAGACAACAACAAAGATTCAACATTAAAAGCTGAGAAAGAAACAAATGAATTTGATCGGCAAGGAATGAAATATTTAAGTTACGTGCTTTATCCACTTGTTCTTAGTTATGCGATTTATTCCTTGATATATCATCCACATAAAAGTTGGTACAATTGGACACTTACATCGGCTGGGAACGGCGTTTATGCTTTCGGATTTCTTTTTATGCTACCACAACTTTTCATCAATTATAAACTTAAATCCGTTGCATCATTGCCTTGGAGGGCTTTCATGTATAAAGCGTTCAATACATTTATTGACGATGTCTTCGCTTTCATTATAACGATGCCGACAGCACATAGAGTTGCTTGTTTCCGTGATGACATTGTATTTCTTATCTATCTTTATCAAAGATGGTTGTACCCCGTCGATAAAACGAGAATCGATGCTGGTGCAAGTATGAATGAAGTGGAAGAATATGAAGCAGTTGATGATACAAAAGACACGAAGAAAACTCAATAGATAATTAAATAAAAGTATTGCATTGAATTTATTTCCAATATTAAATATTTTTAATATTTAAGAATAAATTTTTCATGAATTATTGTGAAGTTTCTGATACAAAAAAAAATCAATTTGAGATTATCAATCACAAACTGAGAATGATTAACATTCGTAAACACATTTCAAATGATTGATTTTACATGTATCGTTGCAATGAGACTGAACATTAATTTACAAAATGTAAATAAATAAATAGAAATTAAATTTATTATTTAAGGATTTAGATTGTTTTTTTCTTAACGTTATCACATTAAAATTCCCGATGCAATTGCAACTTGCAATGTGCAAGTGATTCTGAAGCACAAATAATAAAAAAATGTCGAAAGATACAAAAATAATTCATTTTTATTTTTATTTAAACAACTTCTACAAATTGACTGTAATAAAAAGTCATGGATACGAGCAACATAAATATTTTACCCGAATTCTCTATATGTTTTTAGTGCACATCACAACATCACAATATCATTCACAAAAAAAAAGGCTGCCAATAAAATTTATTTGTTTTTATATGCAACTTTTATTTCTACGGTGATTTAGCGTGAATAAAATTTATTGTGCAAAACAAATGTCTCTGAAATAACAACACAACATGAATGATTTCGTAAATATTTGACCAACTATAGTGGCAAATGAGAGAAAAGTTTCCAACTAACCCCAACTCAATCTTACTTATTTCTTCTGCTTGCATGAGCAAATATCCTTTTTCTCATATTTCGAATTCTTTTCTCCTAATTTGAATAAGAAATGTTCAATACATGAATATCTGAATCGTTTTATGCTGAGGTGATGAAATCTAAGTTTAAGAAAGGCAACTCACGTATTTGACATCTTTTCCGTTCGTTTTACTTTTGAATTTTTCAACTTAAGAAATCTAAATAACAATAAAAGAAATGCCTATGTAGCAATCACTTTATGCAAATCAAATTCAAAAGGGATCGTGATTAAATTGTGTTCTCATTCTTTCTCTTATTGGTTCTTTCTTTATATTTCTTTTTTAACAATAAGAAACAATTGGTTTGTGTTTGATATCGAAGCTTCTTATTAATACTCAGAAGATGAGTTAGAAAAATGCGATGAAATAATTAGAAGTTGTGGTTTTACTCGAATAGTTAGCAACATTGTTTATTTATTCCACACACGCCGTTCAATAATGTTATGATAGGAGGATAGGAGGATTGCTTCTCTCTTTTGTAGCAATTTTATTGCTGAGAATTTTGTCTTTTGAATAAAAAAACGAAAATTGTTATCGAATAAAAGAATCTGATGTGTAAACAGCTAAGATTCCTTTCATATTTTTATGTCACAATAATCATTGAAAGCGTTTTGGTATTTTGTATTTTGGTTTCCTTTTATCGTTTGAACTGTGACTCAATCAATACATGTGGGGGTCAATTTCAATAAGAGATCAAGACCCAATCGTCATTCGTTATGAATGAAGGAAGTCTCGATCATGGATTATTGTTTCGTTTATCTGAGGCAATCTAAAACTTATTGGTTCATAAGTGGGCAGTGTCATAAATATTTTTTTCATCATCATAAAGAATCAAAAGCTTCTGTTATCTCATAATGAAATTCACGTATTATTTACGAAAACAAATATCCAGATCAATCGTAAGAAGACAAGCAATGATAGATTTTCATATTTGTTTTGTAGCGTAAAATATTCTAGTGAAAATTTTTCCACAACTCATATGATTGAATAAAAAAATTCTTTTTCCTTGAACAATTCTTATTTCGATGAATTTTGTGAACGTGACCGTTTTCGCAGATTTTATTGCCTTCATTTTCTCCTTTCCATGAAAAAAATATATTTTAAACATTTTTCATAGCATAACATTTTTACTGATTTATGAAAGATGAAGAGAAAAGCACGAAAATTTTTATGAAATTTTAAAAAGCCATAAATTTCAATAAAGTGCCAAATCAAAAATCATAATAAGAAAAAATGGAGAAGGTTTTTTCCTTACTCTGTTACAAGTTCAATTTGATCGTCATCGAGTGAAAGGAAAAAAGAACGAAACGATTCTAATGTTATTAAAAAACCTGCAAAAAATTGCTATCTCAGGAGACAACACACTTCATCAAATATTAATCAAATAGTGGTAAACGAGATTGTGAACAGATTTTTCCCCTATTAAAAATAATAATATTTCGAGCCCCTTTCTTCTCATTTTGATGCGGTTATCGCTTCTATGAATGCTTCTATCATCATTCGGTGACAGAAAATCTAATTAGATTTTCCACACTGAATCTGCTTTCGTTCTTCATAGACGTTGTCAGTTTTACAGCACGACAAATTATCTATTGATGTGATTAGTAAAAGATTTGTGGCAATTGATAAAAGTCAATGTTGTAAAACATACATCACATTTTTATGAGCATTCACTTATGTTCAACATAAAATGTAACTTGATATTTTTTTCTGAAATGCTGATAAGATTATTAGATGTTCATGAATCTTAAATGAAACTTTAAATCCTATCTTGAAGTGATTACAACGAGTGTCGTCAGTTGCTATTTAATCATCATGATGAAATATTTTTATGAGTCTTTGAATTATTCTCAAATATTTTTAAAGTTTATCTCGGGTCAAAAAGGGAAATCAATTAAATAATCTTGAAAGCTGAAAGTGAAATAAGAACGTCTGACTATAAATAACATTTTATTTTACTTAAAAAGATCTCGAAGTATAAAATCAAAATGTTGACAGGTTAGTTGTTTTTTAGATGATTTTTTTCAATATTTACTAAATTTTATTGCCTAACATGAAAGAAAAATTTCCTTGAAATTTTAATAAATTTATTTCATATTTTAAAATTTATTCAATCAATTGTTATCGCTTTGAAAGAGAATGTTTATAAAGCCTTCCGACCACATCTTTATTGCTGAAAGAATTTAATTATCATCTTTCTTATGCTCTTGTTTTCATACATGAAAATTATATTTCATTAACTACCCGCAAACAAAATGAGATTGATAGCATCAGAATGAGGGAAAAAAACGAAATTGTAAAATAAATTATCGCCTTTTATAAAGTTATTTTGTATACATCTATAGGTAGACATAACATATGAGAACGATGGTAGAATAGAAACTACAATGAAGAGAAATCTATTTACAACATATAAAGATGGATGAATACGTTCTGAAGGAAAAACCACATGATAAATAAAAGATGTTTAACTGACAATCAACTGAAGTAGAGAAAACATTTTCCCTCAATGTATAATGCAAAGCAATTTGGGGCTTAAGTGTGAATTCTGTTAGCTAATTTTTAATTACAATTTTCATTACTAAGATTGGAGATAACAAACAAGACACATCAAGATTGTGAGAACAGAACTGCGCAAGTCGTTTTTGTTACTAGAACTTTTCTGTTTTTTATTTGCTACACATTTACGCGTAATCTAACACAAATTAATTGATTCCTTGGCTCAACAACTCTATCAGAGCTGACATACACAACTCAAACAGAAATACAATATTTTTAAATAAGATTTCACCTTTTCAAGAGTGAAAAGTCTTTTGTTCTATTGCGATAGATATTTCCTTTGAACATGTAACTCCACGACCATGATTAATTATCATGTCTTTGAAGTGAGAGAAGAGAAAAAGTCCGGAATGAATCGTAGAAAAGAAATCGTTAAAATGTTTTTCAATAATTAGATTTTTTTTGTGATGTTTCAATCTCCACTTAGATATTTTGCTTCGCTTCATTTTAACCGCTGTGAGATGAATGAATAAGCCATTAAATTAATGATTTTTTCACACTTTTAATTGGAAAATGGATGAAATTGAAATAACATTTAGACTACGATAATGACGATGATAAGTCATATTGAAGTTTGAAATTTCTCTTAAGTGGCAGAGATTTCAGTTATTTTGTGGTACGTAACATAAAGAAAGGAGGTGAATTTTAAATTGATGATAAAAATGATGAGTTTGCACTCACCCTTCTTTTATGCTCAAAATATTTTTATTGTTTCGAAGACGTAAATTTTGCACGCTCGGTCAAAACTTTACTCGCAGATAGACATGATGATAAACATGAAATAAAAAACTTTTCTTTCATGAAAAGAGTAAAATAAGATCCGATTAAAAGCATACATTACCATACAAATGACTGAAAATTCAATATAATTTCGATATCTTTACTCCAATATTTCATTATCTGACTTCAGAGTACATTTACAGAAATAAAGTTTTAATTAGCCTTTTTTTCTGCAATTCCGCTCGAATTCAATAAGCCACAAACGATAATTTTCGTTAAAATTGTTTTTCTACTCAACAGGATTCACGTAGGAAATTTTCTTCGACTATTTTCTTTTCTTTTTTGTTGTTGTTTCTTTTCGTTAGGAAGACAAAAATCTCGACTGAGACAGAAAATGTGAAAAATATCAAGTCAACCAATCACAGCGCTTGAATAGTGCCAGCCATTTATTTTTTCACGAATTTTTTGAAACAAAACCGAACGAGAGAGACTTTCTTGAGTCTCTCTCACACTCACACTTTCAAACGATTAATGTTGGAAGAGGATTTATATCCAATGCAACAAAGTTTTTTATGTTGAAGAATATAATTTACCCAACGCTCAAATTGAATTTGCTGTTGTTGTATTTTCGTGTTCACGCCTACAACTGTACAAAATATGTTTGGCTGTGAAGAGGAAAGGAAACCAGTTTCTTTCGAAGTCTTCTTTTTAAAACATCCAGAAAGTTTCGTCTCATGTATTTTATAGAGACATTCGCTTGTGATAGTTTAAGTTATTGATTAAATACAAAAATATTTACACAAATCAAAAACCATATTTTTTTCGTTCGAATAACTTTCATTCAGTATGTTTTGATTGCTCTTTGTGGCTGTACGTTTGAGAAAAGAGAGAAATAAGAAACATTTTTTAGGAAGTAAATGCATTTGATTGCAAATTAAATTATTACTCCGTTGATTTGAATTACATTGCAAATTAATAAAAGATGTTAAGATCATCATCTCACATCAAGTTTGTTGTTTACTTAACATAAAACATTCGGTTGAATAACATAAAATAATAAAAGAAATTGTAAACTAGTGTAATCAAAAATTACTTAAAGTGAACACCTAATTCATTCATTAGGGTGAATGCATAATTAATTCGAAGTGAAAACTTTTTAATTAAAACAAAAAGAAACTTGGAAAAGAGTACCGTCGCAAAGTTTTTATAAAAAAGATTACCCCAATGTGCTTGCATGTAAAACTATACTTAATAATAATAAAAAGTAAAACTTCACGACATTTCTATCGTTAAGATAATGGTATTAGGACATCAAAGCTTGTTGTCAAACATGTCGGGAAGTCCACCTGGATTACAACCAGCTCTTCAACTTGCGGCTGTCGCAGCCCATTTGGCTCCAAGATCTCGACCATGGGCACCTTTCTTGCAATTTGGCATGCCAATGTTTGCTCCATTTCTAACGCGTCCACATTTTGGCGGCCCACCTCAACACAATCTTCTTAATATCAGTAATATGAGTAATGGTGCAAGTAACAGTTCACATTCATCAAGCATATCTTCGCAACGAAATTTACAAAGTCCACCAAGTGAAGACTCGAATGATGAAAGAGGTAAGAACACCGTCGGATGAAGATTTCCCTCTAATCTAAATAAATATTTCAAACGATCGGACATTACATGAATGCGCTTGCGGTTCGACAAAAGTATTGCGTGATCCAAATTGATGTCAGTATCAATTCATTCGCCTGTCCGTTGTTCACAATTATCAAGTGCTTTCGTTTCTATATGAAAAAAAAAGAAAAAAAAGTTCGTGATTTTCAATTACACGATTGTAGAACGATTACATTTTAATTGGCATTTAGAATGACTGCTTTAGCAGTGACTTAATTTAATGAAATCAAAACTAAAAGTTGATATTGAATTATTTAAACGTCAGACAATGCCTCGATCCTGAACGTAGTCTTTTAATAAAAAGAAGCAAGAAACCTTAAATTAAGTTATTAAATTTTTTTTCTTTGGATTTAATCGAAAGGAAACATAAATTATGAGTCCTAAAATTCAATGAAGATTTCGAGCTAATGTACAAGACATTTGTTCATAAAAAATTAGATCAAAACCTCAGGGGATCTACCTGCCCCATTACACACATACAATTCATGTTCAAGTGTTTGAGTTTCCCTTTTGGCTTAAAAAAGGCATTAAAACTATATTAAATTTAAAAAGAAACATGAAAAATTGTAGAAAAGCGTTCTGCACATTCTGAAATGAGGGAGAAGAAAACAACGTTCAAAAGACCGTCGCCTGCAGCTACAAACAAAAGCCTTTATAAATGACTGTTGCCTTAACAGCAAAGCCTTATTCATACGCAGTGAAATTAAAGTCAGTTTTAAGCTGTATATGGCGAGCGCAGTTTATTATGTTGAAGAGAGAACAATAGATAATCCTTCTTTTCACAATTAACTTCTCGTATGTTCTGAATTGTAATTTCTTTATTGATATAATCGCTAATTATCGGTGTCTAAACATGGTTTCTACATTTTTTTTCACCAAAATTAATGTTATGTGTAAATTTCAATTAATATCTTGCATTATCATGCCATGCGGCTCATTTAATTGTTTCGTGAGAATGATCACAGTCAAAAGGAATTAGATAAGCAAAATTTTTCGCGATGCTTTTCACTGTTACCAATCCACATGTTTTGATTTTAATTAACAATTACCATAAATAACTCAGATTCAATTAATTAACATAAAAAATCCATATTTAAATTCAATAAAATGATTGGGCGTTGGTTATTCTTCTTTGGATTGAATGATTTTAAATTTTAAAGTCTTAATAAGTTTCTGATCAATATGAGTTTACACTTCGAAGACATAAATTTTGCTAAGCTTATGAAGATCTCATAAGAATTGAGAAAAAGAAAACAGCGGAAGTGAATGGTTGTGATGAGAAAAATGTCTTCTTACTTCAATATTCTAATCCAAATTATTTAAATGACTTAGATAGTTATTTCAAAATTGTAGCTTCATCAGAAACTCAATTTTGTCTCATCGATATCATGCTTAAAGTAATTTACTAGAGTTCGCCTTAATGAGATTTTATGTCTTCAATGACAGTCTTCATTGATTGCATTTAATAATCGATCGCTTTTTAAAGAGACTTGAAATTACAGTCTTGTGCCTTCTCGTTTACGGAGTTGATGTTTTATTGAAGAGCTCATTTGTGAACTTGTTAAAATCATTACCTTCGCTTCTCATTGTAGACATTTTCATATGTAGATCGAAATCATACAATTCTAAGTCATAAATAATTTTCCGCTTTTCAAAACCAAAATTTTCATTTAATTAATTGCACAATTTTTCGTGAAAATGAAACTTAATTGAAATTCAACTTGGTGTTACTAAAATAAAATGCTAACAAGAGCCCAATTAAAATTAAATGTGTATTGTTGGTGATAACATTCATTCTTTAACTTTTGGATGCGAGCCCAAAAATGTAATCAGGTTTTTCATTAAAAAGCGAGTGGCAATTACAGTAAATAATTTAAATAATTTCAACATTTCGTTTACGTGAAACTTATTCATGTACTGAATTTTTGGGTCTCGGAGTTGAAAAATTAATTGAAATTTATGTTATCGTAGTTTAAAGCGGAAAATTATTTTTTTATGTTTGGAACATTCAGTAATTCGCGGGTTTATTAATATTTTCAAAGTACAATTGTTGTTGAAATCCCTGACGATTGTCAACTTTGTGACTCATAATTTTTCATTAAAGGTAGTGTCGTATTTACAAAGTGTTTTAGTCAAACATTTCGCACCTTGTTATGATAATAAAATCATACATATAAGTATTTAGTAAATGTTGTTGCTAATTAATAACATCGCTATCGTTCAATGAAATTATATTTATATATGTATCTACTTACGTAAACACCTCTGAAATTATTTTAATCTTCTCAGAAAATTATGAAAACATTAATTTGTTTAATGTGAATCATTCTCGCGTTTTTGCAAAAACAAAAGTTGCTTCCGTCATCGGATTAACTAATTTGTGCTTTTCACTTCTGTTTAAGAGTTTTTTGATGTTCAACATTTTTACAAGCTGATGAAATATTGCCTCAATTAACAACGTTGCGAGTCGCAACAATTTTATAGAAATTGAATGGATCACTAATAATAAATTACGATTGAACGATACAAAAACTTGTTAATAGATTTTTTTTCTATTAAACAATTTTATAAGCAAAATAAGTTTTATGTCTAACAATTTTTTAAGTATCAATAAATATGTATCTACACTCATTTAATTTTCATACTATTTCCTATCAATTGAATTGAGTTTTGTTTGAATTAACCCAACTCTTAAATATGAGAACTTGCTGTTGTGTTTGAACAGTGTAATGTTACACGAGTTGAGGGTTGTAAATAAACCATAACGAATGAGAAGATTTACAAAGTTTGAAATGACTATGATTTCGAGAAATAAAGCAGGGTGAATACTTTAGGTTAATTTTATAATTTAGTTACGGTATTTTTAACGCTTCTGGCTTTGCAAACATTGCGTCATAAAATGAGAACGCTGAATTTTGCGTTATCACTGCCTCGTTAATAATGCGACAATAAAAGCACCCTTAGCAAGTTACAATGGTATTTTATAGATATGCTCATATACACAAAATGTTCTTTTCTCAAGACGTAAGCAAGCACAAAAAAGCCTTGACGAATTTCTGTATACACAATACACACACCTACTGGTAAAATAATGCTGGGGTAAATTTCCGAACCAGGAAATTAATTAAATAGAAAATTGGATTTTTAAATAGAATTGGCTTATTTGTTGGTTCATTTAGTAAAGTTATCTCTTCAGCTTGATGATGACGATGATGATTAGTTTATTATTTTGCGTTTAACAATAGCATCCATTGATTTGATGTCAGCTTTTTTCCAAATTTGTTTAAGCACTTTTTTTACCTTCTTTTCTTCTTTAGAAACTTGTAAAAGAATGAAGTTAATTATATCGTCACTCAACTATATCAAATTGACACACGTCATTTAAGTTAAGCATGCTAAATTGAGAAAAATTAAATTACTTAAATTTAATATTTACTCCCTTTTGTTTCAACTGTGACTTCTTGTTGTTTATTTTAACAGACGACATTTTCAAACTGTTTCATTCTAGAAGACAAATATTTGAAAAGAAATGTTTATGCGTCTATTACTCAATTAATTACAGACACACCCCAAGAACTAACCACAGAAAAAAGTTGTTCGCATTCAAATTGGATCATGCCTTTCGATTTGACTTTTCAAATGCCTCAGGGCATTAAAAGAAATTGAGGGATGAATGGTATCATACTAAGATGAAATACCCCATGTGTATAAAGGGCAATAGTAAATAATAGATACATACCAGAAAAGGGATATAAAAGTGGCCACATATTGGAAATGTTTGCGTTCATTTAACTTATTTCCGTAATATTTCCTCGTTACTAGTCAATTTGCTTGCTTTTTGCAACCCTCTTCAAGTGAATCTTTCCTCGTCTTAATATTCTTTTGATTGTTTCTCTCGTAGCTTTTTATTGATGGTATCACGAAATTCTCCATTTCTTGCTTCATGGTTTTTCCCCCTTGAAGAATTTCTTTCTGTCTTCAGATATCTACACGTTTGAATTAAATAAAAATCTACCCCTCGAGAAAAATCATCTACGAAACCATTTTTTTTTCTGCCTCACAAGCTTTATTTTGAATACCACCATCTCCCCTGTGAACCCTCTTCGCCTTGAAAGAACATTCACTTGAATGTGTTTTTGGGGGGTGAACATTATACGCATTTTCATAGACTTTTTATGGCTGTTTTTCAATCGAATTTTTCGGGTGAAAATTATTAGCTCAATTTTGTCTCGCTCGCTCTTCGGTAGGTTGCTCTTTTGGGGTTTCATGCTACATTTGACTACTCTAGCAGCTCTAGTTATATTTAGCTGAGAAAATGCTGTTTGGTTTTATTGAATATTGTTTTTTCATAGTCTCCATTTTTCTACCAATGCTGCCATCATGTATTTATAGCATGTATACTTATCAAGAGGAGACGCTATTTTGCGCTTGTTCTATATCGTTATTTAGATACGAAAAGTGGAGATGGAAGTGACGCATATGTATGTATAAAAAAGCAATCACTTATTGATTTCATTCGATATTGATTATGTGTTAGAAAGATATAAATGTCTTCCGTTTGGGGATGTTTTATGGTGAATTTGTGATAATAAGTATGTTACTTTGTTGTTTAACACATGAGACTGAACTTCATAGAAATTCTTCGAGAACTTTGATTTTTAATCTTTTATTTTTTGAAAACGTTGAAAGTGACATATTTTTATGTTGCAGTCTATAATCAGTTTTGATCGTTTTGTTGTTTTCTTGACTATTTTATACAAACATCTAGTTAAAGAGAGAAGAAGAAAAAAAAACGATTGTGCGGTTGATTATTATAAATTAATCCCTGCGGTAGCATAAACTTTTTCATTCACATCTGATGAGAGTGTTTCGTATAAAGTTTATTGATTAAATTTGTGGCCATATGGATTTTTAGTCAAGGATGTTTTATGTGATATATGATTAATATTATGCAACTGTTAATAATAAAATACGAGAATGTTAAACAGTTTACTGATGGTTAATTTAGATTTCTTTTAGGGAAATCATCAAAAATTAATTGCATATTTTTCTGTCAAAACTATCTTAAAAAAGTAATTTATTGATCTTCAAGATATCTTCTTGAATATATTTCATTTATACGATATTATTCAGATATTCATTGAAAGGCTTTACATAACTTTAAATTCTGATATCTAGATTATAATAAAATGTTAATTGAATTATTATTATTTTTTTAAATTGAGTTTTATTAAAATAATTTCGAAACTCTTTATATAATAAAAGAATTTATTTTGAAATGACTTGCCATTAATTGTTAGTCACTTGCCTTAAAGGTTTGTAATGTTTTTAAAACTCGCCACAAAAGCGTGATATCGCTGATAAAAGGTTAAAAGTAGTTTTAACAAATTTAAATTACTCGAATTTTCATGCCTTTTTGAATTTTATCGTGCAAAAGACACGCCTCTTAATGTCTTCGGACGGCAGAAATGAGTCTAACAACGAGAAAAAATTAAAAAGAAAAATAAAAAAGTTGCCGCGAGCGCTAACAAAGTAATTTATAAATTCAAATTGAATAAATATTCCTTTTTTGACGTGTACATGAAAACATGAAACCTTTTTCACACTCGTTCACTTTAAAGTTCGTTTTCCCATTTACCGCTTCTCTCACTTTACTTTCATAGCTTGAAGCTTTCGTAGAAGGAAAATTTAAGCACTAACACAATCTCATTTTCTACATTTTCCGAAATGGTTGGAAGAATTGATTTTGGGGCTCTGACTTGAGTCTTTTAGCGCAGAATGTTTTTATTTAAACATGCTGCGCTGTGACGAAGAAAATGATATTGAAAATAAATAGAAAATCTTATGTTGAAGGAGTGAGAAGACTTCAACGACAAAGCATGAAGAGAGAGGAAAACAAATTCAAACATTTAATCCTTTTATCGGTCGTACTTCATCAAACATAACGAATTATACAATTTTTCATGTTGATTTTAATTTCACATCAATCTTTGGAAAGATCATAACAAACAATAAAAAATGGCACATTTTCACTGATATCATCATTAATTACCATAGTTGTTGCGATCGACATTTGGTTGTTCACGTGCCGCTATATTGGTCCCTTTGCTCGTGTTTATAAATTAAACCTGAACATTTTTGTTTAATAACTTTCCTTCATAAATTTCTTTTGGTGACACGTGTCATCGAATCAATCCATAAAAAGGCTAATACACTAACTTCTCTTGAGGCGAACAGAAAAAAGAACTCTGTTCAAGATTTCGACACCAATAGTGCTTAGATAGTCCAAGGGGTTATTTATGTGTTAAGTGGGCGGTGTTGTGTTACATTGTGTATCTAAACTTTAAATGAATTGTCTTCCCATTAATCGTGTTTTATGCTGACGCATTTGAAACGCCAAACACCAGCCTTGTGTTGTGTATAAAATTAGGGACGCGAAATTTCGTTACAGTAGATCTGATAAAATGGATTAGGTGTAAATAGATTTGAAGCTTTTACTGCACCAGTTTTAGGGTAAACACTATCAGTTTGATTGATGAGTTTTATGGCTGTACGCGGTCGCTTTATCACCGTGAGACAGTATGCTAATGTTAATAGATTGTATAAATCGTTTTGTGATGCAATTTGTACGAATTAGTTTTATTAATAATATTTTCATTCTACTTAAGTATCTTAAAATTTCGACCTATAATTTACCGGAGAAATATTATAATATTGATCTGAAGAAATGAAATGTTTTAATCAAAAAGAAAAAGAAATTCTTTCCAGTTTATTATCATAACTGGTTCTTCCATCTAAAAAAAATATTTATTCACAACACAGCCCGCTAAGATTCCATTCAATTTGGTAATGAAGACGTTTCATACTCAACGGTGACTACAAAACGAAGCCTTTTCTCTTATTTATTAGCGTTCACAAAACCCAATAATTACGCACAATGTTTTTCTTCAAACTCCCTTATAAACCTATAATTTGCTTACATCATAATCAACATTTATCAAATCGTGATACAATTTTCTCTTATTTCTTTTTCGCTAAGGATTCGTACATAAAAGAGGATAATTTGTTTGACCAAATACCAATTTCGGGAGGCGCATTAAGTTATTAATATCTCAATTTTAGGTTTGCTCCAAAAAAAAAGGTTAAATTGAAAAATACTTTTGACAGGGCTGTCGAAATACCATAAGAAAAACTCAAATTCAAGTCATTTAACTGCTCATCGTATTATTTCAATCAATTAACATACAAGTCAGAAAGAAAAAAATCGAATTTTGGAAATCAATTTTCACGTTCGTGTTTTCGTTCCGTGTTAAGGTCTGCAATAAATAATTTAGCAAACATGCAGGTGCCTTAAGAAACACGGTCAATAAAAGAACTTAATTTATTTTGGAAGAAGCCAATTGGATGAAGGGATGTAAATAATTTTATTTCTTAAATAACTCACTTCTCATTAGGAAAATTTTGAATTGTGCAATTTTTAACATGTATGTTGATATGCTGTAAACTTTCTTCCTTCTTTTTCATTCGAAGAAGACATAAAAGTAAATTTCTCCTTAACGCATCCGAGGTATAATTATAATTTTTATAGCTTGGTATTACTTGATCACGTATTTGATGAATAATTACCTTCATTCTAGTGTTCATTTTTTCACTTTAAATTTTTAATATTTATAAGCTGCATGAAAAATTTGAAGCTACTGCAGTAGAAAGCTCGAAAAAAGTTTTAAGTTCAGATTTGTTTGAACCTCTAAATATTTGATTGAAGAAAGGAAAACGAGGTGAATTTAATCTTCATTAAACAGCTCAAAATTATGTTCTACAATTTTGTTAATTGCGACTTCATTGTTGACTCTAAACATTGCTTCCTGACTATGAACATAAAGTTGTTTTGTATCTAAGATGAAACGAAATTTTATTTCTATGTCAGAGTATTCAAGAAGCAACTTATTTAAGTTTATTCTGGCGTGTTCAAATTTGTTCTCTAATCTTGATTTTGAAAACTGTTATAAAATTCAGCACTAAATGTCTAAATTTCAGTAAAAATTATCATAATTTCAATTTAACATTAACTCAATAAAAAAAATCATTAAAATGAAGCCAACGAAATTTAGAAATCATAAAAAAGTAATAATGACCACAACATCCAATCAATTATCAATGAAAATTAATGGTTTTATATATAAAAAAGCGTTTTTTTTCCTTTACACAGACACGAAGAAAGGCTGGCAGAAGAATTAATAAACGCATAAAAATTATGCTCGTTGAATGCGCGGACCCTTTTGAAAATCGTCTGCAAGGGTTTTTATAACTTAATTTTATTTATGGACGAAAATGAGCAAAACATTGAAAATTGGCAAATAAAAATTAATAACTTTTTTGTGGGATGTGAAGAGTCTCGAGAGGCTTTAACGTTTGAACGGGTTTTTAAAGAAATGTGTTTACAAAAAAAAAAATATAAAAAATGAGAAGGCGAAACATGTTTCGATGGTGTTTCGGTCTGTTAAGCTATTACATTCTTTCTCGTTAATTCCAACTCCTTGGTCGATAAGCGCTAAGTGATTCCACTGCTTGTGAGTGTTTTTCAACTTTTTTACTTCTTCTTTTCGTATGTGAAATGGTTACAATTATGGCGGCAAATGTCTCAATTTCGTTCTTTCGCCATTAATTTACTTCACGGAAATTAAATTTTTACCGAACGTAGTTATTGATTAGCCTGTGGGAAATTGATCATAACTCATCAAATCGAGTTTCGTTAACCATAAAAAAGGAAAAAAATGGAAGAAAAGATGCCGACCCCATCTGTAAAGTGCAGACATTCAATTACTGTTCAAAAGCAAAAAAGTCGCATTTGAGGTGCCCATTGTGTAATTTATAAACAATCATATTTAATTAGATTCAGGCCGTCGATAACTCAATTCAAGGAAAAGGAATGTAATCAATTTTTCGAATCAATTATTGTCTGCTTCGGTGGATTCGGTAATTTCTTTTTTTTTCTTTTCTTTTTTTTGCAAGGCAATGGACAAAAAATAAATGATTTGTTGGCTTTGGCACCATACGTGAGTCGTCTGAATATAGTAAATTATCTTCTTGCTTGTTATTAACCGTTTATGCGCTGCTTTTCAAGAAAATCATCAAAATTATTGAGTTTGAGTAAAAGTTATGGGCATTTCTTTCGCATATATTTATATATGTTAAAATTGAAGGTTTAAAGTGTTTTCGTGAATGACTTGATTGAAAATTGCAAGAAAGTAAGTCAAGATTAATTAATACTTTCGATATCGTGAATTCAAAAGCTTGACAATCTGTTAACCAGTCAAGTTAGTGACTAATTCACACCAAGAGATAATCAGCGGCTTAATTAATCATGCTTCTTGTTAAATGTAACGCTCGAGAAAGTTTTATTCTTCAACTTTTAATTGAAAATAAAATTAAGTTATGAATAAAAGCAAGAAAATCATAAGTATGGAGTTGAGTTTGATTAATTATCTTACATTCATGCATACATATGTAGATATTTATGCTACCGCCTTACATTTGTTGATTGTTAATATTTCTTAATAATCTCAATCTGAGATGAAAAATCAAGTTGTAATCTTTATCTGGTTTCTTCACGGTGCATTGCAATATGCCTGATCGTACATATAAATATAATGAGTTTTCCCTTCCATTCGATTACCCACATAAAAGGCTGCATTAATTAATGTTTTCATTCCTTCATTTCTTTGTTCTGCACTTTTGATGAATATTGAAAAATATTTATTGCATAATTTAGCAGTAATTACTTAGTTAATTTTAAATATGTGAACTTTTCTTTTCTAATCGATAAATATGCCATTATTCTTGTCAGCAAAACTAAATAATTAAAAATATGACTTTGTTATTAATATTTAATCATTCCTCGTTTTTATTTCAACTAATGTTCTGCTAATATGATAAAATTTATATGAGAAATTCAACTGTCATATTGATCGATTAATTTGAATACAGATTGATTCATCAAACAGTCAGGCAGGCAGGCGATAACTTTTATTGCTTAGATTATAATACGCGTTTAGAAACGATTTTCATATTTATTCAAATAATGATTAATAAGACTTTATTGGTCTCTATTTATTCCAATTAGGTTTATTATTTTATGGTCGAACTGTGAACGGGTTTCACGATAAACAACAACATTTAATAATTTACTAATAAAGCACAATTTTATGTGAAAAATATTCAATTTGATTAACGAAAGAAATATCAATGAAATTTCTAGGTTCGGCTGCAGACGGTGACGAGGAAAATAGTTCATCGAAAAGAAGAAGATCTAGGACAAATTTCAATTCATGGCAGTTGGAGGAGTTGGAAAGAGCTTTTACAGCAAGTCATTATCCTGATGTGTTCATGCGAGAAGCTCTTGCTATGAGACTTGATCTTAAGGAGAATAGAGTAGCGGTAAGCAAATGTTTTCAACATTTACAATTCTAAAATGTGTAGAAGAGTGTGATGAAGAGGTTCGAGTAACTTTTACAGAAGCAAAGCTTTTATTCGCAAAAACAGAAAAATAGCGATTTAGTTTAATTTTATGAAACTAAATAACATCCCTTAATAAAACGTTGTTAAGTGCGGATGGAAGAAAATTAGTGCTTCCTTTAAGCTACCTAGCACAAGTCATTATCATTAATTTTTTTTGGCTTTTTGAGTGAAAGCGTTAATTTTGATTCTGATGAACTATTTGAGTATATCCGTCTCCACATAGAAGGCAATTTAATCAAAGAAAGAAGGAAACAATGTTAATATTGCTACAACCATAATCACAAGTAATCACGGAACTTTTCAATCATGAACAAAATCCGCATATATTGTTTATTTAATTCCATCATCAACCGAAATTATGGTCTCCCAAAAAAGGGTTCATGACAAAAAACAATTTCATTATTGAATTTATTAAAAATTGTGCTTTTTTTCGTTCGTTCGTTGTCAATTATTCTAATAAATAGGCAGCGAACAGAACAAACAAAATATATTATTATATTTATTCATAAATACTTGTATATAACAAGGATATAAGTGGAAGAACAAATGGTCGTTGGCAAAATCAAAATATGAGAAACGTGACAATTTAGTAAAGAGACACAACAGTGTCTTTATTTCGCTTAAAATAAATGCCGAGTGTTTGTGTTAACTTTTGTTTAATCCATGATAAAGAATCATATAATGCGATTATCATGGGAATCAAATTGAAGGAAATCTCTTTAAAGCCTCAAAGAGGCCAATATAACATCGTTATAACAAGCTATTACATGCCGAAATTGCTATCGTAAGGCAAAAAGGCAAACGAAAGAAAAGTCTTTATAGCGTAGGGGACAGACAAGCACCCTCTTATGTTTCGATTTATTTATGATGCATTTGAGGTTAAAGTAGAGATTTTTATTTTGTGTTATCCCCTCTAAATGAATGAAAGAAGCTGAAGCAGGAGGAAAGAAATTAAATGGAATTATTTTAATACATTACGCAATATGTTAAACTATTTTCATTCCTTGTTAGTTTCTCTAGAGGTGCCAAGAGATTATTTTCAGTTAAACAGATGAAACAAGCAAATAAATAGAAATTAATGATGATAGAATATTTTATGAAGTTAGGGAAGAATCAAAAGTCTTCACAATAAATAAGTTTTCCAGCCAAAACATAATAAAGTGACCTTGTTTCTGCTTCTGAATTTCCTATGATGCTCTTTTCCTTTTTTTTATTACATCATGTAAGCAGAAATACTAAATCTAATTTATATTTTCATGTTACAGAAATGAAAAATTATGATTAAAATTCATTGTGTTTCTCTAGTGTTTGCAATGTTTTTGTAAAAGTTGCGGGGGTGTGAATTTCAATTTATTTTCCAACCTTCTTTTTCAAATTGAGATTTGTCTTTCTCCTCGAATGGTTTTAAATCAACTTGTGTAAAATAGAGACAGAGAGAGAGAGAGAGTGAGTGAAACGATCTATAGACGAGGGATAAAGAAGAATTTAATGTCTTCTCCCCTCTTTCATCAGTTCAAGAATCATCAAATTTATTACGTAGGATTTTCAACATTATCGCCATATGACATTGGAATAAAAAAAGAGCTTCTTATTTATTTTGCAATTACAAGGAGATTTACAATAAATTTACAAGTTGGCTTATTTGGCTAACGTGATAGCTTTAATTTTATTGCTTTGATTTGATGATGATTGTTGATTTGTATGAATAAATATAGCAGTTAAAAATGGATAATTCAAAGTAGATAGTTTAGTTTAGAATATTTCATTTCGTTTAAGCATGATGACTATTAATAATATCGTCAGCATACTCGATAAAGTCATCAATTATCAAGTCATCATTTAATCATTTATGAAATGTCACCGAGTTAATATTTCACTTTTTTTCTTTCTGTCTGTTGATAAGCTAACACGTGACATAGCTTTTGTGCTGTTTAATTTGTTTATTTAACTATACCGAATCAACAACAATTCTATTTGTTCTGTAAGAATTGAAGTGTTCGAAATCTATAATTTCCATTAAAGGGCACTCTTGAATGAATGCTGGTTAAAGTAAATAAATATCGAAATTTATGTATGTGAATTGAAGTCACAAGTCTCGTATTTTGAATGAATGAATGAATTTATTGCATGTTGTAAAATCATTCATTGAGAAATTCAATAAAACTTTACAGTTTTCTTTCAGGTCTGGTTTCAAAATAGACGTGCAAAGGTGAGAAAACGTGAACACACGAAAAAGGGACCTGGAAGACCCGGTAAGCTGGTTTTGTTAATTTGCATCGAAGTTTTAATAATTTCAGCTTCATTAACAGCACATAATGCCCACCCTCAAACCTGCTCCGGTGAACCAATACCACCTGAAGAAATAAGAGCTCGTGAGAAGTAAGTTTTCTACTTTCAAGATTCAATTAACTTAACTTAATTTCCTTTTCCGATTTATTCCAAACAGAGCTAGAAGAAGGAAAAAGATTGCAAAAGCTATCGAGAGACAAGCAAGAAAACTTCGAGCAAAGGGCATAACTGTAGATTTAGAGGCACTTAAGGCTGAATATCTATCACAACATCGAGGACAAAACACAAGTAACTCGTCTGAGAGTGACGACAACGAAGAGGAAGACCCAATAGACGTTGTAGGAGTAGCTGACGATTCTGATGATGACACAGAAGATTGTTCAACACATACACGACGAGACAGCACCGATCATATAATGAATTACAATTCCAGTAGTGATGATACACCTAAACACAGTCTTAGACCTAATCCATTTAGCATAGAATCACTTCTTTATCGGAACACATGAAATATAAAGTAACAAATACTTTTTATTCTTTTGCAAGCAATAACTCATGTCAAGAGGTAAGAATGTTGTCTGCAAACAACGAACCAGTGTAAACTTTGTGCAATAATTGTCATTTCGACTCTTGACATTTTGTTTTTCTTTTTTTTCTAATTAATTAAAAAAAAGATGAAAGTAAATTGATAATCTGAAGAAGAAATCATATCTCAATGATTTATTATTTATATTTCTTTGCAATTGCATAGAGTACAAAATTCGTTTGATTATTCTTTGTTTTGTACGAGAAAAATGAAAAGTTTTGTGTAAATATCAAGTACCAAAATAGGAATAAATGAAATCTGATAATTTATTCGATATAACTTTTGTAGCGTGTTTTTTTATGTAATGTTTTCTTTCTGTTTCAGTTTAGCTTCTTACCGGTGCAGATTCACCATAAACAGTTACAATAGATTTGGTGTTAAATGACATTTGTCTAGAAACTTCCACAATTTTCACATATTAGAAGAACAGAAAAAATTGCTAAAGTTTGTAGACATTGCCAAAATAATTGCTTCACATTATTGTGAAGATTCGTTGCCGAACATTTATTTTGTGATGGTTTAATGTTCTTGTTGTATCGTACTAACAACACCTCTTCAAAAATGATCATCATAATTAAATGTAGCTTGTTTTGTGTGATCTGACAGCCGAAATAGGAATAAATAAATCATAATCTCGAAATTAGTTTTTTTTGTTCCTCTGTAACATGCTCACTCATTCGTTTGTACGTATTGTGATTTGGGATGTGTCTGTGCCTTCGAAGAAGATAAAAGAGATCTTTTTCAACAACAAAAACAACATCAACAGCTATATTAACAACTCAATTTTGAGTGTTAAGGTTTAACATAAAATTAATAGTGATCATGCAAGAATGAAAACTTGTTATGACTTATTTAATCTTCTTTATTGTTTGAGAGAAAAACAACCGACAAAAATTGTAATCATCACTCGAGAAGAAATCAATTTAGACACGGTGTTGAACGGAAAACGTTCCATTTCAACTTTCATAAAGAAAAAGACAAGAAAAAAAAGGCAAAGGAAACAAAATTTGGACCTTGAAATAAATAAACAGCAAGAAAAAAAAATGATCCTTGAAGATGTTGAAACAAAATTTCTTTCTTAATTATTTTCTACCGTGTTTTTCCAAGACATATTCAATAAAACAACTTAATCATCTGCGCTATGATTGAATTTCAAATTTTTCAATTTAAAATGAAAACGTCTAGATTTTTAATAAAAACCTAAAATTAAGTTGTTGTTGAGAAGAAGAATAATAAATCATATTTTGTTACCGCCGTTTCTCGGATTCGTTTGATTTCTCTCTTCTTGTCGACATGAATCGTTTCTAAATCGTTTTGTTGTTTGTATCGAGTTTTATCTTATTTTTTGGAAGAAAGGCTTTTGTCACGGTGCCCCGGGATGCTCAGCATCAGTTAATAACTTTATATATTAATATCATCATCATCTCGTAGTGTTTTACGAGAATTTTTGGGATTCTTTGATACTTTATATTGCTTAAGGGGAAAACGAACTTCTAAGGTGAAATCTTCGGCGCATTTCATCTCTGTTAAAAAAGCAATCAAATTCAATTTTGAGGTTTTACGATTGAAAAGAAGTTATTAAAGACGATTTTATTCATGCAAATTATTTTTAACTCCAGAAATCATTAATTCTTGTTAAGATTTGAAAAGGTTTTATAAGAAGCTGACTCGGTTTCATGATCACGAAAACAATAAAAATGAAAAGAATCATTTTTTTCTCGTCTTTCATTTAAATCCATGCTTTATTTGGCAAATGATATGAAACAACGCTTAATATTTTTTGGCTTGTGCTGTTTTTACTTAGTTGGTTCATTGAAACTAATTGTCTTTTATGAATCGTCTTGATATGTTCATTGACACTTATCCAAGCTTTATAAAATAAAATTCTTAAAATATTATGAAGTAAAGGAACAAATAAAAGTCTTTAGCTCGTTATACACACTTTAACAGACTCTAACAGATGCTTGGTGAAAATGAAGACATTAATGATTAAAAAAGTGATAATCTATGAACAGCAGGAAGCTTTCCAGCTTTCTTACAAAGCTACCAAAGAAAAGAAGAGATAAATGATGAAGTTAAGAAACTCTCATCATTTCTACTTCTCGACTTAATCAACCACCTCTGTTTTGTATTATTTTTTCTATTTTGAATCGGCACTTTTTAATAAAAACTTTTTTTATTATTATCTCGAATATCAAAAACGGGTGAGTAAGCTATAAGTTTAATTTATCGGATTCCATAGTCTATTTTACGATTTGTCTTCTCTTAGTTATTGAATTTCTCGGTCACATCAGGTGGAGTTAAATAGCGCTCAAATTTATTTTTATTGCTTTCGATTTTTTTTTTTCATAATTTGATATTAATTTTAATGTTTCCGTTTCGGTTCTATTATGGTTTATCATATTTATCCAAAAAATATTCTAATAAAGATATTTGTGTTGAAGAATTATTCACTTGATGAAAGGAATTGAAATTCCTAATTACTTAACATGAAAGAATATTTGAACATTGCCGCAGACAAATCTTTGCATTGCATTGCATGGCGAAGTTGAGATGTGCATGTATTAATGCACCTAAAGCAGTAAAATTTATTTTTTTTCATTTTTGTTTTATGTTTCGTAAAATATTGCAAGTTTTATTCAATTCCGTGATGTCTTAATATTTTTCTTTCTGACAAGATAATTTCCTTAAATTGCCATAAAACAGCGTGGTTATTTAGAGAATCAGCCAACACTCTGAAGTGAAGAATCTCATTTATGTTTTATGCATTTCGAAAAATATTTATGTTAATTACCGGAGGTTTGCCATGCTTGGAAAGAGTTTAAATACAAAAATTCAATTTACCTCAAAACTTCGAAATTGATTATGACGAGTCTCCTACAAAGAGAGAAAGACAATGTCAACAGAGATAATAATTATTTCTCCCTTTGATAAAAGCCGGCGAAGACATTTCTTTCCTGCAATGTTTGCAACTTAAAAAATGTTAAATAAACTCTTAACCAGTGATGGAAATATTCACACTTTCCATTACTTCAATCAAAGTTTCTCTTTCATTTCTTCACAACAACTAATTGAAACAAATTTTCTACAAGGAAAATCCATTTATTATAAATATTAAAGTGGTAAGAACTGCTGGAAACATAAAGTTAAAACAGACTGGAAGATCTGAAGAATGGAAAGAACAAAAAAATATAAAATAGTTTATTGTAATAAAATCATCTGATCTCCAAATGATTTATGGTGTTTAATAACATGCCGGTAGAAATGAAACAAAATATAATCGCTTGTATTCTTCAGTGAAGATGTGGAGAAACAAAAAACTCGTTGAGATGATCGTAAAGAGCAGCAAGTGTAAATGGAATTGTAGTTTGTGTTGCTTAATTAATACGTTTACTACCAGGTTTTGTTCAGAGAGTATTGTGGAAAATAATGATTGCTTTGAAAATAATTTTTCAAAATTAACACAAGAAATGATAATTTAATGTTTATTCGTTCTTTTATTATTTTTATACCAAGTGAAGTTTGAGAACATAATTAAAAAGAAAACAAAAACTAAAGGAAAGACATTTTAATGCGCGATGTTTTATTTAATTCAACTCAAGTCATTGAAAAATATGTTTTGTGTAAATATCTAAGAATATTTTAAGTTGATATTGAAGAGCAACAGATTTTGACAAACGAAACTTAAAATTTTCTATTTGTGTAAAATTTTTGGCTCATTATGTATTAATTAAGACGAAATTAACAATCGAAACTTTTAAAAATCGTTTAAAACTTTGTCGTTTTCAGGGCTTGCAATCCCACTAAATGTTGAATTTATTTTTTTCTACTCTTCAACAGTTTTTCCCTACAAGCAAAGAACGATCATAATGAAGGTGAAAAAGAAAACCAATTAAAACCAATTATGAAAAAATGTATGTATGTATGTATCTATGTAACTAAATGGATATTCGGAGACATCATTTCTCTCGTTAGTTTACTGTGATACTGTGATGATGAAGAAAAAAAATCAATATTTTGTCTTTCTTCCTATAGTCTCTTCGAGGTTTTCAAATATTTTCCTCTTTCATTTGGGGCTTGAATTAATTACTTTTTAAAGTGTTGTTTTCAAGCAGTCAGTGGTTAATTGCTATGTGGCGAATGAAAATTTATTATTTAAACTTTACAACTTTTCCAAGGCTTCCTCATATTGTTTTACTTTCTATATAACTTGTCAAGATCATTTATTAATGTTCTGCGTGCCTCGAAGAGAATTTTTCAGGAAAAAAGAGTCTGTTTGAATCAACTTTACCAACACAAAGAGTTTTTTGCCCCATCAGATATTTTCTTCCTGACTTTTCTCAGCTTCTTCTGAATGTTTCTTTCCTGCTTCTGAAAAGGAAATGAGATTCGTAGCCAATCAGTGGTTCATATGAAAAATTCATGCGTTGCACACTATGAGCGCCATTTATTTTTCAAGAGAGCGAGAGAATCTCAAACATTGCTCTCTCGCACACACACTATCTTGAGTTCAACATAAATTGGGCTTTCTTCTTGCTACACATATAATTTACTCTTGAATAAATTGATTTTGTTTTTGCTTTTTTCTCTCTCCACGCCTCTTCGTTGGAATGGAAAATTCTCCCTAGTAGCATAAGTTATTTCGTGAGGGCAGACAATAATGCTTTTCCTCGACTCATATTTTTTTTTGATGAATTTTTTTTTTCATAAAGATTTCTTTTGAATGTGTAGCCTGTTACGAAAGTGCTAAAAAGTACCGTTTCTAGGAAAATTCAGTTGTGTTGGTTGATTTGGATGATTGAAATCATTTATGTGATACTTCATCGTGGCGATAAAAAAATTGTATTCAGTATATTTCGGTTATTCATTGCGCACGGATATAAACGAAATATATTTGTCGAGTTCGAATATTTTACGTAGAAGAAATTTCATTACTATGCAAACTATGTTTCTTTCGATTAATCGGTTCACGGTTTCAATACTTTGATGCGGCGCATCACTGATTTATCTTCCGAAAATTGAATATTATGGATGGAAAGAATTGAAATGATTATATATTCGATTATTGTCATGAATTTTATTACGGTTGTATTATACAAACTATCTTTGGATACAGTGACTTTTTTGCATAAGAGGAAAAATTACGCAATCCATAAATAAAACATGAAATATTTATCTACATGTTTTATTAATAAAGTTGTAGAATTGAAGGAAATACAATGGCTTCGATAAACGTCAAAGAATATTACTGCCGATCAGAAACTGACGTGGAAAATTGCTTCAATTTTGTACATATCGTGAAAACTTTGAAAAAACTGTCAACATATAAAAATATTGAAATAAATTAAATTCCAAACTATCAAATTTATATTTATTACATTTCAGTGATGTTTTTGTAAACTTTAATGTGCAATTCCTGATTTTTTTTTGTGCAAATTGAATTGTATTCCTCATCTCTTTAATTATGAGCGCCATCATGAGATCATAAATGAGCAGAAAAAAATTGTAAAAAGTAATTAAACTTTATGAGTGAAGTTTTTCTGCAGGTTGTATTTAAATAAATATGTCAGGACTTCAACCAGAACAATTTTTTTATGCTGCCGCAGCAGTTCACCTTGCACCCCGATCTCGTATAATGCCATGGTCTCCATTTCTACGATTTCCGAATGTTTTTGGACCTTCACTTTTTACAAACTGCCACCGGTTTGAGACTTCATCCAACGTTGATCATTCTATAAGCAGCTCCCAATTATCAAACCTTACTTCAATGGAAGCAGCACCGGGTACACACAGTGAAGATTCAAATGATGATAGAGGTATGCAAAGCCGCCGGCATTTCATTGTTACAACATTAGTCGGTGAATTTTACCTTTACTTGATTCGTGAGAAAGCTCGGTTCAATTGAATTTTTACTAAGCACGCAATCAAATTTCTTACAAATCGATAGTTCTTCATGCACATGTCACTCAAACGACGTGTAAAGTAAAACAACTACATAACATCATAAATATGCATAGTAGACATGCATATGTTAAATATGCGTTGCGTTATTTCATTTTCTGTTTTTTTTTACATATTATGAATGTAGAAGAAACAAGTTTTAATGAAACTATAAAGTGAATTTCAATTAATCCATGTGGTGATTGTTAGATTGTGTGCAACTACACATTGCTTGAATATTTCTAAATCAATTATTTTTTTTTGAAATAAAAATTCTTCAACATTTTATTCTTTGATTATTTAAGTCACACTACCGACAACAAATAACAACAACAGTGCAAGAAAATTTCATTTCTATTATAAAACTTAATGATCCTGAAAGAGAGTATAAATTGAAAGTATTCAACCAAACAATGAAAAGACGGCACAAGAGAATAAAAAACAATAACAACAAAGAGGGGGACATTAAAAAACAATGAAACAAGAATGCCAGTTAAATGTGATGAAGACTCTCATCTTAACCAGTTGTCAGTTTTAAGGGCGAGCTTAGGGTAAAATTTTTACTGAGACTTTTGATTTGTCTAGTTGAAGAGAAAATAAGATTTAATATATTAGCATAATAATGTTTTATTTTAAAAGCGAGGGATGGCAATGAATTTGTGTTGTTTGAGATGAGAGTGAAGAGCAAAAAAGTAGAAGTAAAAACAACCCCCATTATAAAGTTTGGGTTTTGCTTGCAAACAAAGCGTGTCAATGTAAATACGCTACTTTATGCAGAATATAGGAGCAACGATTTAATAACATAATAATTAGAATTGTTTGACTAACTAAAAGAAGGTTGTACAGTTGGTTGAGATTTATGAGCCCCTAGGGTTCATGTCGGAGCAGAGGAAAAATCATTGCTCTCTCCTACAACAATACTCGTGGTTGGATAATTCAATTATTTTTGTTGTGTTAAGGTTTTCCACTTGCTGTACTTTTATTGTTTACAATTTTTTTTCTCTGACGATGACGATGATGACGACGAGAAAAAAACAAATAAATTTTATTTGATTTGACGATGCATATCTGCAGAGGGAAAATCATTTTTTAGTTAAAGTTTAATAAACTTTAAAGCGAATAATTTTTATGATTTCCTTTTTTGTATCACTTTATATTTTGTATTAGGTATGTAAAGAAAATTTTTCTTTTTTAAGTTTCCATTTCTAACTTTGGAAAATTATTTAAAGTTTTTATTTCAATTTCTCTGAGATTGGATTTTGTTTTTCTTTAAATTGCGTTACTCAAACAAGCATTGCTTCATCTGCATTTATCACTGTTTTGTGAGCGACAGCGCAATTGGGAATTAATTAAAAACATGTTTACATTTGCAAATGTCAGACTTCTGGTCTCTCCCGAAAACAAATGTCAAAGTTTAATATTTATGTATGGGGAGTAAATATATAAAAAAATCAAACAACTAGAAAGTGTCACTGTTGCAAATTTTCGTAGAAAACACAAAATAGGAAAACGATTCCCAAACGAGGATATAAATCAATGAAACAGAGCAGAAACTTGTCCGACGTACGTTACGGGAATAGCCATTTTCAAATGTTTTTTGGTTGGTTCTTTCTCTATCGCAGCTTTATTTTTCATTCTAATATATTTTTGAAATTGTTTTAAAATGATGTATGTGCTGTGAGTACTTTTATGGGAAAGCGAAGCGTACAAAAGACCAGCGTACATAAAATAAAACATAAAATCGGGGGTAACAATGAGTTATGCTGCATAAATATTTTGATTCCCCAGTAGGGCATAAAACATTGTTTAGAAAATTGCTCCAAAACAATAACAACAACTCGCAACATATAAAAAACTCATAAAATTAAGTATAATGCTTTATTTCATGTGAGCACACGAGTGTGTCAAAGCCATATTTCAATTGGCTGCTACAATCATAACTAGCCTTTTGTGTGTTTTTAATACTAAAGCATAACAAAAAAAAAAGACCTGCGCATACAAAAGACCAAACAAAACTTATCATTTATGTCATAATAAATAACCAAATTACAATTGATTTACAATTAAACTTTCATTTATTAGCGATTTGAATCAGAAACATTTTCAAGTTCATTGAATGAATTGAACAATTCATGTTTTTCCACCCCCTCAATTTGTTTTCATATTTATTATTTGTTTGAATAATTTAGGGTATCAATTTGTATTCCTCAATTCCGATGCAGTTTTTAAACTTTAATAAAACAAGTTAAATTCATCTTGTTTGTAAACAAATTAAAAGTGTCAACAACAACTCCATTTAACATCAAGTGTAACGAGTCAATCTGTTAGTTACTCCCATTTCCTGTTTCCCGGCACATCAAATAATTGTTTAATGTCTTCAGATCAAACTTAAACAAGTTGTACTGACATTAACACATTTTTTTCAGTTTAAATGACTGAAACAAGTCTTGGAATAAGTTTCATAATTTCAATTCAAATTCCTAAAATTGTTTGTAATATTTTGTTTCTTGTTCAACTTATTCATTGTGGTTTGGATTATTGAAATCTTATAATATTGTGAATTCAAATATTTTTCTGCTGTAAGTATTCGTATTGTTATCACCACAGACATCTTTCTGCTTTGACATTGTAAACGATTTTAGATGATTCACTAATTAAAATTAATAATCCATATGAATATTTTTTCTATCGTGCAGAAATATTTTTACATAATTCTTCTAAATATGTTTGACTTTTGAATACATAAATATGTATGAAAACGAAGATTAAATGATTTCAAAGTTCACGACCCGAGCTTATCAATAATCGACTGTCTTGAAATGAAATAACATCTCAACCTAAAGGATTTTGTAACAAAAAACGATCATTCTCCGTTTTTAATGTCGGTTTTTTTTGTCTAAATATTCTATTTCAAGAAAATATTTATTCAGCAAAAAAAAAGCCATAAAGGCAGAATATTTATTAAAAAATATTGAATTTAATTGAAATAAAAGAATAACAAGTCGTTTAAATCAAGAATTATGTCAGACAGATTAGAATGTTTAACTGATTAAAATAATTTGCAGGCTCAAATCTAGATGATGATGACGAAAGCAACTCATCGAAAAGACGAAGATCAAGAACAAATTTCAATTCATGGCAGTTGGAAGAATTGGAGGCAACCTTTAGTGCTTGCCATTATCCAGATGTTTTAGTTCGTGAATCTCTTGCAATGCGCCTGGATTTGAAGGAGAGTCGAATAGCGGTAGGCTTTTCTTAGTATTTCTTTGTAATAAAATGAATGCCTTCTTGAAGTCTGCTATTAGGTATGGTTTCAAAATAGACGAGCTAAGCTTAGGAAGAAAGAAAACACAAAAAAGGGACCTGGAAGACCAGCACACAATTCTCATCCAAAGTCATGTTCAGGTGAACCAATTCCGGTGAATGAACTAAAGCAAAAGGAGAGGTGAGTTAAAGTTCTTTAAGTACATTAACTACAAGATAAACTGTTTTATATTCATAAATGTTTAGAGCGAGGAAAAAGAAAAAACTCATGAAAGCGATAGAGAGGCAAGCAAAGAAATTGAAAGCGAAGGGAATTTCTATTGATTTTGATACATTGAAAGCTGATTACATAGCTCAACATCGTGGACAAAATTACAACACTTCGGAAAGTGAAGACGATGAAGAAGATCCAATTGATGTTGTTGGAGATATTGATGATAAGCTTACAAGCAGCAATCAAACTCTAAATAAAAATACTCGTGACGATGAAAACAACGAAAACAACGTAATTAAAACACCGCAAATTCAACCTTTCAGTATAGATTATTTATTGCTTAAGGATTCGTGACTCGTTTCAATAGTTTGCAAAACGAATCCTCTAGATTTTAAGCTTAAATGCCTGTACATATTTAGTAAAAACTGTCTCATTGAAATTATTTTACATTTTCATTGTAAATATTTTACTTTTCATGCTTCCATTAATAATAAAAAGTTCTTAGAATTTCGTCACAAATACTTCAAGATTAAATTTCACCTCCAAAAAAAAGTTTTCTTTTCCAATTTGTTTGGGGGCTAACTAATTAAATGAATTTTTTATTAAATCCATGGATTTATATTTACAATTTTAATTTATGATTCAGTCTTCTGAAAGAAATAAAATGTTCACATGTTCCTCATTGTTTTCCTTTGTAAATCTTCAAATGTCTTCTTTGTCATCGTCTTGAGACTAACCACAATATAATTATTTGATTTTCTCGGAATCAATAGAAAAATATTTGGCTATTGATTAATAAGAAAGTTAATCATGATTAAACACAAATTGCTGATTAATTTTCATAACCAACTATAGAAGTGTGTTGAAATTTCAATAATGGCCCATCAATTTTTCATAATTAACAAACACACACACTGATTCCTCTCTTGAGATGAGAATTGAGTAGAACAAAATTTTGAGTGCTCTGATATCATAATTTAATTAAGCTGGAAAATATACTATTTAAACATAAAGTTTCAATTAGTTTGAAGATAAGTCAACGGTGGAGATATTTACAAAAAAGTTCTTCGCTCTATCTACATAATTACGTGAATTTTCACAAATCAAAAATGGGCACGAATGACGCTTCTGCTTCAAATGAGATAAAAGCCATGTTGAAGAAATTCGAAGGAAATTTTCAAGAAATATCTCAAAACTTCAAATTGCAATCGATCGAGATGAAAGCACTGGAAGATAAAATTTCGACTAAGCTGTCAAAAGTGAGCAAAAATTTTGATATTTTCAACATGAAAGTCAAAGAGTTGGATACAAAGGTCGATACCAAAATACAACAACTGATCGACAACGACAACAGAAAACGCAATCTTATTGTGACGGGAATACCACCGCAAGAAAATGAATCATTAAATGATTTAATTAAAGCTTTATCGTCCAAATTGGGATACGAAAGTTCACCAGAATGCCGCGTCTATCGGTACAAAGGTCGAGAGAATAATAATGAAAGGCCTATTGTTATCCAATTCTCTACAGAGTTTCATAAACAAGATTTTTTCACTCGCTACAAAAAAATTGCAAAGACGTTAAATCTTGGAATGTTTGCTGGATTTAAGGGAAAAAACTCAAGAATCTACTTACAACATGATTTCATCAAAACGCAGTATCATATCAACAAATTTGCCATCAAAATGTTGAGAGAGAAAAAAATTATTAGTACTCGCATCATCCAGGGTTTTGTCTACGTGAAGGTTTCTTCTAATGACGATTTTAAGCCATTTGAGACTGTCAAGGATTTAGAAAATGCTATCGCCATCATTGTAAACTAACATCACCACTCATCACGAATAAAAATTATGAAGTCAACGATGAACTACAAAACAAAAAGATCACATCATGTTTCACCTGTTTTATTTTATTGCATTCATAATGATAACAACACTAAAAACTTCACACTAATAACATTTCGCCACCAGCTGGTGAGTAATGATTCTTGTTCTCCCTTCTCTCCTCCACCTACATACGAGCATCTTCTCTGTATTGTCATGCATTTATTGTTCGACGGTCTTCACCTGAGAGCCGTGGTCGCATTACGCTCTAATAATATTTTACTATGCCAAACACACTAACATCTAAAAAATATCCCAAGAACAGGGAATTGAATATTGAAAATATTGTGCTGAAATCAGTCTTCAATAATTCTCATTTAAATTTCAACTTCGCGCACCTGAATCCCGGTAGTCTTAAACCTCATTTACATGAAATTACTGAAATATTCAGCGATGTTAACTGTCACGTGATAGCAATTAGCGAAACATGGTTTAAGAAATGTCACAATAATAATCTTTTATCAATGCCTGGTTATTCTCTTGCTCGGCATGATAGAAACGGAAAACGTGGCGGTGGTGTTGCTTTTTATATTAAAAAGGATCTAAAGTTTAAAATAATTTTAAAATCACACGCAAACTGTAAAACAGAATATCTTTTCATTGAATTTATTAATGCTTCTGGATGTAAATTTGCGGCAGGAGTCGTTTACAACCCTCCCACTAACACAAACATCGACACCATGAAACGAGAAATTGAAAAGTTATCATGTCTGTATGATGACATAATAATTGTAGGTGATTTCAATATAAATATTATGAATAATGATTCATCTTCAAAAAAATTTAAAGATTTTATACAATCAGTTAATCTAATGTGCGTTAATAAAGAACCAACTAATTTTGTCCCAGGAAGAAGAAGTTCTATGATTGATCTTGTATTAATTAAAAATAATAATATCATGAATCATTTTTCGCAGTTAGATGTTGGAAGTTTCACGAGTCATGATTTAATATTTGGCTCGTATCGTATAAATTTGGATAGTTTTGCAATGCCACGAGTTAAGCTTGTGAGAAATTTAAATAACATAAATAATGAAAGCCTCATTCAAGCAGCTTCTCAATGTAACTTCGATATAATCTATGATTTACCTGATGTCAATGATCAAGTAGAATATATAACTAAATCGTTAAATTATCTATTGAATGTATTCGCACCTGCTTTTGAAATAATTGAGGATAACGATGGACTACCGAAGTGGTTTAATGATGAATTAAAGTCGCTTATTGATAACAGAAACTTTTATTATAAATGTTATAGAAACGAGCGCAATACAATTGAACGTTCGATGTATTATAAGTTATTTAAGAAGTTTAGGAACAAAGTAACCACAAAGAAACGTTCATTACAACTTAAAGTCGCAAGTGGAAAACTTTCACNCTATTGATTAATAAGAAAGTTAATCATGATTAAACACAAATTGCTGATTAATTTTCATAACCAACTATAGAAGTGTGTTGAAATTTCAATAATGGCCCATCAATTTTTCATAATTAACAAACACACACAAAATTAAATGAAATGAAATAAAAATTGGTAGTATCTATCTTGACATTAATTATATTATCAACAAATTATAGTGAACGCTATCCCAATCAATAAAATGAACATTTGATGATAATCTTTTGACTCTTTCATCAATAACGAACAGAACAACATAGAAGAACAACGACAAATTATTTGTCTACCGAGATTACAAGAAACGCATGATAATAGAAACTTTTCTTCTGAAAAGTCAAGAGTTGAAATTATTTTCTCTTTGATATTTATTTATTTAATAAATTGTTATTTTATGAGTTCTCTAAAGTCAACTTTTATTGAGCGATCGAAGCAACATATTCCCAGTGAGAGACAAAAATCTTCAAAAAAAAGTTTCTTGAAACAAAGTTGAAAGTTACTTAAAGTTTAAGTGGCAGTTCCGTCAGGAATACGGTTTAACTTCAACATGTTTAACATAATTTAAATTTTTCTATATAAACGTTAAACTATCTAAGGCAGTTTATTGTAGCATAACTTCTTCCTTTTAAATATATGTACATCTTAGAATGAGGTAATTAAGAAATATCAGCTCTTACACTTTTCTAACTACTTAGTACTGAAAGCGACCTTCGATGAACCCTTTTTTAATTTGATTGCCCATTTCATTCTACTCGCTCTTTTCCTCTGAGATAATGAAAACGATTTTTAGACATTTTTCTTTTCTTTCACCTATTTTTCAAGGTGTTTGCTCCCCAAGCACAAATTAATGATGATGTCGACTTGCGTTGGAAACGCCAAAAGTTACATAAAAAATAATTTGAAAGTTGTGTAGAGCCATAACAAATTTGGAAGTGATTAATTTCTGGTAAAATAAGCTTGACTAATGCTTTTTGAAGAAAACTTCTGGGCATTCATCATCATTAGATTTGATCAGTTAATGGCGATCAACTGAAAATAAAAAAAATCTTAATGTTGAATCTCGACACGAAAAATAATTACCACATTTAGCGTTTGTCTATTAATTAGATTGTTTCTTTCTTTTTTTCTTTCTTCTAAAATGCAATTACCTTTATTAACACAAGAGAAAAAGAGAAGAAATTGTTTAAATAATTTTTCTTTTTGAAATATTTACAAGCCCTTGATAAACATCGTTTACCGGCATCAAAACGAGCTTCCAATTATCTCTCGAGATGTCTTATTTAATGTAATAGATTTAAAGATTACTTTATCCAACATACATCATCGAGTTTTATGGTTAAAGAAGCGTAATCCATTTGAGATGATAATTCTCTTCAATACGTGCTGTACCAGCAAGTAATACATTTTTGACATGGTGAGTTTACCGCGGGGCGCGGAAATAACGTAGAGTAAATTACTTTATTTTCTTTCAAGTCCTGAACGGTCTTTTCTCTTTTGAAAACACCAAAAATTAATAAAGTCATTAACAGCTAGCGTGCATAAGTTTTAAAGTCAGCATTTATTTTTTTACACATTTGAGACTTCTTTGTTGCTTCATTTCCCTGCATTATATTCTTAATGTCTTCGTCCAGGGATTTTACTGCAGACGCAAATTGCATGTCGCTAAATTGAGACCTGTTTTGTCGTGTAACGTACGAAGCAGTTTAACACAACGAATGATGGAAAGAATCAATTTCAGAGAATCAATAAAATGTTCCAATCTGATTGAAAAATTATAATAACACCTCTCAAATCCTCGCGCTTCCATAATAATAAAAAGGCGAGAAAATATGGTTTTTTTTTTTGGAAGATAGCTTGGTTCAAGCTAGAGGGCAGAAAAATCTGATAGTGAGGTAATAAAAACATCTTTGAAAATATGAAAATGAAATTAAACGAGGCAAAACTATGGATTTCTTTTTCATTGCATTTTACTGTCCTAATCACTTAATCCTCATCTTTGCAGAAGAAGAAACAAAGTATTTAACTCAATCGTTTATTATTATATTACTGTAGTGTTGAGAATTCTTTGGAGCAGCTTGAGAACAAGACTGCAAAATTAAAAATGCTTTAGTTAAAACCACATTCGCATTTAAATCGTTATATAATTGATGCTTGAAGTGCGAAAATAATAAGCATTTGAAGAAATATCGTTACATTTTTTATGATGCCCATAATTAAAGTTTCGAGCCGATGACCAGCTCATAAGAATAATGATTTGAACGGAGTTCTTATACATCTCGTGGGTAATGTTCAAGCTTCATGATTAATTGCGTGATATCAATAAAACTTGTTCTGCCAATCAAAACGCTGCGTAATCGAAATTTAATTGGACACATTCCCGCTAATTTAGATGTATAGGCATTGAAAGTAATATTGATATTAATGTAATAAAAAAAACTAATTAATTTTTTGCAGTATAATTAATTTGGAATCGCACATATTTATTGATTTTTTATACGAAATAATTTTCATCGTGGGATGTGAAGACTATTTATTTCAACATTAATTTTTTTAATGTGATTTTTATTGCAACATTCTTCTCACATTGATTTTTAACTGAGTGCATTTTTGAATAAATTACATTTTATTATCTTTCTATACTTATAAATTCATTATTTATTAATAATAAGGCGCACTTATGTTTTTTAACATATCCACATCATTTAAATGAAGAGAGCTTTGTTGTTGTTGTTTCGTGTTCTTAGTAATCATGCAAAATTTGGAGACGCGTAATTATGCATTAACGAGTGGTTGGTAAATTATACATTTATGGAATCATTACGATGGTTTCCGCTATTAATGTAATACATTAAATTCTTTTATAATTTTTTAAATAATTTTAAAACAGGGTAAGGAATTTGATTGAGAAATCTTCAAATTTTTTGGATCTTTAGAAATGATGAAGTGGCAGAAGCTTTGTAAAGTCAGAATTTAAATGTAAAATTCTTCACGGTTAAATTCAATTTCCAAGACCTGTCATCAGATGTTTTTTTTTTGATAATTATGTAGAATGAAGTGCGAAGATGCAAAAAAAGAGAAAGTTGGAAGCTTTCGATGTTCTTATTGTGTCATTCAAGAATTCCTTCAGACATCGAGTGATCCAGATAGTTTACTTAGTTAGATAAAAATATTAATTCAATGTCTTACTTCACACTTGAAATGAATCTTCTTTCTTATTCTTAGCATTCACTTTCTTACCAAATTTATTAAGATCTACATTCGTATGAGTAAGTTTAAAGGAAAACCATTTAAAATACGAAACAATGCAATGAAAGTAAAACACTTTGTTATAAACATGATTAATAAGACTCACAAAGAAATCTGTTTATTTATGTACATACATAAAGCTCATATTTCTTGAAATTATTAAGGTTCATCGATTTATAATAATTTAAATAGAACATATTAAGCATTCCCTGTTGACTCTTCAGACTGTTTATAGAGACCATAATAACAACAATATAATCATTATAAATTTGTTTTCAAACTTCGTATCTATACTTACATATTTAGATACTTATATTGTTGAAAAATATTCGTTTTATTAAAGACTTTAAGAAATAAATATGAAACAGACGTTTCTTTCTTTTTTTTGTATCGTTCCAATTATTGACAAAGGTTAAAGCCATGATCAGCAAACCTTTGAAGTTCAACAATTTTAAACAATAAATTAAAATGTAATTTCTTATTCAAGCGTAAATGACTTACAAATATGCACTGTTAAAGTGAAAACACTGAAAACGCCTTCTTTCGTCTTTAACAAGCCAAAGCCGCCTAATAAAAATTAATTTTCCACGATTTTTTCTGCACATGAATTTACCATGTTATTTGATAAGAAATTTATAGCCGCAAATGAGAATTAAAATGTTCTTTCCCAGACACCTTTACGTTACAATAAAGATCTCAATCGCATTGATTATATAGTGTACATTTGTATTTTCATAAATACTTAGCAACATAAGCGCTGGTTTGATATATTTATACAAAATCGTTCACAAAGCTTAGTTTAATTGAAGTCGTCAATGCAATGGACGACGATTTGTGTCAAAAACTTTTGAATTCTTGAACGACGAGTACGACGAGATATTCCAATGTATATTCATGGATTTTATTGTAGGTCGCAAATAACATTTATTTACACTTTGGAATGTTCCCATTTCCCTGGCCATTTTCTACGAACCGAGATTACATCCGCGGCATGTTGGTGTCAGTATGTTTTCACTCCAATCAATTGGTAGGAGGTCCATTACACTGAGAAGTTGATGTGAATAATGATTTGTGGCTCCATACGATCAACATAAATAGTATTAAAAACCCTCTTCCCATAACATCCAATAGAATGATTTGAATGAACTCAATTAAATAAAGTTTAGTTTGAAGATTATTAAAATACCGAAAAGAAGAAATAAATTCGGCAATTTCAAAAACAATTTATAACAAAAATAAGCAGAGCAAAATTGAGATGAAGATTTACATCAAAACATGTTTTGATTCAATGATTGAGCTGCTTATTCACAATGATATTACTCGAATTCAATTTCAACAATGTTTCAATAATTTTTTTCTTCAAAACTCTTATCTTGCACCAGAAATCTAAATTCAATTCTCTTTTAATAAGGAATTTGATTTTGAAATCAAAGACTGAGTCGAATAGCTATTTATGTACTTATAAATAAATAAATTTATATATAGAATCAAAGAGCGCAGCTCTCTTGTCGAATAAAGAAAAAAAAGTAACAAAATGATACAACAAGTTCAAATTAATTCCAAATATCAATTGAAATGAAAAAATTCAAATTCATTTTTCATCCGCGATGATTTCGAGCTTTGGAGGGGGTCTCATTGAGATTGAATTGGAATTCATCGGCCCAAAAATGAAAAATGGAGTCGCTTTTCGATTTGTTTATGGTGAAAGGTTTTCGTTTCTTTTCCTCGAGTTACGCCTTGTTAATGTAGAAAATCATAAATTAAATTTTATTGGCATCGAATTAGCTTCACCTTTTGTGATTCACAAGCCCCATTTCCCTACTATGTATGGAACATACTCGAAAATCATCTCATTCAATTGAATGTAAATAGCGTAGCGTACAAAATAGTTAAACTGTTGTTCAATGATTAATTTTCGCAGAACAAAAGAGACGAAATAATTACAAATTGGAATTATCGACGAGCGTACTGAATGTGTAAACAATATGTGGGCTTTTTAATAATGTGTAACAAGCTTATTATTACATTATTACATTAAATTATTCCAATAGAATGCCTCATTTATCGATTAAATATTATATCTTTTATGACTTACTCAAAAGCACGTATTTTTCATTATTTTCTTTTTTATTTTCAGTTAGATACATAAAGGAGAAAATATTGAACGCTTTATTGGAGCATTCTGACAATAAATATTTTGATTTGAAATCATAAAAAAATAGAAATTAAAACAAATAAATAATTTAAAATAGTTTCTTAACCTTACTCGATCTTTGGAATTTTAATTTCTAAGAGAGTAGTTTTACACTACACCTAATCTCAACTTATATTTCTTTATTCTATTGATTTCGATGATGATGCAGTAAATGTGTCGAAATTACGAAAGAAAGAGAAAAACATAAGCTGAAGAAAAGGAGAATGAGATATAATCACCCAAGGTGCTGAGTATTCAGAGGTGTTAAAGTCATGCTGCGTTAAAATTCATAATTTTTTTCTCGCTGTTGGTGTTACGAGATAATAAAGTGATCTCTTTTAGCTTGATTGAAACCGCTTTCATTTGAAAAATCAAATTATTTATTATTAGATCAGAAGTTTGAAAAAGAGTCTGCGATTAAAATTTTCTGTTTTTCTTCTCACTGAAGAACAAAAAAGATTTTTCGCTAATTTTCTGTATTACGTTTGTTAAGGTACATTGGTTTAGGTGGCAATAAACTAATAAACAACAATATGATGTACGTGATGACTCAATTTCCACTTAAAATGTTATATTGAAGTTTTATTTTTGTATCATTTTAGTAATAATAATTTATTTAATAGATATATGAAAGTGGTCTGAAAATAAGTGAAGAGAAATGGAACATTTGAGGAAGGCACCCCAGAGAATTTTTTTTTTAAAATGTTACAATTTGTAACGTCTAAAAAATTTTCGTTTTGGGAGCACCTCAAATGTTTGATAGTTATTTAAAGCACTTCAAATGTTTCTTATGTCCATTTTTGTATCGATAGAATTTTACTTTAAAATAAAATAATTAAGCTACCTAGGTAGTTTTCATTCTTTAGTAACGTTGAAAAGAAATATTTAATGTTCTTTTATTAGATTTTATTTTTCTCATATTCATCAGAATTTATTTACGAATGCATCTATAATGCAAAAATAAGAATTTAGCAGAGAAATAAAATTAAAAACAATAAATAAAATTTCATTTGCATAAAAAACTCTTTATCCACATAAAGGAAATAAACATAAAAGCACTTTTGAAATGAGATAAATATTTTCTTGCATTTAAGTTGAACACCTTAGAACACATTCCATTTCCTTTCTATATAGGTATTTGCATGAAAATCTAAAGATAAATATTTGCTACGGAAGTTAATAGAAATGAACGATGAACTTTCATCATTGAAAGGCAAATTTTTCATGAATGAAATGAATGAGGTGTAGTGGTAAATAGAGTTTAAAATCAATGTTTTACGACACTTGTTTTCTTAAATTCTCATAAACTTGAAACGAAAGGTGTAGCGCCAAAACGAAGCAAGACAAATTCCAGGTAATAAAAAGAAATTATCAACTGTTACCTCACCGTCCAACAACAAAAACAACCACTGCAGCATTTTTTCGAATTTTCCCATCCTCTTCAACTTCATTGATAAACTTAGTTCATTTCCTTTTCCTCTGTTCATTCATCCTTTGTTTTAAGAGGATTCAAAGAAAATAGTAAACAAACTCGGTGTCTGCAAGTCCATTAATGAAGCATCATTGATAAGATGAGATTCATTCGTGTTGGAAATTTGAAAGGTGAAAGACGTTGTATTTAACCGAGAAAAATTTGGAAGATTTTTAAATTTCAACTGCAAAGATAGAAAAAAATATAAGAAATGGAATTCTCAATAATTTTAATAAAAGTATTAATGATTTTAATTCTTTTGTGTGCGGAAAGTAGTGGAAGATTTGTTCATAAAATTGAAGATCACAATTTACCCATGCCAAAGGAAGTTTCTCAGTGTCGGAAAGGCTGTTTAATGAAAGTATGTAGTTGCATCATATCACGATAAAAATAATTAATTAAAAATATAAAATAATTAATTTCCTTCTTAATTACTTTGCAGTTTCTAAACCATCCTTTCAATAAATCAAATCATGATGAATGCTCGCTTACACCTAATTGTTTTATGTGTTGGGATTACTGTTTAATGCTTCACAAAGACAGGAACAAGAAGGTTATAACTACTTTGATGTGTACTGATGGAATTTGTGTGAGTAGACACATACATAATGATTAATAAATCAATTAATTAACAATCTTCTTTCTTTCTGTTCTTCTTTCCAGTTTGCCGGATGTAAATTTGCATGTAACTACTATCGATACCTGTTAGCAATACAAGTTCTAGGAAACGGAAGGGAATTCTTTCATTAAGTAACTGCAACTCTATATTTTTTAATTATTTACGGAAAAAAATTGTTACTAAACTAACTAGACCCGAACTTTCCCAGTTTACTTTAATTTTGTACATAAAGTAGATGAAATTACTTAATAATTTCTGATCAGACAGTAAAAATAAAAAAGCATAGTTTTAGAAAATAATGAATTTTCGTTTCGATTTCCTTGCGAAATTAATTGATTGCATATTTGATTTGCAGCATTCTCTAAATTATGTGAAGTTTCAAACCGACCTTGTAGAAAACTAGTTTTTATGAATTTGAAGTTGAAAGTTCGAGATTACGTTAAGATGGACATTCAATGAGAATCTTTAAAAGTTATAAGATTCCTTTAGGAAAGATTTCTTATGATTTCTAATCGACGACGATGATCTTAAATCTCAATCGAAATTAATGGAAAATAATTATTAAGATCTTAACTTGCCTAATAATATTTCATTTAAATACAAAGAAATTTGCAAAACCTTTTCAAATGTACAGAATTTCAGATAACTGCTATAAAACAACTTTCAAACCAATAACTCTTACCTTGACCTTGTATTTTGCATAAATAAAGTTAACGTAAAGGGTTCTCGAGAAACTTTACTGAACAATGAGCATATCAAATATCAATTAAACCTTTAAATTTTAACTTTTTTGAATAAATCTGCACACCCTCATTCAAACTCATTCATTATGGTAATAGACTGAAGTTGAACTGTTACCTACATTTGAAGAAAACAGGTGAACATGTTGCAACGGTTCTTAAATATGCTTTGATAACTTTGAAATATCTTAATCCGATTTTTGATGAAATTATTTAAGACATGTAAAGAGAAATTTGAATTCCATGCCATGAAAAGAACAAAGCAAAAATGTTAGAAAGAATTAAATATTAGTTTTTGTTGAACCGTCAGTTCCGACTTCGTGTACGTTCAATTTGGCAAAAGAATTTATACGGAAGGATTTTCGATAATTGCTAGCAGCTGGTATGGTCAGTGAAGCCTTTCACAATTTATTCAAAGCGCAATCCAATGCGTTAGTGTTGAGTTACAAAAATACGTTAAAGATAGAAGCAGAAGAAAGTCTGAAAGGATTTTAAATATTATTAAATTACACACGAACAAGAGACATGTGCTTAATCTTTGTCAACTCTCGGTTATAACGTTTAAACGTGGTAAGTGGAAATTAGTATAAAAAAATTAAAAACTCGACTCTGAGGTCAAGTCAAACGATACAATACTAGTCGGTACCATATGTGTTTTTTATTTTACTGACTTCGCTCCGTTGAATTTCCCTCAACCATGCGTGACAAGCGCACACATTCTTACCGGTATCATCTTTATCATCGTGAATCGTTACGCTCTTTTTGTTCTGTTTCTCTAACGAATATCGAATGGAGTTATAAGAAACGTGTTTGAAATAAAAACAACCAAATGTAAACGTATCAAACGAACCAACACATTTGAATGAAATTGCGCGAAATATCAACTGCCTGTTAGAGGAGTTTGATTGTGTGTTCTCTTTCACCGACTTCGGACGATTTCGTGAAAAAAAAGAAGCTTTCAGCATGCTGACTTTCAGTGGAAAGAATTATTTTCATTTCTAGTTTGAAAACGGTTGCCGACCTACAAGTGCCGATATACGATCGCGCGTTAAGTATTTTCACTTTGTGTGGTGCGCTCTGTTATGAGGTTTGTTGTGAATTATTGAATTTGGAATTTAAGCAGAGAAAATAAAAGATTCAAAAAACGAAAATTAAATTTAGACTCTTTTGCAGTGAATAAGAGAATTTTTGAAGTTTTTTGTGTTTTATTTTCAGACAGAAAGTAAAGTTAAACAAAGAAAAAATTTTAAAATGAAAATTGATTCTATGTTGATCAATTTCGGTTGTTTTTTAAAAACATAATTGGACAATAATTGATTGTTGCTTTCAATTTTCTTAGATTGATGGTGAACTACTCGCTTCGAAGAATGAGTTTAATTTAGTGGATTTGCTTTGTGTGCTGGGAAAGAAATTGACAACAATAATTAGATTAAAGCAAATTAAAGATCATTTTGAAATAAAATAAAATGAGTGACAAACTTAGAAAACTTCTCCTATTTGGACTATTTCTTTTATTTTTAAACGGTAAGTGAATGAAAGTGTATAAAGATATTAATAAATGCGGCGAAGATGTGTAAAAATATTTGCAGGAATTCACTGAAAATAGTTAAATATGCTTGCAAAAAATTTTCCACTTGGAAAATGATAGTTTTTGCTTTCCCAACAAATAAATTTGATTTAAATTTTCGGTAGTCTGGTTATTTTTAGAGAAGAGAATTTATGTACATTTCTTTCATTATTATTCAATTTAGATATTCATGCTTCTCGAGTTGAGCATCAGTTTCCGTGTGTTTGTGTTGTCTACACACTGTTTGAGAGTTATCAAAATGATTAGAGGCCCAGAAATAACAAATGACTGATTTTTCCTTAAATATTATAAAAACTTTGATATTCAATGTAACCATTTAAAAGGAATCTCATTCGAAACCTTCACTTCATTTTCTTCACCTCAGAATTGCTTTGTTATCGTTCGATTAGAGCCTCTAATGCATTGTGAATCGTTCTATTACTTAATTTCCATGCCTGAATAGACAGTTGGGAGTGTTTAAAGTGCGTTTTTGTCGAGTTCTCTAATGGGAAACAATTATCATCAAGCACACTATGATTTTGAAGGAAAGTCCGCTTATTGCAAAACCTTTCATTTTTATTCAAAGTCATAAAGCATGAAAGCAATTTTCACTTTTAATGATATCAGCATAAATATTTGAGATACGTACATATATTTTAATTGCACTTATTAATGAACAATAAAGTTAATATGTATTGGCTTTGTAGTCTTTGAATCATTTCGCCTTAGAAATGAAATTCTGACATCATTCGCTAGAAAATATAGCACAAATTTTCTTTTTCATTTTCATTTTCATGGGCAATAAAACTAAGATGAAAAATCCGAAAAAAAGAAAAATCAACTGGTGATTCTTGTGTGGTTGTATTGATGAAATTTTCTCGTTTCGCAAAGATCACAAAATTTTGTTCACAATTAATGTTTGCATTATAAACGTTTCAGAGAAAATTCGTCCCTTGGATAAACTGAATATTGATGTATCCTGATTGATTTATGGGCGTTTGCTAATGTAAACATTTACAGAAACTTAATGAGATTACTTTTTCCTTTTGTGTCTTAATAAACGCGTTGCTCCATAGTGTTGTAAATTTGTTATCATTTCAAACAGTTAAGTAAAGTTTTTTACACAATGTAAATATTCCTTAAGAATTTCCTGAAGTTGAAATTCTAGACTTTCACAACAAGTAAAGATTGTTTATAGTGATTGAATATTGAATTATGTAAATTGAGATACGATAAGACTTTCATAAATTTTATTTAACGAATTTTTCCTTGAGAAGTTTCGATATAAAACGCATGTTTTAAGCACTTAAGAATGAATCTGAATTGCGTGGTTTTTAAATAAAAAACTACTCTAGACTCGATAATAAAAAAGAAATTTATAAAAGATTATTTATCTAACTCTAATTTTATAAGCGTAATCTACAACACTAATCTATTTATATTTAAATTAAATAGATAATAAATAAAAAAGTTAAACGTTTCTCGTTAAAGATCTTTGAGAAAATTATAATATTTTTCTATACATTTTTACGTGTATTTATGAAACCCATAAAAATAGAATTCAACTGCTTAGACATTGTAAATCATCTCATTTACAAGTGGTTAAATAATTTGATCTGTTTAAAAAGAATCAACCAAAATTTCTTTCTTCACTGAGAAGCATTAATGAAGTTTTTGTGTAAAGAATCAGTTTGAAGCTGCAAACGTTTAGATCTTATGACTCTTTTGTTTGATTTATTGTAAGAAATTGAATTTAATATGTTTCTCTTCTTATTTCCTTTTTCTTCCGACGTAACATTCTCACATGTACAATGAACACATCATATCCGATGACGCTTCATTATAGTATGCAAAGCCGTTAAAATAAACAGCATTACAGTGCCTCAACGCTATGAAATAAAAGATGACACAGAACCATTGATTTTTAATTGTGATTTTACGGTTAGCGATGCTGATACAGGATTTGTACTTAAATGGTTACATAACAATATAGCGATATACCAATGGATTCCATCGAAACATCCTTTTGGATTGGTAATTATGATAATTAATTAAACTTCTGACTTAATCACACTCGTTATTTGTTTCATTAAAAGGGTCATTTTAAAGGGCGAGTAGATTTGAACTACACATTGCCGACAAATGATCGGTTAAAAAAACACAGTGCCTTAGTCATAACAAAGCCTTTATTAACTGATAGCGGGAACTACACGTGTAGTGTACAAACGTTTCAAGGTATTAAAGAATCATTAATTTGTTTTTGCGTTTATATTTTAATGGCTTTGATTGACTTTTTTAGGAGCTGATAGGAAAACAGATGAAATTCAAATTATTGGTATGGAAATTATTTTAACCATTTATCTTTTTATTGTTTAAAGCAATTTTGTAATAATTTTTAGATCCGGAAGATTCGATAGATTTATCATATCAATTTGAGGCTGATGGAATGGTTAAATTAAAATGTTCTGTTTATAACATTTATCCAGTACCAGAAGTTGATTTTCTGTGAGCTGTCATTGAAATCTTTATTATAATTTCACTATTTAATTAAATAAAATAGATATTTATAAACTAACGATGTGACATTCGATTTCAGATTAGACAATAAAGAGCTAAATTCGGCCAATGACAAAGACGTTCAACAAGATACTGAACTTTTCAATATCACTGTTACAACGGTTCTAAATAAAACTGAAATTGTTGATGATTCACCAATGACATGTGTCGTGAAAATACCAAATACTGACTACATAAAACAAGAACACAAAATTTATGATGGTAAGATATCAAATTTTAGAAATATTTTTATGTTTGTCATGTTTTTAAGTTTATTAGTGCGTCATGAATTTTCTTTCGTTGTTCGTTAATATTTAGATGAATGTCAGTTAGACTATCTAAGATTTTTGCAATTTCCGTTTTCCATAGAAGAAAGATTTAAATTATAAATAGAAGGTTTGTTTTGAAATATTTGTAGAGATGATAAAACAGTTGCTCGATATTATTCAACGTAAAAATATGCAGTCAACCACGTGTTCAATCAGCTAAAATTGTCTTACTTCGTCGTAATTGAACGCTCAGTGTCGTCAGTCGACAAATATTTAACAGATGTTTGCAATGAAGACTTAGAAATACGTAATGAAGATTTTAGAAACCTTCTTCAGTATAATTTTAGCTTTGAAGACAAATTAGCCTACATCACTCGTTTATTGTGGGATCTACATACAGTAAAAGTTTTACTTCGCGTTTTAAAAATAAACATCATTCACATATTCAAATGAAAATGAAACGAAATCAGAGATTAAAATGATTTTGAGAAAACAAAGTCAGATGTTTTAAGACTTCTGGAAAATAAAATTATATGAGTTTAGCAATTGCAACATTTATGTTCATCTCTATGGAAAATGGAAGAAATTTTAAACCTGTTGACATTTAAATATTTTTAAGATTTGCATGATTTATGCTGCTTAATTATGCAGACACAAAACATTTATTAATGCTTGGATTATTTAACATCATTCATCGTTTTAAAATTATGTTAGGACATAAAGTTAAAATAAATAAAAAGTTCGCTTGCATCCTCACAACAAAAATAAACAAATTAATGTAAACATTAGAAAGTAAATAGGATCAATTTTCGTTATTTGTTGGAATGCCTCTCGAGAAATGATTGATCCAATGTTTTCTGCCTTTTTATTAATTATTCTTTATCTGAAAGAAAATAATAACAAGAAATGTAATATAATAACTGATGACCTATAAGTCAATCTCAAGATTACTAATAAACTCACATCAGCTTGAATACTCACATGAATATGATGTTTGTATGTAGGTTGTGGATTAATTAATTGTTAGCATATTTTAATTCAATCATACTAGATAACTTTGGAACAAAGGGTTAAACATCAAATAAAATCTATTTAAGCCGCTCTGAATGAAACAACCTCAATGATATCTTCAATGTTACATTGGCGGTTGTTCTCACAATTTCAAATCTCTTTATTGATGTCTTACCCTGAGTTAACTTAAAAGTTTAGTCTAACCACCTTAATTAGCTACTTAGTAACAGAATTGATAAAAAAAAAGTTTGTTTTCGTATGTAGAAATTGTTTATTTTTTCATAAATTTTCAAAAATTGTCAAGTTTTTCGTCTGATTATTAATTGATTAGTTTCACTAAAGTTCTGATTTTTTAAAATTTCATTGAAGTAAAATTTTTTTTTTGACAAATTCGAAATATGTACGATAATTACAGACCCAAACAAACCAGCAGCAACTAAAACTTCTATTCTTGGATTAACAAAGCTCGAACAATCAGACGCAGCTTCTAATGGTAAGAAATAATAAATTTTTGGAGTTTGACGCGAATAACACGCAATTGAAGGTTTACAATAATACAAGAATTTTGCTATAATTAACTTTAAGGCTCAATCAAAGTTTAATTTTATTATTTTGATGTTTTGCTCTAACGAATATGCCAAAATAAATTATTTCCTTCATGCAAGCGTTTTCTATTATATGACATTTAATTAATTAATATAATTATTGATGATATAAAATCATAAAAAGTCATTTCCGAAAACTAATTCTTCAACTTAAGGGAAATGAGAGTTTTCACATGAAGTGAGTGTAAATTATGCATAAATTCACATCTTTTGCATAAACCATTTTAAAGATATTGTTAATCTAATTAATTTCATAATTATTAATTCTTATATTTTCAGAAAATAATGCAGAAGGAATCAGATTGTCTTCTACCGCAATGTTTTCGTCGCTGTTACTTGTAGTTGCTACTTTCGCACGTTTTTAAAACTGAATTTTGTTTTTCTTTTCTTGTACAACGAAGGATCGGTGTAATAATTAATGTGGAAAGTCAAAGTTAATATTGATTTTATGCATAAATTTTCAATTAACAAACCCTTATGCCAAAAATTACGTATATTACTTACCATAGTTTATTTATTGTGAGCCAAAGTAGATTCATTAAAATAAACTTATTTGTCGAAGCTTTAAATAAGCATTTAAGGAAAGCTTAAAAAACGGTTTCAGAAATGATATATTTGTCGAAGTAACATATATGTAAATTATGTGTAATCCTTTAATTTCTAACAGATAATGTAATTAATAATTGCAATTTGTTGCAATTCAAAATAAATGTTATTTTTGTTCATAATCAAATTAATTGTTTTTATTTATTCATTATTTGAGGTAATTTGACTTTTGACTATTCAGTCGTGCATCTTTTGTCTATTTTATTATGATGTTCTTATCCATGCAGATAAGCAGTAAGTACCAATAATTGAATTAATTGGTTGACGTTAGTTGAGCAAGAACAGATAACACGGTTGTGTACCAGTCGAACGAAAGCAAGATCTCAATAAACTTCATTTCAAGAAAAAAACAATACTTTTACTTAATGAAACAATAATAAGAAAAATATTATAGAATGAAAACTGACACGTCTGTTCTCTTAATTCTTTGAAAACAAAACTGACAACTCACAATTCTTTACGTATTTCTTATATAGTTACGTTGAATCCATCCTTCTGTTTCTCCAGAATACATTCAAACTGTAAGTCAAATATTAATTGTGAACATGCATAGGAATTAAACTTATAATTTAAAGCAAAATGATTTCTAAAGTATTATGTAGAAGAGTTATTTAGTATGTCTCAGATTTTGTTTAATCTGAGTTTATTTTATTTTTTTATTGTAATACTTGACATATTCTTGATTTGCGAAACTCGCAACAATATTGTGCTACAAAACAAAGTCCTGGAGGAGGAAGACCACCACATTCATTTAGAACTTTATTTCCAGAACAGGTACAAAGATTAGCATCTCCAGGATCATCCTTACAAAGTGGACATTCCTGAAACTGTCCAGAAACAGCAATAACAATTGCAGCGAATAATGAAATCAATAACAAGATTTTCATTGTAGAATTCTGTAATTTTAATCCTTTCAATAATTATAAAAAAATGTTATAGAATGGCAACTGACACGTCTGTTCTCTTAATTCTTTTAAAACAAGACTGACAACTCACAATTCTTTTCGTAAATCTTATACGAGTTTCTCCAGAATACATTCAAACATGTAAACTGTGCAAGTAAATATTCAATTTCAACATTTCTACACCCTTTCCCCCCTTCACCTCACCCTCAGTTACTTAAAAAAACATGCCCTCCCCTCCTGATCATCTTCCCATCTGAGCTTTGCTCAGAGATCCTTGTTTTGAACTTAGAACAAATAAT